TCATTATAAGCAAGTTGGCACTAAAAACACTAAAACATGTTAACGAGATTATAGTTAACAATGCCATAACTAACATAAGCTAAATCCTCTAATTAAGAGGATAGAATACTATTAGCTATCTAGGTAATTAAACAAGGCAATTATTAAACTATTTAAGTAGCTATAGTATCATATAACGTGCCCTATACAACCTTAAGTAACTAGATCTATAGTATAGCTTCTTAATGCAACTCTACTCCTAACTTACATAAGTTAACTCTATATAAAGAGTTAGCTCTCGTTTAGTACATCCTTAACCTAGATTCACATAGATTTCTACCTAGGCTATAAGCTATGTAAGAAATAGTAGACCTTCTACTCTCTAAATAAGGCACAAGCCCTATTAGGATAAACTAGACTACTAACTTCATTAAGCGTCATATAGAAATTAAAGCAAAGTTTAGTTAGAAATACAATTATAAACAAGTAAAATGCAAAGATCCTAAGATAATTTAAGGGTAGTTCTCTCTTATATAAAACATAGTTGTAAAATACAGCATCTTAGACTAGGATATCTACAACTTTAATAAAGTAGGTTTTGTAATGGGAGTTATTACTACTATAAAAGTAGTTATAAGCTTAGAAGTAAAGAGCTATCTAAAGACTATACAGCTAGGGAATAGAGAGTAGGTGTTAATTATTTAAGGTGTTAATTTATATAGATGGGCACTCCTACCATTCATCATTTTTAAGGCATAGAATTACCTCTCTACTTAGTATAAGGACTTAGGATTACTAGACGATTAGGTGATTACATTAAGTAAGAATAGGTAGACTTTAAATTTAATTAGGTATAAGTAGATTTAACACTTTAATCAACATATAAGCACTTATATAATTAGAACCTATTACCTTCTTATTCTTAACGGACATAAGAGCTACCTCTTAGCTTAATTTTAACACTATTATATAGAATAGAAGATAATTACTCTCTATATACTACTATACTTATTATACATTCTTTAGCTACTTAATGTTAGCTACTTTACTCTACTAAAGCTTTTATATAGACGTTAGATTAAAACCTTTATATAGAATAGGCTAAACTACATTATAAAGCTTAAGTTTCTCTCTACATTTAAAGAAGCATTTAAAGCTACATTTATAGAGTAGAATATTAAGAGTAGGTTCTAAGCTATAGGACTAGTTCTATATAAGCTATAGAATGTCCTCTCTTACTTAAATCTACACTTAAGGACTCTAACTCCTCCTATAGTTAAGAGTAACAATTAGACTTTAAAGACCCCTTAAACTATAAGGGAGCTTAATTTTTAAACAGAGCATATTAAGAACTACATTATACAACATTAGAATAGCTCTCCTAGCTTAATTAATGACGTACTAAGCTAGCTTACTAAAGGAGCTTAGGTTATAATGCATTCTACTATTCTACTTAAGGTAGAAGTTAAGGCTCTATAAGCAGCTAATAAATAGAAAAAGAGGAGGGAAAGGAAGCGTAAGAGGCATATAATGTAAGGGGGTAGTCTCTCTATATAAGAGGGGGAGGATATCGTTTAAAGTGCTAAAGTTAAAGCTTAAGTCTATATAGAGGTAGTAAGTAAGAGTAGTTAGTAGGTAGGCTCTAAGGGCTAATAGAAGCGCTATGGCTAATGTAAGAAAATTAGACATAATACCTATACGTGTAAGAGGCGCTAGGAATTAATTACAATTGAATAAGGGTTATTATGTATAGTGGTAGTGTAGTAGTAGGCAGTAATAGTTAATTTTAGTGTTTTTAGTGCTAACTTACTTGTAATGACAACTCGCTTATGAAATACGTTATAGGTTTTATCTTCTATAAATTCCCTTATGCTACGTAAATTATTAAGACGTTACTATAACGCTTATAACCCTAGTAACTTTGCTATTTAGCTAACTCCTATTAAGCTAATGCAAGCTTTGAAACAGCTGCTGAGAACGCGACTATATAGTATAGACTACTATATAGTAAACGTTACAATATAGTGTCTTTACTCTATACCCTGCCTATAACAGGAACGCGGACCCCTAGAGCGTAATATAGACTAAGGGTTGTACTTAACTATAATGTGACTGCTACTACCCTGTTCGCTATGGACCCCTTTTCAACCTTAGGTTTCTAAATCCCTCAAACCTAACCTACCTAGGTTCGGTTAGGCTAGGTTGGTAGGTTACCTGCCTAAAGCACCATCAACAGGGACACCCTAACCTAACTTCGGCGGTTCATCGTCCGCGGCGCAACTGTACGTCATCGTGAAAACCAGCACGACCCTCAACACCCACCTAGTGTTCAGTGGTGTCCAGTGCAGATACCTATATAGTGGGCAGTTAAATCGCGTCAGCAGGTTTTGCGGATCTTCGCCAACCCCCCGTTGACAAGTTTTTATTTCTCTTCTCTTCTACTCTTGGAAACCTCGGCCGCTGAAATGTCTCGGTCCATTACTAAAAGCCTGCCAACAGGGGTAGGTCACCATGTCCGCACTGACATCGTGGCCCCATTTCAGAGCTTTGTACGAGTGGTTATCCGCGCCTTGAATCAAGCTCCGTTAAAAAGTCAGCAGGGAAAGTACTGTAACAACCACCGCGTAAATCGGTCCCTATTCAAAAGTCAAGTCACGGGGTCAGCTATTTTGAGGCGTGTGAGGATGTTGAAGTTGGAGAGGAAGCTGGAGAAGATGGAGACAGAGGAGAATTGAAATAGAGTACCCTCAGGCAAGCGCGCCAGTGATTAGTTACACGGATCATGTTGGGCTAAGCTGAAGCGTATGATCAACAGTGATGCAACTATACAGGAGACTACTCGAGTAGAGCACCCTTCTCCACGAGTAACGTACTGCGTCGGTGGAGGGGGGTCGAGGAGGGTTTAGTGGAGTCGCTGCTGGACTATACAGCAGCTATCCTGCAAACGGTGGCCGGTGAGAACAGGGTCTCAGTGTGGGGTTGAGGGGATTACCGCGTCGTCTTACCATGAACGGTGCAAGGTTGCGCAGTGTAGGACAATGCAGCCGTATAGTACGGCTGTACCATAGTATGTATGTACAACAGCACGGCTCGGGGAATAGGAAACGGTGGCAGGCCGACTCGCCGACTCGCCGCCCCCTCGCCCCCCCCCCCACAATGAACCGCATCGTCACTGTGCATAAGCACTTTCCAGCAAGACTGTAAGCAGCCGTCAAGATCGTCACGGGGGCGTCCTTGTCGTGAGTGGTTCAAGTGGAGGCGAGGGTGGAGAGGGCGTTGGATGGTTGGAAACTTCTTCAAGACCTTCCCTGGCCGCCGATCCGCAACTAGCAACTTTAATGTTCAACTTCGGGCCCCACCTTTTAGTAGCTTCCCCGCGGGATACGGGAAACTCGCAGTCACTTGCCGCAAATCTAGAAGGAATCTAGAAGGAATCTAGAATGAAGTTTACGATCCCCCCTGGCAGAGTAAATACACTAACAACATCAATATCGAGATGAACTACTGGCTAGCGGAAGTTACTAATGCCATCTTTGACCTTATTAATGTAGCTAGGGGCCGTGGGGAGGATACTGCCACAGAATTGTACGGATGCACGAATGGCGGGTTCATATTACACCATAATATCAATCTCTAGGGTGATGCAGCCCCTAATGATCACGGGACGCTGACCATGATGTGGCCTATGGGCAGAGCTCAGTTCTCTCTCCATCTCATAGAGCACTATAGCTTCACGGGGGACAAGGGCTTCCAGAAAAACCGTGCCTAGCCGGTCCTCTAAAGCGCCGAGAATTTCTATGACTATTACTTCTTCGAGCACGAGGGGTATTATATCACTAGCCCCTTGCTATTACCAGAGGATACTTTCATCGTCCCCCTAGGCATAGAAACGGCTAGTGCGACAGAGGTAATTGATATAAGCCTAACTATGTACAACTCAATCCTCCATGAACTTTTCACCACCGTAATCATAACCTGCAGCGTCTTAGGTATAAGAGGCCCCGACCTAATAAATGCCTAAATCTACCGTGAAAGGATCGAACCCCTGCAAATAGGATCAAAAGGGTGGATTTTAGAACGGCGAAACGAGTTCACCGAGGCCGATGCAGGACACCGTCACAGGGGTCTTATCTTCGGCCTTTCCCTAGCTCGCAAATGGCACCGCTTGAAAACTCCACCCTTGTGGCAGATACAAAAGTCCTAATTAATAACCGTATGAGCAGCAGGTTAGGAAGCATAGGCTAGTCGTGTAATTGGGTTCTTAACTGCTACGCCCTCCTTTTCGCCACTGACATAGCGTTGGAAAATGCCGTGATTCCTAATTCCTACAAACGTTTCCCTCTAATAACCCCTAGAACACTGACGGGGGCCTGGGACAGCGATGCAAATAGATAGGAACTTTGGTTTCGTATCCAGGATCGCGGGGAAGCTTCTCCGAAGTCATAAGGTGGAGCATATTCTCCTAGCGCTTCCTGCTGCAGTGCCTGATGAGAGTGTGAGGGGGCCGATCCTCTGGGGGGGATGGGGGTTGGGGTGGATATTACTTGCTCTGGCAACACATTGACAAAGGCAACCACAACACTTAGTGGACGTCTGGTGAGGGGTAATCGGGACCATCAGTGAGGGATAATCGGGACCATCTGATGGACCATCCGGTGGATCATTTAGTGTATCATCTGGTGAGGGGATAATCGCGACCATCCCTGTAGGTGGACCCAATCCCTTGTAAAGTAGAGCACTTTAGCTATTACCTAGGAAGGATGATTAAATTATGAAGGATTGTAAAGAGAAGGCAACAGTGCTTCGAGAATCTTCAAGGATCGTAAAGGGAAGGTGGCAGGCGTTTTAGGAAAAAGGAGATCAGGTGAGAAATCTAGTTCGGGCAGCTATTTACAAGTTTCTAAGACTATATAAACCACCATATATACCCACAAGTTTTTAAATAGCACCTCATAAACAACCAATTTCGCGATACATACTACAAATTAACCCCGATTTTCTGTATTGTGCAATCATCAAAGATGCCGTATGTTTACCTTATGCCTGATCATGTTGCCTCTACTAACCCTCTAAAGTTCCCTATTAGCCATGACAGCTGGAGCGATCCTTGCCGTTACTACCGCAGTTAACGGCGCTACTCTTCCTATGGAAATCGTCGCTAATGCTCGAAACGCCACTGATCTACCATCCAAGCTTCAGGTAAATATCTCAAGTGTATTCATCGTCCTCGGAAACACTTCTAATGGCTTTCAGGCTCGCGATACTTTTTGCAAGATCTCATATGAGGGTGGTCATTCCTATGGTGGTGGTGGACCTGGTCAAGCTGTCATTAATATCTATGGTTTCGGGATCAACACCTACGATTCATCCGGAAACTTTGTCTACGCCAGTCCCAAGCTCAAGGGCTACGGTTCTACAACGGTCTCGAAGAGTGACTGGAAAGGGAACTATGATTTCACCGTCTCCACTTCATATGATTTTCAAGGAGATACTTTCACCTCATGCAAATATCAGTATGGGGCCTCTTTGTATGATGGAACCATCTCTGGCCACACTGATCACAATTACGTTTCGGTCACGCACTCTTATTGCGAAATTTATCTTTCTTGTTAAGTAGTTGGTTTGGATTTTCTTTCCAATTCCAAGTTTCACGATCTCATGATGTTGACTATCGAATGAGCTCAGTATGTACAAGGAGGATTTCGATAGGAAGGAGAAGTATCTACAAGTTTCTGAGACTACAAACTACCATATATGCACTATTAAGTTGGGTAGTACACAAGTTTTCAAATAGCACATCATAAACAACCAATTTCGCGATGCATACTTGAATTGTGAGCAGACCTAGTAGGCATCAGACATATTCAGAAGATGACAACGAACTGTTGATACAGCTGAAAGAGGATGACAAATTGCCCTGGGATGAAATTGCACAGTACTTCCCGGAAAGGACCAAAGGGATGTTATAAGTGCACTACTGCACAAACTGAAGAACCGCTCGCAGACGTCTAAGTACAAGAGACGCAAGATAACGAACTCTGCTAAAGAAGGCGGGGGAATACATCCATCCGGTTTTTCAATGGAGTTGCTTAATCCACAGCTTCGAGATGCTCTTCCTTTCACATCAACTCTACTAGCAACCGCCGACTCGGACAAGGCTGCTCACGGAAGCGTACTGTTAACTACACTAGAATACAGAGAAGACATGGCAGTGCAGCAACGTTCTGGCAGCTAAGGAGTAGAAAGCAATCCAGTCGCTATCGACGCAAAGGAGAGGACGTGGGACGTTGAGGTGCTACTTGCCAAGTCAACGGTGTGGTACCTCGTGAAGTGGGAGGGCTTCCTAAATGAGCATAATACCTAGCAGAAACGGCGCGACATAAGTTTAGATCTCATTAACGAGTTTGAGGCGACCTATCAAGGGAACTTTGCTAGTGTGCAATTGCTCAAAAGCGAGAACGGAGAGGGGAGATTGAATATCTTGTCAAGTAGAAGGGTCGTCCTAACCAAGAGGCTGTGGTATTTGGGCCTAAATACCAGCTGAGTCAGCCGATTTCCCCATACAAAATTTGGCGAACGCCAAAACAGGGGTGCTAAATACCACCGCCTAATTACCACCACGACAGACTAAGACATCATTTGCCCCTTTATCGTAGCCATTGAATTCTATGAAGCTCGTAGACTGTCCGTAGACTTTAAATAGACCTCTATACATAATTGCAGTCCTATATAAGACGTTGTAAGCAAGGAAAACCTTACTCTAAGCTAACCCTAAGCTGCCATCTTTAAATCCTTAGGGTTATAGGATTGGCTTAGTCATTAGGGTCTAACGTGTTTCTTAGAATGGTGGACTAGATGATCTACAACGATGCATACTAGGCCTTAATATGTAAGGCTTATAGGTATGCAATTATAAACTTAGCTAGGCACCTAGTAGACACACATAGTAACGTTGATTTAAAGACTTAGAAAGCAATTGTTAGTGAATATTTAGGGTTGTAAATAAATTAACTACTAAATTATAATTTTCATTTTAGACTAAGAAATTCAATTCTAGCGATTAATGGGCTTACTATCTATAATGGATTTACATATAAGAACTATAAAAAATGCAGATACCTAATAAGTAGTTAGAAAGCCATTTAGGTGCATTATAATAAAGAGCATAATTAGACGTAGACTAAGGCAGATCTAGTATACTAGGTTAGGGTTAAACTATAGACGTTCTTTAGAATTCCTAGGAATGCTATCTATTATTTCTATGTAAATGTACCTAAGGAGGTAGGAGAGGATATAACTAACAAAAGAGGATAGCTAAAGTGCTAATTAATTAATGATATTAAGGAGTAGTAGGCATATAGAAAAGAGTAGTAGGAGAACTTATAGAAGGTTCTAGTAGATAGTGCCTTAAGGCATAAGACTATAAACTAGCTAAAGTACATAGGGTAGACTGCCTATTTTAAGGAGAGGGATCTAAGTAAGATCTACACCTATAGCTAAATGCTAGGATAGGAAGATGATTATCTATATAGGATAGTAGCTGTAATAGACTAGTTGTTCTTTAGCTACTACATTAATAGGTTAAAGAGCATGCTATTAATAACATAGCTCCTATTAGCTAGCCTACATTAACTAGATGTATATAGCTAACTATTTAGGCTATTATAAGAGAAGATAAGCATAGACTACAACCTAATTTACTAGACACGATTTCTATACTACTGTCTAAATGTTCTCTACCTTAACAATTCTAAGTTATTTAAAAGGTATAGCTTTCGTTTTGTAGTAGGGTAGAGAGAAAGCTTAGAAAGACTATAGGAGCACTTATAGAATGTAGACTAGTTAGAGGAGGCTTTAGAGGAAGAGCTTCTTGAAATTTCAGCTAGTTTCTAGATATAGTAGCTTTAGGGCAACCTATTTAAAAGTCTACTATAGCATTTTATTAGCATGCTAGGGATTAATGGAGATTTAGGGCAGTTTTAACCTATACATCTATTTACATACTATAACGCTAGGTCTTAAACTATAAGACTTATAGAGGTTTTGTTACATTAGTTTACTTAATAGAGGAGGTAGGGGATTAGACATAAAGGCTTTTATAAAACATGTTATAGTATATAACAAAATACTATATTAAGTTAAGCATAAAGCTCCTATCTAAGAACTAACTATCTACTTATATAGTAACGTTATACTAAAGGGAATAGTTAGAATAGTAAACTCCTTTACTATTCTTACTATTCCTACTATTCTATTATATAGGGTTCTTATAAGGAGGTGCCTATAAATAGTCTAGTACCTACTCTATCTAGTACCTAGTAATAGTTAAGTACCTAGAAGGAGTTAGGTGCTTACTCTATCTAGTACCTAGCAATTCTTAGGTGCCTAGGAATTCTCTAGTACCTATAGGAGTAGGTGCTTAAGAAAACTCTACTACCTAATGTTAACCCTACCTTAAGGGCAGCTAACTTACTAACATGTTTATTACTACTATAACTAGTATGTTAGTAAAAGTACAGCTATAAACACTAGCTATAACATTTACCTTGTTATTTTTACCTAGAAAATTAGCCCTTACATTTTAGGGGGTAACTAATTTTATAATTATAATTATAGTTGTCCTTAAGGTAGTAAGCTAAATTTATGTTAGTATAGAGTTAGTATAGATAACTAAGTAGAGAGGCTATATAAAGTAGTAGGTAAATTCTATTATAAACAATTGCTAAATTACTAACATATAGTATATAATAGCTTTAGTTAGAATTAGAAAGGGTACATTATATATTAAGTAAGTTTTAGTTTTAGAGTAGCTACTACTATTATTAATAATATACATGTAATTTAACTTCTACTACTTATAATTGTTATAAATCCTTATATTACTAAGAACCCTTATATTAGTAGACTACCCTTAATATAAGGATGCCTCCTTACTTAGGGTAGTTATGCCTATTATGTAGCGCTATTAAGACTTAGGGCTGTTATAGGTTAGTTGTAACTAACAGCCTTAGGCACATAACGTAAGGAAGCCTTAGGCAAACAGGGAGCTAGCTAAGTTAGAGCAGCTTTAGGTATTTTAAGGGAATAGCTATATAGGGTTATACCTTTATCTTTTTTATATCCTTTATAGTAGACCTATAGGATTGCACTAACTTATATCTAACTTGTACTCCTATATGCAACTTCTTGTAATATAGTGCCCTATGTCCTTACACTTAATATATAGGATTTTAAGTAGAAGAAAAGACCTAGTATTCCCTAAAATAGTATTAGGATTTATAGGTTTTAAATAGTATTTAGCAATGAGCAGTATTTAGGCAAAATTTAGGGTATTTAGCAAGTATTTACTAAAGACTTAGATACTATTTAAGTCCTTAGTATGCACAGCCTATAACGCTAAGCTATAAAGATTAGCTAGCAAAGTAGTATTAGTAATTAGTCGTCGCAAAATGTGCTAACACGTGACTGCTAATAAGGGACCACTAATTTTCGGTATATCCTATTATATTTCACAATAGTTGAGCCTTAAAATACCCAAATAGTATTCGGCGAGGATTTGTATGAGTATTCGCCGAATACTTTCAGATGGCGAGTATTCGGGAAAACCCCGAATAGTATTCGAATACTATTTAGGGAACACTGAAAAGACCTCCCGATTAGTCCCTCCATTCAAAGTGCCGCTAATGCCCCGACTATCGCAACCAATAATTCCCCCGTTACTCTTACCTCCGTCGCGCCACCTGTAGACGACGGCGAGGATGGGTTCGTCGGGTTCGCCGTGCTCAACGGGCTTATCGATCCAGTCGGCGTATACCGCACACCATCAGTGTTTGTGAAACTCGTCAACCGCGCCGTGGCGATTCCCGTGATCTTGCCAGCAATTGCCGTCTTCGCGCCCGTCCAGTAATTCTCGACGCGCGTATCGTTAGGGAAGCGATCATTGACGATAGTGGCATCAGGGGCTAGAATGTACGCTCGTCGCGTTGTAAGGCGGGAATAGGTCCGCATATGGTTGCGTGACTGGGGTGGGCTTGCATTCGGCGTTGCTGAGGCTAGTGTAGTGTTCCTTCAGCGCGGCGGGTTCGAATCCAACCCAGCCGTGCGCGGCGTAACAGAGCTCGCAGCCGTACCAGGCCTCCAAGGCGTTGCCGCCGCAGAGACACTCCTGCTCGGCGAGGAAGTCGATCTGAGTAGTTCCGTTGGCGCTGCAGACTTGTAGGAGGTACATATGTTGTTCGCACGGGAAGGGGGACTGAGAGAGGGACGAGAAATCCAAAGGGGCAGCCCCGACTAAACTAGTAGGGTAACACATGACATGGAGATAACCATTATTAGGATGCTGGGACTTGGCCAGGGAGAAGAGTGCGAGGAGTGCAAGGACGGGTGAGATGGCCGGCATGGTTAATATTGTTGCGAGAAATGGTGTCTAAGATGGAGCATATAGAGTAGAATGGGATGTGACAGAATAGGGGAGGAAAGAGGTTGATACAACCCCAACCTTTTACCTACGTGCGCTTTCCGCAATTTACCATCATGCGCGCGTCGTCTGTTAGGCCTACCTGCGAGCCTAATAAGGACGCGGTCGAGACCATACTCTACTTTAGGCAGAACCGCGAGCAATTTCACATTTTAGCCTTAATCCATATAAGATGGCGGTTCCACCGAAGAATATTCTTCCACTCCCATCTGTCGCATACGTCGTTCGCGTTGGTGGTTGCCAATCGCCACACCCGCTTAAGCCACACCTGCACAGCCTCACCTGTTGAGCCTTCTGCTCTTTCGAGCGTCGCCCAAGCGCACGATGAGTCGTTGAAGTTGCTGGATTTAGTTCCTGATTCGGATATTAGATATTGAGGCTGCGAATCATATGATCACGCGCACAGAATGGACATCCGTATCACGTGACCATTTGGGTTACAAATGGTACAAGTGCAGGAACCAACATAACTCTCTCTCTCTCTCTACATTTCAGCAATTGAACTTCGTCACCTTCGTTTTCCATCGATCAGCTATGGAGGATTTATGAATCTTGAGGAAAACATGTGTTGGAGAAAGATGAAGCGGGGATACCAACATCAAAACCTAATAGAAGGGCCAAGTACATACAGTACTCGCACATGAGCTGACATAACACAACACCAACACACTTCCTTGGTTTGTTATTTCCGACCCCACCCCCTTTCCCAAAATTCGAGCCAGTGACGCCAAAATAAACACACTGACATTTAATTTCAGGACTCATATGGATAGATCAAAACGGCAAAGTACAATATATCTCGAGATTACGATCGAGCAGCGTTGTTGCTTCTTCTCCTTACCTCGCCTTATCGTCGGTCATGACAGTGAGGGGAACGGAAATAGCGCACGAGGAGGAGAAGCCCGGAATTACTCCACCTTCGTATTCCTAGTGCTCCTTGGCCCGCCTTCAGTGTGACTCTCCGCAGTCCCCCCGCATTGATTGAGTTGCAAGCGAGCTCAAGAAAAACTCATTTTAACACTACTGCACCCTGGCATTACCCCGCAAATCCAATTCAGGTCCAAGCATTGTCGCTCATTTCGGATCGCTCGGCGGCGGACACGAGGAGAGATGAGCGAGATGAGAGGCGGGGAGGCAGGGAGGCGAGAGGCGCAGGAAGGGGAGGATACAAGGAGGATACAGGGAGGCAGGGAGGAAGGAAGGCAAGCCTGTTCGCATGGCTGCTTACTTTTGTGCACGGCCAATACTTTGGTTTCCGCCCAGTGATATGTGCCATGCCATGTATTCCCGATGTTGGGCACACTCTTCTTAACCTGTTTGTTGTTGGTGCTTGTTGGGGCCTTGCCATTCCCTCCAGTCGCGACTGCTTGTCGCTGTCAACGCCTCTAATTAGCTCCTTCTGCTTTTGGTCAAGTACGTCCGCGCCGAAAATGCAGTATTACGAGCGCTGACATGGGAGTTGACAGCAGGCTCGACCTGGTGCTGGTAGGCCGTCTTCACTTTCTCTTGTCGTTTCGTGCCAGCTTGTCATTGTCAATCTCTCAATTAGAGTTGCAGCGGCTCGTCGCTCATCTGTGTGAGCCTCATTGTCACGCCATGGCGGGCATGGCGGGCAATGGCTTTGACAGTGCGGATCTCTATTAAGTTTCTTTGTGCCTTCCTTGTTGACAGGCGGCTTCTCCCTGTCGGTCTGTTAATCATTTTCCCTATTGCCATGTGAAAGGTGACACCCCGGCGCGCGTGGCGTACGCTTGTCCATGCTGCTGTCCGGAACAGGCTTAAAATTGCTCTCCAAGTTCCCTATTTACCCTGCCAATGAGCGAAAGCGGACTAGATGCGGAGATGCACATTCAATGGTCTGTTCCTGAGGAATCGTGGGGTACGCCCGATATCACCCCGGATTGCTTGTTCCCTCCTACCAGCGGCGCCCTGGGATCACTCACCAGCATTTACCTAGCAGATATTGATTCTGCGCCGCACATGGATGTCATTGTGCTTGACATGAGCCTGTGCATCCTCGGCATCTTGCCAAAATAGCTATTTCCGCCCTGTTTTAAAGATTCACATGCCAGCTAGAATCCCATGTCTGGTCTAGACGCACCAACAAAGTCACCGGCGGGGGATTGCGTCGGGGATTATTGACGGATCTCACTTTCAATGGATTGCTATAAGATCAGCGCTTCCGTCATCACACCCATAGTTCTCCAACTTTTAGAGCCCGCACTCGTTGCTTTAAAGTTGAAATCGAGGCAACTATGATGCTCCTCAGCCCTGCGGTCATTTTGGCCGTTGCCGCCGTCGTTACAGCTACCACCCCCGGTCCCACACAGTGTGACCCGAAGGCGTCCGCCATTCCCGCTTGTGCCGTAAGGTCCCTTGCCGCCACCTTATGAGAAACTCTAGCTAACCAAGCCTCACAGACTGGATGCATTATCAGTGCCGGCGAACAGTATGGCTGTTCCAAAGAGGACTATTGGTGTCAGTGCGAGCCTGACACATACGCCAACATCAATGGAGCAGCAATAAACTGCGTCCTTGGTGCATGTGGCTTGAGTGGTGCTCTGCCCGTCCTGGACGCAGCTAACGCCGTATGCTCCTGTGCATCTGAGTATCCGTCGCCAACGAGCACTGCTGCCCCGACATCTACCGACCCTCCTGTCGTAACCACAGATCCACCTGTCATAACCACGGATACGCCTACCCCCACAACCGGCTCGCCGTGCGTGGTAACACCAGGCCCATCCCAATGTGATGCGTCAGCCTCAGCTATTCCCCCCTGCGCTACTGACTGCATCATCAGCGCCGGAACTCAATACGGGTGCACCAAAGAGGACTACTGGTGCCAATGCGAGCCTGATACATATGCCAACATCAATGGAGCTGCATTGTACTGCGTCCTTGATGCCTGTGGCCTTGACGCTGCCCTCCCCGTCCTCGACGCAGCTAACGCTGTGTGTGCCTGCGCATCGGCTAACCCCTCGCCCCCTTGCACTGGTGGCCCTGAACCAACTACTGGGCCACCCACGGATACTACCACTGGCCCTGCTACTACGGAAGCAACCCCAACTTCAACCGCGGAGCCAACAACGGATGAGCCAACCACAGAGCAAACGCCAACTACTACAGGCGGCACGCCTTGCACCGCCGCTCCCGGCCCAACCCAATGTGATGCGTCAGCTTCGGCGATCCCTCCTTGCGCTACTGACTGCATTATCAGCGCTGGAGCTCAATACGGCTGTACTAAAGAGGACTATTGGTGTCAATGCGAGCCTGATACATATGCTAATATCAACGGAGCTGCATTAAACTGCGTCCTTGGCGCCTGTGGTCTCGACGGTGCTCTCCCCGTCCTCGACGCAGCTAACGCTGTGTGTGCCTGCGCATCGGCTAACCCCTCGCCCCCTTGCACTGGTGGCCCTGAACCAACTACTGGGCCACCTACGGATACCACCACTGGCCCTGCTACTACAGAAGCAACCCCAACTTCAACTGCGGAGCCAACCACGACGGATGAGCCAACCACAGAGCAAACTCCAACTACTACAGGCGGCACACCTTGCACCGTCGCTCCCGGCCCGACCCAATGTGATGCGTCAGCTTCGGCGATCCCTCCTTGCGCTACTGACTGCATCATCAGCGCCGGAGCTCAATACGGCTGCACTAAAGAAGACTATTGGTGTCAATGCGAGCCTGATACCTATGCCAAAATCAACGGGGCTGCATTAAACTGCGTCCTTGGCGCCTGTGGTCTCGACGGTGCTCTTCCAGTACTTGATGCAGCGAACGCTGTGTGTGCGTGTGCTTCAGAGTACCCTGCACCTTCTTGCACCGGAGGACCAACGGGCACAGCAACTGGTACAGGCGGCCCGGATACGACAACAACTGGCGGCCCAGATACCACGACAACTGGTACAGGTGGACCAGAGACAACTCCGCCTCCTACTGGTACGGAAACCGGCACACCGTGCTCGGCGACACCAGGCCCTACTCAATGTAACGCCTCTGCCTCTGCGATCCCACCATGTGCAACGGACTGCATTAAAAGCGCCGGTGCTCAATTCGGCTGCTCAGAGCTTGACTTCTGGTGCCAATGCGAGCCTGACACCTACTCTAAGATCAATGGCGCTGCTTTGAACTGTGTGCTTAGCTCTTGTGGAGCTGCTGGCGCCATCCCAGTCCTAGATGCAGCAAATGCCGTCTGCGCCTGTGCTTCGGCTAACCCTTCGCCTTCTTGCACCGGAGTACCAACAAGCACAGGAACCGGCCCAGGTGGTCCAGACACCACAACAACTAGTTGCCCAGACACGACGACAACTGGTACAGGTGGCCCAGAAACAACACCACCTCCTACTGGTACCGAAACCGGCACGCCTTGCTCAGCAACGCCGGGTCCAACCCAATGCGATGCCTCCGCCTCTGCAATCCCACCATGTGCAACGGACTGCATTAAAAGCGCTGGTGCTCAATTCGGCTGCTCAGAGCTTGACTTCTGGTGCCAATGCGAGCCTGACACCTACTCTAAGATCAATGGCGCTGCTTTGAACTGTGTGCTTAGCTCTTGTGGAGCTGCTGGCGCCATCCCAGTCCTAGATGCAGCAAACGCCGTCTGCGCCTGTGCTTCAGCTAACCCTTCGCCGTCCTGCACTGGGGTACCAACAGGCACTGGAACCGGCCCAGGTGGTCCAGACACGACGACAACTGGTACAGGCGGCCCGGTAACAACCCCACCTCCAACTGGCACTGAAACTGGCACACCTTGCTCCGTGACACCAGGCCCAACTCAGTGCGATGCATCAGCCTCTGCGATTCCTCCTTGCGCGACTGACTGCATTGTCAGCGCGGGTGCTCAATTCGGCTGCTCTAAGCTCGACTTCTGGTGCCAGTGTGAGCCTGAAACCTACGCCAAGATCAATGGCGCCGCATTGAACTGCGTCCTTGAGTCCTGCGGGGCCGCCGGTGCCATTCCCGTTCTCGACGCAGCGAACGCCGTCTGCGCCTGTGCTTCTTCCATCCCGGCACCCACCTGCACCGGATCCGGACCAGGTGGCGGCGGCGGCAACGGTTCGGGCAGCGGAACGGATGTGCCAACCACGCTGACCACATCGCCAACTCCAACAGGTAGCGGAACCCCATGCTCAGTGGCACCAGGCCCAACTCAATGCGACGCGACCGCGTCTGCAATTCCGCCATGCGCTACAGACTGTATTATTAGCGCGGGTGCTCAATTCGGCTGCTCTAAGCTCGATTTCTGGTGCCAGTGTGAGCCTGACACCTACGCTAAGATCAATGGCGCCGCATTGGACTGTGTCCTTAGTTCTTGCGGAGCTGCTGGTGCCATTCCCGTTCTCGACGCAGCGAACGCTGTCTGCTCTTGCGCGACCTCGTATCCTCAGCCAACTTGCACTGGAGGTGGCGGCTCTGGAAATGGAAACGGCAGCGGTTCGGGTAGTGGAAGCGGCAGTGGCAGCGGCTCTGGAAGTGGAAGCGGCAGTGGCAGCGGCTCTGGAAGTGGAAGCGGCTCAGGCAGCGGAAGCGGAAGCGGCTCAGGCAGTGGAAGCGGCAGCGGATCAGGTAGTGGAAGTGGAAGTGGCAGTGGTTCCGGAAGTGGTAGCGGCAGCGGCAGCGGAAGCGGATCTGGCAGTGGCGACGGAGGTGTCATTACCCCAGTCCCATCCAGCGCATCCAGCCTCCAGTCGCTGATGGTTACCATGACCGCCATCTTTGTCACTGCTGGCATCTTCGCCATCGCTTGGTAAAAACTTATAATGTCAGGTAATGACACAAGTGAGCCCTGGAATGGGTCTCACGGTTTCTAATTCTACGGCGGAATTTTTATAATAGGGATAATATAGTATATATACACTTCTTCAATGTTCAGTTAATCCGCCATATTAAAGTTTCACTGTGACTTCTCTGATTGAATAATGGCTTAGTTGTTATGAAAGTATTTTGACAAAAATCGTGAATACTGCTACGCTCCATATATTTTGGTCCTATGTACAGAGCGGAGAACTCTCTAAGTTCGAGCTCATTTTACCACGGCAAATCCAAGGAGCTTCAATGTCGCTCACAGTTAGTCCTTGAGAAACACTTGGTTCCGGTGCATGCGAGATCGAACCAAGCCATTACTGTCGGTTCTTGATTCGCGATATTATGAGGCACACCCTCCGCTGAGTATGACTCGAAAGTTGGGCCATAGATGGACTTGGTCCAGCCGCTGACTGGCGTGTTAAGTACCGTCTTAATAGGAGATTTAGGTAGCCCAAGCACCGTGGTCCATTCTTTGATCTCCTCTTGTAGATTTTGTGGATACAGAACCGTGTCAGCTGTGCCGTGGAAAACCTGCATCTTGGGCCTGTAACCCTTGTAGCCAGGATATGCCGCCTTCACGATAGCCGCCCATTCTTTGCCAGTCTTGATGATCTTGCCAGTCGCACAGTCATCACTCCACACGCCATATCCGTCGCCGGCAAAGCAGCCAAATGCCACACCAGCAAATGCGCTCCCGGCAGCGAACACGTCCGGATAGCTCCCCAACAGTACATTCGTCATCATAGCACCGCTGCTGACACCGGTGGCGAAAACGCGGTTGGCATCTCCGTTGTACTTGTTCAGCACGTATCGAACCATGCTCACGATACCGAGACTGTCACCACCACCGTTGTGCGAGAGCGTCTGCGAGCTTGAGACGTCCCAGCACTTGTCGGCCTCGTTCGGGGAGTCGGGGTAGATGACAATGAAGCCATATTCGTCAGCGAGTGTGGCGTATTGGGAGCCGGTAAAGGCATCGCTTGCTTGGCCGTGGCAGGCATGGGGGTTCACGAGAACTGGCGGGTTGGAGGTGAGATTGGTCGGAACGTAGATGTAGAAACCGACGTTTGTGGGATTGCTCCCGAAGTTGACCGTCACTTTCTCGAGTTGGTTCGCAGCGGCATTGACCAGGGCGAGGGGGAGAGACAAGGCCCCAACAAGGACGCTGAGGGCTGAAAGTCGGGCCATGGTGATTGAATGGTGACGGAGGATCTACGAGGAAATACGACAGAGAGACCGTAGCAACCTGGAGAGAGAGAAAACCACTTACGGAGAGAGAGATAAACCCAATATATATGCAAACCAAAGTGGAAGGCAAATCGATACTCATTGCTTGCTCGGTCCAAGGGCTTCATTGCCACTCTATCGTCAACGGAAGCAGCATTCCATCCAGGTGGCTTCAGTGATAATCTCGGACCAGATAGGTTAGAAGCCGAAGCAAAATAGAGTGCAGTCCATAAGAACGCGCCTTACATATAAACTGTCGGGCGGAGGCAATTAATATATTGATGGCAAGTGTGATCCAGATCCAGTTCGCGCCTTCCATTTGGTGATTGGGGAAACGGAGACATGGAGAAATGCGCTGTGAGAGTGTATAATCTATCCACTTTATAACCATGCAAGTGCAAGTTAATCTTTTATCCTCTGCATAAATAATAAATAATCCTCGGAGTATTTCCTTTCCTGATTTGGCATCACGGGAGCTACACTCCGATATTTCTTCATTTGGCAGATGGATGTCAAAGCCCAAAGTGTTCCACGTGATATATTCGAGTTTCTCCAATACGGTTTCCCATCGCAGGACCGTGGGGGTTGGGGGTGCATATATCGAGGCCCTGGACAATATCACATCGTCGTCGACCACGTCGCTGGTGTTCGTGGTAGGTTGTTGTTGTTATTGTTGTTGAGGTGAAGCTGCTGCTCGGGTCGGGTCCAAGCTGCCGGCGAAGCGAAGCTGAATCGTTCGTAATTCGTGGGAAAACAGAACAGGTCGTTCTTGCCGCATAGGGTTTCACTACTTGGAGATGCGACGACGAATCTCCGCGTCAATTGAGGATGTCAAGATGCTGAAACTGGCAATACCCCAGTGGAGAATGCTCTTTCTGGGCATACGGGCGAGATATCCGGGGTCGAAAAGTCTAAAAACAGATCGACCAGCCTCCTTCCTGAAACCAAACCCAGCACGAACCAGCACGAACCCAGCACCGCGCTTGGACCGATACGACAATCTCGAAACCCCGAACCTCACAGCGGCGATGAGACGTCGCACCTCACTCACCCTCGATGGCGGGATTGTCTAAATTGGATATTCGGCCTTGAAATTTCACCCCCACGAAGCCTTGGCAAATGAAGATGCAAGTGGCGTTTGGCGACTTGAGGCTCACAATGTCGCGGATTATCCCAGTCAGCGCCTCGTGGTGCAATGGAGCACCCACAGCTATTCGACGGCTTCATCTTGGCGCCAACGGAGAATTAACGTGAGTTGACATGGGAGCTTCAGATCAGGAGTCGCCGCCGCTAAGTGCCCTGTCCTATCCTTGCTCTCAAGCAGTCAGTACGCAACTCTAGTCTGATCTCGTCTACAGTCTGATCTTATAAGAGGCAGGTTGTCCACCGCTGTAATATCTCTTTTTCTTCTTCAGCCGCGCTCATTTCTTCATTTCCAGTCCAAGCAATTACCAACCTTTCGTCTTCTACTTCTCTCGCATCGCAGCTGTGCTGTCGTTTTTAAGCCACAATTTCATCCATTTAACATATACCACCTCACCTCAACAACCTTCAACAACCCCCAAAACAACAGACACCATGCAGTTCTCCATCTCCACCATTGCGCTCTACGCCACCCTCTTCCTCACAGTCTCGGCCTTGCCGCTCACATCCCGTGCTCTGTCTTCCCAGGCATACAACGACCTGTCCATCAGTGCTGGCCAGGCCGGAGATGCTGAGGCAGAAGCCGCGGCCAAGATCGGCATCGACAGCTCCTCTGACCTCGCCAACGTCAGCAAGGCCGACCTCCAGATTGTCAAGGGGATCCACGATGTCGCCAATGCCGCCGAGGTTGGAGCATTCAACCCCGCGGTCGCTGCTGCGACCGGTGCTGAGAAGGTGGCGATCCAGGTACGTGACCGCACCCACTCACTCTGCTTACCCTTCTCGCATCGAGACTAACATTGATTATAGAACGGCAAAATAAAGAACAAGGTCCTCAAGCTCTCTGCCGCAGTTCTGGCCCTTCAGATCCAGGAAGCGCAGGGTGACAGCAGTGTTGCGACGAAGTTGGCAGCAGAGCAGAAGAAGCTGGCCAACAACATTGCGTTGGACACAAAGGCTGCCGGCCAAGACAGCACTGCGGTTTCTTTCGATGGGACTTCTTAAATAGTTGAATGCAGTTGAAGAGAGGGAAGGGGAGGATGCTTGGGACTTCCCAGATGCATTGTATCCAGGTTGGAATTTGGATTGTATTGTGGTGAGAGAGGTAAGATTAGTTGACAAAGCGAGGTTTTTGTAGAAAATATCAATATACTTGTTTTTCTGGAATACTGGTAGCCAACTGTGACGATGAAAGGGTTTGGATTTGAGGCCTGATGCGCGAATATCGGAGTTCAGAATTGAAGATGGTGACGAAGGAAGGAAGGAAGGGGCTGAGGTTTCGGAACCAAGTATCGCAAACCTGGTCGGTTGGTCTTGCCAATTTAGCCAAGAAGAGCTTCATGCAGCAGCCAGCCTTATGAGATCAGCCGTACGTACCCTACGCCTCTTTTCGCGATTTTCGGTACATCTGGTGAGGCATCTGGTGAGGCTGCCTATTGTCTGAGGCTGAGGCTGAGTATAAATATTAACTAATAAACAATAAATCACTCAAAGAGACCCTTAAACTTACGGCCAGTGTGCAGCGAATCGTGACTCGGCATGATTCGCCCCGAATCAGATTCGAATCATGATCTGATTCGGGCTATTTCTCAATGATTCGAATCATGATTCGGCCAGTATTCGAATGATTCGAATACTTGCCAAGATACATAATATGTCCAAGCGTCTAGCGGTGAAGGCTTGTCGCCGTCCTCAATATATAGCTTTTTAGATTAACATTTAATACAATTAATACAATCATTGTTATTATGAGTGATTCCGAGCTGTCTGACGTTCCTGAGGATCTTGATGATTATGTCGTCGATGAAGATAACAGTAATGCGAGTGTATTCTCATCGTCTTCGCTGTCGTTACCACAAAGTAGTAATGATGGTATATTCTCATCGTCTTCGCTATCGTTACCACAAAGCAGTACTGCAATACTACAGCTACCAGCCACTCATTCTACTCTTTTTACGAAGAATCTATATTCTCGTACTATCTTAAGAGGCTCTCCTAATAAGATGCAGTATACCTGTACACAAGAGAACTGTTCATATATGCCTGAAGCTAAACCGGTATCACAAAATACGACAAGCAATTTATGGAGACATATTGAGCTAAAGCACCCAGCTATCTTCGAAGCTTCTTCAAAATCTACTCGAAAACTGAAGGATAAAGACGATATCCGCCCTCAGAATCGTGCGTCTATGTCTAGATTCTTCAGGCCAAATCCCCAGAGTACAACGACTCTAGTTTCAAGCACCAAATTCCGAGAATTGCTGCTTGCGTTCATCGTTACGAATAATCTACCTATGAGATTAGTGGATAAATTCTCATTCCGGCAGCTCGTACATCATCTTAATCCTTCAGTCCTAAGTATCTCTTCAACGTCTTTGAAAAGGGATCTACATAGGCAGTTTTGCCATCATCGAGGGCAGCTACAACTACAACTACAGAAGCATATTATAGCAGGTGGACGATTATCACTTACGACTGATGCTTGGACTGCTACGAATGGAACGGATCATGCTGCTATTACTGTACACTGGATATCAAAAGATTGGGTCCAACACTCAAGAATCCTCGATGTGATAAATCTACTTGAGCCTATTCATTCTGGCGAATACCTAGCTCAGCAATTACTCTCAGTTACAGATGATTTCAAAATTACACATGGAGTCTTTACAATTACAAGAGACAATGCATCAAATAATACAGTAATGCTCAACCAATACGAATTAAGAGCAGCAGATGTTCCGACGACGACGAATCAGCCATGGAGCTTTACAGTAAAAGATGGCGATGTACGATGTATGGCACATATCATAAATCTAGCTGTTCAAGCAGCTCTTACAACGATGAAAGCTGTACCATCAGAAGAGCTTGAGAGTTATCGAGTTCAAGAGGGTTTAGCTTATGCTCGGATCAATGCTATCTATTCTGAAAAAGAAGAAGTTGTTAGCGCTTTAACAAAGCTTCGTAAGCACATCTATGTGTTTAGAAATCGTCGAGGGTGGAAGGACAGTCTTCGTTCTCACGCCATTGCCACTGGAATCAAGCCTGTTACTCTTACGATTGATATGCCAGTAAGATGGAACTCAACGTATCATATGCTTCAAAATGCATTGTTAATGGAGGCACCAATTACAGCGCTTTGTGCGTCACAGACTCTTGATATAAGCATGCGGGATATCCAGATTAATTCGAAGGAATGGGAATTACTTCATGCTCTTACAGATTTCTTCGAGATTTTCAAGCGTATCTCAGAAAAGGTGCAAGCAGATGGGTATCCAACACTTAACTACTGTGTTCCATATTATCTACGACTAATGGATAAAATCAAGAAGATGAAGAAGACTGTGAAGCACATATCTATCGACGAAGCTTGTACTGCTGCGTTTAACAAATTAGACGACTATTTCTCACTTGCAACAAGCCAACGGTCAAGCCATTCAACAGTTGCAACAATATGCGATCCTCGGTTTAATTTTAGTATATTTGACTTCTATTTACCAGAAAGCTTTTATAACATAAGCAAAGAGCGAGCAAGAGCACAGTTTGCAGCTTGTTATAACAAGTATAAAGCACGGGACAATGACATTCGAGCAGAGGAAATGGATGCTATGCATAACGAGGATGAGAATATACCTCGAGAAGTAGACTCTGAGGATGAGATGTTTAAGCATCGAAAGCCTATACTTCAAGAAGTCGAATGGAGACGGTGGCTTAATGAGCCAGGAGTTGATAAGCCTGATACTAATGTTCTTAAATATTGGCAAGCAAAGCAGTATCAGTATCCAATAATTGCACAAATAGCTCGAGACTATTTGGCAATTCCAGCAACATCAGCAGCATCAGAACGAGTCTTTAGCCAAGGAGCTGACATTGTTACGAAGAAAAGGAATAGACTATTACCTTCAACAATCAGATACTTACTATGTCTACGGGATTGGGGGGTAATTGTCGATGATGAGGATGTCGAAGATATAAGTCAAGATATGGGTTAGGCATAGTTAAATATTTTTCGTAGTTTTCAATATTCCATACACTCTATTTCAGCCTCAAAGATTCGAATCATGACTCGAATCAGATTCGAGTCATGATTCGGCGAATACCTCAAAAATATGAATGATTCGGCGGATCGCCGAATAGTATTCGGGGGGTGATTCGCCGCACACTGCTTACGGCAGTGCACTGTTCATTCAACCTTCACTTCTATCATCCGATCAAAATCGCACGATATTCATCTACATCATGAGCCCTCACCCCAGCCAGACATCTTGTCTACATTGATGCGCTGCGCCATCTATCCAAAACCACATAATCTCTCATCTGACTGATCGATCAAAATGTCAGGCGGGTCTTTCGCCTTCTACCGTTTCTCTATTATATTATTGTTAGGCAACTTGGCCTGGACCACCAGATCCAACAGCCTGTTTGTATCCAAACATGCTACAGAGCTCATCGGACCTCAATTCAACTCCAATATTGGTCGTGGGGAGCAGACAATGTACATTGGGGTTGGTTCAAACTCCTCTCCAATTATTTAGCATATACTAACGCGTCAACAAGTTGACGATTTGCTTCTGGTATAATCTAGTTGCCTGGATCCTATCAATCCTTGACTCGTGCGTTGTACTCGTTTACATAGGTTTAATCGACCTGGGCATCGTCGCAGCTTTGATCCCCGCAGTCTACTGGCAAGGCACTTACATACCCCACTGGAAAAGCGTCTGTCAAAGTGCCGCTTCGTGGCAGGTGTCGAATGCCTCTGACAAATCTTGGTTCACTGTCCTAGCGAAGCTTCAGAAACCTGCCGACCCGGATCCAAAGGGTTGCTGTGAGAAATACGTGGAAACCTGGATATTTACTGTTGTTGTGATGTGAGTACTACTCACAGTACCCATATTATTTTATCTCAGCATCTGTGGAGAATTACCTTGCTGACCAAGTTTCATATATTGCAGAGTTCTATTCTCGATTTTTGGCATTTTAAACATTCGCTCTGGTACCAAAAACGATTTATTCACTTGGTGCAGACTTAAAAGACCATGGAGCACGGAAATGATACAGAGCAAATCTTTCTTGCGTACACTGCTCAAGTACCTGCTGCTGCCATTCTACATTATCTGGCACTTCTTCGTGTTTCCTAGAACGAGGGCAAAGTGGTATTTCTGGTATCGCTACTGTGTAAAGGTGATATACAGACACAGAGGGCGCCGCACACCATCGACCGCAAGTTTAATTCAGGACAACCCGCAATACGAGAAGAATACCATCTTCCGGGACAAACATTCGGATCGCCTATCTCGGCTGTTGATGCTCGACATCTCAACATTGGTTGCCTCCAACCTACATTATACCGATATCCAAAGTCTCAGTTTGACCTCGAGCCACATCCGGGAGACTCTCTTCCCAACTGGAAACATCAGACACCACACGGCACATTTTCGACTGAACAGTTGTAACCAGGCGGGGAAGACCAGATGCTGGCACTGCCAGCTACAGATATGTAATGTAAGATAGCGCTCCGTCCCGTACAGTTGTCGAGGATGGAATATCCATCTAACAGTTCCGCAGGGTTGTGGATATGAGCGCGAACTCCGTGACACACCGACGTCTCTTCATCTACACGCCTGCAAACCGCGCTGCACAATGTGCTACAAGGATACCATCTCCAAGTTTACTGGGCAGAGTAGCTGCAAATGCAGACCATACCTCACGAAACAAATGGTCTGCATAAACTGCTGTAAAATCCCTAATGAGGTGCTAGTCACTCATCGCAATGCTCGGGACCAAGCCAAGCTGGAACGGTCGCTGATGCGACCAGTACCTTGCTCACATTGTAGGGGCGATTTGGAAGCCGACGGGCCGCGGTGGTGGGTGTGCACTAAGTGCGAGAGAGAATGTGCAAATCACATCCATCCTGGTTGGGCTCCAAAGTCGCCGGTTTAGTTTTGAGATTCTGGAGTATGGCGCATTACACGAACACGGTGGTGGGTGTGCACCAGGTGCAAGAGAGAATGTGAAAACACCCATCCTGGTTATGCTCCAAAGTTGGCGGGTTAGTTTTGAGTTTCTGGAGCACGGCGCATTATTTTGATCAACAAACACGAACAGAAATGATAAGACGGAAGCATGACATCAAGATATTGATGAACCGGAGTTGTACGACACAGTCCCTTTTCAGGCGCGGCGTTGAGGTTAGACTTCAAATATCAGGGCTCGATGGGCTATGGAACATGCATCCGGCGTGAAATATGCACTTAATAAGTTAATGAGGTAGTTGCCAATTCTAATGATCAAACTATGGCATTTAATGATTTGGCAATTTGGTTCTTTGGTATATCTCCAGCGTTCAATCCAACGTGCCCTCCTGGTATCATATTCACCACAGCCTCAGCCATTGCCATGATCTTCCACCGCCCAACATTATAAGACGCTTAGTATTTATATCTAAATCCGCCCTTCGCTGCGTTGATCGGGACACCGTGTTGATCAACCTCTTCGCCTTCCGAAACAACTACTCCAACATCTGCAGCATCCATCTGTTTGTTCAATCGGATCAACATGAACCGTAGTCCTGTCGCCGTGAGGATGGACATGGCCGCCGTGATGCAGTTGACAATCATAGCAATGGTGAACTTGGGCTTGATGTACATGTAACTAGTGTATATCGAAGCGATGTTGCTGATGCAGTTTATGAATGCGAGTGCAGCAGCTCTCTTAGCCGCTGGGCGTGGCAACGTATTGCTGATCCAGCCAAGGGCGACGGTGTAGCCACAGTATAATCCGGGAATCATCAACATCATGGCCACGTATCGTGGGGCGGTAGAGGTGGTAGCGGCAGCGAGGATGAACGCGATGACGGCAACAGTAAGTGGTAGCACGATGTGATAGAACCTCTCTCCGGTGCGGTCGGCGTGCCATGCGTTGATGTAGGTGGTGATTACGCAGAGAACATAAGGGGGGACCGTGAGAAGTAGAGTCTGGACAGGAGTAAAGTTGAGCGACCCAACGACAGAGGGGAAGAAGCTCGTCACGGAGCCGGACGAGACGATGCCAAACAGAATGACCAGCTGTTGATTGTGTTAGCCACGAGACAGAATATTCCACAAAGAAGTCTGTGGTAGTAACAACTCACCAGAATCCAGGTCTTGATGTCGCTTAACGCAAGCTTGATACCATTCAAGAACGACTGGCTTTCGCTGTCGACCCAATCATCTTCACCGATATCTTCCTCCATTCTCCACGCAGCAAGCTGACGCTCTTCCTCGGATAGCCACATTGTTGTGCGGGGAAAGTTGGGTAGAATAAGGAAGGCAGCGGCGGCAATACCGATCGTGATTGTGCCCTCAATGATAAATAGCCAGCGCCAGGAACGGAGGCCGTGGAGATGGTCCATGTTTCCGACGATCCCAGCTGCCATCAGCCCCGAGAAGGCTCCACTGATGAGAGCCCCGGAATAAAGAATTGAATAACGGAAGCCGAGTTCCGCACGTGTATACCAACACGATAGGTAATAAAGACATCCAGGGAAGTATGCTGCTTCCACAAAGCCGAGCATGAACCTACAAGCCACCAGGCCCCCGAAGTTATGGCAGGCTGCTGTGGCGGTAGATATGACGCCCCAGACAACCATACATGACGGCAGGAAGACGGCAGGCTTTCCGATTTTGTTGAGATATAAATTGGATGGGATTTGCATCAGAACGTAGCCCACGAACAGAATACTAATACATGTCTAGGCAGACGTCAGCGGCAGCCCATACATGTGCGCATTGGAGCCAGGTCCAGTCGGAAAATCTTACGGCATACTCGTTGCCCTGTAGATTCAAATCCTCTTCAAGAGCTCCCAATCGAGCCGCTGCAATATTGTTGCGGTCCAGGTAGTTCATGATGTACATGAGGACAATCATTGGCATGAGTCTCAAATCGACCTTCCTCACGAGCGCCTTCTCTGCCGCCGCCCTCCGCTCTGGGGTCATGGCGGCCACCAGCGCCGGGGGAGCGATTGCCCGTCGAACACCCTCGGTAGGAACTTCTTGGACATAGGGAAGGGCCTGCTTGTCCGAGTCCAAATGCTCCACAGCACCCGCTTCATATTCTTCGTCGGATTTAGATTCAGTCTTTAGGTCGGCCTTGGAGTCGGCCCTGGCAGCGTTTGTGTTTGGAATATCCATTGCGACGAGGGGGGAGCCGACGTCTCGCGAGAATACCAAAAGCCTTTCTTGCACGAAGGTAAATTCAACAGCGTTGCGGGGTATTTAGAGGGCGTCTAAAGGAGGGCGGGCATCAGCGAATTCAAGGCGGCATTACGTTCTTATAGAGTACCAGGTGACGTTCAATCGACCAGGGTAGGAGGAGCTGCGAGAGCTCTCTCCTGCACGTCTCGCATATGGACAGAGGCCGGTGGTGCTTGCCTTCATGGTGCAACACTGACTAGGTCTGCACGTATTCATCAAAGATCATCGGTGAGAAGCTACTGCATTTGGCCAAGTGGTGGGAGGGAATGCTGGTCTGCAGAGTACCGGCCGGCGCTTTTCTGGATAAGAGTGTGGCCGAGGAAAATAAACTTCATGGAGGAGATGGAGGCGATGGAGGAGGAGAGTGGCCCCGTTTGGCGGGGATCAAACGGACATTTACACGGCAGTTTGTTTGTACTTCATTCGTAGTGTGGTGTGCATCTCGGTGAAGACCGAGCTTGGAGTGTTGTAGTACCGAGATATGTGCCATAGTAGCTGTGGAGTAGGCTGTCAAAAGTACGGCCGTGCCGTCAAGGATGCCGCTCCCAACCACATCGGACCTTGATGTGTGTACGAAAGTATGCGGGGTGCGGGGTAGAGGTTACGGGGAAGACGGGTCTGGGGATATTTGGCAAAATAGCCCAAAATACGGAGTAGACAAGGTCATCAAGGACATCAAAGAGTCAGAGTGAGTGGATGGGTTAAATTCCCCGGAGATCGGTTTTTGTAGCCCATCCAATCACGTGTCTGTACTGCCCCAAAGCCAGTCCACTGTCACCCTCAGCTAAATCCGCATGAGGCAAGTCGTTCATGATGATCGGCGTGTGGGATACCACGAAAATACCAATTGCCAACTACCAACTGCTACCCCAGATCCATAGAAAGTCGGGGACGCGCTCTGGCGTCACAAACAGAGATCCCCCCATGTTGCACCAGAAATAATCGCTCAACGAGCAGCATCACATGCTTCCCAAACTGCTGGGATTAATAATCTGCAGATGAGACCAAAGATATCATACATTGAAGTGCCACTTCCCCCGGTAATTTCATCATTATTCTCACATCGCTTCCACTGATAAGAAGCGGGACGGACCAGCACACGCTACCATCTCAATAGAACCAATAGCGCGGCCCATTTGAGCTCCCGTCTAGGTCTTGGCCGTCCCGAGTAAAAGGTTAGGCTTCCCGTGCTTCCCCTGTACTTGGCGTGTGTTGAACCGCATCCATTTCTTTGAAGTCTGCCTCCTGGCCGAATTGCTGGCGGCAATGGGCGCGCGACACTGGTGATCTCGTCGACGACACCTTCGCTGCAGGAAGGCGTTGTGAGGGAACCAGAGTATCTGAGACAGGTCAGCGTATGAACCTGGGTTGCAGGGTGGGAGTAGCAACAACATACCTCATAACAGGGTTGTTATCCAGATGGGCAATGGGAGATGCGAACGAGATATGTTCACTTGTGACGGTTGCAATCTGACCAAGTTCCGCGATATGCGATACGGGAGATAGGGCAGTGTCGAAAACCTGTGTGGTGTACGTATTGCCGAGGGAAGTGAGAAAAGCGATAGCTGCAACTGACAGGTCAGAAAATGCCGCGTCACTGATATCCTAGAGCAGATATGGAAGAGTGGGCTTACCTGCGGTATCGAAGTCAAACTGGCTCCCCACGGATGCGTATTCCCCGACAACTCTATTCTCGGTGAAGATGCCGAAGTCGAAGTGCCTCAAGGCATTGCTCTCTGTCGCCGTCCCAAGCCGCCCAAGGGCCAGCATGTCCAGCGTCGCTCCCACGTCCACAAATTCAGAGCCATCCATGTCTGGGATCAACTGCGACCATTGCAACGGCTCGATCGGCTCTGTGTATCCAAAGTGGGAGCCTTCTAAGCTGCCTTCGGCGCGGGGCAGAAGAGATGTGCCATATACACAGGAGGAAACAGGTTGACAGAATGTGGTGAACACGCCGAGCGTGCTGAGAACATTGGTCCGCATCGTTACGGTATGAAACGAGTGATTGCAACCGCAACGGAATGAGAAGGAGTGACAATATGAAAAACCGCAAATGCACAGTGAAGCCAAAATGCGCGACTTTGGATATCCAGTTTCTGGGTGTCTGGGACTCCCCTTATAACAAGCCAACCCCTCCCCCTCCTTGCGTAACTCACGATGATCATTTGGGGGTTAGCTAAGGGGGATGAGACAATTGCCTCCGACGCCAAGTTGATGCAGTGTAATATTGATCCGCCACGGCGATTTTGTGGCTAGTCGGTCATAAAAAGGGGTGGCCATCCCTTGCTTAGTTGGGCCACGACATTGATATAACAATTATGATAGAAGTGACCAACGCCGACAATGTTCTTTTACCCCGCGTTTTGTACCTCTGTTGCAATATCAGTACAAAAGGAATTATTCCGTGATTTAAAATAGATTTGATGCTGCGAGGGGGAGGAAGACTGGAAAGGCGTGATGTGAGATGTCTCAAAATTATTGGCCTAGATGGCAAACCTGTCAGTTATTTTCGAGGCGGACCCTCCCTTCCCTGCTATTTTCATCACGAGGTAACTCACACGTCTTATGAAGCGTCACACAAGATCGACAACAGAACAGGGCACCATCAAACTGGTACTCTCACTTCGAAATCACATTTCACAATATCATACTGCAAGATCTCTGCTCAACGCATCCATTCTATTATCTTTGACGACATCTGGCATTGTAGCTTTAAGCCAGCGAGCATAAAAGTCATGAAGTTCCTCATAAAAAAAGACCAGGCATTGCATCGAAAAAGCAACAAGATATATGCTTTTACTTTGCCAAACCAGATAGCCATCTGGGGCTTGACAACAAAAGAAAACGTGGCTGTCCATGACTGCAGTCAGATGCCAGAATCCCAAGTAAATGCAGATTGAACGCCGGCGGATTTTTTTGCACGCGCTGAAGAACAAGTATACAAAGAAGTCAATCCTCAATTCACTGCCACCCTTTCCAAATGCCCGGGGAAGTTAAGTCTTCTCGAAATGTAAGATCGGCCTTGATGTACATCCGCCGTGCCGACATACGAGGTCAGCTTAGTTCTGGTTCTCTGGGCACTGGGCCTGGACGTGTCCGGGCTGTCTGCACTTGTAGCAAGTGCGCTCAGCGGAGGTCTCGGATGGGCAGTCTCTGCTCAAGTGACCGGTCTGGCCACAGTTGTAGCACTTCTGGCCCTGGGTGCAGTCGCGCGACATGTGGCCGACGCCACCGCACGAGTAGCAGGTCTGCTGGCGTCCACCGTAACCGCCGGCACCGCCACCGTATCCACCGGCACCGCCACCGTAACCAGCGTTCTGGTAACCACCGGCACCAGCCTCAGGGCAGTTGCGGGCAATGTGTCCGACCTTGGAGCACTTGTAGCACTCCTGGCCAGCTCCACCTCCGAAACCGCGGCCGGCACCCATACCCTCAGCGGCGGGGTTGGCGCAGTCACGGCTGATGTGGCCGGGCTGGCCGCCTGCAAATGGTGTCAGCTGATGTGTGATGTATGGGGGGGTGTTATCAGGCAAAACTTACACTTGTAGCAGGTCTTGTCCTTTGGTCCCTCTGGGCACTCGCGGCTCATGTGTCCCTCACCTAGAATCTGGTAAGTGGGAGGTCAAGATGTTAGGTAGTTGGGTTTACAAACCACCACAGTTGTAGCTATCTCATCGTCAGTCACTCATTCTCGGCAGTTCACAGAATTCGAACATACCACTTGGCTGGACCGCGGGTTGGGCAGTCACGGGCCTGGTGAGACTGGTCACCGCCTATGGATATCAGTCAGTAGTGTTTCGTTTGGTGGGTACGTGTGTGTAGTATGAGGCTGCGTATATGAGGAGTCTTTCGCAGAACATTGGCGTAACAATCAAGAGTTGGGCATCGATCTAGCATTCTCCAGGGAACATCGGCGCCAGAATTAATCCGGGGCACAATGCGCCGTGAGGTTCAAATGACTTATAGATCATGTCGGCGCGTAACTCGAGCTGATTGAAGCATGTTCTTGGAAATTTGTGCGGGTGGCGAAAATCGAGTGGTATGTGAGGGGTAGGATGGAGAGGCGACGAGATGAATTGCACGTACAGTTGTAGCATCCACGCTGCTGCTGGGGGGCTTCTCCGTAGTTCATCTTGAATGATTTTGTTGGGTTGAGTTTCTAGAAAAGGAAAGTCAAGTCAGCGCGGGTTTCCGGGTGGGGAATTGTTGAGGTTGCAAGAGTTCAGAATGCCAAAGTGGCGGGGGCGGCAACGTGGAGATCGTCGTAACCCAGATCTGATTTGCAGCTCTTGCAGAGGGCGAGGAATGGATTGACATACGGTTTAGGAAGTTGTAGAGGTTGAAGAGACGAAAATATAATCGTCTGGGGGCGTTATGAAAGTTGTGTTTTGACAGAAGGTTGAAAAAGTTGAAGGTTCTTGTATTTTCTAAGAACGGCTGAGCAACGAGAAACCTGGGTTTTCTTTCGCAAAACCTCGCCAAACTCTTGAAATGCTCCCAGATCGATTTGTGGAAGGCGCTAGCAGGGAGAAGCGGCGAATGGAGGATTGTGATTGGCGGAGGGGAGAGTTTATGTGGGTGTCCAGGGCGGTGAGCTTAAATGGGGTTGGAGAAACAATTATCCGGGGAAGAAGTTGTACGGTACACAGCAAATATGATGTAGATAGATACAGTCCATACATACAGAACAAAGACAAATAATAAAGAGAAGGAAGGAAGAAATAAGGAAGAAACAAGGAAGAAACAAGAAAGAAAACTATATATACAATATGAATAAAATAATAAATAAGCACTGTTTGAGGCATAATAAATAAATGTGTGGTGAGTACTCTGGTGAGGGAAGGCTGCTTTCAGACGTAATGTGGTAGTAAATATAAGGGTACGTACCTCCGACTTGATAAAACTCGTGGCAAAGTGGAAGTGGAAGTGGACGTACCAAGTCATGGCGAGTGCACGGGCCATCACCATCACGTTATCCCCAGCCTCGTCGCGGTCGTTGCGGCGGTATCGCGGTATCGCGGTATCGCGGGCACAGGCACGCTGGGCCACACTGGCCACACAGGGCAGACAGACAGACAGGGCAGTCACAGTCAGCCAGAGTCACGGAAAGTCACAAATAATGGCAGGTCTCACCAGATAAACCACTCCAGCCATCCACTCCAAGTTTGACATCTGCATGTCGACACAACTCTTGGATTCTTAGAATACCAGGGGCCATGGACCAATGGAGCGAGGGGCGTCTCGCGCTGTTTAAAGCTCTGGGAGAGATTTGCGACCGCGTGGGTGACGATGATGCGAGAGGTTGGCCTCCCCAGTACAATACCAATCATAGAGGTCACAGCTGACAGTAATCCCCCGCAAAGACCTTGCGCAGTCCATAAAGAAGCCGAATGGCGCGACGTTTATTCAAGAGCTCCGAGAGCTGCAACAAAAGGCTCACATAGCCGATATTATCACAAAAGACAGCCATGCTGCCGAGATTCACCTGGCATTTAATGATCCGAAAGCATTCGTCACCCAGCTCCAGGAATTGAAGTGGAAGGCACAAATACTCGATACTTTACGCAATAACGACATCGATGCCGCTTCCACTGACGCCATCGCAGACCCAAAGGTGAAGGAGCTGGCCGTCCGTCTCGAAACCCTGCGAGAAAAAGCCCAGCTATACGACGACATAAATGGCACTTCAAAGCCAGACACCAGCGATATCCAAAGCCGACTCAACGACGCCTTGTCTGTTCGGAAAGAACTCATCTCTAGATTGCGACGGGTCCGGGAAAACAGGGCCCAGTGGGTGCAATATGCACATAGCCTCTCAAAACGGCTCGAGAAGAGGGAAGCAACGTTGGCAGAGCACGGCTTGCTCAATGGGGTTCCTTTTCAAAACAAGGACAGCGGATTGGAGCGTCCTACGGCCTCCGAACCAGAGCTTATAAAAAAGGAACCTGGAGCCCCCGACCCATCGCGGGTCACACCAGACCTTGCGCCCCCAAGGCTGAATCGTTCTCTGTGTCTGCCAGGACCCACGGATGATAATGATCTTGATGGGGACACCATGGTGGGAACACCAGGTGCAAAAACCCCGAAGCCAGTGGTGTTGCCCCATGCTCATGGTGAGCCACAAAGTGTTGTCAGGGCAGTACCGGAACGCGAGAAACCAACATCCACTCATACTGAACCGCGAAGTAGTTCTGCACAACTCGATCTGTTACAAACCGCTGCAGTTGCTGCAGATGAACCGCAACAACTGCCACGGCTTGCGCCCGTGCAGGAGGCCTCGTTGGAGCGCGATGCGACCGACAATAACCCTCCAGCCTCCTCACAGGAGCACCACACAAGTTCGACACAGGGCGAAGCGGATGATGTGGGACTTGACCTACCCGCTGGCCTTGGCAATCACCCCGCAGCAACACCATCTGCCAAATACCAAGGCGAACCGTCGTCGGATCCCCCTGTTGTTATATCAGCCAGGGCTGTACGGAAACGGAAGGCCCAGTCCTCGCCACAAAAGGTCAAGATCAAGACAGAGATCGAGCTCAGCAGCCCGGTCGCGTTCCTCGGTCTCAGTACCTTGGAACCACAAGAGAGCTTGGACCTCGACGAAATTGGCCAGAAAACTATTACGCCAAAGAAGAAACGGCGGGTCGACGATCCCGGGTTTGGTTTTTTGGGGGAGGATGACAATGATGCGGATTATTATCACTACAGGCATCCACCCGTATTCAATGACGCTGTAGTAAGGTCGCCCATTCTAGGAGAACCAACCACGCCGCATATGAACCCACGGCGAGATGCTCTGAGGATTGCTGCCTTGCAACCCAAAAGCTCAAATAAACCGATCCTTCGTCACGCCTCAGCCAAGTATACACCTGCTAAACGCCTCAGACATTCCGAGGCTCCAGGTGAAGTCCCCTTTGCAGAAGACGGCGAAAATGAATCTCGGATAGACGCAACGGCACAAAATCGCAAGCTTCAGGGGGCAAAGATTGATGCTTATCAGCGGTTGTCATCTCTGCTCAACACAACTTCGCCAAATAGTTCAGCATTTCAAACTCCCGGCAATATATCTAATAAGAGAACGCCACGCACGGCAGGGCCTAGTCATCGTTCCACCGCAGAACGTGACAAAAGAAGGGGGAGAAAGCGCATAGAAGCATTCCGGGATGCCTCCGAAGGTCCTGACGACGAACCTTTTCGGGCAAGGCCGCTCTGGCGATTAGGCCTCGAACATTTCAAGGTCAACCCAGATCACAATCAAGGATATGACTATGCCTTTCGAGATGTCGTGAGAGGACGAGAACAACGAAAATGCCTTCCCGGCTGCACAAACCCAGACTGTTGTGGCAATGGATTCAGGAAGTTGGCCGAACTTACGACGGGTCAAGCGAAGAACCAGTCTTCAGACATGGATACCGAAGACGAGCGTCTCCTAGAGGATTTCCTTGGTGGAAATATTCACAAGCTACAGGCTATGACTGCGGATGAAAGGCAGGAGACGCTCATCCAGGCCAAAGCACGAGATCTCGCGAATAAGCATGGCAAGCATCGGCATGCGTTTGAGAGACGTCAGAGTCCACCAGGGTTTTGGAGAGCCGACTTTCCCACAACGCAGGAAGTTCAGTCTGACCGTGCGGAGGCTGCAGATTTTGAGAGAGAATTGGTTCGAAAGAGATATGAAGAAGCCGTGCGCGGAGGAGGAAAGTGGATGTTTCGTGATGAATAAGCTTTGATATCCAGGCATGCGAGCCACAGTATAGACTAGAACTGCTACTACTATTATGTATTTGAACAGCATGTCAATAATACAATATTAATACCTTCCAAAATGCAATTATTCCTGTGTTCTGGACATTAAATTTGATTTTTGTTTTGTCTGCGATAATTCTCATCCAGGAGTCGTCAGCGAGCACGTGAAGTGTGGCTGTGAGATGGGACCCTCGTAATTGCTTATGTGTACCCACCAGAAACCACGCTAAGCCTGGAATTAACGGATGCCGTCAACGTCGCGCCCGGATGCAAGGGATTAAAGCAACAATCTTCGAACACAGTCCATAACCACTTCGAATTCGCATCCGCCCTACATTGATATCGATCGCGCAGTGCCGGCCGCACATCCCATCGATACCATGGCGGACACAGGACCAGAATTAGATCATGAGGACTCCATCTCCTCCCAAGACCCCCATAACAAGAAGACCAAGAAGATAAAGAACAGGAGACCAGCAAGTGCGTCTACGGATCCTCCGGCGATGAAATAATCGAAGATATAGGACTGCGCTAACCCAGGACAACAGATACTGCCTTCAGACAACAACGACTAAAGGCATGGCAGTAAGTCGAAGACCCTTATACGCCTCGACGACCCCTCGAGCTGATACGAGACCATAGGCCAATTCTCACACCGAAAACCGTACTACCTCTCTTCTTTGCCATTGGCATAATCTTTGCACCCATTGGCGGCGCGTTGTTGTACGCCAGCGCACAGGTATGCCCAGTTGACATCTTTCAGAGGGTTTATTGTCGCAAGATAAACTGACAAGATTCGATATAGGTCCAGGAGATCACCCTTGACTATACACACTGCTTCGACCAGGCGCCAAACACAACGAAGATTAATGAAGAAATGCCCAAGGGGCTGGCGACCTGGCATTTCCACGACATGGAGAACACCGCCCCGAAAGCGCTTTGGGCTAAGCAGACAATCTCTTACACCTTTCCGAATGGAGCCGTACTCGACAATGTCACGCAGTGCTCTCTCATCTTTGATATCCCCGCGCCGATGAATCCTCCGGTCCTCTTCTACTACCGTCTCACAGACTTCTACCAAAACCATCGACGTTACGTCAAGTCGTTCCAGTCGGATCAGTTGAAAGGGGACGCCGTTGACGCCGCCACCATCGAAGGGTCGCTCTGCGACCCCCTGCGTCTCGACCCACGCGGTCGTCCTTACTACCCCTGCGGGCTGATTGCCAACTCCATGTTCAACGATACATATACCTCACCTCTTCTCCAGAATGTACAAGACGGAAGCGGTGCGTCTAAAGTGTACCAGATGAAGAATAACAGTGGAATTGCTTGGGACAGTGACAAGAAGCTATATGGGAAGACGAAATACAAGTTAGACCAAATCGCAGTCCCACCGAACTGGGTGTTGAGATACGGAAACAGCTCGGACTATACGGACGCACATCCCCCACCAGATCTAGAGAACGATCAGGCATTTCAGGTGTGGATGCGCACGGCGGGTCTCCCGACATTCAGCAAGCTAGCCCAGAGAAATGACGATGACGTTATGACTACCGGACGATACCAGGTGGATATCAACCATTTCTTCCCAGCTGATATTTATGGCGGCACCAAAGCGATCATCATCTCCACGCGCACGGTTATTGGAGGCCGCAACCCCTACCTTGGTATCGCCTTTGTCGTTGTTGGCGGACTGTGCATCCTCCTGGGTGCCATTTTCACGGCCACTCATCTCATTAAGCCAAGGTACATCTCCATAACTCCTCTTATACGTGAGTCCAGATACTAATTGCAAGTAGAAAACTCGGCGACCACACATACCTCTCGTGGAACAACGACCAGCCCAGCACTGCGACGACGACAGGCCGTGAGGGCGGGCGTGAAGGGGCTTAAGTGGGTGGGTTAGTGCCAATTGTACATTATGATCATGATTCATCCTTTTCCTCATCGTTCGGCGCGGTTGGTCTGTTTCTGGGTTTTGGGTTTCGACAACATACGTGTTGGGGGATGAGATTACTTCCTAGTTGTTAAAATTAGTTATTCACTCGATGAGAATTTATAGATGCGCAAGACCATGTAGAAGGTGATCGATTGTTCATTTTCGCCCGTTATTATCCTATCTTACAAATTGCCTGTGCCGCTATGTGAGTCAAACGCCTTTCTCCGCCGACCATTCCGTAGCCCAGATAGATATCCGCCAATTTAGAATCAAGAGTAAACAGAGTCTTTTTGGTCCAGTGCCCGTGCTCAATGCTTCCTCTTCTTCTTCGGCGCATCATCCTCGCTGTGCCCGCCTTCTCTATCCTTCCTCTTCGCCTTCGCTTCCAGCTCATCCCAGTCATCGCCCTCTTCCTCATCACTTGCTTCGCTGCCATCTTCAGACGCCTCTGCACTGGCCTCTTCATCGAAGTCGCTATCATCCTCGGAGCTCTCCTCGCTGGCCGCAAGTTCAGAGTCAGACATCTCAAACGCAGACTCTTCAGATTCGTCATCCGCATCTTCCTCGTCCGATTCGGTGGCAAGGAAGGACCATCCACCGTCCGCAAAGAAGGCATGGGGATCTGCCGTCACGGTCTTCATGATGGTAGGCCAGTTCAAGTTGAGAGGGCCATCGCTGAAGGGGATGTTGACCGAATCGAGCCACTCCTTGACGTTTTCGAGTGACTCGACTGGGATTGTGTTGATGTGTGCTGGAGCCCGGTGGAAATCCTTGAAGACAAATACCATGTCGAAGTTCTTTAGGCCGAATTGGACACGTTCGAGATGCGCAATCTCAATATCATCCAGAGTAATGACCATAAAGGGCGGCTCAGTGAGCTGCACCAAACAGTCCGTAGACGGCTGGCAGAAAACGTTGGACCTGTATGGCACACCGTTGAATCCGAGCTCACGGAAGGGGATATCAACGTCGACATTTTCACTCTTCCCGGCATCAGCGATCTTCTGAGCGAAAAGCTGGAACTGGCGGTCAAGCTCAGCACGGCGGCGGCGCTCCTCTTGCTCGGCCTCGAATTCCTCCTCATCGCCATACCTGTACTTGCGCTTTCGGTTTCCAGTCTCATCGAATTGAATATCTGTAGCTTCACGGTAGAATTGAACATCCTTGGTCTTCTTCTTCCCAATGAGAATGGGGTCCTTGAGATGAACATGAATGATCACGATCAGTTCATGCTGGCAAGGCTGGAAGAAGAGATGCTTGACGTTGCTAAAAAGGATATCCACACGATGGGCGGGGTTGAGTGGCGACTGATAACGGAGACCGTTTTGATGAATCTCTACCTTTCCCGGCACGCGCTTTCCGTCCATTACTGGACGGATGAACACGTTGTCCATGACATTTGGTCGGCGATCTATTTCATGTTAGCATTGGCTCGCTGGACTGGGACCGATTTGACTTACTCCTGATCTCAACGAGTTTATCCTGCTCCACTACATCCTCCATCTCTTTCTTCTCCTGTTCACGCTTTGCTGCGTCTCGCTTCATGTTGCCAATTTGATTGGCAATATCTTGTAGGCGATCTCCATCGTGCGAGCGGAACGTGAGACTGCGAACAAAATGCGCCGAGGCATCCTCAAACGGTTGATCATCCTTCCTACCAACACCTTGGCCAGGCGAAAGGAAGTTCACTCGGAGGTATGAGAAGTCTCCCTCGTCGCTTTTGCTAGCGTTCTTGATCGTCTGGATGTGGAATGGCACAGGCCTTCCCATAATGGGGAGAACGACGGTTGAGTTCTTCTGATCCATGACTATTGCGAGATCGCGAACCTTTGGCGGGAACTGGTTGTCGCGCTTGTATGATTCAAAGCGCTTGAACTTCTTCACAGCAACGCCATTCTTGCTGTCAGTCGCCTCGGCATATCTTGCAAGGCCTTCTTCTTGCTTCTTTTGTGCCAGCTCTTTTTGATGCTCACGTCTTCGCGCCTCGGCGCCCTCATCTGCCTGTGTTGTTCGCTCGGCGCGAAGTTTGCTCTTGACAATGTTTGTGGTTGCCACAGCGCCAACCTTGGAGTCTTTCTTCTCCTTGGGTTTTGGTGCCGGCTCTGCTTCCTCGTCGTCTTTGAAGAAGAATGAAGTGGCGTCTAGATCTGACGGAGCATCGCCAGTGAAAACGACTGCGTCTGACGCTGCCACTCGGACAGTGTCCGAGAGAACCAAGGAGTAAACCTTGCTCTTCTTGTCCTGGGGAGACGGGTTTTCGATGTCGTTGAAGCCAGTGGTTACGCAGAGCGTCATGCCATCTTTCAGCGTACGGGTGCTCTTTCCATTGAGAAGTAGAGTCGAGTCCTTAGTCTCAATTCCAATACCCGCGCCCACGTTCCTGAGAAAGTTCTTCTCCAGCTCAGGTTTCTTCGCCCTGACTAACGACATCGCCTTGCTGTAAATCTCCTTGACCACTGCGCCATCGCGAGTTTCCTTGAGAACCAATGCATGGACGGCAAGGAGCAACTTGTAGTTGCTCTCCTGGGACTTATTTGGGTCCACAAGGTATGTGCGTGCAATCATGGAGCAGTAAGTTTTGTATCTAAGCCCAACAGTCGCAAGGATGACTCCAGCATGGAGATTCTCGTCGTCAGTCTGCGCTGACATCTTCAAGTCGAACTTTCCACCACTCTGGATAATCGGCCCATGTGTCCAATCAAGTTGTCCTGGCTCGAAGTCCGTTGGCATCTTCTGGTTGTTGGGCAATTGGACGGTGGTCCAGAACTTCGTATCGTCGATCTTGTTGTCAATCTTCGTCGCCAAGGTACTGTGCTTCACCTTCTTGTCCTCGTCCAGGATATTCGACATCTCTTCGACAAAGTATGGGTTCATCAAAGCAATGCAAGCCTTGGAAGCGTTTCTCATGGCGCGTAACTCGTTCTCGTCCTTGACTGCGAGGGCAGCCGCGGATATTGCAGGCGCCACATCCACCTCCTCCACATCCTTTGAAATATCGCCGTAGACCTTTTTCCATTCATCGATAAAGGGTCCGTTGGAGGTGTCCTTGGTAAGAACGCCGATTTTTTTCTGTGGTCGAATCGTCAGCAGCTGCATATTTGCCACAGTATCAGATTGAACTTACACCAGCAGATTTGATCACATCTGTGATCTTCTGGAAAAGCTTCTCGTTTTGGTCGGCATCCTTGCCTCGCACGAGGACCTCCAGGGGGATCTTGCCACCCTTCAAAGGCTCCAAATGCTTGGCTGGTACGTGTCAGCTTTGATGATCTCAAGGCAAATGTATGAATTGGAAGCTCACCTTTCTTTGCCGTCGTAACAACGTAGAGGGTGTCCACAGTGAAAAGGAACAGGGTTGCTGGGAACTCATATCCCAAAAGCCAGAACTAGATCGGTCAGCAAAGTTCTCGTCCAACAACGGTATTCTGATCGCTTACATGAATTGCGTTGTTTTTCTGAAATTGTGCGCTCTCCTCAGTCTTGCCCATGAGGATGAGCACACTCGAAGCACCGCCGAATACAGTGTCGCCAGAACGCTTGTCGGCCTTCCATGCTGAGAGGAAGTGGCCGAGTCGCTCCTGGAACAGCTGGCTGTCAATCTTAATCTCTGCCATGATGATGTCGAGCTTCAGCAGTGGCAGAGGAAGAAGTTGAAGATTAGTTAAAGAAAGTCGCGCGGTGGTGAGGCAGCTGTAAAGTGGTTTCGCGACGACGTGATGCGCTAAACCACGTTGGGGCGTGAGATTGAATGAGATCACGTGCACTTCACTTGGCCACATGCAGCCTGCATTTTAGCGTTTTAGCGGGGAGGAAGTTGAATTTGGAAGGAACATTTCTAAATTCTGGCGCTGTTTTTTTAGGTGGAGCGATAAGAGTCCGCAACAACTGCGAACTCCTCACCACCACGACTACTTTGGAGAGAATTCACTCTTGCCAGTGAACGAACGATGGCTCAAGGAGAGATCAAGTCGAAGCTGGGTTCGGCAAAGGGCAAAAAGCCAGGCGTCGACGCAAAGAAGGGTAAGCGCACAATTGCGCCCAAGCGGAAAGACCTCGTCAAGAATGCACGAATGATCAAGGTATGCGACGTGGTATCTCTACGGTGGTTTTCATAAACTAACTGGCGTAGAAACACTCGGGTGGTCTTACGGCCATGACTGAGAGAACGTTGGGCTCAAAGGCCGGACATTTGGAGCTCTTGAAGGGCGGGAAGAAGAACAAGGACATGAAGGCAGACGTGCCCAAGGGAGGGTCGAAGAAGTTTGGCTGAGCAGCTTTTCGGATTTGGTGTGCGCCATATCTGTGGCCATATCCCAATCACCGTCAGAATGGTATCACAGATAAGCCCCAAGAGAGAGGTCAAGAAGACTTGGTGATGAGAAAGCACAAGGCCCTGATAAACCGAGGCATCAAACCATCCGAAAGACTACAGAGCAACGGGGCTGTTACCGCCGAGAACCTATGCATAACGCCCACTGCGAGAGAATTGCAACCGAATCGAACAAAAAGTCGGGTCTACACAGCTCTCAGTCAGCTCGAGGGATTCGGTCCCGGGGTTCTCTGGTGCAAAATATAGTAGTTCGCATCCACATGGTGACGGAATTGGTCTCCATAATAGCCTACAATTTGATCTATAATCCTTCAATGCACACTATCCCAAGCGTTACAGGTTGCAAGCCGATGTGAATATGAGTATGAATATGTTATGTATTGGTGCTACTACTCTACGCGAACCGCGAAAACTGCGCTTGTTCCTGCCGTCGTTTTCGTAATCGTATTCTTAAACCCGAATTTAAATCCCCACGGCCCCATCCTCTCCTATGAATGTACTGCAAATATCCACATAGGAGAGCGAATTGCTACCGCCATGGTACTGTCTGGCTACATAACCCATAGTCTTCGATATATGCTGTGCACAAATATCTTGTCATAATCTTGGCTGTGGGCGTAAACGAAGCAAATCTGCCAATTAAATTGTCGACTCTTGGCTCGGATCCATTGTTTACGCGCTTGTCTCCCAGCACAAGGGGGCTGCACAAGTCGTGTCCACTTCCCCTACTTTTTTGTACATGTCAAGAACCCCCCTCCCTGAGGCTGTTTTGGCGACTCGTGGCTTTACTTAAGAAGCTTCATCACTCCTGCAGAGATGTCGTCTGGACGTTATTCACTACGGGCTACGCCTAAGTAAGTCCTCTGCGAGTGTTCACAATTCCACTGACACTTACTGACCACCGAGCAGAAAGACGAGCCACCCGGACTTCGTAGAGACTCCTGCTGCGCGTAGATCCAATCGCCGCAAGTCCCAATTCCCCGAGGACGAGGGCGAAGACTCTGCGTCTGCCACCGAAAGCACAAAACGCGAGAGCCTCGAGCCACGACGAACAACCCGAGGGAGCAGCATGGCGCGATCGGATTCTGGAGAGGTGTCGCCCGCCTTGCCCAATGGCAATGGCAACGCCAATGGCAATGGGCAGGTTACGAACCGTCGTGCTAAGGCTACGAATGGTTCTGCGACGAACGGCTCTGCGACGAATGGCTCCGCATCGAAAAGCATTGCCGACGCGTCGGAAAAGATTATGGCAGTCGAAGGGTGGCAACCAGGGTTGGACCCCAAGATTGACTATAGCGGCCATATGGAATTCGGGGGTTCGGTTGGCGTCACCGCCATGATGATTGGATTCCCGACCCTGATGTACTACATGTGGATTGGGGCAACATATTACGATGGAAAGTTCCCCACACCTGAGCCTGGCGAGAGCTTTGTCGATTTCGCAAAGCACATGGGCAATTTGGTGTACGAAGGCGCGTTTCCGTCGCTGAAGGCCTGGACCATGTACTGGGTGTTCTTCGTCGCAGAGGGAGCTTGCTACTGCTTGCTTCCAGGTGTTTACGGTTACGGCAAGCCTCTACCTCACGCTGGCGGAAAGCAGTTGAAATATTACTGCTCAGCAGTGGCTTCGCTCTACACCACAGCCATTGTTATGGCTGGCCTCCACTTCTCTGGTATCTTCCCACTTTACACTATTCTTGACGAGTTCGGACCACTCATGTCGGTGGGAATCTTGACCGGATTTCTCGTCTCGATTGTTGCCTATGTCTCGGCACTGCTCCGCGGCGCCCAGCACAGGATGACGGGTTACCCCCTCTACGACTTCTTCATGGGTGCTGAGCTCAACCCCAGAATGTTTGGGATTCTCGACTTCAAGATGTTCTTCGAGGTCAGGATCCCCTGGTACTTCCTCCTGCTCCTGTCATCTGCTACTGCCGCAAGGCAGTACGAGAACTACGGCTATGTCTCCGGCGAGGTGTGCTTCCTTATCATGGCCCACTACCTGTACGCAAATGCATGCTCCAAGGGCGAGGAGCTGATCATCAGCACCTGGGACATGTACTTCGAGAAGTGGGGCTTCATGCTCATCTTCTGGAACTTGGCAGGCGTGCCCATGACTTACTGTCACTGCATCCTGTACCTTGCAAACCACCACCCTGACACCTACCGCTGGAACCGATACGCGCTTGGTGCCCTGTTCGTCACATACCTCTTCGTCTACTGGGTTTGGGACACGACCAACAGCCAAAAGAACCGTTTCCGTGCCGAGGAGACTGGAAAGCAGGTCATCCGCAAGGCATTCCCACAGCTCCCATGGCAGGCGGTCAAGAACCCAAGGGTGATCAGGACAAAGGATGGCCACAGCATCCTGGCTGACGGCTGGTATGGCAAGGCACGCAAGATCCACTACACCTGCGACTTGTTCTTTGCTCTATCGTGGGGCTTGATCACTGGCTTCAGCAGCCCGTTCCCGTGGTTTTACCCGGTCTTCTTCGCAGGCATGATATCGCACCGAGCATTGAGAGATATTCAGAAGTGCAGAGCAAAGTATGGGGATGCGTGGTTGGAGTATGAGAAACTTGTTCCCTATCTTTTCATTCCGGTAAGCAATGTTCACTTTGTCCCCCAATGCAGTTCTGATTCTAACTTGTTGCAGTATGTCATTTAAACTATTCTGGCCTCGCTGGCTGTATTATTATTGCCTTCTACGGGGAGATAAATACAAGTTTAATGGGGTGATAATAGTTGATTAGTTGTACATATAATGCTGTGCCTGTAGAAGTAGCACAGGTAAATATAATTACATTAAAACATAATAATGCAGAGAAACGAAGTATAACTGCTGTCCAAGAATTCTCTCAGTCGGTCAGTTTATATGAATTTTGTGATGGACAAATGAATATCTCCATATTATTTGATTTAATAAGTATTATGGAACCAAACACCTTATTGCTTCTCGTGAAAACATATAATAAAGTTCAACCGATAAGCCACATCAAGAAGAAAACAACTCATACTGCCAATAAATGTGTTATAATTGCCTTTCTTAAGTAGAGATGCTATTTCCATATCCCTTTTCCCGTTGAAGAAACTATTGATCCACAAAATGCCTGCGCCACAGTTCGAGTTTGGTGAGCCACAGTTTGTCCTGTCCTCCTGTCCTGGACCCTTGAAAGGTACGGGGTGACTTTGCTCATTTCTGTCACCGTGATAGGCAACTCGATTCCCCTCCTTGTTCTCATGGCCCATGGCCTCTGCGTGCATGAATTCTAGTTTAGAATAATATTAAAATCCTGACATTAATCATTCACGGGACGCGACTAAATTAGAGTAACGCGCACGTCGCTGCCATCAACAAAAACAAAACCTCAAAACCATTGCTTGACGTCGCCCTGAGTTAGTTTGCAAACAGAAATCGTTAGTCGCGTCTTCTTCGGACTGTTTATCTGATGAGCACAGGCATTAGAGATTCCATCAGTGGGGCAAACACCTGACATTTATCCCAATACCGCCGTGGCTATCTGATCGCCCCTGTGACGACGACGACGTCGCGCTGAACCACAGTATTCTGGTGAAGGGCCATATCAGATGATTCTGCGATACACTTGTCACATATCGATTCCAAAGCTCCAGTATACATAGAGCTCGGGTGTTCCTGGTGACGTCAAATCCGGAGAGCCGCAACGGCCACATAGCAACCGGCCTACTGCGTGAAGAACCTCACGATGGCGCCTGCTGGAGGCGGAGGTGGAGGTGGGAATATCAAAGTCGTGGTTCGAGTGAGGCCCTTTAATGGACGAGGTAAGTTTTCATGCTTTCCAAGCTATTATAACTCGTTGGGATGTGGCTGCAGATTCAACAGTCAGATTGGCATGGACGTTCCTGGACTGACTTTCACCGCGCATAGAAATCGACAGGAACGCACGATGTATCGTGCAGATGAAAGGGAACCAGACGATCCTTGTTCAACCTGACGCTGACGACAAACGTGGGGGTGGGAAAGGGGCTAAAGATGCGAACCAGAAGACGTTTGCCTTCGATAAATCATACTGGTCATTCGACAAGTCGGACTCGAACTACGCGGGACAGGATAACCTTCACGATGATCTTGGTCGGCCACTACTCGACAATGCTTTCCAGGGCTACAACAATTGTATTTTCGCCTATGGGCAGACTGGATCCGGAAAGTCATACTCCATGATGGGATATGGGAAGGAAGCTGGAGTGATACCCAAGATTTGCGCCGACATGTTTGAGCGGATAGACGTTGTGCAGAAGAACGATCCGAATGTGAAATGCACAGTCGAAGTCTCGTACCTCGAAATCTACAATGAACGGGTCCGCGACCTGCTCAACCCGTCCACGAAAGGAAACCTCAAGGTCCGCGAGCATCCATCGACTGGACCGTACGTGGAGGATTTGGCAAAGCTCGTCGTGTCTAGCTTCAGCGAAATCGAGAATCTCATGGACGAGGGTAATAAGGCCAGAACCGTCGCTGCGACAAACATGAACGAGACGAGTAGTCGAAGTCACGCCGTTTTCACGCTGACCCTCACCCAAAAACGACATGACGTTGAGATGAAGATGTCGACCGAAAAGGCAGCCAAGATCAGCTTGGTAGATCTTGCTGGCTCCGAGCGCGCAAACTCCACGGGAGCAACAGGCGCGAGGCTGAAGGAAGGTGCGGAGATCAACAGGTCCCTTTCCACGCTGGGAAGAGTTATTTCCGCGCTCGCAGATTTGTCCAGCGGCAAAAAGAAGAAGGGCCCTGCGTCCTCTCAAGTTCCGTACAGAGACAGTGTCTTGACATGGCTGTTGAAGGATTCGCTGGGAGGAAACAGCATGACGGCCATGATTGCTGCGATCAGCCCGGCAGATATCAATTTCGACGAGACTCTCAGTACGCTGAGATATGCCGATAGCGCCAAGAGGATCAAGAACCACGCGGTTGTGAACGAGGATGCGAATGCCAGGATGATCCGAGAACTGAGGGAGGAGCTTGCAACATTAAGAGGCAAGCTTGTTGGTGGAGGATCGAGTGGGCCCAGTGAAGACCAGTACGCCGAGGGAACTCCGTTGGAAAAACAGATCGTCAGCATCACACAGCCAGATGGTACTATAAAGAGAGTTTCAAAGGCGGAGATTACTGAACAACTGAGCCAGAGCGAGAAGCTCTACTCGGACCTCAACCAGACTTGGGAAGAGAAGCTGCAGAAAACGGAGGAGATCCACAAAGAGAGAGAAGCTGCGCTCGAAGAATTGGGAATCAGCATCGAGAAAGGATTTGTTGGGCTGCATACACCAAAGAAGATGCCTCATATTGTCAATCTCTCGGATGACCCTCTACTCACAGAGTGCCTCATTTATAATCTCAAGCCGGGAACGACCACCGTAGGAAACGTGGCGACGAATGCTCCAACGACTTCTGAAATTCGATTGAATGGAAGCCGAATCATGCATGAGCATTGCGCGTTCGAGAATGTCGACGGAATTGTCACAATCGTGCCGAGAGAGGGCGCGGCAGTCATGGTGAACGGAAAGCGAATCACCGAGCCACAAAGGCTGAGAAGTGGCTATCGAATTATTCTTGGCGACTTTCATATTTTCCGATTCAATCATCCCATGGAGGCGCGAGCGGAGAGGGCAGAGCGAACAGAGAAGAGCTTGCTGAGACACTCTGTAACGGTCAGCCAGCTTCAGGGCATTGAGAACTTCTCGCCGTCTCCGAGTCCAAGACCCGAACACCATCGGAATTATAGTAAGGCCGACTCGGACTTTGATTGGGATAGCAGCAGGCCTGATTCTCCTATGCCGACGAGGGGCCGCGATTCTGACTGGTCGTTTGCGCGGAGGGAGGCTGCTGGAGCTATACTTGGGCCCGACCAGAAAATCGCAGGCTTGACGGATGAGGAGCTTAATGTTCTGTTTGAGGATGTGCAGCGTGCTCGCGCAGAGCGCCAGAACCGCGATGCCGACGACGACCTGGAGTCGACAACATCGTACCCAATCAGGGAAAAGTACCTGTCCAATGGCACCATTGATAACTTCTCTCTCGACACTGCCATAACCATGCCGTCCACTCCGAGGCAGGGTGAGGTGGAAGACAAACTACAAGTTCTGCGTGAGGAAATGCAAGGTCAGCTTGAAAAGCAAAAGACAGACTACCAAGAACAGTTGAAGGCTGCCCAGGCTGATAATGTCGAGGTCGAGGAGATAAAGAAGGAGAAGGAAAGGATGGAAGAAAGCCTCAGGGAGGTTAAGGAGGAGATGATGAAGCAGCTTGTAGTTCAGAGACAAGAGTTTGAACAACGCATCCAAGAACTGTCGCCGGCATTGCCAGAGGCGGATACGTTTGATGATCTGAACGCGGAAGAGATTGAGATTGCTCGGAAGGCAACAGAGCACTGGCGGAAGCGACGATATGTCCGGATGGCTGAATGCATTCTTCAATCTGCCGCGATTCTGAAAGAGGCGCAGGCGCTGAGCCAGGAGATGGACGAGAGCGTCGTCTTTCAGTTTGTGATTCTGGATACTGGCCATGCTTTGTGCTCATCGTACGACATGGTTCTCATCGGAATCCCCGGGGAAGGTGATGATTCTGCCCTTGAGGACGCAGAAAGGCCATGCGTGGCGGTGAGAGTTCTCGATTATAAATCGGGCGTCGCCCACCACTGGAGTTTGGAGAAGCTGAAGGAGAGAGTCAAGGTCATGCGACAACTCCACCAATATATGGACAGGCCGGAGTATATGAAGCATTTCAAACTCGAAAACCCGTTCGTCGAGACCTGCATGCCCCGATACACACTCGTCGGCGACGTTAGCGTTCCGTTGGCAGCTGTCTTTGAAAGCCGCGTCCAGGACTTTACCCTCGATGTCAGGTCGCCTTATACGTCAGACTCCATTGGTCTGGTCAAGCTTTCCCTTGAACCCTCGTCAGCCAGGGCCCCTACGAATACTTTAAAATTCAACGTCGTCATGCATGAACTGATTGGATTCCCAGAAGACGAGGGCACAGAAGTACATGCTCAGTTGTTCATCCCTGGAATATCCGAAGAGGGAGGCGCCACCACCACCGCGATGATTAGCGGCTTCGAAGAGGGGTCGGTCAGGTTTGACAGTGTTCACAGCATGAGCATTCCTCTGTTCGGCCCCAAGACTATATCTTTGAGCGTTTCTATATTCGCAAAGGTATCATCAATGCATCTTGACAAGCTACTCAGCTGGGATGATCTCCGAGACCACGTCTCAACCCAGCAGAAACAACGAACGGCTCGAATTGCTGAAAGCCATTTTTATGCAGAAGAAAAACACGACGTCTTTGCTCGGGTTCAATTGCTCGAATTATCGGAAAATGGCGACTATCTCCCGGTCGAGGTCTTACAGGCCAATGATATGGACAAAGGGACGTTTCAACTACACCAAGGGCTGCAGCGACGCATCGTTGTGAATTTGACACACAGCTGTGGGTCATCTCTACCATGGAAAGACAGCTCCAGACTTCGCATTGGTGGCATCCAATTACTCGACCATCTTGGAAAGGTTGTTGATATGAACTCGTCGACGCCAGAGATTGAATTGAAACTTGTCATGGATCCAATTATGAGGGCGAATTCCAACGGAAGCATGAGCGTTGCTCTGGTCGGGCAATGGGACTCAAGCTTGCACAACTCACTGCTCCTTGACCGAATGACGGCCGACAAGTACAAGGTGCAGATGAAGATTCTTTGGGATGTGACGTCTGACAGCCTTGGGGAGCCGATGACATTCTCGTTGAACGTCGCCTCACAAGTTTTATCGCGCTCATACGTCCGCAACCAGTCCATGTTTGCTGCCTTGTGGCAGAGCGCTCGCATTGTCCATTCGACATCTGCCATTTTCTCGATATGCATACGGCCTATGCCGGTTAAGAAGGTTGGAGATCTGTGGCGGATGAACACACAGCACGACTATGTCAAGGGCGAAGAGAACCTCACTGGCTGGACACCAAGAGGAGTATCGCTTGTCCACGACTTCATCAACTCTAGAAGACGGAGAGAGCGCTCAGCTGAGATCGAGGCAGCAAAGGCGTTTTATAGCGCCGAGGAGTTGAAGGTTGAGAAGAAGGCCGACGAGGAAGAGGAAGCCCCGCCGAACGAGGAGCTCATTCGCAAGGTTTTGAATCTCTGGACGATCTCGACTGGTCCGATTGAGAACTTATTGCGAAACGCAAACATCGAACCTCCGACCGATGGACCTGCTGAACCGGGTCCTGACAACGCCGTCCGTTTGACAGCGAGCGTGGCTCTAATTCAGAGATCGGCTCAGCTCCTCAAAGGAGGATACCTACTCGTGCCATCGCTTGACAGCAGCAAATGGGTACGACGCTTTGTGGAACTGCGACGGCCATATCTCCACATCCACTCCATACCCGAGGGAGAGGAAATCGGAATCGTGAACTTGCGGAACAGTCGCGTAGACCACCAGCCGCAAATCGCGAAGCTTCTGCGCCAGGACGGCAAGGGGAGGGACAGGAAGGAGACGGTATTCGCGATCTACGGCACCGACAACACATGGCTCTTCGCCGCGCGGAGCGAACGCGAGAAGGTCGACTGGATTTTCAAGATCGATCAGGCGTACTTTGGCAGCGGTAATGGGAGCGCCGACGAGGATGTCGACGCGGAATCGTGAATTTGCCTACGACGATAATGAGGGACGCATTAGATGGTTTGATTCGAGACGAGAAGCATGATACCCGATCTACTTAGAAGTAGTATATGTAGATATGATGTATAGTTAGGTTATTATTAAATACTTTGTTTTGTTAATTAATTAATTAGAATAAGAGTATATCGCATTCCCTCGGTGTTACTCCTCTTACTTTACCTATAACGTACATGCATAGCAAATGATACAACATATCACGACCATGCCACAAGAATTATAATAAAGCTATTATAGCGCTTAATTTTAAAGACTTCTATAAAAGATTGATGTTTTAATTATCATATGTAATTCGTGGGTTATTATGGCGTTCTCGGCTTAAATCTTACGTGGCTCTTACTTATGGGCGTTTATTGTAGCTCCCCTTTTAGAAAGGGGCAGAGTTCAGTCTGAATACGACGCGTTGTGACACACTACTCATACTCATTACATTAGTAGGTAGAACTGGATCTCTTTTCTTTACTTTTCCTATTTAAATATAGTCTAGTAAAGTTACTCTACACATCTCCTTATGTTAACCTTGAGGTATTTCTTTATAATTTACTAGATAAAAATACGAGCTCTTAAATAGCTCCTCCTATTTAGATAGCATTACCAATGACCTAGAGTGTTATGTTAGCTAGTTGCTGCATTAAGAAACCAGGCAAAATATAAAACCTACATGAATTATGTCGTTACTAGCGTGACTCTCCTCCGATATCTTCCCAAATTCCCCCGACTCGCCCATGTCCTCAACATGCACATGCTGAAGCTTAATGCTATTGTCGGTTATGATGTCAAGGTCCCTCACCTGTCTGAACCCTGTTGTGTCGGTATAGTGCGGGCTGTGAGATGCAGCTGTGATATGAGTTGTTGGATGTCGGGGGCGAAGTGTAAACAGAGTGGGTACGTTAGCAACAATGGCGGCAGCAAACATCTCGACTGTTCCCAATGTCGTACGATTGGCTTCATGAGTACGGGAATGGTTGTAGTTTCTGTCATAATTTATGGGGAGGCGAACGAAGCCAATGGCGAGGAGCGTGAAGCCAATGGAGAACAAGCCCACGAGTGAAAGGCGTCTAGAGGGATTAATATGCGAGACAGAAGTGATGAATGGGGACCCAGTAGGCGTACTGTTTTAGAGGCCTCTTCATCCTGAAGAGGTAAGGCATAGGAAGACCGATGAGCATTGCATCAGTGACCATATTAAGTGAAACAAATACAATTAATTGAATGGCACCTGCAGCGCACTGTCCTAGTGCCCAAGTTAACATTCTCTCCATGCGTCCACGAAGCCTATCCATACCTGGATCTGGCACCACTTGCCAATATAAATGAAACGGCGTACATTCCACGAACGTCCATATTTGCACTACCACATAACTGACGGCTAGGAAACCCCAGTAGAAGTTTATTATGAGGCGAGGCCATATGAGGCACCCTAACATCCGCTGATATAGGATCAAGACAACGGACTTTTGGATCCAAAAACTAGCAAAGACAAGGTTAACATGACGAGCATAAGAAGCGGATACCGACAGGACTTGCTATGTGCTATGGAAAACCCTGTCGCAGAGGGTCACTTTGCTTCCAATCTCCCGCTGGTAGATTTCGGTGGCATCGAACAGCTTCGAAGCTCGATAGGCAGAAGTTAAATTGTTGTTTCCCCATAGCACAATGACGGTGGCGAAACTGCAGCGAGCAGCTAAGCAAGCTATAGCTCCCATGGTGAGGTAGTCGCTAATGTCAAACCGCTGCCCTCTCACTTTTCGCATCGCAAGTCGAGTTACCATGATGAGAGCGCTCGCGAAACCAAGCACACCTAGGATTATCATGCTCTTCTTTTTTTCGTAGTCCATTGCGATACGTACGCACCTGCAGGTATGCAGGGCGGGTTATGCCATGCCACAAGGCCAGACGCTAAAAAGTGCATAAGGGCACAATGGAAGGAGAGCAGAGAGGGAGGAGGATGAGAAGAGAGAAGGATAAGAAAGAAGGGGGTTGAAGGGTATAAAGGTGGGTCCATGCAATCCATTTTCAGAGAGTCGTAGTTGGTATATGTCCAACCACACGAAATCGTTGCGACCAAACTTTCGCTCCGCTTGAGCGGAGCGAAAAGTTGGTTACGACAATAATTGCGCAGAGAGAGAAGGCGGTGCAGAGGGGTCGATGCTTAGCTAGGCTACATTTGCGCCACATGGCGTTTTTAATATCAGAGACCCAGGCATCTACGACGGTCATTGCCACCAGATGCTACGAAGTGGTTCGAAGTGGCTGCGGAGGCATTCGCAGGGAAGTTTGATTACTGAAGTAATGGTGTCTTCTAACAAAGATGCTGGTGGTAGCTTCTTAGTTCATCCGCCGCGGAGAAATCTAATTAGGGATTACCGTACTATATGACAGTGGTTGATTTAGAAGAGCATGGTCACGCCTCCGAGAATTTCCGCTAAAGCCAACAGTGTCCATTCCTTCCTTGCCACTAACTTGGATGTGTTCATGGTTCATTCGCGGAGAAGTCGGAGAAGTCCAACAGTGGCGGATATTCACTAACCAGATTGTTTGCGGGACGAACGACAATCCGTCAAATGTCAAATAGGGCCGATCTAGCGTGGTGCGGGGAACAGCCTTCATCCATTGAAAGATCTCTCAGCGGCAACTACCGCACAGTGAGGGAAAGATAGAGTACAGTACTGTAGATAAATACCCCGCATGGCAACACGGCCTACGTCACGCTAAATCCCTAGAAACAAGCCCCTAGGTAGCCACTAGCGAACGCCTCAGTAGCGTGTCTGCCAGTCAATTTGCCTCTACCTCCACCTCTACCACGACCCGCTCCCCCCGCAGCATACAACAACCAACCATTATGAAGCTCCTCCACGCTCTTACTCAGCACTAGACATGCAGAACAGTTTAGGGCCAATTTCGAACCTTCTAGGCTGGTTCCTTACATGAAGTAGGAATAAAAGACGCAGATCGGCACTGATGCCTGCAAACGCGTCTCCATAGGATCATGTTCGGCAATTATTCGTGTTGCAGAGTACAGAAAACTACGATTTCTTCAGCCTTAACAGGTGGACAGAAAGGAGTCTTAACAACTAATTAATACGCGGCCTAATATCACGTTATTTATAAGCAGAATGTTGTTTACAGTCGCTCAATGTCATACATCAGCCATGGCTAGGGACGAGGAAACGATTAGAAGGTTGTTCAGATGAGATGGGATCAAGATCGACCCGTGTTGGCGCCTCAACATCGCTGGCGGCATCTGCTTAGGCTTAGCTCGTCATGCAGCCCCACACCAACATGTACCATACGCGGCACTAGTGATCTACGACAATGGAAAGCTTTAGCAGTAGAAGAAGCCTTGCACTAATGTGAGTAAAGCTTATGTCGGTGGCGCGACGTACAAACGCAAACCCTAGTCAAAAAGCATTTGAGAGCGGAAGATAACGGGTTCAGGGTCCTAGTAGAATATCGGGACTTAGTGTAACGAGACTCTCCTGAACACCTGAGCGTGTGCAGCTCCCCCTAACACGGAGCGAAACCCAACTCTAGCGTTAAGGAGAAGAAATGGGATCCTGAATCTCTATTCTAGACGCGTAATTGGTTCTAAATCGTGGATTATGGTGCGACAATTCTCGGAACATATCAAAGCATTAGTCTTGACATGGACTGATGCTGGGGACAACCTTCTGTTGGTGCCGACTCTACCTCTACGCTCCGCATGGCATCATTGCAAACTCGAGACTTAGGTCAACCCCGCATTCTCCACAATCGTCGTGTAGAGTAACGGCCTCGAAAAGATAAGTAGTCGCGATTTCCCTTCTGTAAACTTCTTCTTTGCAAGGCATTCAATCTTCTTAGTTGCTCCTTCGGAAGCATCATTACTGTGAGCGAACGCTCTTGCAAGACACGTGCAATCATCACTAAAGGCGATGTACGTGACCCATCTCCCTCCATCCTCCAGTCCTCTTCGCCAACAGGCAAAGGGCCCACCTCAATCTTTTGGCTGCAACCCTTCTAACAAGTGCTAATAGATCTCAGTTGATACGAAGTTTGAGAAGATAAAAATCAATCATGGCAGACAACCCCAATATAGGCGATGGCGGGATCCACGAATCTCATAGCCCGACTGAGATGACGGCCGGGGAGTATATACACACCCGCTTTACGACGCTCGTCCCCCCCATGAACAGGGTCCCCAATCCATTCCGGCTTCTGGGAATGGTGAGCGGAAAGCAGTGGCTTTTCTTCTTAGTCGGATTCACCGCATGGGTATGGTTCTTGTCCATAATGATATTTTTGAACCCGCGATTTCTAATGTCCCGCCGCAGACTTGGGATTCCTTCGACTACTTTACTGTCAGTATGACGATTCCCGATCTTGCCAAAACATTTGGCAAGAACACTACGGACATCTCCTGGGGCCTCACAGTTACGTTGATGTTCCGATCTGTGGGTTCTACTATCTTTGGTATTGCTGCAGATCGATATGGTCGCAAATGGCCGTTTGTTGTTAATAACATCCTCTTTATCGTGCTTGAACTTGCCACCGGGTTTTGCCAGACCTACAAACAATTCCTTGCCTGCAGATCACTGTATGGGATCGCAATGGGTGGTCTATATGGAAACGCAGCAGCAACAGCTCTAGAAGACTGTCCAGAGGAAGTCCGCGGTATATTATCTGGTATGCTGCAACAAGGCTGGGCGTTTGGATACCTTCTCGCCGCAGCCTTTGCTAGAGGTCTGGTTAACACCACGAGCCACGGATGGCGTCCACTCTACTGGTTTGGTGCCTGCCCTCCAGTTCTAATCATCATTTTCCGACTTTGCCTACCGGAGACCGATGCATACAGAGAACGTGAGATGGTACGAAAGGAGCGTGGTAACATTGGAGGGACGTTCATTGCCGAAGGGAAAGTTGCCTTAAAGAAACATTGGTTGATATTGATATACTTGGTGCTTCTCATGGCTGGCATGAACTTTATGGTAAGAATATTCCCAGAAGTAAGATTTGGATATTATTAACGGTTTGTCAAGTCCCACGGCTCCCAAGATCTCTATACGGTCCTGCTAAAAAACCAATATGGGTTCAGCGCCGACGCCGTCACGATAATACAAGTAGTTGCAAATCTAGGGGCAATGGCTGGCGGGACTGTCGTCGGATACTGCTCTCAGATTTTTGGACGAAGATTCTCAATCATTGTCATCAGCATAATTGGAGGCGCTCTTCTCTATCCTTACACCTTTACGTCGAGCAAGGCAGTTATCGCTGCTGCCTTCTTCGAACAATTCTGTGTACAAGGTGCCTGGGGAGTTATTCCAATCCATCTAATGGAACTTTCACCTGGCTCTTTCCGTACCTTCGTCGTGGGGACATCGTACCAGCTGGGCAACCTCGCGTCGTCTGCCTCAGCTACTATCGAATCTACTATCGGGTCTCGCTTCCCACTCCCTTCAGTAGAGGGTAAAGCTAGATACGAATATGGTCTCGTTATGTGCATTTTTATGGGCTGCGTCTACGCTTATGTTATTGTGCTGACATACATCGGTCCTGAGTACCTAGGGAGGAGCTTTGAGGTCAGAGACGATTCGGATCTCTCTGAGGCTACTGGCGCGAGCACTATTGAAGCTGCACTGGCCAAGATGCATCACAGAGACGAAATCGAAGAGGCCGTTACTGTCGGCGATACGGAGGATGCTGATGCCAACGAGAAAAGAGCTATCAGTGCTACGCACATAGCTTAGTAATAGGCCCCTACAAATGGGCACAGTCACGGGGCATCCCTCTTGAGCAGCCAGAGCTTGAACCGTGGACTTCAGAGGCGTCGCGATAAACTAGGGGCAGATGCCGCTACGATGCAGAGTTGTAGCCGCATTGTGCGTGGACATTCCATCGAGTAAGGAATTGCAGAATTAGAGAATTTGGCGATGACAGATTAATCCTTGGTTTTGGCGATTATTTCGTACCTGCGATAGTTTTAGCAACTTCACAATCTAAACCCATACTTCTAACCCCGTTTTTTCTTACTATAAAGGACTGTGATACGTTCCAATCGACATCATCGTTATGTTGACCAACTCTACTTCTGATATCGTGCCATATTGCCGCAGGACTTTGCGAGCCTTCTACTAGACGTCTCTTAGTTCTGTTGTGGGATATTTGAACAGCCGATGCTACAGCTACAGTTTGGTTATCTGCGACTTGCGCACCTTTACTTATTCCCCGCTTTAATGTGTGGGGTATACAATATGTGGGGTATACAATATGTGGGGTATACAATATGTGGGGTATACAATATGTGGGGTATACAATATGTGGGGTATACACGAAAATACGCAGGTCAAAGAGGATGCTGCGCATGGCAAATAGTTAATATCGAGTTGTCTCTGGAGGCTGTTAGATATAGGCTGAAGTGGCTCTAAACGGAGAGGGGAGACATACATTGAGCCTTGTAAAAATTTCGCTTTCTACAGCAATCCCCAGCCGCCAAACAGCGATGAGGGCCCTGTGAAAACGATAAAGGGCCTGTATTATTCAGCAGTCATACTTCGTGGGGAAAATGTAGATACAGTAGAACCACCGCCGTTATAACGATGACGTATTAGCCGATATCGTTATAATTTCAAGGCCACGCTGGCTATTTATTGGTCAATTTAATGGTTATGTAATCAAATATGCTCTCATAAACCGATATTATCGTTATAACGATACAAGTGTCTGGTCAAAATTACATTGTTATAACAGGGGTTCTACTGTAGTGATGGTCTAAAAAAGGCATCGCGGGTTTCGCCGTAGCTGGCGCGGCAGATTGTTAGGGGAAACCGACCGCCCATGGAATACGGCGGTGGGCTTTTGTGCCCAAAATGACCAGGTATTTTTCGTGGGGACCGTCCGGCTCCCCAACTCGTCAGAGTATTGGACTGGAATTCCGCCCAATGTCTCACTTTCAGCTGGGCTGAGGAACGCCCAATTCCTCAGGGTTTTGGTGTTTCCCCCAGGCCTACCAATACTGTACGTAGGCCCGTAGATTAGTTAGTATTTCAATTGATTATATGATTCTATTTTACAGTATTTACTGTGAAGCCTCTGTTCTGCTGCCCGAAGTAAGGATTCCGGCTACCGGAGACACCATACGATTTGTGTGTGGTCCCCGTATTCCGGTATTCTTTTCAACACAGATATTGGAGACATCGTTGCCCCTTAACTCCCGGGTATTACAGAGACTGTACCAACCTGTGCTCCGCTCACTACCACGTTTCTCTCCCGCAATATGATAGGGGTTGTAAGTTGCCATATCCGGTCTACCATTTGTCCGTAACAAAGCCAATCAAAGCGTTAAAAGTGTTGACACCGCTTCCTCTCCTTGTGGCTTAGCACACGGAGGAAGGGCAAGGGTAACTGTTGACGAACGTGCCCGCCACCAAAACTTGTCTCTCATACGGTGAGTAAGCAACGATACCTTTTGTTGATCATATGGTTGCCTACGTACTCTATTGTATGTACTGAAAATGGGGTTCTTTTCTAATATTGGAAATGATCTTGCGGCGAGTTAAAGAATAAGCTGCTTTTGAAACGGGGCATGGGTGGAGAGAAAATAAGCACTTGGGTGCATACTTGTACATTCATCCGTTGACTACCTATTAGCCAAGGATCTATACGACTGATCGACGCAAGCTCCTGGAAGGATTATTCGGTATTATAACAGGGTATGCAGTGCTAACCGCGCCCCACCAAGACCACCGTTGGTCGTGCATTAAATTTTAGTTCGGTAGTTGTTCACCTGTCATACGATCGTATAATGCCTTGTAATATAAGGATGACCAAATAAAGTAGTAGTCTCTGACAAGGAAAGTTTTACCACCTGCAGTAGTTGCTTGTCACACAACGGTAAATGAAGGGGAGATAGTTGAACTCTGAGATACTTGATTGGGGTGACTAGGGCTGATATATAGAGAGAGTCCTTGCGCATGTGCGTGAAGACAAGTCAATCCACATTTCTAGTCTGCTACCTCTAATGGCTCCGGTAACTAAATCCCAATGGGCATGATAACCCCACCAAAGATTATAGGTGGATAATTTACGACGTTTGTGCTACATGTACTGTTGCGAAAGACAAGACTGATGGGTCAAAAACGAGGGCATCGCTGGCTCGGGAGATATTGGGTGGAAAAATCTCCGAACCCCTATTCTCCCCGCGCGCGAGTACGGTTCCTCCGCGGAATCAAACACTCCGCGTAAAATGTGCCCTTACTACTTATAGCGCAATGCCAACAGGGTAGGGGTTGCCAACCCGTTGCCGCCTCTGAACCCTGCCTTGCGTACCCGCAGTGCCAAGGTTCAAACGGCTCGTAACGTTTGTGATCGACGGTACGGTTGATTAGCAAAGGTAGCGACTGTTGTTGATTGTATAGGTTGTTTGCATAGCTCATCTTATACGGCACTGGCTGTGGTAAAGAAGAGTTTCATTTGAGGTATTAAAAGTGACCTTGCAACCAATTATTGAGCTACCGGAAGAGTTACCTTTGAATCATAGGCACTGATTGACGCAATCCTTGACGAAAGAAAAACAAGCTCAATGTAGGGCAGGGCGATCTTTCACCTTGTCTATCATTTAAAGCGTTGTATATTCCCACCCCCACCCCGCCTGACAAACAAACTCACTCTAACAAGGATAACTCTAGCCAATTATACACTTCAGTTCATCGCCCACGCAGGATACCCCGCTTCCCGAGAACTGGGCACTAGAAATGGCTAGAGACCCAAAAATGCATGTCAGCCTCAGATAGGAGAGAAGTATATATACTCGATAATAAACGTTGGGCTTTGAAGGATTACTGTATAAAAAGCAAACTTCTGCAGAGATTTATTGATTGTGCTTTGAAGCGGTTCTCCAGATCAAATGTGGGCTTCTGGCATCTGCGGTATTCCTGCTCGAAGGAATGCAGCTGTGATCATTGATTATTGCTGATATTGTTATGCTTATAGATGGATCCAGACTACAACGTTGCAGCCCTTGCCCAGATATTGGAGGTTGTTTCTCCGTCTCATATCATCAATTCAGAGGTTCAGAATTGTCCTTTGCTCCAATGGACTTAGCATCATAACTAATCACTTAGTAGTTGTCATTATCTTCTTTTCATAGTTTTGTGACCCGATGCACGGATTCGGAGCGCCAGCTTCTACTTCTACCAATAAGTGACGAGAACCCGGACAATGCTCAAAGAATTGGAGATTCGAAGAGAAGTAGGAACATCTTCTTCCCCATATTTTTTTTTTGCCCTGCAAGCTATATCATACACTTCTATGGGTATCTATGGTCTAAAGGATACGAAAGATTACTTGCTGACATGGCATAATATCAGAATCACTTACGCCTTCACTTACCAATCCTGAGTCGGGAGACTCACAATATCACACACCAAATACCCAAACCCCATCATTTATGCCGTCACTCGACGCTTGCCCGACAATGACATCGACGATATTTGGCTCGTTGGCCGTGTCTTCAGTTGATCCACTGAATGTGTTTTCAGAAGCTCAAGCTTTCTTTGAAACGAGGCTTGGTCCTAGAAAGGGCCATGCGAAGAATCTAGTTCGAGCATTCCGCGGCTTCCTAGAATCTATAGACCTAGACCCTGAAGATTACCGGAATATCTGGTCTGCTAGATCAGAGATTTTTTTAGGTTCTGGGGTAGGCCCCATTGCCCGCTTTCATCGATTATACGACGGTCTTGTTAGAATCAAACGCGGTCGCGAAGACTACGACTGTGCGAGCCGTCTCTGGCACATCTTTTTAGAGCATGACTTGGAGCAGCTGGTCAGGTCGGGGTCATTTAAGATGTCCCGTGGCCGAGGCAAAAAGACGGCTGCTTTATGTGCGCAAGCCGAAAGCATATCTTCAACTGTGGCTTCCGTGAAGGCAGATCGGAAGACTGGTCGATGTTACCTCCAGCTTTTAAGACTGTCAAGTCCTGGATTATTACTCCTTATTGGCAGCCACGTAAACACAGTGTGAGTTAGCCCAGCATCTATTTAGCACCGATAATAACTAGAACTACGCAGATGGGAGAGGAAACTTAGCAAAGAAGATATCCCACTTCTACTACACTATCTGAGAGTAAAGCAACCGGAAGTGATGGAGAAGGCTCGAATGCTGGACAAAATAGCTGCACGGCTCATTGTTGATGGTTTTATTGCCTATGGCTGGACATATTCCGAACTCAATGATACTCGGGCCAAACTGCTCGACCAGTTGAGATTATACATCAACCTCCCATGGCTATCGCAACGTGAGGAGGAGAAAGAATTTGCAGCATATGATATTACGTCTCTGGCACCATCCACATCGAATAACGTTATTCATGACGAAGTGGCTAACAGTGAGGGAAGATTTTGGGACGACGACAATGCCAATCTCGGTGAGGATCAACCCCGTCCACATTTACCTTCATTACCTCAACTAACCCCGAGTAGCAGATGAAATGATACACACTCCGCAGTTACAAAGACAGAGGTCAAGTGATTTGGACATCTCGTTATCCTACACAATTGATGGTGCACTAAGCCTCGGGTTACCGCTGGATTACGACATGTCTTGCGATTCGGACGTCTCGTCATACTACACAATTGATGGTGCACTAGGGAACAACTTCATGCACACTTATCCACCTGGAAATGGGGGTGCAGAGTTAATTAATTCACATTCAAATTCCCAGCAATTTTTTTAGCAGTAGGGTTTCTCAACAGTTCCGCACTTCGGTTTGATTATTAGATTTTTAGATTTCGAGTTTTGGGGACATAGTTGGGTCGCTTAGCGCAGACTCGAAGTGTGCGGGATAGTGAAAACGGTTAATACCAGCATTGCCATCCAGATTATCGAAAATATCAGAAATGCCACCTGTGATTATGAGAATATGTGAAATTTTACTTGCCCGCTACATATGTAATACTAATGTGATAATTACTGTCAAAGTTCTACACCAATAGCCCTATACTCGTCGCTATCCTGTTTATTAATTTAAAACTTGTCAATTTGTTGCCCATCGTTGTTACCATCTGTAAGCCATCAACCTAGCCTAACTGCAGATGCTGGTTGCTTGTAAATCTCTGTTTAGATCTGATCATTACGTGTCCTACGTGTAGCGTGTTGCATAACTTCTTAACACATAGCTTATATCCGTAATACGGGCGGCATTTACGACAAATGGTGACTCGTGCAACTCGGTAACTAATACATTATGCTATTGGAGTTTTTATCTGGGGCCGTCGGGGGACCACACGTAAGGGCTTCCTAGGACGACTAGAGTTATATTTTCAAAACATTCGGAATATTATGAGGATGCATATCATATTGAGGAAATATGGCCCTGGCCATACTATAACGGAAAAAGATATCACATTTTTGGTCTGTATCGATAATTTTTCAGAATCATGCCTTATTTCATTGTACTAGATATTTATGGTGGTGAAATTGATAAGGATTTAGGGATGGAACTTTGACTGTTGAAATGCTGCGTTCCTTAGCCATCACTTGCCCTCCTCCAAACACTATTTCACCACATCAACCCTCAATACGTCTCAATCCTCAAGACTAAGAAGGCAACCACCATATACAATATCGTCGGCCTTCGTAGGGCAGTTCAAGCAGGCACCGATAAACTGCTCGCCAGAGATCGTCGGTGCCAAAGAGTGCTCGCAGCCAAATACTTTGATGCAAGCGAAAGTGAAGAGCTTTGCGCCATCGGCAATGGTAGGCGTACGTCCAGGAGGAAAGAGGTCGAAGTCACATTCGAGAACGCCTCCGAGCGCGTTCGCGCCAGTGAGGGCCATTGCGACGAAGCTGAGGTATTTGGCGAAATGCATTTTAGGTTAAGTGCTACAACAGTTAGTAAGATGGTATACCGGAGGGGCGCTGCAAGTAATCGGTAGAACTTACAATTAAATGTTGTTGGCTTAGACTATTCGATCCGATCTGGTTGTTCACTGCTGTTGATGATAGAAAAGCTTCAATATCGGAAGGGAGGGCTTCAATTTATAACAATATGCGGTTGGTTCGAAGTGAAAGGTTGAGGTCCAGAAACTAAATCGCCAAGAGATGCTGCAGTAGCTTGAGGCTCTACAGGTGTTCCAAAGAGTTACTAATTATCAAATAGTACATATTTTTAGTCTTTTACAGGGTAATTACCCCTTCGGCGTTGTTACGCAGCTAAATAGGGTATAAGGTAGTTGTGGGGTGTGGGGTTTCGAGTGGCATTTTGCACCTTGAAATGTTTAGGGTCACTGTAGTGTTTGTGCTGTTCTGTCGTCTGGCTGGTACAAACTGACCCCACCAACTACTTGCGATTGTTTCCTAGTGTCAGCATGATCAGTTCGTACCAGACAAAAGAATTCAAACATTTATGGACATAAAATCTAATGCACTGGACTCACTCGTACTCAGAACCGCATTCAACTTAACTTATTTGCCGTCGCTGTCTATACAGCCTTTGAGGTACAGCCGCACCCAAACTGCCGCCCAAATCGCAAAAGCAATTGCGTCGTCTAGACGCATGTACTACAATTTCGCCTGAGTGGTAGAAATCCCCTGCGCATCACATCCTGCTGCTCCCCTGTAGCTAACAATTTAACTCTCAGTCACTTCACAAAACGTATGAGGCTAGCTTCTATCTAATTTCATACTGTGTTCCTCGAAGAGCTCTGCGAGGAAACTTCGAGTATAACTAGATAAGACTAAATGTTCTAACCGCGCCTAATAAAGCACCTGACCAGAATTTCAACGGCGCAGTCATAAACTAGTTACAACTACAAGGCTTGTTTCTTCTCTTTCTAGGCTGCTTAAAAGATAAACTTTTAGTGGATTTTTTTTAAAATGTACGCATGTTACCCGGCTACTGTAGTTGTATAGCAGAGATCTGGAAATTTTGAACATTGTACGTGAAAAGTAGTTGTTTAGGAATGTACTAGTAGCTCAAACATTTGCTCTGTAGCGACTGTAGTACACAAGTGGAAAACATCCTCTAATAACCCTTCTCGTAATAGCCAGCCCGTTCCCTGTCCTTCAATAACCCTTGTTGTAACAGCCTGCCCATTCCCTGTTCATTTTCCAAGGCAGGATATAAGGTTGACATACCATATTCCTGTCGAAGCTGTAATGCAAGCTGCTAGAGCGGGAATCCCTGCCAGTGGGACAGAAACTGCAGGTGGTCCAAATTTAAGAGAGCAGGCGGCGATCCCAGAAGCTAAGAAAACATTTGCGCCAATCGCACAACTTTCGCAGGTCGAATCAGTGCACTTCTTGGATGTCCCCCAAGGGAGGGATGAGATGTGAACTTCGTTGACATGTTTTGGCAGTGAATTAGCAAAGAGCTGAGCTTCGTGCAACGTGGTGAATGTTGGTGCAGTCTCCCGCTTGAATATTGAACCAACTTTGCTGAAGAGTTCAGATTGGCCGAGTTCAGTAAGCATATCTGCAAGCTCAAGCGGGGGGGTTTCGCCAGCTGGTATATTCAACAGTGGGATGTCGAAGGTTGAAGCAAGAGCTCCAGTCGCGAAGAGTGCAGTTATAAAAGCTAGCTTCATCGTGGCGAAATTTATCTGTCTGCAGTCAGTCCTGTTAAGATAATGCTTTAGAAACTTCAAGAAATGAAAAATACGTACTTAGGGTTTGGAGATGAACAGCTGAGGTCTCTAACATACATGCGTTTTCGAGGGTAAGCTAGGTTATAGATTGCCTCAAAATGCTTTGCAGTAATGAAATTCAAGCTTCATAGTCACCTATGGGAGACTTTATACTTTTTATTACGAAAGTACAAACGCGAGGCTTACACAATAAAACGAAACATAGCCCTAACTAAGATCATTTAGTAAGAGCACCGTTTTTTCCCGAGAACTGATGTGAAGCATTCGGCTTAGAGTTCAGTCAAGGGTAAATCGAGGGGCACAGTGTACCCTCAAATGAACAGACAGAAGTGTTTACGGTGCGGTTAAATCCGAATCGGTTCTAGAATAACTCGAGGACGGACCCAAACGTTGCATACATTTCTCATTAGTTTGGAGAATCGCGAAATTGCGAATAATGTATCTATTTGTGCGTTGATTCGTGCCACTGCGAGGGAAGTGGTAGGAAACATGTAGTCATGAAACTCACGTTGGCAGCTCTTTCACTGCTGAACCTTGCCATCCATATTGGTACAACTCGTTTGCTAGAGTAAATAATACCCCTCTACCATACATGGAGACATATAAAGAGAGTTTTCCCATCTCTTCTCGATCTTACGTCTATGCACGCTATTCGGCACTGAACGATACACCACGCAGCACACAACCAAGTGCAAAAGTTTTACAATTACAATAATCGCCAATTCACTTCTACGTCCCAATCTCGTCACAATGAAGACCATCGTTTTTATACTTAGCGGGCTCATCTTCGGCCTGACCTCTGCGCTCCCTCCGGCTGTCGATGTTAGAGATAGCATTGACCCTTCATCTGCTGCTTATCACCTCACTCGCGACGCGTCGCCGGTACCACAGGACAACCTCCCTCTCGAGTGGCATAGCCTTGCTGAGCGCAGTACGCCCCCAAAGTTTAGTACTGTTCATCAATACATCGCTTTTGCAGAACAAGAAAAGAAGAAATACCCATCAGAGTGCTCCGAGACGAGCAGCCCCGAGGACTGCCAACTTTGTATTGGCGCCATTCTAGCCGCGTGGGTTAGTGCGTTATATCTCTGTGCTAGTCAAGTCGCTGCAGGCCCAGTTGGTACAGCCACTGGGCTAGTTTGTGCAGCCTCCGCTACTTCTTTATACTGGATTGGTCGGATTAAATGTCTCGGAGTTTAGAAACCTAGCTCTTTATATAGAGCTAAAGGTGTTATTTATGTAGATGTTAGAGAGTTGAATAGGGACGATGGAACTAAGTTAGAGGAATAATTAAAATTTTGTTTTGTTTTTATATGTACTGTTAGCTTTATAGACATGCAAAATCTATATAAAATAGTAATAATGAGTCTTTAACATGTCTAGAGATTCTTATAGGATAACCCTTACTATCCCAACTAGTTATTAGTACCCCTAACACTGTAACACTATAGCTATAGTTAATGCGCCATGGCAGCAGCACCCACTCTTGCACAATGCAAAATGGCTCTCAAGCTAACTCCGCCTCAATCAAACTCTCAGCAACTCCTGGATACGTATAAATATGTATAATATTCAACCCAGCCTTCGCTAGAATGACCCTCCATTCCGTCTCTGTTCTTTCCCTCACAGAAAAATGATCCAGCATCATCATATCCATACTCGTCGCGGCGATCGTCGGCTTCTCCTCACTGACCACAATTTCGTTCAGCAATACTCTTGAATAACCCTTCTTCAGCGCTGGTACCAGGATTTCCAATATCTTCACACCTTCATCATCACCCCAGTCGTGGAGAATAGAATGCAGAGAGTATGCGCGCGCCCCTTTGATGGGCTGCGGCGTGAAAAAGCCGTGGACCTGCGCTTCGAAGAGTCGTTCCTTGCCACTGGCCAAGACACCAGCAATGACGGGCTCTCGATCCTGGAGTATGATCCTTCCCATACGAGATACATGCTGCGCAGCAAAGGCAGCAACATTATGACCCCTTCCACCACCCACGTCTACAAGCAGAACGTCGCTAGAGCTTCCATCGAAACCAGAGATCATACGTTCGGATACGGGATAAAAGCCAGGATCATACCAATTCGCCTTGCCCACACGATACGCACTCATAAACGAGTCGAAATGCTGGAGATGCGGCAGCGTCGCGACCAGCCATTCGAAGAACGGGAGCTGAGTCTTGTGTGCGTCTTGAAAGAGGCCTTCGAGGCTCCCTAACGAATGGGATCGGTATTGAGTTTTCTTGAAAAACTCGGGGAAGCCGTTGAATGAGGGTCTTGCTGCGTCGTAGCAGAAGGAGATGCTGTGTTGGTAGTTTTCCTCCGCATGGCCATTGCTTAGTGTTGTGGCGTGGAAGGCTCCATCGTGATAAGTGATGAGATACATTGCCACGAGATGTCTCGTTAGACGTTCCAGTAGAGCGACATCGACGCCCGTTTTTTCAGACAAAGCTGAAGCACTAAGGCCGGCGCCACCCGCTTCTTTCAGGTGCTGGAAAAGCTTGACGTCTACAGCAATACGAATGTTGGCTGACATAGCGGGCTATTGTATATCATTAGCAATATTGTTGCGAGAGAGTACTCTATATGAATTCGCTCGGGATCTCCAGCGCGGCGACCAGTGAGTGACTGTACTCGATAAGAGCTTCTCTTGAGCCAGCTTCATTTTCCCCGAATGACCTTCCTGCGGCGGTAATGCCGTCTAGAATTGAGGATACCGATGAAGAAGCCATCATTGTTTGATATCTCTAATAACGGGAATGCGAGAGGAGACATGGCTAGAAGTATATCTGACCAGCAGAGTCTTCAGAAGCGACCGATGAAGTCGGTTAAGACATTATGCCTATCATTGTGCTAATAACGCATGAATAACGATGCCTCTTTGGTTTCAATTTCCCTTCATTTTCTGTGGACGACGTGAACCCGGAAGTGTTCGGTTGCGGGAATAATGATCCTTCGGCCGGAGTAGCTTCTTTAAGTTGAGTTGCAAGGTTATAGGGTACGTCATCTCTACGAGCAATCATGCTGACATGCTGGCTTGGATCACCGCTAAATCTGGACTATGTTTGACAAATTAATTCACGATAGATAGTAGTAGGCGAAGGATGAAATGATGGCGGCGAGGAGTTGGACAAGCTTCATTTGTTATGTGGGCCATTCATCTCGCGACTGCGGATATAAAATCATCTGACGAAGATCTATCGACAAACATAGCTATTGTGCTAAAGTATCTTGAAGATAGTCTACAATGCCTACTTTGATGGTCCGTAAGTCGACGCCCAGGCATCGTAGTCCTCCGACAACATGAGCTCCTGCATGTGTCGGCGTCTGATCCCAACATTGCCGCCATCAAAGATTGGCAGCACCATAGCATTGTTGAGCAGGTCAGCAAATGGCCTGTCAGCGTCATAAGCATTCCTAAAATGGGACGTTAGTGATCTGAAGAACTGAGAAGGGAAGAGCACATACACTCCAACGACATTAATTGCCTCAATACAGGCCTTCACCGCTGCATCTGAGCAGTAAATCTTTGCCGAGAGAGCCAGCTCTCGTCGGGCATTGTAATCACCAGGGCCATTTTGGATGCTGTTTGCGGCCTTCCAGGTAAGGGCGCGGCACGCCTCTGTCTGCATCTTGATGTTGATCATCAAGTCTGCGACGGCTTGTCTCTGCAACAGAGGAACGGCGCCTCTGCGGTTGTCTCCCTTTGCGAACTCTAACGCGGCGTCAAATGCGGCACGCATGATACCAACACCCATAGCACCGACAAGAACCGCAGAAAGATCGAAACTGCCCAAGACGATAGGTGCAGCCGTGCCTGCGGCGCAGAGGACGTTCTTGGCTGGAACGCGCATGTTGGTATACTTGATGTGGGGTCCGGAACAGGCCGTGTGCCCGGCAGTGGAGACATGGCGGAGAACACTGAAGGCACCTGGGTCATTGCGCTTTACATCTTCAGTGGTGACCATGATGATCATAAGCGCATCGGCGGGTTCATCGGAGCTCGGCTTAGTTGCACGACACACCACACACTGGAGATCGGCTCCTTTAAAGTCCCAGCCAGCACTGTTGGTGGCCCAGAGCTGTCTCAATTAGCACTTTGAATTGTATGGCAAGGGTACAAGTCACGATAATGCCTGGGAAACGAAGTTCAGATGAAACGAAGCATTACCTTCTCACCATTAATGACCCATTCATCCCCAACTTGTTCTGCAGTCGTGTTCAGTCCTGGGGCGCCCTTCTCAAGAAAGTTGGCGACACCACCTGGCTCAGAGAACACCAAGCTTGCCAATGGGGCGCCCTCTCCGCTGAGGAAAGGCGCCAGGAACTCCTTGTGCTCTGGCTTTCCTGTCAACACCAACGGCGTCAAGCCAAGTCCCGTTGCGAAAATTGTTAGCGATGCCGCCGGCTCAACAGCATACATCTCCTCGACAAGTATCGCAGCCTCGACAAGGCTTCCGCCCGTCCCGCCAAGCTGGGCAGGCACCTGGCCTTTGATGAGCCCGCCTTGAACGGCTTTTTCATAGATTGGCTTTGTGGACTGGAAGCGCTGGTGGTGCTCAGCGAACTTCATGTAGTCCTTTTTGGCATCCTTGAGAACGGTTGCCGCGAAACCGGCAGCGGCATTGCGAATGCCTGCTTCGCTAGGGGAGAGCTGGAAGTCGACCGGCATATTGATTTGCTTGTGAGATGCAGTGGAAGGATTCCGGGATCGGAATCGGGTACTTTGGTAATAATGGGGGGTGTAATGGGTGAATATGGTTGCGCAAGATAAGCAAATATTCTCTCGTGTTCCCAGTTAGCCGTGTCCATCAATTTATATAGCACGGCAGGATTCCACCTACCCTGTGAAGTCACATACGACAGGGCATTTAGAGGCACTAGCCTTTAGCCAGGTATATATCCGGGAATTACTCTATTGGAGGCAATGGAGACAATAAATGGACCCCGCTACAGGAGGTCAGACACCTATAGAAAGCCCTGGTAGGGGGATAGGAAGATACCGAGACTGGCAACATGGTAAGCACGCCGCTGAGCACGTTGCAAGGGCCACGACGGCGGCGGCACTAGCGCGAGTCCGCGTCGCTCGCTCATACTCATACGACTCCACTAGGGCACAGGAATGAGTGTCTCAGTCAGTCCAGCAACCGAGCTCGGTGTCGGCCGGGAGCTCCCTCCCTTGACAGGTCCCCGGCTGGTTCCCCGTTTATTCCTAGTAAAGAAATTTTAATGCGGTTCGCCAGCACTCATTTTCTGTGTTTGGCCACGGCCCGCAGTAGCGTCGTTTCAAGCGTTCCCGTCCTATGGCTTATCCACGGCAGCTAAGTAGCATGGCTTGTCCAACAGCGGTAGTGATAAACCATAAGGTTGGGGGGCGAGAATTTTGATCCCCTGGTGCCACACCAAATATTTACGTGGAGCAACGTCAGTCTTACAGAATCTGCCCGAGCCCGAAAATACTTGAAGCAAAGAGCCATGCATGTTCAAATTCGCGATCTTCGACAGACTTCCTACAGTCGGACCGTGGGCTTATGCCGAGCAAAAGGTCCGATGTGCGGAGAACGGGTCGTGAATACAGCTCCTTCCCACTCATTCTGCTCGACATGGGCAAGGAGTACGAGCTGATGCTCGTATCCTAGGACTCTAGTTGACAAATATGCATGATCACTCTTAGATTTTGGGTCCGACGAGTTTGGGTGCTGCGCTTTGTAGGGGAACGCAACAGCAATACTAGGAAGATAAGTCGGACCAGAGTACAGCAACTCACTATTCGGGTTGGAATTCGCGATTCGAGCGGGCCAGCCCTACTATTTACTCCACAAAGAGGCAATGCACTGCACTGCCCTGGTACACGGTTAGACTTGCTCCCGAAACCCTGGCAAGACTACCACTCTGACCTGCTCTATATAGTAGGAGAATGCTAATCGTACGCCGTACCCGTAACGGCTGCTACAGGCCGCAGCCGCGGTTCTCACTAGGCAGGATTTGGCCGCACATGACAGCGCCAACCTATGTCCTCTGGCACTCCTCAAGGGATAACGTCTTTACTAATGCTTTCATCCGCAGCTAGCCCCGCCTTCTAATTTCCTCGGTTTTCTTTGCTCTTGTGGACACACAACTGGGAAGGTCTGTCTGCTTGGCACCATGTTCAGAACCCATGCAATGCAACAAATTAAACAAGAACCCCTTCAAGTAATGGACGGGAGGACGGCGTATATGTATAAGATCTGCGTATTCTTCTGTTCTCCTAAAACCGAAGCCCTGCTCTCGCAAGGGAGGAAAGGAGAACTGGATTTGATCCCAGATCAGTCCCAACAGCAAAATGGCGGCATGCTGGATTGATCAGAGTTCAGTTTTCTTTTAACTTATAACCTTCCCGTTCCGTCTCGCAGTGACCATCCTGCTGTCCAGACCTTTTCATTCCTTCGATTCGGGCTGCGATATCTTCCCGGAGGCGTAGCACTTTTGACTTCACTTCGCCCTAGCTTTTCGTACATTTTGCTTGCGTACGCCTTTACAACATACGCCGCCCATCATGGCCGATTCTAGTGCCCAGTTGATACCAGAGGCAAAAGAGTCTCGGAGCCAGCAAGTTGTTATTATACAGCTTACCATGCTTAGTCTCGCCTCCCTCGCCGTCATTGGCCGTATCTGGGTCCGTCTCGCACTGGTGAACACCAGGCTTGCCGCAGATGATTGGGTTATCATGGTATCGCTGGCTTTCTCAGTCGCCTTTGTCGCTGATGTTGTAACCCGTGAGTGCTTCTTCACATACTATGTTTATATTGTCTTACCCACGACCATTATACTAACTGCCAAATTAGAAACCAAGTATGGACTTGGCCAACATGTTGCTGATCTCCCGAAAGAAACAAACTTTGCCGAGTCCCTTCGGGTCAGTATTTCAATCCCCTTCTGGAGACAATAGTTAACCCCTTTAAAAGCTCTTCTACTTTGGCGAAGCCATTTATTATATTACGGTTGGCACGACCAAAGTCGCAATTTTGTTACTTTATTTGCGCCTTGCTGTCAAAAAGGGGCTACGAACGCTCATATGGGCCACCATGGGCTTCGTCATCGCCACATTTATTGCCTCTGTTATAGCCGGCCTGTTTCAGTGCAATCCAATTGCATTCGCATGGGATAAAACCATCGAAGGCGGAACTTGCTTCAACGTCACGGCGCTATTCTACGCCAACGCCGGACTGAATATCTTCCAGGATGTTTTCATTTATATTTTGCCGATGCGGATGCTGTGGGAAATACAAATCCCAAGGAAGCAGAAGATAGCTTTAATTGCGGTTTTCGCAGTCGGAGGCTTTGTATGTGTGACTGGAATGTTGCGATTAAACTCTTTGAAAACTGCCTCTGTCTCGCAAGATCCAACTTGTAAGTATTCCTCTAGCGTTTTATACCCCCCGAGGGGCAGTGCTCATCGTTCATAGGGGACAATTTCGGTTCGGCAATTTGGTCTGGTATCGAGTCAAATATCGGCATCGTCTGCGCCTCTCTTCCACATTTCAAACCACTACTCACTCGCTACTGCCCTGGCTTGATGGGTGTTCGCAGCACGGCTGCTATGACTCCTCTTAGCGATGGTAGGGCGAAGCAGAGCAATAGTGGATACATGACGCCAAACGGAGACGATAATTTCCAGTTAGCTCGTGGTAATGGCCAACGGATTTTGAAAGGCGGGCCTGGATATAGCGTTGCCGTAACTGGAAAGTCTAGATCGAGTGTCAACAGTAGTGAGGAGTATATTCGGGAAACCAACGCCGAGAACAAGCAGCAAGGCATATATAAGAGCACGAAGACCACCTTTAGCCCAGTATAATAGGCTACAGTGGGTTATTGGAATTGGATAGATTATTTTGGTGGACAAACGAGCTGGCTTGTTTGGGATGCATAGGGTAGACCAAAAATTATGTCTGCATTTAGACCGAACTACTTCGGCGTTCAGCGACCTTCCACATCAACCCCTGGCAGGTTCTCGCCCAGATAATTCAAAACGAATACAGTCAGGAATCGAGTGTACTTTACGCAAGGATATATATGTAAAACTGGGGCTTGGAACAGGGTAGATCTTGTACGATTGTGGAAAAGAGAAAGCAGTTCGAAAATAACAACCTCGGTGAAAATTATACTCACATGTAGGTATACTGAAGCCTGTTGACACCCAAAACGTATCGAGGCAGCCGTGGGTAAGATAGGATGCTCAGCTGCAAGTCCCTGTAACAGCCAGGTTATTTTAGCTGGATGCGAATGCAGGGTCTCTTCCAAGGTCGCTGTCCCGGTTGTTGAGCCCCTGAGTAATTTTTCTTCGACCACCATATGTAGATCTACTCTTTAGGGAAAGCATGAGAAGAGGATGCTACAGAAAGACATGTAAGCTGAGTGTTAGAGGGGTAATTGCTGAGGCCACAGGCTCTGTCCAATGATCCCGTTTTGTATCATTTTTGGTGGATAATTTTCGGCCAGAAACCACTGACAGACCCGGTGGGGGTGGGCCCTAACCAATGCAGACTAGAGGTCCCGCAAGGTCCCGTTTCCAAGAGTGCCTCCCGGAGTGTCCCATAGCCCATGCCGTAACCCGTACCGGGTGATACCCGTGGGGTATGTGCTCTTCTACGAGTAACACGGCTGGTAATATTCATGTTTAGCCACAATTGTGCGAACAGCTCGGGATTTGATAGTACCATAGTAGTTCCAAGGATGTTAAGGTGTTATTATCCAGCCTACCCCACAGTCCTCTAGCATCATAGAACAAAACATGAGAAGCACTAGGTGACTTCGCATCTACTACGCCTGTGGTACTAGCAATTCGTTTATCTTTACCTCCCGAGGAAGTCATTAGGGGAAGAGAAGATCCCCTGCTCGTTGCGAAAGAGCGGGCCTTCTCTTTTTCCCCGACCCTTTTCTTGTCCATCTTTTTCCTATAACATACAATGGTTACTATTCCCTGCCGTGGCCTGCAGGGGTAGCGTACAGTAATAGAAGGACCTCCTGGCTTAGATCAAAGTAGGAATTTGTAAATTTGTGGCTCGTGCATTCGAGCAGAATACTCAGGTCTGCGCCTCCTACTCCTGGGTAGAGCGATGTTCGACAATACTACTATGCAATACTCAGAACGCCTCAGTATTCCTAGAAGCATGCCGCTGATGAATGCAACCGAGACGAGTCTCCACCCCATTCCCCCTTTCGGGAATATGACTCCCTCTCAGACGGAAACTCTCTCCCAGAGCGTGCTCTAAGACCCTTTGAGACAAGGCATCACCATCAACCATGTAGTATGGCGTGAAACAACTAGAGTAGGAAGAAGGTCAAATTTTTAGTTAGAACATGGAGAAGGATGAAGGAATGCTGAGTGTAGTGGATCTGGGGTCGGACCTAGGTCGGAGGCAGAACTGGGAAGCTGAAAGAGCCACTCGGCCACTCGACTGGTGGCATTTTGAGTCGTCCTGGAAATATAGGGGAGTTGTAACATTATTTGAGGATCCCCAAAATCCCAGAAACCGAGTCCATGGCTCTCACTAATTCTGTAGTTGGACCGTTTGGTGATCGAAGTCAAATTGATATGGAACTTCATCTTATACTGCGTCCACTTTCGTCGACGCTTTCGGAGGGAAAAGTTGGTATTCTTCTGCTTCTGGTAATGGGTCCCCATAACTTCCGGTACCAGATTGTCGGGAATATAACGTCCCGGTATAAGTTATTTCGAGCAATATTTTCTAACCTTATGGGACTTTGTAGGCTGTTGGTTATATAATTGCTCGGATCATATATCGACAATTCCTGCACCCTCTTGCCAACTTCCCGGGACCTGTTGGAGCTGGGTGGACCGATGTGCGTTTGTGAACGACGATAAATTGTATATAACTCTGACGAATATCAGGCATGGTGGTTTTACCATCTCTTCTCAGGGCGAGTAACATGGAGGAACCATAACTGGCACAAGAGATACGGTTAGTAAATTCTAATAACCACAATATTAAGCTGACGGCGACTTCATAGGCACCGTTGTTCGTACGGCACCAAACCATCTGAGTTTCAACTCTCCCGAAGCCATAAAAGACTGCTATGGATTTGGCAAAGCAAACCAGTCGCTCTGCCTCAAGGACCCCGAGTTCTTCCTCGAAAGCGTATATGGATCTTGGAATATCATCAACGAGAACAATAAAGACGAACATGCCCGAATGCGAAAAATGCTGAGCCATGCCTTCAGCACCAAAGCTCTAGTCGAACAAGAGTTTGTACTGACAAGGAGTGTCGACGACTTTATGTACCACATTGGAACAATCAAAGCCGAAGGCGGAAAGACTGGAGTTGATATCACAAAATGGTTCAATAATGTCACCTTTGACATCATGGGAGGCATGGCTTTTGGAGACTCATTTGGGGCCAGAGTGGGCAATTATGGACCAAAATCTCGTAGGTTTCTGTCATATGCCCAAGAGTTCGGAAGAGATGTTGACGGCGAAACAGATGATAAATATGACTGGGTTGGCGTCGTTCTTGACAGTGCCTTCATCAACGATGTCATGAGATGCACAACATTAGTGCCATACCTGCCCGAGTTTTTGGATTGGTGGATTCCGAGGAGGTACCAAGAGAGTAGCTACGCCCACATGGACTATAGTATCATAGAAACACGAGCGTAAGGTTCCTACATTGCGCCGTTGTTCGCCGGCCACGCTGACGGTGCTTGCAATTTAGTCGAATCGAGAAACAAACCGAGCCCGACCGACCAAAAGACTTCTTACACTACATGCTCAACTTCGCAGGACCAAAGGCGACCGAAAAAGAAATAGCTTCGCATATCAACGCTCTCATGATGGCTGGAGTCATCACCACCTCCACCTTCCTCTCCGGTGTTCTATATTACCTCATGAACAATGTTGAGGCCTTCGATAAGTTGAAGACGGAGCTTCGAACTACATTTTCCTCGCTCGAGGAGATTACGTGCAACAGCACTGCACAATGCGAATACCTTGCCGCGGTTATCAAGGAAGGTCTTCGAATATACCCCCCAGCTGGCGGTGCTCATCTCCCACGCATCGTGCCGCCGGAAGGTGCCATGATTTCTGGCTATTGGGTTCCGGGAAGGGTGAGTTTTGATTTGAACATGCAACGTCTCGAAGCTTATATATCTGACAGACTCGGGTTTCGGTGCATCAATGGTCTGTTGTGCACGACGAGAAGTACTTCCACAGGCCGGATGACTTCATCCCCGAGCGTTGGATCAAGGGTGAAAAGGCGTCCGAGATGGGCGACAGGCTTGAGGCAAGTCAGCCGTTCTCGTATGGCCCAAGAGGCTGCCTTGGCAAGAAGTATGTGATTACGATCCAAACCCGATAGATGGGCAACTAAATAGCTACAGCCTTGCTGCACTGGAAATGCGCCTGATTTTGACCCAGATGATTTGGAAATACGACGTTCAGTGGCTCAACCCATCTGTCGACTGGGAGCGCGACAACCAGGGATACACGCTGTGGCACCGACCGGAACTCCGGGTCCTCTTCCACGAACGCGTCGCCAGGATTGCTTTAAGATAAGTGGGTTTGTGGGGATTGCGGGGATTGTTGAAGAGCTCGGATTGTTGGACAGAGCGCAATTGCAAATTGAACATACGAAAACATCGATTTTACTGATTTACAGAGGCGTTATTGGGGTATCTGAAGGCGAAAGGTTGATGGGGAAGGCTGTACCTAGAATCGCTATATCATAGCGCAAGCTTAAATTTCTTTTGTGGTCGTACTTTCCTTATGTTTGTTTTTTGGACTTGAATTTCTAACAAGGGAAGGCCCGTGTTTGTAAAATTAGTTGGCCATTTATAGAGTTGTTCTGCCGTGGAGGTTTCACCGCCCCGGCCCACCTAACATCTCTAACTGTTGATGGAAGAATGATCATGTGAGATGGGATCTGGAAATAAATTAACGGATGATATGATGGATTATCAGAGCTCCTTATTGAATAGGCCAAGTTAATTAGTTTTAGAGTAGTTAACAGATATCGACCCCGTATCAATTGGTGCTGATACACCATCTTCATCCTCCTATGACGTAGGCCACCTGCTTGACCCTTGTCCATAATTGAGCATCTCCGGTCCATGGCTTCACTCACAATGGCAATCTGGATATTTCTAGTTACACCGCATTGAATTGAACCCTCAAACAGTTAATATTTCAATTGCACTGTGAAGGCGCAAGGATGGTTCCAAGACCACATCTCGTTCGAATAACACCCCACCCGGGCTCCTCTAAGAAGGAGATTGAAGATGAGCCGGACTGGGGAGGGATCCATCAGAACCGTATTGGCTTCTTGAACCGGCAAGAGCGCCCAACTGGCCATACTCACCAGGGTGATGACAAGAAAGAAGAGGGTGGTGTAGACGATAAAACCAAGGCAGAAGTCAAAGGACTTGTTACCTTCCGCGATGTGATAACTAAGCAAAAGGCAAGCCGCAACTCCATGCAAGAACTGTACCATATCAATTGGCGGAGTTAACTGTGCAAATTATAGGACTACCATCTCATACGGCCAGATGTTCATTCGGCAGGATGGCGTTACGTGCTTTACTCTTCTGAAGACTGGATCAAGAACACCCAAGAATGGCCCGCGAACATAGAGAAGCGAAAGGCAGCTGAGAAGGCAGCAAAGCTCAAGGATGAAGAGCAGAAAAAATCGGGCCAGACTAACGGAGTAAAGCAAGAGGATGATTGGAGAAGAGAGGCGGGACAGAATAAGCATCATGATGCATATGCTAGCAACGTCAATGGCGACAAAGACCAGCAGGGTAAGAATGACGCTCAAGCAGGGAATAAAGTGGAGGGCGAAGATGAGAAACTTCAACAAAAGTATACGCCACAAGAACTTGCCCTCCTCCATAATCTACAGCAGGAGAAGGACTACGTCTTCAAGTTGGAGCAGAATGACGGCAAGAAAAGGTCACCAGTCGCAGATGGGCGTCAGTTAATTTCCCTTGATGAAGTCGATCAATTTACCCCGGACAACTGGATCCCACGGTCTGATAAGCTTATTCGCCTTACAGGAAATCACCCGATGAATGCAGAGCCACAACTAACATCTCTCTTTGATGCTGGCCTAATCACCCCAAACGAGCTGCACTACGTCCGCAACCATGGCCCAGTTCCGCACCTCCTATGGGAGACCCACACTCTTGAAATCGAAGGGTCGAACTTAATACTCACGATGGACGAGTTGAAAGATAATTTTGATCCTATTAACATCCCTGTTGCATTAGCTTGTGATGGGAATAGACGCAAGGAGCTGAATCAAATAAAGCGATCTAAGGGCTTTAATTGGGCTTCAGGTGCAGTAAGCTGCGCCTACTGGAAAGGTCCCTTGCTTAGAGACGTTCTTCGCAAAGCTGGAGTGCCTGAAATCTTCCCGGAGGGGAAGCGCTATTGGGTTAACTTTGAAGGTGCAGATGAGCTGAGTGAGGGCAAATATGCAACTTGCATTCCTTTCGAGTATGCCATGGACTCTAACAATGACGTGATATTGGCCTACGAGATGAATGATGTTCCTCTCCCCCCTGACCACGGACACCCTATCCGACTCGTCATCCCTGGATATGTTGGGGGACGCTGCGTAAAGTGGCTAAAGAAAATATGGCTGAGCGACATGGAGAATGACAGCCACTACCACATATGGGACAACAGAGTTCTGCCAAGCTTCATTACAGAAATGGACGGGGAATTTTCAAAAACTATGTTCTCTCATCCGGATACATTGTGCAACGAGCAGAATTTAAATAGCGTTATTGTCAAGCCTGCCCAAGGCGAAAAGATTTCGCTCACAGAAGCTAGGAAAGGGAAGACGTACAGGATTATGGGCTATGCATATGATGGTGGTGGCCATGAGGTGCAACGAGTTGAGGTATCTCTTGACGAGGGTGATACATGGTTGTATTGTCTAAGAAAGGTACAAAAAGTTCACCTAGGGGAAGACAATGTTCTAATACTCGTGAAGTTTCCGGATAGACCAATAAGACATGGCAATAAGTATTGGACATGGTTGCATTGGCATTTAGATGTGGAAATAACGCATTTGCTTCGGGCAAAGAGTATCGCTGTCCGCTGCCACAACGTTTTCAAGAATACTCAGCCAGAAAGGCCTAGTTGGAACATCATGGGGTAAGTATCCATGTTCTTTCTTGCCTTTAACTTCGCCCACTTCTGCGTAGCTGACAAGGAAAACAGGATGATGAACAACTGCTGGTACGTTGTTAAGCCTGAGACAGTGCAAGGCTTCAACAATGCCGTTCCTGAGATTGTTTTTACTCATCCCGTCGAGCCTGGGACTAGCGATGGAGGCTGGTTGAAAGAATCCACGGAATTACAGATCTCGAACGCAAAGCAAGCCGCTGGAGGACCGCAAAAACAATTCACGCGAGAAGAGATTGAGAAGCATAACAAAGATAGAGATTGTTGGATTGTGGTCAACGATAAAGTGTACGATGCCACTAGTGTTCTGGAATGGCATCCTGGCGGAAAGGCAGCCATAATGGGCCATGCCGGCAAGGTTCATGAAGAAACCAGCAGTGACTTCAACAGTGTCCACGATGGATACGCGTTTGAAAAATTAAAAGGTTGCTTCTCTAATTGGGTTTTACTAGAAAATACTAACAATGAGCACAGAGTGCATCCTTGGGATGGTAACGGAGAAGGCCAAGAACTTCATAAAAGCAAATGCCAAGAAAGCAGCGGAAGAGAAAGCTAAATCCGCGAAGGGCGACACTACTGTCGCATTGCAAAAACATAGGTAATTTATTCCGCGGAACAGATATAGTAGATTTTGCTGACCTTGGCCCAAATGTAGGTGGATTCCTGCCCGCCTCAAAAAACGCGAGGCTATCTCTAAAGACACTCGCAAATATACCTTTCAACTTCCCGACAATAAAAACAAGCTAGGTCTCGCAACCTGCCAACATATTCAACTTGGATTCCACTTCAAAGACAAGATGATAATTAGATCCTATACGCCCGTCAGACCAATCCTCGCCACGGAGGAAGATGGGACTTTTCAACTCGTAGTCAAGACGTATTTTCCCGACAACAGCCAACCTGGAGGGGCAATAAGCAACATACTTGATTGCATGCCGCTTGGTGAGGAGGTTGATATCCGCGGACCCACAGGTGATATCGTTTACGAAGGTAACGGGAAGTTCAATATCGAGGGCGAGGAAATGAACTTTCGTCGCGTGACGCTCATTCTTGGAGGCAGCGGAATCACGCCTGGATACCAACTCATATGCCGCATCCTCATGTTACAAGGTGACAAAACAGAGATAAGGGTGATTGACGCCAATAGGAGCGAGTCTGACATATTGCTTCAAGGCGAGATGGAGAATTTACAGAAAAAACATCAAGGGCAGTTCAAGATCACACATGTGTTAAGTCGACCGAGTGATGATTGGAAGGGATTGAAAGGATATGTCAACCCCGATATCATTCGGAAACACGCATTTGCGCCAGCGGAAGGTAGCGTTGTTCTCCTATGCGGACCCCCAGCCATGATTCAAAAAGCTGCGCTGCCAGCCGTAAAAGGTATGACTCTCTCTTCTACCATATCCAAGGAATACTTTCTCACAATGTTGGGTTGCAGACTGGGGATATGAGGAGGAGAAAAATTGCTTTGGCTTCTAGAATTCTGTCTTTTTTAAGCGCCATGCTTAGTATAAATTGTCAACATTTCGTAGCTATCTTCCAAATACAGGCTGCCTCTTCATATACTTGGAGTATCTCAAGTATGTGTCTAGAATGTTGTCAACACCGCAATGTCGTACTCCTTCAACTGGAATGAAAACACTCCGCCCTTTTGTGCAGTAAGCGACGTAGTGGTTCGTTTCACGACATTCTCGCCGTTGGGAACATTTTCAGAGAGTCCACTTGGGGCATTGAGGACCGTAAGGGTTGCCTTTGCGCCTTGATGCAAACCCTCGAAGTCAATGTTAAATGGCACTGGAGACGTAGTATTGTAAACGGTGGCCTTGAATGTGTATTGGTTGGTACCGTGGTTGACACCTGCCACATAAAATGCTGGTCCGAAACCCTCGTCGGAAGTGAAAGGGGCAGTGTGAGTGTAGCGATGGGCAGATAGAAGCTAACCAGCAATTAGCCATTGAGGTCTGGTACGTGCATTTTGATGTAGAATGAATACATACTTGAATAGCATAATAACTTGTTGAGTAAACATCTTTAGCTGGGTCTGCGCTGAACGAGACAAGATCGGGCTACAGGCCAGTTAGTAACAGGAAGCTCATACAACGTCTATGCTACCCCGGTTATATACTTACAGCCCACTGAGAGCCATTAATATTCTGGAAGCCTGGTGCATAGCTAGCACCAATCACAATATCGGCGTTTCGTTCGGCGCCGAGAGTAAAAATGGTTTCTGCAACAGCACCGACCCAGTTCGGGTATGGCAATCTTGGCTCACCTGCATCCCAGGAAACTGGCTCTAATGGATTTTCCGTATTGGGCTCGATAGTGGCATATTCGCCGATTAGGATTGGGTGGGAACGATTCGCATTGTCAAACAGGCCGAACTGAGTGGCGAATATGTTCGGTCTGGCATACTCATGGTAGTCGGTGGCACTGTTGTCAGCAATAGCTTTAAGGTCGCCAGTCGACGAGATAATTACAATCGACGGGTAAGCGGCGTGGATTGCGTCGTAAAAGGCCTTGAAGCGGTAACTTGCGTAGCTCAGAGGACTAGAAATATTATCTTCGTTGCCAATCTATGATCACACAAGAAGTTTAGTCTGCGTCCTTGAAAATGAACGGCTATAAGGAATGGATGATATACCTCGACATAGTTAAGCTTCCACGGACGGGGGTGTCCAAGGGAAGCTCTTAAAGCACCAAACTTTGTGTGCACATCGCCAAGGATAAACTCTAATTCATCCATTGCTTCCTGAACATATAGTCCAATTTCTTCCTCGGGTATATCATACGGATTATCGTTATCATATCCGTTTAAGTATACTCCTGACCACACAGCCAGGATGGGTTCAGCGTCAAGATCTTCGCACCACTGATACCATGTTAACATATTGACTTTCAATTAGAAAAGGGGAACTACCCACTTGGAGGTATTCAACGAGACCAATTCCATCGGTATTTGCATAACCCCACGTTCCAGGGCGTCCTGGTCGCTGGGATAACGGGCCAATTGTCTCGTTCCACTTCCAGCGATATCCAAAGATGTCCCCTTCTCTAATATACAGTCAATAAAATGTCCCTCATATTTATAGTGGTCGAGGACTATCGTACATGTTGTTTCCTCCTGGCATTCTCAAGAAGCTTGGGTTGAGGTCCTTCAAGCCAGCCATAAGACCAGGCCGGTTGCCATTCGGACTATTCTTATACGTCGGCGGGAACAGGCTAATTAGATTGAAATTCAGCGAGCCTTGATCGGGTTGGAACTCGAGGACAAAGATATTGTCAGTGTCGGGGGCCGCAACTCTAGGGTTGAGATGGAACTTGTGCTCCACCCATTCTCCTTTCTGACACTTGGACTTTATTTCCACACTTGCCCAGACGTGCGACGACTTAGCCGACTGCAGCTTTGCAGTGAACTTGCCATGGTACGAACCCAGTGCCCAGAAACTGCCTGAGTATGGCTGTGGTGTCACGCTGATTCCCCACCAACCTGGATTTTGAAGACCAATTGAACCTCCCGAAGCAAAGTTATTTCCCGGAGCCACTTGTACCGAAGTTGGGAGAGCCCAAGATAGTGGCACTGTTGTATTCTGTAGAGTCAATTTTGCGTTCCCAACTGCTTCCCATGGATCAATTGTCGAGGGAAACTCAGTGCTGCCTTGGAATGCCCGGTTTTGTATCAACTCTGCATAGATACCCCCATCACCCGAGTGATTGATATCCTCAAACATAATTCCGTACATGAGAGGAGACGATGAATTTCCGCCATGGTTGCTAACTGTGATGTTTGCTGCATAGGCAGCCCCAGCCAGGAAGGAGAGGGATGAGAGAAGTTTGCGAGTCAACATCATGGCAACTTTAAGTCGGAAGCCGCAATTCAACTGTGTTATCTCAAAACATTCCACAGATTCTGAGGAAAGGCTCTTTTATGAATGTCATCATATTGGTACTATTCAAGTTATTTCGGAATAAGTATGTCCATTCCATTTAGCCGTCAGGATTGCAACAACCGGCAGTAGTAACAGCCGATCTGATATTTGAAAATCCTTGCTTCATAAGAACTAGATAATAAATTTACTTTGGCATGAGAGGCAGAACACAACGAAAGCTAGGGCACATTTGGGGGAAGACCGAAAGCATGTAGGACGGACACAATCCAATGCGTTTAAGAAGCCGATCAATCCCCAGCTACCCCGCCTTACCCCCCACTTTACCCCACCGGCCCTGCTATCTCTTGCATGCTCGCTCTTCGCTAATTGGGGGAATCTTTGAGAGATCGGACAAACTAGTGCAACGGCGTCTGCACGGGCAAATGCTTCTTCTGTTGGTGAGGGGACGGTACTCTATATATACTTTGAATTGCGTATTCAATAGCTATTAGACCGCTAACCACCTTAATTTAACCTAGAGGTCGTTTAATTGTCTCCTCGGTACTTGTTGGCGCGATATATGCCTTAGCCCTTTTCTTGCTGTCTCGGGCCCGACACCCCCGGCCATAGGATGAGCGTGGATAAAGCGATATAGAGTAGTGTCTGTGCGGTATCGCGCATGAGGGGTTGGCAAATTGGATGCTCAACGATGAGCCTATCCGATGAGGGGCAGGAAATATACTATATAGAGCTAGTATATACCGTATACTGCCGGCCACGCCCAAACTTATTTCTACCATCTCGGCTCCGACGTCCCCGGTTCAGGATGTAGTTCAGTATGGCACAGAGGCGTCCCGTTGACTAACGGAAATGAGGGTTTAATATGTTAGGCGCTTTGTGTAGCGCATAATTGACAGCCTGTATAACACATGCTCATGATCATAGGCCCGAACTCCTCTTTCTGTAAGGGGCAGCTGATGTCCCCGCAGTGACCGACGGCACGAAGCGTCGGCATTATATAAAGACCCTCTATGACTTAAAATCGTCGCCCACAGATGATCCTCTGGCGCCTCGTAGATTATCACTCCCGCCAATTTTGTTGTCTCCCAATTTTCCTTTCACGATGCGCTTCCACGCATTTCTAGGATTTGCTGTGGTTTTAATCCAAAGTCCCCACACGGCAGCCGATTATACCACAACCATCAACGCCCAGTCTAATCGCGGAACCTGGGATGGGTGGGGGACGTCGCTCGCATGGTGGGCCAAGAAATTCGGCGATCGTGCAGATCTAGCCGATATATTGTTCACCTTGAAGACGACGACACTGTTAGGACTAAACCTGCCTGGCTTAGGGTTCAACATCGCACGCTACAATGCCGGCGCATGTAGCTCGAACACCTACGATAGCACGAGCATGGCAGTGTCAGCGAACATTAAAAGCTCAAGACAAGTCGATGGCTACTGGATTAACTGGGCCAGTGAGGACCCGACGTCGTCGAGTTGGAACTGGTCTGTCGATGGAACGCAGCGCCAGGCTCTTCGCAATGCGATAGACAGAGGAGCAAACAGAATTGAGCTGTTCTCTAACTCACCCATGTGGTGGATGTGCAAGAATAAGAATCCGTCTGGCGCTAGTGATGGAAGTGAGAACATTCAGTCCTGGAATTTGGAGCAGCACGCTATATACATGGCCAACGTTGCCAAGTATTTCAAGGACAACTGGAATGTGCAATTTGAGTCTGTCGATCCATTTAACGAGCCTTCTGCCACTTGGTGGAACTCCGCCGGCACGCAGGAAGGTTGTCATTTCAACGTGGCCACCCAAGCTACTGTCATCAACCACCTTCATAATCACCTAGCCAGTCGTGGGCTTTCAACCGTAATTTCGGCATCGGACGAGTCTTATTTTGACCAGGCTGTTACAAATTTGCAAACCATTGGAAGCACTGCGATTGGCCAAATCTCGCGCGTCAACGTCCACGGCTATCAGGGAGGATCAGGAAGAAGGGATACGTTATATAGCCTGGCATCTGCTGCCGGCAAGAAACTTTGGAACAGCGAATATGGGGATGGAGTCGGTTCTGGTCTCGATATGACCTCTAACCTCCTCCTGGATTTCAGGTGGCTGCTCCCCACGGGATGGGTCTACTGGCAAGCACTCGATGGGAGCGGCTGGGGGCTTGTACAAGCAGACAACGACTCCGGTCAGATCACCGCAGTCAACCAAAAGTACTGGGTCCTGGCGCAGTTTTCGCGACATATCCGCCCTGGCATGCGCATTCTCGATGGTGGCAACTCTAACGTGGTTGCTGCATACGATGCCAGCAGCAAGAAGCTCGTCATTGTCGCTGCCAACTATGGCACAGCTCAGTACATCAATTTCGATCTGTCTGGGTTCTCCCAGCGCCCCGCAAACGGCGCCGCGGTGGTTCGTTGGAATACACAGATTGATGGCGGCGACAGATATGTGCAGTATTCTTCCGACACAGTCATGAGCGGAACTAAGTTCTGGTCGTATTTCTCCACGAATAGCGTGCAGACCTTCGAGCTCACTGGCGTCGTCCTGTGAAATGTATCTGGCTTTCATCTTCAAATAGCAATGTAAATATCTGGATATTCATCACGCTGGAATGAGACACTATTTGCAAGTGTACCCACGTAGCTAAAACTTGTTATATTTTGACTTGAAGTTAAAAGGAAAACTATCAACCCCCACAAACTCAATATCAATTCAATATTCTCGACCAATCTTCATTCCTAATGAACTCCTCCATCGAAGTTCGTTTGATCTCAACTCCCAGCTATAAAACCCAGTCAGTCCAACACCCAATACAAATAACGGGTAGTGCGAAACTCACATCTTCTGGAAACACCACATCCGGGTCTCCGTCTCCCCAGTACCCAAACTGAGTGGCGTATTCATAAATTTTACCAATCATCTCGGTGTAACCCCCAGGAACGGCGCCGACATGCTCCTCAACAGAGCAGGGCTCGTAGACAGCATTCACGCCGACAACGCGCGACCACAGCTTCGTGTACTCAGCCCATGTCAGACTATCGCTGCACGCGACTAACTTCTTGCCCGGTGGCACCTTGATCAGCGCTAGAACATAGTTCCCCGTATCGGACGGGACGACAAAGGGAATGGGATGAGGCCCATTGCCCGGAAGGCGGAGGGCCACTGATCCATCATCTTTCTGCTATTTGTGAGTTACCGCCACGACGAGGGAACCATTACAAAACACAAACCTTAATCCAATTATACGACGCTGGTCCCCACTGCCAGTTTGTTGCATACGAGCCGAGATACAGGACGCTCGTCTTCCTCGCTAACTCCGGATACGTATCCTGGATGTATTTCCACACCGCGCCCTTCGTCTCAAAGCTCAACAGATCATCATACTTTCCTTTACTCCACTTACCAGGCTCGCTCGCTGAGCTCCACACGAACCTCTCCAGCCCTTCCACCGCGGCTGCCGCATCCGCAATGTTACGGCCCTTCGCAACCTCCTCCTCGAAGTGGAATTCGAGTGGCGATTGCCCTGGCTTTGCGAGGGCCTTGAACTCTGCGCTTTCAAATGCCTGAGCAGGATTGAAGCGCGTGTTTGCGAAGATGACGTTGACGCCCTTCACGGCAGCAGCGAGGGAGGCGGGGTCCGCCAGGTCCCCTTTGACGAGCTCGACGCCCTTCGTAGCCAATTCAATGGCGTTAGGACTAGTGGGATCCCGGACGAGGCCTCGGACGATCCAGTTGGGGGTTTGAAGAAATGTAGAGGCAACGGAAGAGCCTTGAATGCCAGTGGCACCAACGACGAGGATAGTTTTGGACATTTTTTGAAAGAGGGGATGGGATGAGTTGAGAATAGTGGTTGAGGGAGTAGATATTATTCTGAGAGATAAAAAAAAAGTGAGATATGCTCTTCTTTATATACCCGACTGTAGAGATGGATTTTAGGGGCTCTCCTACCAATATCTAGCACCCAGGGGACTTTAACTCCATGGTCTGATATCACAGGCAGACTGTTTTTCGGATATAACTGCTAATCCCGATTTAAGAGCGCGAGGTTGCGTTTTTCCAGACTTCGAGTTCACCATAGAATATATCAAGGATGACGAAAGTTTCACTGGAGGAAGGGAGTGCGTATGTTTCCATGTTTGTAGCTTCCCTTTACTCTCAGATGATTGGTGTCAAAATAAGAATTTAAGCGAATTTGGTGGACAGCGCAACGCTTACCGCTTTGGGAAAGAAGTGTGATCCACCTTATATCATCGCGAATCGGCCCAACTTAATGGTGGCCGAGTGTCTCTATAGTTCTATTTGTCTAATCTAAATAGTCTGTGCTCTATCTGTCTGATATTCGGCCCATAAGTTAAAGCCGTGTGTCGCCACTTCGGCGAACAACCAGTGCCAACCAAAACATCTTGAGACGGTGGTATCAGAATCACACATCATCTTCATCCCCATCCTGCACCATCTCTACCGCCCTCTTCCAGCCAGCAGCCGCCTGCACAAAAATAGCCATCCCTGCCACAGCAGCAGCAGAAAACCACACCGTCCGTAATGCTACCACATACCCCAGTCTCGCAACCTCCGCCTCCGCACCTTGCAGCCCACCAACCGTTGCCGGGCTCCGCAGGAGCTCTTCTACCAGCTCGGGCTTCCGCACCCCTATCTCCGCAAACCCCCGTTCTAGGTTCCGTCTCAAGACGCGCACGAACAGGCCTCCGCCAATGGCGGTGCCAAAGCTGCCTGCGAAGGCGCGAAAGGTGGCCAAGAGGGAAGTTGCGACGAAGTGTGTGGGCGGGGCAGTGAGATGGAGAAGATGCGGGACGCTGTAAGTTAAGGCTGCGCCGGTGGCGAGGCCAATGAGAGCGGTTGTGGCGACGATTAGAATGGCTGGTGAGGAGGGAGTGGCGAAGCAAGCGAGGAGGGCGACGGCGAAGGCGAAGATGGTGAAAACTGTGATGGTTGGTCTAGGTTCGAGGTTAGTGATGCTCGCAAGGCCTATGAGTGACAGTGGGACTTACAAGTAGAAACTCCCTGCTCGGCGGATGTGAAATCCCCCTACAAGGAGGCCCCCGAGCGCGAACCCGGCATTTGTTGGAATGAGGATTGATCCCGCAGTTGCAGGGGACCAGTTGCGCACTGCGAGGGCATATACAGGAGCGTAGTAGAGTACAGTCCAGCGCACTGACATAAGGCCTAGCTGGGCAAGGCAGGTGAGAAATACGCCGCGAGAGCGCAGGACGGGAATGGGGATGATGGGATCGTGGGCTAGGTAGAGCTCGTTGGCAACGAAGAGCGCGAGGACGACAGGTGAGGTGAGAATGGGGAGGTATTGGATTTTCGGGGACGTAAGGCCGAGCAGGAAGAGGACGAGCGAGGAAGTCTACAGAGTTAGCTTGCACTGCGGCTTATGACAGAGTATGGGAAACGCACGAGTAGAGCCGCGCCCGAGTAATCCACGTGCGCAAATTTATACGCCAAACTTCGGGTCTTCCCACCCTGAGCAGAAGTCGACCCAAACCGTGAGGGGATCGCCCAAAATATGCCCATGCCAGCCAAAGCGGCAAGCGGCGCCTGTCCCCAGAACAACGGTCTCTACGACATATTAGCTAACACTCCTTTCTGTTCTAACGCCGACATCCAAACAGACTTACCCATCCCGTGACGCCGACTAACCCCCCAGCAACCACCGCACCAAGGGCCACGCCCGTCGTGAAGCCGGCGTTTGTGATCCCGAGGAACAAACCACGACGCTTCGTCCCGGCCAGTTCAATCACAAGGATCAGGACTAGTGTCATAACGCCCGCGCCGCCTGCACCGCTGAGAATGCGGCCGGAGATGAAGGTATTGAAAGAGCGTGCGTGGCCCGACAGGAGGCCGCCGGCAGCGAAAAGCACGGCGGCCGATAGGATACAGCTCCGGAGTGAAAAGATCTGGGATAGACGGCCTATTAGGGGCGAGAGACTCGCCATAGAAATCTGTCTAGTTAGCGCTAGTTTCAGGTTTGGTGGGCTAGACAACGCACCAGGTACGCAGACGTGAACCAGATAGCATCTTCACCGCTTGCATCAAGGTCATTGGCGATACTGGACTGTGCCGTTGTGATGCCGGATATATTCGATGCTGCGCCATGTATTAGATCTTCGATACCAGCGTGTGAGGTCAATGCTTACCTTGGAGGAATATCAGAATGAATAGTGACGGGATTAGCAGGACTGCCCTGCATGTTCCAATTGGTTCGTTTTCGGTTTGGGGCTTGGGGTTGTTGTCTTCCAGGGAGACGGTGGAGATGCCATCTTCATCAGTGGATAGGAGCGGCGCATGTTCGGTGAGCACACCGGGTGAGGTCTGGCGTTTCATTTCCGTCGGATGCCCCTAGAAACCATATATATGGGAAATCAAAGGCAGCGCCGCTCTCGGCGTTGAAGGATATAAATAAAATAACTCCTAAAAAAATAACCACTTCAAATGTAGGTTTTTATTTTTCCTATTCTATATTTTTACAAATCAATTGCAAAGAACACAGCGGGAATTATTCAGTATATTATAAACATCTACAGTCTATAAATCCTGATTTGAGAGAGAGGGGTTGTCTTAGCTTCAAATGCTCATTTGTAAGCACGTACCCCACACAGCACGTGACTATGTGATTCTTCACGTGATTTGCATACACTTGATAACTTTCTTTTCGTCTACGATCTCCAGCTTGAGGTTCAATCCATTCACTCTTTACATCCCAGTCTCATTAAAATCACAGTAAGGACAGGTTTCAAGTAAATTAAATAGACGATGGGTATTCTAACCTATCCTCTTCTGCACCCGCCTCGTCCAGCTCAGCGAGCCACAAAGGAATCCCCTCATCACTGTCATCCATCCAGTCCTCTCATTTCCCCCCACCATTACTACTCCCACATCTCGATAAAACCTGATATATATACCCTCATCTCCTTTTTCCTTCTCGAAAAAACATAAAAAACAAGGTTTGGTAGGATCTCTACTCGGTACGGTACAGCGCGCTGCAATCTATACAGGGGCGCTCAGCTATAACGCACACGCAGCCATAGCGTGCGCAATTTTTGGGGGTAAACGGTAACAGTATTTAACAATTGGTGACCCACAGGCCGATGGGGCTCTTCTTGGCATTCTGCTCGAACTCCAGCTCGACGCCGGCGACGCTGCTGACGTCGTAGACGAGGGTCTCTCCGCCCTTGCAAGGGAATGTGGCGATGGTGTAGCTGTTTCCAGGGATAATCTCGGTCTTGCCGTAGGTCTCCTTGAGCTCGGGCTTGGTCCACCAGGTCTCGTTGGCGTCAATATCCGCCTCAACGTGGTTGAAGTTGAGTCCACCGCTGGCAGCCTTCTCCTCCTCGATGCCAGAGAAGTGGTACGCGCCGGGGTTGGCGGTCTCAGAAGCGTAGGGGAAGGTGAAGAGGAGAGAGCAGGTGCCGGTCCAGGCATCTGGGGTGGTGAAGGCGAAGAGAGTGTTGTTAGAGGGGGTGATGATGGGGGAAGCGATATCGCCGTATGGGTGTCCTGCATCCTCGCGCGAGACCGGGACGATCAACTTAGGCTCGACGAAAGAGCCAGGAGTGAGGGTCTGGGCGCACTTCTGGGGGGTGTCGGTGGTGGTTGGGGCCGGGGCAGCAGTGCCAGTTCCGGTGCCGACTAGACCCTTCAGGCCATCCACGATCTTCTTGTTGTTGAAAGCTCGGTGGGCGGCGTGGCCAAACTTGGCGCCGGTGGGCAATGGCGATGCTGGGACCGTGGTGCCGGTCGAGCCTGGGGCGGTACCAGTTGGGACGGGTGCGGTGCCAGTGCCAGTCGAACCTGGAGCAGTGCCGGTGCCAATGGGGCCGGCGGGAGGGGCGCACTTGTCTCCGGTGCTGGCCATGGTGATGGGCACGCAGCCGGTGGTATCCACCTTGGTCTCTGCAAAGATCTCGTATCCACCATCATTGCCAGGTCCCTGCGATGGGCAGGCCCAGAAGTCGTTGCTCTCGTCCACGAAGAAGTCACCGTTGCCGCCAACGACGAACTTGTTCTGCGAACGGATGCCCTGGGTGCACTGGAAGCGCTGGGTGGTCTGGGAGATGATACAGGTGTGTCCAAGGGAGTCGTAGAGCTTGCCCTCGTCGGCGGGGTTGATGCAGTATGCGCCATCAGGGTAGTTGCTGAAGACGCGGTTCTGGCCGATGGTATCCTCCTCAACGATATCGGAGCCTAGTGTTGGGTTGGCAGCAGTGAGGGTGAAGCAGCAGTATCCGGGAGGCGCAGAGGGGGCGCGGGGCATGAGGGCCGTGGCGAGGCCAACGGTGAGGGTGGAGGCGATGATGACCTTCATATCTGCGGATTGTGTTTGTAAAGCTGAAAACGATGGAACAAATAAAGAGTGCAGTAGATGAGGTGGTGCCTCAAAAGGTAATAGCAAACGAGGACGTTAGAAGAGTAAAGTATTTGTCGATGGACGGACTGTGGTTGGTAAGAAGAGAGAGAGAGAGAGAGAGTATGTGAAAGTGAGACAGGATGTGTGAGGTAAACAAAGTGCTTTAAGGGGACACAAAGGTAGAAAGGGAAAAAGTCGTGCAGCGGTAGTGTATCGTAGTGCACCTACAAAGGTACAATTGTTTGCGCATTCGTTGCCTATCTCTTACCCATTTTATTCCAGTTATCCCAAATATTTCCACCTTCTGAATTCCACTAATTCCACTTATTCTGTTTGTTAACCCACAAGGTGCCCGGTAGTGCGTCGCCACCCGCTCAACCAGGCAATGCCGTCGACGATGGATCCATCAGGATCCTGATGTGTGCCGGTTGTTCCTGGAGATCGGCCTTCCTTTCTCGAGCTGCGATCCAGTCAATACAGGCATCACAGTATCATCGTCTGGCTATCATCAATCAGAGTCTCCTATCACAGCTGCATCGCGCAACTCATCGTCCGATCATCGTCTGATAGGGCAAGTCGTCCTCCTATCACCATACTATGCTGTCCAACGGGGCCTGACACACATTGACAAAAGCACCTTCGCACCCAGCAACGTACAGGGAAGGAGAAGCCGTTCCCTCAGCACCAAAGCAGCAGGCTGATGCCGCCGCTGAAACATGGCCGTGGGCCCATCACAGCAACACAATAGCAGCCGTGGACATCCAACATTGCGATGCGACTCGGACATTCACTGAACCGGTTAACGTGTTTGCACGACAGTGGGCCTCCCACCGAGGCCTTGCATAAACAGTGGACCCGTGCCTTTAAGCTCGCGGAGACCGCGTCGTTTTAGCGGTTCTTAGCGGTCGCGGGCCCTGTTCACTGCGTCATTCCCTTACTTTATGGCGGGGCGGCAGTCGGCGATCGCGCCGTAGTGGTGCTGCCAAGAGCGGCCGTTGACGCGCTGGCCGAAGGAGGGATTTGTGGGGAAAATGGAAGGGATCTGGGAGGGATGAGGGAATACTCGAACTACACAGCCGCGAATTGTGGCTATCAGACTGAACTGTTGGACGCAAGGGATTGAACCAGTCGGCGAGGATTGTGGTGTGCGCTGTGTGGTACCTGGCTGAGTTCCCGCACAACATATTGCCAATTCCCATCCAATGCCTCGGTGTCGATTTACTCTTCTCTTCCCACATCATCATCCCGAGAGAACTCGGGGACACGACAAGACAGAGTTTTACAAGCCTTACGCACGTGTATCCAAGCACAGGCACAGGTCTGAGTCCTTCAACCATGATGTCACAAAATCTCGGGATGTTACTCGGGGATCCACTGCTCCACCACCTCAAATAGCACAGGTACCACCGTTAGCACAAGACGGTGTGTCCACTATGGATGCAAGGGATGGTGCTGGGGTACACAATGGCTGATGGGAGACTCCTGTCGATCGCGTATCACAAATATCACGGGTCGGGTGCGCGCTCTTGCGTTCGCGTGTGCGTGCCTGGGATGCGCGTTGGCAAGAGATAGGACATTACGTATGGAGAGAGGGAGAAGCAAAGAGACAGAGAGGCAAACATGCAGCAGCCGTGTCTATACTCGAAACAGTAGCTTATAATATCCGATGAAGCCGTGCAAAAGACATGCGAAGCCGAATGAAGTCGCGAAACGAAACAATCAGTAGCCAAATCGTACCTTCCATATATCGTGTCTGAAACGGAAAATCCCCATCATAAATCACTAAAATCCCAAATTCCTTCTTTACATATCAGGGGGGTATCATCCGAACTCCACATCCCAATCCCAGCCATTGAAACGCCCATGTCCACTATTATATACACACTACACGCCTACAGTTGATCATCCTCATCCTCGCTCGACGTTAGCGGCTCCGGTCCTATTCCCATTCCTTGCATCTTATCATCAACCTCGCTAGGGGCACTGCGCGCATGTTTGTGCGACGTCGGCTGATTGAGAGCCTCGCTTCCTGTTCCTGCCTCATCAATTGCCTTAAAAGCACCTTCCCTGAACATTCGCGTGCTTGCCTTATCACCCTCGTTGATCGCTCTATCCCTTTCGCTTTGCAAGTACGCCTTCTGGGTGTCTCTGGTCGCGCCTTCCCTCTTGTCGAGCGCACCTTCCCAATCGACATCCATAGTCGCACCTTCCTCCCCATCCTCTGTATCTTCGACGACTCGCTCCAAGACCCTCTCTCTCTCCGCCTTCTCTCGCTCCTCCCTCATCCTCCTGCCCCTCTCCATCAGCTCTCTCATTCTCTCTGCCTCCTCATCCGCCTCCATCTTCTCTCTCCGCAGGCGATAGAACCTCTCCAGGCTCCCCCGCCGCTGCTCAGTTGTCCATCCCTCTACCACGAGCGCAAACGACGTGGCACTGTCGAACCCGAACGTGCGCGCCATTGTGCAGAACTGTCGCTTTAGAACATCGAGAGGGGGCCGGAATACGTATTTGCGGGACGGGCGGCCATCGGATGAAAAAGAGCGGTCGAGGTGACCGCTGTGGTCATCGTCGTCTTCAAAGAGCCGCCTCTCCCCGGCGAGGGAGTTGGGGATTGCGGCCTCGGCGCGGCGACTGAGTCTCTCTTCGACCTTGCTCGAACCCACCACCTCCGAATTCTCGTGCGTATATTCGACACCTGCGCTCGCCAGGATGGCGGAGATGGCGTCGACCTTCCGTTTAGGCCTCCGGGCTGCGGATTTAGGCTTGTTGTCGGCGGCATCGAAGTCGCTGATGATTTTGTCCACGAGCTGGCTCATCGCGGCATCTTCGCCCATGTCAGTTTCATCAAAGGGCATATCGTCGTCCGCAGTGGCATCCGCGTCGTTGACATCGATGTCAATGAGACCCACCCCGGCCTTGGCCTCAGCAACGTTGGTCTTATTGACAATGTCGCGGAGGACGACCTCGTCGGAGTGGAAGGAGAGGAGGTTAGCGAGACCGAAGATCTCACCCTTCTGGCCTTTTTGGTTCTGCACACCCTTGAAGTAGCGGCGTTCCAGTGAGGCATTGTAGCCAATGTTGGCTTGTTGCTGCTTGTAGATCTGGCGAGCATAGACGATCTCTTCCACCGTGCCGGCGCTGATAAGGCGGAACACCTCGACGTCGCGGGTCTGGCCAATTCTGTAGGCACGATCTTGTGCTTGTAGGTCGTAGGATGGGTTCCAATTGGGATCGAAGATGACGACCTTGTTTGCCGACGTGATGTTTAACCCAACCCCACCAGCTTTTGTAGAGATGAGAAACACGAACTGTCCTGGATCTGAGTTGAAGTCATCAACGACTCTCTGGCGGTCCTCATAGCTGAGGCTACCATCGAGAAAGGAGACGTTATAAGCCGTGTTGTGAAATAAATGCTGTAGCATCTTGAGCAACTTGACCGAATGGCTAAACACGAGCACTTTATCCCCATTCCCATGCCAAAACCGCAGAAGTCTCTTCAACACCCGCCATTTACCGCAGAACTCCGGGTTCGACAGGTTGAAGATAGAGTCTCGGTGATTATACAGATCTTCCCAGCGATCAGGCACCATAGCCTGCAGGAAATCCAAATCTCGCGTTTGTTTCTCCTGTGGGTCGGTCGACGACGGAATCAGCAGTGCCAGGTGGTTCGACAGCTTTTGCAGCGTGGCAATGACAGGAAACACTAGAGCCTGCCACTTAATCCCAGAGCCTGGCAGCGTGGCATGGCAACACCAGCCCCTCTTCTTGCCAGACATGCACTCGCACGGGTCCGCGGAGTGCTTGACAAGCTCGACCAAGTCGCCATCGAGGAAGCGCTCGTAGGCATCGCGCTGGACGCTGGTGAGCGGGCAGAAGACGACACGGTCGGATTTTTTGGGCAGCTGGTGTGCGATGAGGGATTTCATGCGGCGGAGGAAAAATTGCGGGAGTAGGTTCTCGACAAGCTTCTTGGCCGTCTTGCGCGCAATGCTGAGCTGTTGGATGCTGGCATCGTGGGATTGGCCAACAGCGAGGGGGAGACAGATGCTGGATTTCCAAGTTGAGAGCGGACCGAATCTGGGGAAGTTAGACATGATTTGCGTCGGTCTATGACTTATCGGATACTTACCGGCCAGGGTTGGTCCAGTTGAGAAGCGTCCATAGCTCTTCGTATTTATTTTGTATTGCTGTGCCCGTAAGACCGATCCGACATAACGCGTTGACTTCATTCATAGCTTGCGTGGTTTCGGATGTCCTTTCTTTAAGGATGTGGCATTCGTCGGCGACCACACAATCCCACTCGATCAAATTCAGCTGGCTTTTGTTCATCTTGTACGTCGTATAGGTAGTGATGAGAATCTCCAACCGTCCTGCTTTGGCGGCTTGGAATGCATCTTCTTTTCCAGATCCGTGGTACGAGTCGACATGCCAATAACCCCAGCGACCCAATTCTTGCTTCCAGTTTTCAATCAGGGTACCAGGACATACGATCAGCACCCGAGGATACCACCGTCGGTCCATAGCCCGCCGCATCTTGCGCATCCGCTTGAAGTCTCGCTCGTCACCGGTTTTGCCGAATGCAGCCGCGAGGAAGGCAGCTACCTGAACAGTTTTGCCTAATCCCATGTCGTCGCCGAGGATTCCGCCTTTCTGGTAGACGAAGAGCTCGTGGATAAACGCGACGCCTTGGACTTGGTAGTCACGGAGGTACTGTGAAATGGGAGCTGGGATTATTCCCGACGATTGAGGAAGTTGTATGTCCTTATATTCCCTTGAAGCTTTGATACCTGCCGAGAAATCCGGGCGTTCTTGTAGCTTCAGTAGCCTCCCATCATCTGAGAACTCGATATCGTCGTAATCCGGGGATAACTGAAGTCCTGCTTTCCGCATTTTCGCTTTGTTTGCGTCGAACTGCTTGCGTCGCGTCTTCAAATACTCCGGTAGCGAGTCCTCCATCATATCGAAATCGGAATCCTCTTCGACTACCGCCAGTTTCGATCCCCCGCCATCCAGCTTCGCTTGTCGGCGTCCCACAACGGCATTTTTCAGCCTAGAGGCCGCTTTCTTCCTCGTTGCGGCAGTCTTCTTTCGTTTCGTAGATGCGCGATTCTTGAACTTCTCGTATGCATTCTCGGATTCGTCGTCCGACCACTCAACTTTCTTCCCAACTTTGCGCTTGCCTTTGAGGCGTGCTTGCTTGGCATCGGTCGCTGGCGCGTTGTTTTCGTCTTCAGTTTCTGATCCATCAGAGATATTTATGACGCCTATTCACGTGAGATTCATTGCGACGAGATATGCAGTGGCATCCGTACCTTGGATATATTTGTCCGCCTGCAGAGCATTGCCATCATCGGAAGAGATCTCATACTCGACGGCCGCTGCGCTATCGATATGCGACATATTTGTATATACGCCTCCCCAGGAAGTCTAATTGGCTGTCACATAATTTCCTTGGTTATAAACGCTTGCTGGTGAAGCTATACTGTCATTAGTGTGATGTTCGTGGCCCGCCTTCCCAGGCAAGAAACGCGTTTACCGCCAACCTTCTGGCGATCGAGATCACGAGATCACGTGACTATTAAGATTTCACATTTATTTAAGGTGCTTACTAATCTAAACACGTTCACGTGCTAGATCAGTTTGTTGAAGCCACATCCGTCGCCATCTCGGCATATGATTGGTCCGTTTGAAGGATCATGATCCTATAACAACCACCAATCATGAGCCAAGTATGGACATTTCGATTTCTTAATCTTAGACATGCCGGCACATGAGAGTATACAGATCCCCAAGATCTTAAAATCTTCATCCCGTGTTCTTATTTAACTTTATTTATGACCACGGCACATCAAGCGCCCAGGTGAAGTCTATCCAGGCGGTCATCTGCGTATATATCACTCAGCCTGTGCCACCACATTCTGCCTCACTTTTTATCTTCTTTGCTTTTTGTTTTGCTATGATGTTGTCGGCTTCACCGTCACCAGCCCCCCCCCCTTGCAAGGTCATATTTGGCGGGCCGACCTTATAGTAGCCGGCCTATACTGGCAGGTGCGATGAGGTGCAGGGTGAAGAGGCAGCTGCCCGGCCGTTCTTTCCTAAATATTCTAGGATGTGGCTCCTTCTAGTGGATCGCCGGAGGCTCATAGGCGTCAATATTCTAGATCTCATGGACCACATAAGTATATACACCTGCCACAGTATCCTTTATCATATTTATCATTCCTTTCTTTGAATGCTATATTCCTATACTGCGTACCGTGGACCTACACATCTCATACCTCTGGCCATAGCCGCCATCTTTAAATCCCTCTTACTTGCATTGACTACAGACTAACCAGTCGCACGCTCCTATCATTATGCGGATTAACATTCAATCTCTGCTTTTGCTCGCATCGTTTGCTTCTTCTGCTGTTGGATGCAATGGCGACGCCCGACTCTGCGGCCGCAAATACTCAAATGTCACTCAGATCGGTGCCCATAACAGGTAAGGACCCCACAAAATTCGAGAAACGAAACTGAACCCCAAGCAGTGCCTTCGTAGGGGAGCTGCCGACCCAAAATCAAGGGCTCGAAGTCGAGGGGCAATTGGATATGGGGATCCGTTTCCTACAAGCTCAGGTAATATGCAACCCCCTTCAGGATATCTATCTCAGGAACTCACACTCAACAGACACATAATCTCTTTGGACTGGGTGAAATGTACATGTGCCATACGTCGTGCTTTCTCCTCAACACCGGCCCACTTGTGAAATATCTGGAGCGCATCAATAAGTGGATGGTGGCTCATCCAAATGAAGTTGTTACCCTTCTCCTCACGAACCAGGATAATGCGGATGTGTCCATTTTCGGCAAGGCAATGGTCAACAGCGGGCTCGCAAAGTTGGCATATACGCCGCCGAAGAAACTCGCTTTGAACGAGTGGCCAACTCTACAGGAGATGATTAATTCGAACAAGAGGCTCGTAATGTTCCTTGGTGGGTTCATGCTTTGCACTCCAGATGACCACTCTCTAATGCATGTTAGATTACCACGCAGATACCGCCAAGGTCCCGTACATCCTTGACGAATTCGCATACTGCTTCGAGACGCCCTTCTCCCAGACAGATTCAACCTTTCCACAGTAGGGCAATACCGAGTATGTCTGCATTGACAATTTGTACTGACAGTTACAGATGCTCTGTCGATAGGCCGCCCAATGCATCAGCAGCTGGTCGCTTCTCCATCATCAACCACGTACTCGACTTTGCTCTCACCCCCGGCAAGGATGGCGTCTTAATTCCAGATATCCTGCAGGCAGAGAAGACGAATAGTGTGGCATCGATCATGGCGCAAGTAGGGCTCTGCCAAAAGGCACATGGCGCCACTCCTAACTTCATTTTGGTGGACTATGCTGAGAGAGGTAATTGAACCCATCCGCGGATAAGTTACATATACTAACTCAAGTAGGCGAGGTGATCAAAGCACAGAATATGATGAATCATTTGTGAATAAATCACCAGCATTGAAGGACCGCTCTGCACCCTCTTTTCATTCCTAGTCGTCCCCTTTAAATTACACCTCTTGTCACCCATGTTCACATTTTATAGTTTGGGTATGAATACCTATACGAGTTATGAAATTTGATTTATAATCACCCTTGACATGACACACAGGATACGATTGAGACTTATCTTTAGTTTCGTGTGATTTTATCTATGTGCAGATCTATCATGCTATTCTGATATCTTCAGCTCTAAATGTCACAAGCAGCTGTGCAGCCCCATTCTACGTCTCCTGCCCCAGCCTCACAACTTTGCCCTCCCCCCCTCATCGACCAATTCCACAGCCAATACCCCCTCACCAACCTCATCACCGTCCTCCCCCTCAAACACCCATCCCACTACCCCCTCCCCACTTGCTCGAATCTCCAACTCCATCTTCATCTGCTTAACCACCGCCACCACATCCCCTTTCCCCACACGATCTCCAACATCAACCAGAAGCTCTACAAGCTGTCCGGGGAATGGGAACACAATGTGTCGCGCGTTACCTGCTTCCCCGCGACGGTGTGCGGAAGTTAGGGCGCCAGCAGAAGCAGCGGTGGATGTCAAAGCGAGGGTGTATGACATTGGTGGTGCCGAGGGTGCTGTAAAGAGGATATCGGCTGTGAGCGAGGAGGGGAAATCATTACGAAGGAGTTTGGTGAGGAGGAGATGCGCAGGGGCTGGTGGCGGTGTGGAGGAGGAGGATGCGGTTGTTGTGGGGGTGAGGGTTAGTGACCAGGCATCGCCTTTGCGGAGAGGGGCACTCGAAGAGGATGGGGCAAATGCGGGGGCTGCGGACGGGGTGGCGGGGCTAGGGATGGTGGCGGTGATGGAAGTACCTGCCGCAAGGAGGGCGGGGAGGGTGCTCTCGAGCCATTGCGTATCACACGCCTGGGCTTTGAAGGCGGGGTGTGCGAGGATTCCGCGGAGTGCTGGAAGGGAGGTCTTGACTCCTATGATGTGGGTGTCGTTGAGGGCGCGGATGGCTTTAGCGACGAGGTCTGTCCAGCTGGAGGTAGTGATAACAATCTTGGCGAGGAGGCTGTCGAAGTCGGTTTTGACGACGAGGCCGGCCGTGAGATGATGGTCCACTCGGATACCGTTGCCGGAGGGGAGGGCAAGGGAGTTGATGGTTCCAGTATTAAGTGCCCAGTTTGCAGTGGCATCTTCGGCGGTAATGCGAAGCTGGAGGGAGTGGAGTGGAGGAGGGACAAGGGGGTCACGGGAGATATTCGGGAGGAGAGTGTCGAGTTCTTGTCCTGCGGCGAGACACAGTTGAACCTTGACAAGATCCAGGCCGGGGCAAAGGGATTCCGTAATAGTGTGCTCGACTTGTAGTCTTGGGTTGACTTCGAGGAAGTAGAACTCGGGCTTGGAGCTGTGGACGAGGAACTCGAAGGTCCCGAGAGATAAGTAGGACACCTTTCTCGCCATGCGCATCGCGGCTTCGATGACGCGTCCGACCACCGCTCGGTCCCTGATAGAGCTCGGTGCGAACTCGACGACCTTTTGGAAGCGCCTCTGGATGGAGCACTCTCGCTCCCATAGATGTCGGACATTTCCTGTCCCATCACCTACAATTTGCACTTCCACGTGGCGGTAGCCATCCACTGCAGCTTTCTCGGCAAATACAAGTCCTTGTGGGCTCTCTCGCAGCGCTCTTTCCATTAGCCCTGCCAAGTCGCCTTCTTCTCTCACAATGCGGATGCCTCTTCCACCTCCGCCATCAACAGCTTTAATGATGATAGGCCAGCCTATTTGCGTTGCAAATCGCCTTATATCCTCAACGTTATCAGTCGGCGTCTGTAGCGCAGGTAGCACGGGGACTTTGCATTCTTCTGCCAATTGGCGTGCAGCGAGCTTATCTCCAGTACGGGCTAGAGTTTCCCATCCTGGGCCGATGACAACCGCGCCGGCCTCCGTCCATGCTCGGTGCGCAAACTCAGCCGACTCGGAGAGAAAGCCATACCCAGGGTGGACGGAATCAATGTTGTGGGATTTTATAATGGCGATGAGGGCAGGGATGTCCAGGTAGGTTGAGGGTGATGGAATCGAGACGGCGTGCGTCGATTGAAGGGTATGAGAGGTGTCGTCTGCGGTGTATAGGGTATACGTTTCGAGGTCGAGTTCGCGGGCGGAAGATAGAATTCTAATTGCAATTTCGCCTCTGGATCTAGTCAATTGCTGGTAGTAGGTAGAGTAGGGTTGGGTCATACTTGCCTATTAACAATAAGAAGCCGCCTGATGGGGCGAGTGGGCTGGTGTGATTCTGCCATGCTGATGTGGAATTATATACGTGGTATATAAGTCCTATGCATTTGATGAAGTATATATATATATATTCCTCCTGTTATGTCCTTCGTTATGGTCTCCGTTTTTCTATATATTAGTAGTTGTGCGTCTCGTTGCCGGAGGTTGTTCTTGTTACCCATTACCCCACCATTACCCCACAGCCTCGAAATCCGGGGTTGGTTGGGCCGAGGCTCAGCCTCGTGGTACACACAACCTTGGCCCTGGCTATCTATTCGGTGCGGGGACTCCTGTAGCAAACTACGGATATATCAAATCGGCAATCTATATCCTATATCTACCTAGCGCAATGCCGACTTCGCTGTGATTGATTCTTGCTATTTTATTTTATTTCTTTTGCAGTGACATTGTATCGGATTCTTGTATAGATAGAGATAGAGATAGAGACTCTCACAGCAGCGAACGCCGCCTCACGACCCGAACCAACATATCAATCCCAGACAGCAGTTAGCCATACACTGACCATGGGTTCCAAACCTGACAAGCCTACTTCCTCAAGTCCCACTGATCGTCTCTCACAAGTCACAAACCACATCAACCCGCCCAACACTCCCCGAAAGCGCCGCCAAAAGTCTGATTCCGCCCTTCCAGCAGATTATTCCGATATCCTCGCACAAATATCCACTCTTCAGAATCTCGCTGCAAACCCCGATCCCAATCATGTGGGCTACGCGCGTCAAAAGGCAGCTGGGAAGCTCTGGGTCCGCGAGCGGGTAAACCGGCTTTTCGACCCTGGAACTTTCTACGAGGTAGGTTCCGTGGCTGGAACTGTGGAGTGGAAGAGGCTCGCCGGGATCAAGGAGGAGCCGGTGGCTTTCACACCAAGCAATAATGTGCAGGGTTTTGGCGCGCTGCGTGGGAGGAAGGTAGTCTTCACTGCGGATGACTTTTCAATTCGTGCAGGTCATGCGGATGGCGCGTTGGTTGAGAAGACGATTTATATGGAGAAGATGGCGATTGAGCTCCGTCTCCCGATTGTTAAGCTTGTAGACGGCTCGTCTGGTGGTGGAAGCGTGACTACGATCAGAACACAGGGATACAGTTACATCCCGCCTCTGCCTAGCTTCTCGCAGGTAGCGAAACAACTCGAGCTCGGCATCCCTAATCTCGGCGCCGTTCTGGGTCCCGCAATTGGACTCGGCGCCGCACGTGTCGTCTCCTGCCATTTCTCCGTCATGGCGGGGGACATCGGCTCCCTCTTCAATGCAGGCCCGAAGGTAGTCGCAGGCGCGACGTTTGAAGAAGGCCTCTCGTTCACGGACCTCGGCGGGCCGGGGATGCACTGCACGAATGGGACGATCGACAACCTCGCCGCGGACGAAGAAGGATGCTTTGAGCAGCTGCGTACTGTGTTGAGCTACCTTCCGAACCACGGCCTGGCGCTACCGCCGGTGATCAAGAGCCAGGATCCGGTGGAGAGAAGCTGTGAGAGCTTGCGAACTATCATCCCGCGCAAGAGAACGAGAATGTATAATCCGCGCACTATCATTGAGACAGTCGTCGATGCGGGGAGCTGGTTCGAGATTGGCGCGCTTTGGGGCACCACTGCTATCACCGGGCTTGCAAGGCTCGATGGCCGGCCCGTCGGGATCATAAGTCTGAACTGCGAGGTCAACGCCGGGGCACTTGATGCGTTGGGAAGCCAAAAGCTGACACGGCACCTGAAGTTCTTGGATACGTTTAATATTCCGCTCGTTCAGTTTGTGGATGTGCCAGGTTATGCTATCGGCACGGTAGCTGAGCGGTCGGCGACTATGCGGCACGGTGTCGCGCTTGGAACGACGTATTTCAGCACCACGATGCCGGTGTTCTCCGTGATAACGCGGCGGGTATACGGTGTTGCCGGAGGGCTCATGCTGGATTGTCGGGACCCAAGGATGCGTATTGCGTGGCCTAGCGGAGAATGGGGAAGCCTGCCACTTGAAGGTGGCATTGATGTCGGGCACGCGGCAGAGCTGAGAAAAATCGAGAAGGAGAAGGGGAAGGAGGCTAGGGAGCTGCGGTATAAGGAGCTTGACGAGGAGTATCGCCGACTGATGAATCCGGTGAGGACCGCGAATGCGTTCGCGGCGGAGGAGATTGTGGATCCAGCACTGACGAGGCGGATTACGAGTGCATGGGTTAAGCATGTGTAAGTTTCTCTATGTGCGTGAAAGATGAGGTCTGCGCGGTTTACTAATGGTGATGCAGGTACGAAGAGTTGTTACCTATCCGCCTCATGGACAGGGCGAATGGGAAGATCAAGCCTGTATTTTACTAAATATAGATCAAAATAATTATCTTCAAGTCTAAACGTTACTATAATCAATGTGTTATGCGCGGCACATCAGGTGTGAAAATAGTTAATTGTTGAATTATAGCCTGTGTTTATCCATCCCACTGATGGGCACATCTATCTCCCTCACAAGACCCCGCCATAAGCTAAGGCAATAAGTTTGAATTCCAGGGCAAATGTTAGGTTATTATCTTTTTCTTTTCCTGCAACACCTTCCATGCTATATTTGCAGGTCATTCATGCCGAGTTTGGACGGGCTTAGTTTGACAATTTCCTCATAATGCCGTATCATCGGGGGACGGAGCGAATATTCACACCTTGTCACATCAACACGCGGGCGTGCATCTATCATCCCCCCCGAACCACGCCTCACGCATCAACTTTCATCCCGCCCCCAGCCTCGAACCCCTCAACCTATTATCTCTTTCAAACCCTCCAAGCCCCACTCCGCCTCGCTCACCTCCTCCTCCCACATCTTCCTAAACGCCAGAAGCCTTTCCGTCCTCTCCCTAGCCATCTTCGCCCCCAATGCCGACTTCATCGACCCCACCACCTTCACCAGTTTATCCTCGAAATGATCCAGCGAAGTCTCCATCCCTCTACCCTTCGCGCCCCCAAACGTAAACACCCTCCCAATCCCGATGGCACCAATAGCATCCAAGCGATCCGCATCCTGCACGACCTCCAGCTCCGGGTATTTAGCAATAACATCCCGCACGACCTGCGGATCCTTGACCTCCGACGAATACGACACAGCTGACGCGATAGTCTGGACCTTAGCAGCGAAGTTTTCCGTGGCACCGAAAGAGAGGAGGACGTCACGCACGAGCGTGGTGCTGTCTTGGTGGGGTAGCAGGTATTTTCTGTCTCCTACGTCGTGGAGGAGGGCGGCGAGAATGGTAGTAACGCGGTCGTAGCGAGCGGGGTCCTGGGCACGTAGAATTTGCGAAAGCCCCAGGACACGGAGGACGTGTGCGAAGTCGTGGGAACCATCGTAGGGGGCCATGTAGGACTTGACGTAGTCGGTGACTTGGTGGATAAGGTCATGGGGGAGGCCATGGCGGAGGAGATCAGCCTCGAGGCTGTCTGGGCGGATATCTGCGGGGAGTTTGGGAGGTGGTGCGGGGGCTGACATGGTGATCTAAACTGGGCCAAGCTGGACCGTCGCGTTTTGAAGGTTTATTTCTGTGGTGTGAGAATGTAATGGCGGGTTCACTGTGACAGCTGGCGATTTGAGCTGTGGGCGAGGTGGGATGGCGGTGACGCGGGGTTTCCAACGCGATTTTGTATGCTCGCTAAATGGTCCAAACTGGGACTGGTAGAGACGTGAGATGAGAAGAAGGTTTGGATCTAAGATTTGAGGTTTAAGATCTGTAGATATTATAGATTAATCAAATATGAAGCTTATTTATGTCGGACCATTTGACGTCAAGGTGACGACTCTAAATCGCCTCACCGCGGGGTATAGTCAGATTTTAGAACATGCGCTAATATATTACGCCAAGAAAAGGTAAATCGAACCCCAACACCTAATATATTCCTTCAGGGATTATAAATCATACTATACTTCTAATAAATAACTGTAAAATTGTACCAAATAATATAGCAATATAATATCGTTGACAAGCAAAATGTCGTCGCTCCCTAAATGCCGATGTAATTACCCCTCGGCATGGCGATCGGAGACTGTCCAACCCCTCTTCCCCACACTGCGGGGTAGTCAAAGCATACTTCCTCCACCAACAGTGGCCTCTCATTTGAACGCCGTTGGGGGCGCCGTCCATAAACATATCCACCTCGGTAGGTAGTACAGGTGGGAAACTTGTTCAAAGGTAAAAGGAGCTGCACTTTCTTTCATCATGCCATCTCTTTCTCCAAACTAAAATTTCTATAACACTGCCTCGGTGTAAATTATAACATTGCACCTAACCTAACATATTATTTGTACTATTATCTGCAACTATGTCCGAATCTGTCTCGCAAAGACTTGCTCAGATAGCTGCTACAGTGAAGAAGGACGGTGCCGCAGACGTTATTCCGTGGGACCCGAAGGCTACGAGTTTCCCGTCCAGGGGCGACCTCCCAAAGATTGAGAATGCGCCAGATGGAGCGTAAGTCAAGTAGATATTACTACCAGCTCTACTTGCAACTTCCAATTCGTGGTAAGTATTTAGATCAGACGCTGACAGAAGCAGAGCATGGATTTGGGGTAGTGATGATCAGGTAGGACCAAGAACTCATGGGGTAGAATTATGTCTCACAATATACAGCTGGGAAGGCTAAACCTCCTCACCCCCGCCAGAGTCGCAGCTGCCGGGAAGCTTATCACAGACGGTGATATTGTCAGTCTGAAGTACGCCGCCCTCTTCCCAAACAAACCCTTACTAACCTCTCCCCCAGCCTCCCTCTCAACGTTCCCGCCGTTCCCGCCTTCAACCGTGAGCCTTTCCAGCACAAAATCAAGCCTCTATTCCCTGGCCTTGTCTATGATGACACCTACACGCTAAACACGCAGAGCGGCACGCAATGGGATGGCTTCCGACACATTTCCCACATCAAGACGGGCCAGTTCTACAATGGCGCCACGGGAGCTCACATCGATGGTGCGGAGGCGAATAATCATCGCTGCTCAATCCACCACTGGTCTGACCATGGAATTGGTGGAAGGGGGGTGCTACTAGATTACTGGACGTACGCACAGGATAATGGGATTAAATACGGTAAGTCCGCCTCGAAATACTCCAGACAGAAGACAATGTTAACCTACAGACCCTTACGAATACCATGCAATCTCCCTAACCTCGCTCGCCGCGTGCGGTAAAGCCCAGGGAATCGACATCCGTCCCGCCGCACAGGGCGGCGACATTCAAATCGGCGACATCCTACTAATCCGCTCCGGTTTCGTGTCAACTTATAACTCGCTTGGCCCCTCGGAGCGCGCCGCCGCCGCGCTACGTCCTCACGTCCACGGTCCTGAGGACGGGATGAGGTGGGCGGGAGTCAGCGCCGAGGATGAGATGGTGGATTGGCTGCACGATTCGTACTTTGCAGCCGTAGCGGGCGATGCGCCGAGTTTTGAGGCGTGGCCGACTCGGCGCGCGGATGGGGGGATGCTGCATGAGTATATTCTTGCGCTGTGGGGGATGCCGCTGGGAGAGCTGTTTGATTTGGAGAAGTTGGCGGAGGTGTGTCGGCGGAAGGGGAGGTGGACTTTCTTCTTTAGTAGTGCGCCGGCGAATGTGCCGGGGGGTGTGGGAAGCCATGCAAATGCGCAGGCATTTTTCTAAAGGATGCGTAGGTGGGGTGCTGGCGAGACTGTGGGGTTGATCTGTTATCATATTTGTTCTTGCCAGCAACAATGAACCCTCCAGTTCGAGTACTGTTACCAGTTAAATATCAACGGTAGATATACGAGGTTAGCAGCAAATATTGCAACACGCGAGATACTTGATCTAGCTCCTTCATTCCTGAAAATGCTCAAGGTGTTTATTTCCCTTCCCTCGTATGACCTTATCTCAGCTTCGTACCACCTAGTTCGGCGACCAAAGCAACGCTGACATGTTCGTCACATCGGCATATGTCCCTTGTTGGAGGCCTCTGTGACTTCTTTTCTGCAGATACAGTAATCATCTACAGTTTTAGACAGTCTAAATCCCTCTCTGTGAGGCCAACAGCCAGTCGACGTGCTGCAAAGGGTCAGAGGCCTATCTGCAAGACCACTAGCTGGTGATGGTGGTATAAAGGAGTGAGGCTGGGCTGAAGAAGTCGAGATATGGCGTTGATACGAGCTCATGGCAGGGTGGGACAAGACGCGACCAGCTACTGATCCTCCATCCCAGCTGGTTCATTGCATGTTAATCGTCTTCCTAAGCAACTCTAGACACAATTAATTCAACGCTGTTCGTGGATCCAAATTTCCACGATTAATTAACAGGAAGTAGCGAGAAAGTCAATAAAGAGTTTCTGAACTCGTTATCACAGCAGGATGAATACACCTTTTTTTCCACTGTCTTGGCGAGTGCCGTCTCTTTAAAACCATTTCGTCGTTCATCTCCGCATTGCGTCTTCGCATTACAAGGGGACGCAATTTACCTACCCTAGGGCTGACGTCCCGTATTCGCATCTCGTATGAGAGGAGTCTGCTTCGGATAGAGACATATGCGGTGAATATTCACAGATTTTCTACCAAAAGCACATCGTATGCATATAGAAGTGATAAATTATAGCCATAATAGCCTCCTTTCTCTGAACTCTGTGAGGACTAACGATGTGAGGCGGCATGTGGGGACGGCAAGACGGCGCCCAACTTCGCCGACCACCGACTCGGAGTCGGGCATAGTTGAACCGTATCCGTAACGGAACACAGCATCACATCACACCCCAATTTGTAAATCGTCGTACCCCCTACTCCGTCCAGCCAACCCCCCCCCCGCCGATCCCCGAGGCCGAGTCCGCCAACGCCGACCAACCAGGTCCCCTAGCGATCGATTACGTTAGGGTTAGCACCCCCTTCTCGCGCGAATCTAGCACCACGATATAGGGCGGCGGTAGGCTCTATTTCGAAGAATTTTGAAGACTGAATCGTTTCCCTTCCCGCCCTGAAAGCGGAAGAGCTGAGCTAGCATGCGGGGTTCGGGCGCGCCGCCTGCACTCCACACCACCAAGGCGGTGCCGAGGTGGTGTGTATGCGCTGGGCGCGCGCATGTGAGCTCATAGCTGCGTATAGCGGGCTGGCGTGGCCAGTTAGGGGGACGGCATTACGAGACGTAATGAGGCATAACGAGGCATAACAAGAGGAGGAGTGAGGTGTTTGGGCGGTACTGACGGGATGTTCGATATATGAGGAAGCGACACCGAGGGTTATATCGAATCCGCCGGAGTCTAGAGCGCATACGCACACCTAGCCACGTGGTAAAAGTATAGATTGCCTTGCCAGATCCTTGGAGATTCTCCTTGCCTTAGAGACAGTCGGGGAGACTGACTGCCCGGAAGGGGTTGTTGGCATCGTGTGTAGGCATAACCTCCGAGGCACCGTTATAAGTACCATATAGGGGTCCTGTACCACCGACAGCAGTAGCCATACGGAGTACCTCAATTTGTATTATGATAGATGATTGTGATAATGGATCTGTGTACGACATATGCTTTTTAGTATTTGCATGTTGTATAGTTTGCTCGGAGATAGTATGCATGATTAGAGAGAGCAAGGGATGGAAAGTACGGTGGTGAGGTTACTGTTGGATGTACGAACAGTGGGGTACGACAGTGCTCAGAACTCGAAGGTAGCTTCGTTTTAGACCTCAAACTAGTCCACGACTGTAACTCGGCCCCGCGCTCTTAAAAGAAGGCAGGCGCCTACATCGTAATTTTCTTGTTTGACGTGCTTTCCTCGATCGACTCTACTCTGCTATATTCTCCTATCCTTTCTCTATCATCCTGCCAATTCCTTCTTTCTTGCGTTGAAGCTATACGTTCCTATATATTGGTGTATATATAAGTGTCCACGCCTACTAGGCGCATCCTCTGATACTTACCCGTCACCCACCGTCACCACCGCCCCTCCAACCGCCGCAATGGCTCTTCCCCTCGCCTTCCTGGGCATAATCTACCTCCTCGTCTCCTACGTTGGCTACCTCGTTCTCCAATCCATCCTCACCAAGCGCCACAATGCCCGCCGCGCGCGCGAGCTCAAGTGCCTCGACCCGCCCGCCCTGCCGTCTACGCGCATCCTCGGTATCGACCATCTCAAGACCGCCCTAGCAGCCGACAAGAACAAGGAGTTCCCCGTCGAGTTGGGACGGCGTCAGGACCAGGTTGGCGCACCGACGTTCACGTATTCGACGATGGGGTCGACGATGATTTTCACTTCTGGTGAGTCCCCCCCCCCCCACCACCTCCCCCACATTCACCCCTCATCCCCAACTGAACCAAGCTAACGCATATCCCAGACGAGAAGAACATCCAAGCCATCCTCGCGACACAGTTCAAGGACTTCGTCATCGGCCACAAGCGCCGCCGCAACTTCTTCCCCCTCCTTGGCAATGGCATCTTCACACAGGACGGCGCAGGCTGGGAGCACTCTCGCACGATGATGCGCCCCCAGTTCGCGCGCGACCAAGTCTCCGATCTCGACCTCGAGGAACAGCACGTACAGAACCTTATGCGCGCCATCGTGCCCAACGCCAACGGATGGACAGATACTATCGACCTGCAAGTCCTCTTCTTCCGCCTCACACTCGACTCCGCGACTGAGTTCCTCTTCGGCGAGTCCGTGGACAGCCAGCTCGTTGGACTGCCAGGATACGTAAAGGACAGCTCGCGCGACGAGAGCCAGGACGAGGAAGTCTTCGCCGCGGCCTTCGACAAGGGACAGAGCGTCCTGGCTACGCGCTCGCGCATGCAGGGACTCTACTGGCTATACAACCCCAGTGACTTCAAGAAGTCGTGCACAGACTGCCACGCCTTCATCGACCACTTCGTTCGCCTCGCTCTGTCCAAGGATCTCCCCAGCGCTGCTGAGAAGTCCGCCCCCGCCGACGCTGAGAAGGGGAAGAAGGAGAAATACGTCTTCCTCGAGGCTCTCGCCGCTGAGACACGCGACCCGATTGAGCTGCGCTCGCAGATGCTGAATATTCTCCTCGCTGGACGTGATACCACCGCCTCGCTGATCGGATGGGTGTTCTACTCTCTCGCGCGCGACCCGGTGCGCTACGCTAAGCTGCGCAACATCATCCTCGAGGAGTTCGGGACCTACAGCCAGCCGCGCGACATCACCTTCGCGCGCCTAAAGTCGTGCCAGTACCTGCAGTACGTGAACAACGAGGCGCTCCGTCTTTACCCCGTCGTGCCGGTGAACTCGCGCACGGCGAACAAGGATACCACGCTTCCCCGTGGAGGGGGACCGGATGGGAAGAGCCCGATTTTCATTCCGAAGGGGAGAGCGTGCGATTACAGCGTGTTCGTGATGCATAGGCGTAAGGATCTTTGGGGAGCGGATGCGGATGAGTTTATTCCTGAGAGGTGGGAGAAGAGGAGGGTTGGGTGGGATTTCTTGCCGGTGAGTTGATATATATTTTTCCTATTTTCTTACCCCATAAGCACACCCATAAGCACCTTATTTTACCCCCACACGAAACCCCATACTAACTATTTCCCAGTTCAACGGCGGCCCACGCATCTGTATCGGTCAGCAATTCGCGCTCACCGAGGCGTCGTACGTGATCGTGCGTCTGCTGCAGCGCTTCGACGCGGTGGAGAACCAGGACTTCAGCGGCAAGGCGCTGCATAACCTGACGCTCACGAGCTGTAGCGGGACGGGGGTGGTGGTTAAGCTGCATGCTGCGGAGGAGTAGGTGGTGAATAGGGATGGATGGGGGTTTGGGTAATAGGGTGGGATCGGGGGATGGGTGGGCTGTATGAATATTATTTACTAGGTTTGGGATGATAGGTATCCGCTACATGAATTGAAATGACTTACATGCACCACACTACGCACTGCTGCCCGTCGTGAAGTTCTCATCGCTCACTCAGCTTGTCGGATACTCTTCTATATCCACGATGATCTTTTTCACTCTTCCCATCGCGAGGCGAATAATAATGAAGATCTTAATAACGAAGATCTTATTAATCACCGTCCGTCGTATGACGTCCCAGCAACCAAACCAACGGGCTAATCAATCACCCCTCCCCCCAATGTCGCAGCTGCCGATCAGGCAATCTGCCCTTACAGCAGCAGCCACTATAGGCGACGTCGCACTGTAATCTCCTCCCCTAGTAGCTCATCTCGTCTCGTCTGCCAAGTCTGTCACTCTGTCGCTCTTATCACCCTGTGCCTCGACGTCGCCTATCTCCCCTTGTCCCGTGCTTCTAGCACAAGCACGGGGAAACGACGTCGCCGGCACTTCCCCGCACGCGACGGAATAAGGTGCCTCGGCGTGGCGCTGGGGAGGCGTTCGACTTGCATTGTAATGGGGAGATGCGATTCGGTGTTTGGGACGGTAGAGGTTACTCTATTTGCGGGAAGGAGGGGGGTGGTATTGGAGTACTCGTGGTATTGGGTGGTTGGAGGATGGGGCTGTGTTGGACGAGGGAGGTGGGAGGTAGGTAGAGGTACATGGGATTTGAAGATAGGTGAGGAAGGGGGTAGGGAGAGCTGGCTAGGCCTAGGAGATAGGTCTAGGAGTGACGGGCTCGGTTGGCGGCTGGGTGGAGTTGGAGTTGGAGTTGGTCTTGGTGTTGGTTGGTCTTGGTATTGAAGCGGATCTTGGTATTGAAGAAGCGTATCTTGGTATTGAAAGCGCGGTGCGTGCTTTATTTTGTGGTGCTTGATGGTCTTCATGGTGTTGTGTATATAGTCGTCTTTATATACAAAATCACTGCCATTGAAGTTTGTGATAGTGCTTACTGCTTACTGCTAAGTGTTAATGGAATATTCCTCTACTAATCATCATGATCTACTCCTACCGGCGTTCCGTACAGTGCATCTTGCTGTGTCATAAGTCACAGTACATCCACGTACCACACGCCCAATTCCCTAAAACCCCACGAATGCAACGAACCGCCGCATTAAAAGCCAAGGCAGGCCAAGTCAGTAAACCAAAGTCAGTAAAGCGTGAAAGAGCCAGTATAACCCAAGTCCAAGTAAGTAAAGTCAAGCCTCCCCCTCAAGCCAATCCATTTTCCCTCATTTTTTCCCTCACTTCCTACCCGGAAACAGCTAGGCACGCCACAAAAATGTTGGGACAAAATCGGGGGAAAGGCAAGGTACAGGTACATAATCGGCCTCATCTAGGCTTCCATCACCGCGGTCAGATACTCCTAGTTGGCTAGTTGGTTCCCCACGCCAATAATCAGCGCCAGCAGTGCCCTGTAGGTAAGCTAGAAGGTCTTAGTGACAGGTGATAGCCAAGAAAATTGCTGGGCGTGATCAGCGATGGTGCGTCCGTTCCTCCCTATTCGACCCTGCGTCCACTCCCTAGCTGGTCTCGGACAGTGGTCGGTCTCATAGCTCATAGGGATAAAATGGGATAAACGGGATAGAGGACAACCACTAATAACTCGTACGTCGTAGCATAGTATGACACCAAAAGTAACGAGTACTCTTTCAATCGTCAGCGATTTCTGACGAACCGAAGCGCGCTGACGAAGGCGCGCAGATGTGACGTAGTTTGTGTAAGGACGACGGAGACAGACAGAGGACGGAGGAAAGGGGGATGGATGTTAGGGAAGGCGCGAAGGGATGAGTGATGCCCGGGAAAGGCAGGAAGGAAGGAAGGAAGAAAGGAAGGAACCAGAAGGAACCAACCTGTCTCGTGTTTGCTCCTTCCCTCGGTCCAATTCCTTACTATACTCACTCCTGCGTCGTCGTCTGCTCTTTCCCTTGTTGCCTTGCCTGGCTGACTGGCTGTGCTGTCATGTCCTGCATATCCTCATACATACGTACGGATGGACACTCGTTCATACACATACGGCTATACCACGGCTCCTCCACGGCTACACTCTACGATGTTAGGTAGGGGACAAACTCGACTTTTCCCCATTATGCCGTACGCCGTATGCATGGGGACGACTGGAAGCACATGAAATCGACAGCTCAAATCGCCGGTCCAGTCCGTGAGCTCATCTAGACCAATCCCCACCACCCCAAACCCCAAACCCACATATTTGTATCTCTACATTTGCGTGAACCCGTCGATTCCATCCAATATTGACCCTTCTACAGGTCAATCCTCTCCACTATCTCCATTCCGGGGGTGGCTTGCGCGCTGGACCTTACCCATCTTGGCAGGGTAAGCACCAGCAGCTCTGCAAATTATGCATGCACGTCCATAATAATAACTCCCCCCTCTCTCTTCTCCAACGGATTCCACCCCCCTACCCTCCCCTTCCCAGATTCTAATCTCGTGTTGCCCCCGATCCTTATAAGCAGTCCTGCCCCGTCTCACTCAATTCTGCACACTCCAAAAGCTCGTTGTACAGACTCCAGACATTGTAATATCAACTCAATCGCACAAGCTTCAATCACCGTCTCTCCAAATCCAAAACAATCAAAATGCAGTTCTCCCACGCTCTCATCCTGGCCTTCGTTGCCTCCGTCTCCGCCCAGACCGGTACCATTGCCGGCGACGTCGCTGCCCTCCCCGACTGCGCGAAGAAGTGCATCGACACGGCCACTCTCAATGCCGGGTGCAAGTCCGTCACTGGTTCGTTCCGTCCCCCCCGAGTCACCTACCTCGCTCGCATAAATGAGGGGCATGAACACAACAGAAGACACACAGCATACTGACGTACCACAAAACAGACTACGCCTGCCAGTGCGGTTCCGCCCACGACACCATCAACAACGCCGCCGCGCCCTGTGTTGCCTCGACCTGCCAGCCCACTGATCTTACCAGTACGTCCTCCCCCCCATTCCATCCCTTCCGACTCAAGCAAGAGCACGCCCGCTAACCCCCCTCCAGCGGTCCTGAGCCTCACCGCCGAGATCTGCAAGCTGGTCGCCGCCGGCGCCCCCGGCAGCGGCGGTGGCTCCTCCGCCGCTGAGTCCTCCACTGCCGCGTCCTCCACTGCCGCTTCCTCGACTGAGAACTCCTCCTCCGAGACCGCCGCGCCAACCGGTGGATCGTCGTCGACTGAAACCTCTGCACCCTCCTCCAGTGGTACCTCTGCGCCTTCCTCCACCGGCGGCGGCGCGGCCCCGAGCAGCACCGGTACCGGTGAGAGCTCCACCGGTGCCAGTGAGCCAACTACCAGCGGTGGCAGTGCCGCCCCTACCTCGAGCACCGGAGCTGCGGCCACTGGGTCGTGGAACTTCGCTGCCGTGGCTGCTGGTGCCGGTGTTGTGGCTGCCGGGCTCATGTAAATTAGGGTTGTGTGATAATGTGCAGGATGGGGAAAAGTTGGGGGGTGTAATGTGGGGTGTGGGGATGTAATGGACTGAGTGTTCACTCGTTTGGCGGTGTAGGCTTGACTGGTCGATTGATTGATGGATCGAGAGATTGTATTAATTGTATTGATCGGAGGGATAAAAGCTAAAAAAGATGGATGTGTATTAAATGAAGTATGCGCTCCTTACCGTGTGTTCCGTACGTAAATGTGATATTTACCCACTGTGAAGTTCGTCTTCTATTGTGTTTGGTATCGTGTTCTATTAGAATTGTGATAATTGTATTGTTGCTCGTTGTGAGGTGTTTGCGATGGTGGTATGCAACAATCGATCGACGAACCGGAGAGGCTCGAATATACAAAATATATATAAGTAATAAGTGAAGCAAATAAGTAAATTAATAAGTAAATCAGAGAGCTGCGTATGTGATGCGCCCTTCGAGTCTCTCGTATAGCTCGATCGTACCTTCCGGGTGGAATATTTGGTGATATTTACTAGACATCAACTTCGCTTGGCGTACTTGCCTCCTTTAACATCACGACCACGATAGCTCCTTCCTCGCTCAAATCTTGCCATTGAGTCTTTATATTCAGTGTATGGGCAGACGGGTATATATATACTATTTATGCACCCCGCACTTCGCCCTCCCGTCTCTCCTTCATCTCCCCTCCACCTCTTCAAAGTAACACCTCGGTCACCACCGAATCCACCGCCAAATCTACCACAAACATGCCCAACTACTCCACCACTCGCCGCCCAACCCCAAATCTCCAATCTCCAATCCCCATCTCCAAATTACCAATCTCGACCCAAATCCACAATCCCTCACTGCGCCCTCTCCACTATCCCGCAAACTCGCCAACCAGTCGTGGCATACAAACCTGCCAATCCCTTATTTCCGGCCTATCCTAGTCGCGGGAATAACGCGGAAGTGACGGCCGGCCGAGGCGCATTTTTAGGCCCCGTCTTCGGTCAACGACCGATCATTTTTTCGTCGTTCGTATTGGGAAATGCGGTGAGGATGGCGGTGACGGGGAGGAGGGAATGAAAAGATGAGGATGAAGAATTATAAGGAGATGGGTATGTCAGAGACCTGAAGATGGGGAATCCTACGCTTATAAAAAGCACCATTGTTTGCGGTGGTGGGGTAGAAGAAACTGGGACTAAGTGCCGGACGGTGGGTTAGCTTCCAGAATCTTTTCTCCACACTCCATTCCCCTCAACCACTTCCAGCCCATCCCAATGCCTTATCGCGGCCTTGGCCCGATGTTCGGCCCCAGGGATTACGGCTGTGGGTTTATGGGTAATGCATGGGGAAGGTAGGTAAGAGTCATTTCTTTGCTTTAATATCTCCCTGTGCCGCTCTCCTTCTCTTTTTTCCTGCTTTTTATCATTGCCCAGCACGCAAACTGCTATAGTTGAGACGGAAATAGTGCCTACTAGCTGCGTCTATTCTCAGTCGATCGCCACACCACAATCTCTGCTCTCGGTGGCAAATATTTTCCTTCAAGACGTGCAGATTTAATGACAAGGAGACTGCAAAGAACGTCCTGTCCCTCGCTCTACTGCATACCATGAACCCCAACCCAACTGTCACCACATAGCACACGCCCATACAATGTCGACGACAACGCCCGTCCCCCCGCTCCCCGCGAGCTCCCAAGGATCCTCCTCCTCCACAGACGCCCCAGACGCCAGCAAGCGCCCTCATACCCCAGAATCTGTGCCTCATCCGCCATCCACATCCTCCAGCTCCGCCCCCACCATCCGCACCACCGCTGGCCCCGCTGCTCCCGCCTTAGCAACATGCCTCTCTCATTCGCATGATGCGCCTCTCGCGGCGTACATCTCGCATCCCGCCATCGATGATGCTATCTATGACCGGCTTACCCCTTACCGGAAGCACATCATCGTGGCGCTGGTCTCGTACTGCAGCTTCCTGTCGCCGATGGGGAGCACGACGATTCTGTCTGCTATCCCTGAGGTGGCGTCCGAGTATAACACGACGGGGACTGTGATTAATATCAGTAGTGCACTGTATATGTTGTTTATGGGGATTTCTCCGTGTTTCTGGGGGCCGGCGAGTCAGATTTTTGGGAGGAGATGGGTAGGTTTTGTTTTTCTTTCGTTGATACCCTGGGTTGGGCTTTGGGTGAAGGAAGGTCAAGGGCTGCCGAGAATAAAAGCTGTTTATTGGAACCCATTCGTCAAGTGACCGTAGGACCGTAGGCAGCCTTTGGACCTACCCCTGTCCTTCCCCCTATCCCTCAACATCCCTTCAGAACAAATACTAACAACCCCAGGTCTGCATTTCCACCGCATTCCTCTTCGCCTGCTGCTCCCTCGGCACCGCACTCTCTCCCAACCTCGCCTCCTTTTTCATCTTCCGTATCCTTACCGCCTTCGAAGGGACCTCCTTCCTCATCGTCGGTGCCGCCGTCCTAGGTGATATCTACCGCCCCACCGAGCGCGCCACAGCCATGGGCTGGTTCCTCTCCGGAACTCTAATCGGCCCCGCCCTTGGCCCCTTTATTGGCGGCATCATCGTTACCTATACCTCCTGGCGCGTAATCTTCTACCTGCAAACCGGACTCGCAGCCGTTGGCACAGTCCTCGCCTACTTCCTCCTCCCCGAGACCATACACCAAACCAAAACGCACCTTCTCGCCGGCCTCCCATTGCGCAAGCAGGCTTCGGTGCTCGCGCAACTCACGAACCCATGGCGTGTTATTGCGCTGTTCAAGTACCCTCCCCTCACTCTCATCTCGCTCTGTAGCAGCAGTCTCGTGTGGAACATGTACAGTCTTCTCACGCCTATCCGCTACGTGCTAAACCCGCGCTTTGGGCTCACAAGCCCTATGCAAGCCGGTCTGTTCTATCTGGCACCCGGAGCAGGTTACCTCGCGGGAACGTTCATGGGCGGGCGCTGGGCCGATCACACGACGAAGAAGTGGATTGAGATTCGCGGGGAGCGTGTTCCTGAAGATCGGCTGCGGAGCGGGATACCGTTTCTCGGCATTGCGATCCCAGCTTCGGTGTTAATCTACGGATGGAGCGTCGACCAGTCCGTCGGAGGGATACCCGTGCCTGTGATCTGTCTATTCGTGCAGGGTGTAGCGCAGCTGTTCTGTTTCCCAAGTCTGAATACGTACTGCCTTGACGTTCTGCCAGAGCTTGGTGCGGAGGTTATTGCGGGGAATTACATGGTTAGATATCTGTTTGGGGCCATGGGTACGGCGGTGGTGTTGCCGGCTGTGGAGAGTATTGGGGTTGGGTGGTTTTCGACGATCAGTGCGGGGTTTATGATTGTTGCTGCACTGGCGGCTGCGGCGACTGTGAAGTGGGGGAGGGGGTGGAGGGATGCGGTTGATGAGAAGAGGAGGGCTGCGAGGAGGGAGAAGGCGGAAGCGGAGGTGGAGGTAGAGGGGGAGGGAAGAGAGGAGGCAGGTGGTGTGACAGGCGCAGCGGTGGTGGGTGATGAGAAGGTGTGAGGTGTGAGTTGGTTGTGGGCAGATTTTTTGGATTTTTTTGGCGCACAGCATAGATTGGAGTTTGGGATACCACAAGTTAGATGATGTTGTTGCGAGCATATATATAGAGACTGCATATCTAATATAATATAGGAAGAAATATAAAGGACTATCTACATACAGGCCGACGGGTCTACCTCAAGCAAACTCTGGACCGTTGAACCGAGTGTAAACCTCTTAAACGCGAGCCACGCCAGAGGGTGCAACACCAGATGGGATAGCGCCGGATGGAGGAGCACCACCAGTCGAGTTTCCACCCGGTCCACCACCACCCATACCGGAATTAGCGTTCGCCACGCCACCATTCTCCGTCAGCGTCGATGCAGGCGTAACGGTAAACTGCTGGGTAAGATCCACCCCAAACGAAACCCAAGCAAAGATACCATCCGCAATAGTGTCACCAATCAACGAATACTCCACCACAGGATCCGACGTCGCCGCCTCCTCCGAAAAGATAGAGTCCTCGGCATTCGTAGTCAGCGGCTGCGTGTTCTCGCTATACGGCGACACAGTATCAACCTGGGAGATCAAGTCCTGATCGAAGAAGATCTGGCCTACGTGCGAGGCGGTTCCGCCGCCGTAGGTGCTGTTGCTGAGGATGGAGCCGTTGAAGTGGGCGAGGACGTGGATGTGCGGGGCGCGGCCGGTGTAGTGGCCCGGGAAGACGGTGGTGAATTGCGCGACGCCGTCGTATTGGGTGGGTTGGAGGCCGCGGAGGAAGGTGGCGTTGAGGTTGGAGGTGTCAGTGATGTCGCCGTTGCCGGAGGCGACGACGCCGGAGTAGACGCCGGTGGCGTTGCAGTCTGGCGGGGGTGTTAGATTGGGGGAGCGGGTGGTTTGGGGGGGGAAGGGACGTACGCCAGAAATCAATCATGCTGTTAACGACGGGCTCGCAGGTGGCCATGTCGATGACTTGGAGGTCGATGATCATCTCGACGCCCTCCTGGTCTTCGATCAGGTTGCGGCGGATGTACTCCCCGCTGGCGTAGTATGGGCCTTGAGTCACCTCGGGGCTGAGGATGCAGGAGTTGATGCTGGAGAAAAGGGTGGTCTCCGGGGTGAGAGGGGTGTAGTTGACGCTAGAAAGATGGGTTGTGTTCAGAACTGAAGCGGCATCTCTTGCGCGGAGGTAAGGGGCGCCTATATTATTGTCAGCGAAGTAAAAGGGAGTGGTTCTGTACTCACTGGTTGAAAGGCCCCTCTTCTCGCGGGTGCTCTTCGCAATGGCAGCGCGTCTTTGAATGGCGCGAGCCTCGAGGCCGCGAGCCTTCATCTTAGCAGCACAATGGCTGAGATCACGCTTGCTGTTCTTCATGAATGCAGCGCGCTCCTCGATTTCATGGCGGGTATCATGGCCGGGGTGAGCGAGGACGCCGCTGGCCACGAAGGCTGATGCAACTACGAGAGTGCTGAAGAAATGCATGGTTGGAAGTGAGAGTTTGTAGGATCGATGGAGTGAGTGAAGAGGATGTGATGAGGGTGGAATGAGAATAGGGAAATCTAGAAGATCATTGAGATCATATATACACTTACCAAATCTCCTCTACATGATGATTCTCATCGAGTCCACGTACACCATGGCCACTAATTTTAGATGGAGGCGTGGCCATGATGCTGGAGATAGATATCGTCCCCGGCGCTATATTGCTATGCCATCCCAACCCCATTTTAAAAGTTCAATCGCTGTAACTATAAACATCATTACAGCCAATTAAACGCCATGGAATAGAAAGCAGGAAGTTCTAGCTCTATAGGGTCCACATAATCTTAATATGCCTTTGTGTTTTAGAACGCGCGTCCTGACTTCTAAGGGGCTGGCCTCGGGCTATGTTGGCTAGGTTTACGGTAAAACCCCGGCTAAGCCACAGTTATTCCAGAACTACCGCGGGACCCTACTCAAGTGCCTTGCTACTATGTCCTAGTTAGGGAATAGCGAGTGATAAAGCCCACCGGCGACTTCATGTCAACGCGGCATCTTCCACTTACCAGCGTCATTGCTGGGGTAAAATGTTGCTAGAGCGAGGCGCTGGGAGTCGTGGTCGGCCCATAATTATTTACATCACGAGAAAACAAGAAATATCACACATGACCACAGACTCACGAAGAACTAAGCATTGCCTCTGCTCAGCCACATATCAGACGAAGTGAGGCTACACCCTTCCATCGCATGAAGTTGAGCGTGATGTTTTGGTAGTAGGCTAGTTTCAGTAGTCTCAAAACGGTGAAGCTTGAAGAAATAAGCACACCGAGCAATAAGATAGTCAAAGCTTATTATCGAAAAGAAAACGAGGAAAACATGTGACTACACACATAAATCGTGACCACAGGTGATTATTGGAGGCATGGAAAGGAGAAAAGCATGCCGCGTGTCTTTTTCTTGGCAGGCGGGGGTGTTGCCTCCTAGTTTCCAGTTTCTTCCCATGGTGGCTCAGGGCAGAATTGTCTCTTCTCAGGGATTTATGCCGCTCTTTCTACCCTAATTACCTCTCAGCCGCAAACTAAAGCAGCTTACGCCAAGTCGGTGTTTAGAACCCCAAAGCGGTTGCATATACTCAATTGCTCACGGGTGGATCAGTGTTAAGAATTTCTTACTGCCGGCTTGTGAAATAAGGTGTGAAAAAACGGCGCCAAGAATCCACAATCACTAGCGCAGGAACAACCAGATCCCTGATCTGGTTTACCCCTGTTGATCAAGATTCGCGACCCCTCACTAAGCTACGGGTTAGACAGCACATCTACAGATCCCCAATAACTTACATTTTTGAAGGGGAATTCGGCTCTACTATTCGGCGAATAGATAGCATCGAAAACTTTCCTTTCAGGAACTCCAAATCATTTATTGGCCAAGTAGGATGTGATTTGGTTTATAGCACAATCCATAGGAAATGCAGCAGCCGTACCACAGGCATGGGTCGGGGAACGCTTCGGTCTGAGAATATGCCTCACTCGACGTCGGTTTGAGACGTTTCACGCTGATATAATTGACCCATCCAATGGCAACGGCCTAGGGGATCTCTTCCACTGTGTGGGAGGCGACAATGATGTTATTCAGTGGATTTCACACTGTGGCAACGGGTGTGTCGATGCTGGACGTGGTCGCAGTGATTACTGTAATTAGGCTACCCCCACTTAGGCGATGTCAAGTAGCAATGAGGAGAGTTTCTAACTACTGCGAATATTTAAAATGCTTTGCATCCGGCTAGTTAATCTAAGCCTCTTCTTCCCCATCTACGTCTTGGAATTCTACCCATCCTTTCATCTTCTCCAAAACATGGTCGCCGTATACGACGCCATCCTCCTGTCCCACCGCCTTAATTACACAGTCCATGCCGGGCTCAAAGAAGTACGGCACCGAATATCTCCCTTTTCTCTCCCCTCCAGCATTAGTGGCTCTTACCCTATGCATCGTTGCAACCCACCTTCCACCGCTGACCTTGGCCATCAAGTCGCCGATGTTGACGACAACGCTTCCTGGAATATAGGGAGCAGCGATCCACTCGCCATCCGAGTTAAGAACTTCCAACCCACCAGTGGAATCCTGGTGAAGGATGGTTAAAATCCCAGAATCGGTGTGGGGGGTGCAAATGAGCTCTTGTTCCTTCTTCTCCTTTGGAAGAGGAGGATAGTGCAGTAATCTAAGAGTGCTAAGGGAGTCTTTCAGGTAAGAATCAAAGTACTCGGGCACTTGTCCCAACGAGCCTGCTAGAACGGTAAGAAGACGTGCAGACATGCTCTGAAGTTCTTCGTAGAGGGTCTCAGCACGATGCTGGAACTCTTGATGGCCAGTTGGCCAGACATTGGGTTCGGTTAGATTGAACTTGGTGGGTCGCTTCGATAGTGATACAGTTGAGGTTGGAGAACCGATCTCAAAGCCTTCCTTTAGGTTATCGCTGCCTACTTGGGGCGGGAAGTATCTGAGACGTGTTAGCCATACTGTTCACACCAACTTGATAGGCCTTGGATAAACTTACCCCCTATATGTATTTGTATTAGACTTAACAAATGTTTTCTTTGCAAGTCTTATCTTTTCATCCGCTGTAAGGCCCTTTGACCCGAAAAACGAATTGCAGAGACTAAATACATCTTTGTGGGTGTATGTTAGGGGAAGATCCACGAGATATGCAAATCCAGTGGTGGAGAAGACATCGTTGAGCTTTGACGAAAGCGCAGAGAGAGCCTCTGGGTCGGACTGCGGGTCGGATAGAGCCGACAGTGAAACAATCGGGAGCGTTGTAAATGAAGTAGTCATGATGGTTATGAAGCAACGACGATCAGAGCTTACCTAGAACGGATCAAATTATCAATGTTAAAATATAGAGAATATATGGGGTGATAATCGTACGTATATATATCTCTGTGGGATGACAGTCCACGCTCTGTTACATCATCGCGTATCAATCTAGACCTACTGTAGCAAGCTACTTACAAATTACCCCACAGTTATATAAATGCCCAGGTTACACTTTGGAATACGAGTCGCAATATTGGAATATGAGTGGACATATCGTAATCTATGTCGCGTGAGATGTTACCTAAATCAGCATCGCGCTGTACCTAGAGATTTATAATGGAGAAGGGGGTGGGGTTTGTGTTTCAATGACAGACCCTAGCGATTATGGTCATAATCTTCCCCGCCATCTCCGGCAGATGATAAACCGATAATAACGATGAACTATTTCGGTACGTACTATACAATAGAAATGTACCATGGTGCAGTCAACGCCGAATACAATGTTTGCAATATTCTAATAGCTATGCAACAAGTAAGTTAAAGGGAACTGTCTTTCAAGCGTGTTCAAATGCAATGTTTTGACGTAATTTTCTCTCCTGCGGCTTATGCCTAGTTGAGTATTGTCTAGCGGTAAATACTGACCTATTCTGCAGCTTCTGGGAGGCGAAGATACTCGCCGCGGAGATTCCCCCAATACAATACGAGCACAGAACTCGCAGCCTCATATATGTGGTTCTTTTGCATCGAGTTGGAACCATGGGTGATGGGCGATGTGATGGTTGGGTAGGGTTGCATAGCCAAGGTAGCCGCCACAGCCTTGCGGCGCTTGTACAACATGGCGGTGCGATTTCGCTTTCTGGGTCGGAAGCGCTTTACATGCGGTGTTGTGCGCAGTTGGGAAGTTTGTTTGCTAGTCCCCTGGTGATACTCACGGCCTCGTCGTCGAAAAACTTATAGTACGGCCATTCTTGAAGCCGAAGACGAGACTGTCGAAGCCGCGCCCTACTGCTCGACATCGCCGCTCCGCTGTGGGCGTGTTAGACGAACAATATGACTAAGAAATCCTGGCTTGACAGCGTCAAGAACCGAGTTCGGTCCCGTTCATCTGCGCCTGGGCAGAATGCTCCTGTGGGGTCCTTCACAGGTGTACCGCAAGTCACAGAGCCCTCCGTCAATGCAACCCAAGCTATAGAGCCACTGGCCAATGCACTGAAATCTGAAGGGATTCGCTCCATTTCAGCCCTATCTGATCCCTATGGCATAGCTCGCGAGAAATACGGCCTGTTTCGTCTCGCAGCCCCAACTGCCAGCAGTCTCTCTGAGGATTCGAGCCTAGACACTAATCATATAGACATAGTTGCGGTCCATGGGCTAAATGGGACTGCCGACAAAACCTGGACTGATGAAGACAACAACTTCTTTTGGCTCGAGGATCTAGTAAATGATTTCCCTGGTGCGCGGGTTTTTACGTATGGATACGCCTCCGAGGTAAAATTCACGCTCGGCACGGGAGATATCGAGGCATTCGCGAGGAGTTTATTGGAAGCTTTGAAAGCGGAGAGAGTGAGCAAGAAGGTTTGTTACACTTATACTTGGTCTGTCGGGGTAGAGGTCACTAACGCATGGTAGGACCAGGCTCGCCGGATTATATTTATCTGCCATAGTATGGGCGGAATTGTGGTTAAAAAAGTAAGCTTGATCGTTCCTCTATAGCCTTGTACTCACAGGTAATTAGGCACTCATTATTGCTAAAAATGAGGATTTGTTGTATGATAATACAAGGAAATCAGTGGTGGGAATCGCGTTCCTCTCCACGCCGCACCGTGGCTCTTCGCAAACTGAACTCCCATTGGTTTTGGCAAACATAGCTAATGTAGTATTGTCGGGGGTGGGAAGATACGTCGGATCCATGAGGTCGGATCTCATAAAGTCTCTCGAGAAGGACTCCATGGGCCTGAAAGACATTTCTACGAATTTTAGAGACCAAACGGAGAATATGAAGATAGCATCTTTTTATGAGCTAAAGACGACGCCGCCCGTAAACAAGCTAGTAAGTTCTTGCCTCGAAGATCAATATCCTCGCTGATTCTGACTTTCCACCTAGATTGTTGATAAAATCTCTGGGATTATGGATGTCGCTAGAGAGAGGATTATACCCATGCCTGGCTGTGATCACAGGACTATATGCCGATTCCCTAGGAGAGATAGTAATGGTTACAAAACCGTTTTGGGAGTTCTCCGGGAGTGGGTTAGTGTTATTAATGAAGGTTGGCCTCCTTCAATCTCATTTAACATGGAGTATGGAGTGCAATTCAGTTTGCATACGCTTACACTCACGCAGCCGAAAATGTGCCGATTTCGTCAGAAGATCTCGGTGCGTATTTCCAAATCATAATGTATATATTAACAGTGCAGGCTAACCGACAGTAAGCTTGCCTCCGATCACTGTCCTTCCAGGAAATCAACTACCGTCGACAAGAAGCAGACCAGGCCTACCAAAATACATGTGCATGGATTCTTAAACATCCGGTTTATGCAGAATGGTTGGACAAAAAGTGTGAACTTCTCTGGATACAAGGCAGTCCCGGTTCAGGAAAGTCAACCTTGGTGTCGTTTATTTACGAGGAATTCCAGAAAAACATATCCCTGAGTAGAGAAGTGGTTCTTGATTACTTCTTCCACAGCCGGGGATCCATATTACAAAAAACGCGTGTCGGCATGTTTCGCACTCTGTTGCATCAACTCTATGACCAAGTTCATTTTATTCGACCGAAAATACAAATGATCTTTAAAGAGAAGGACAGATTCGGCAATGCTGGGGCTGGGTGGGAGTGGCATCCTAAAGAATGTGAACGCCTCTTCTCCGAGGTCATTGTTTCTGCTGCTCAATTAAAGAACATTACTTTGTTTGTCGATGCATTAGACGAGGCTGGCTCCGATGGAATTGAGCTTGCATCATACTTTCACGAATTAAATGCGAAACTGAGGGCCGGACATTGCAACGCAAGAATCTGCATTTCGTGTCGGAAATACCCAGTTATAGCACCTAATGTCAGCTTAAAAGTCTATGTTGAGAAAGAAAACGGCGGAGATATCCAGACATACGTGGAGCAAAAGTTTGGCTCCGAGATTCAAAGTCACGGCATGGCGATGTCAGCGCAGGGAGAGTTCAAGAAACTTCAAATGGTTGTTGTGGAGCGGTCCCAAAATACGTTCCAATGGGCAAGCCTTGTTGTTCCGCTCATAATTAAACTTCGCCGAGACGGACAATCTTTGGCTTATATTATGAAGGAACTCGATAAAGTGCCTCGAGGGTTACATGAAGTTTATGAGCATATTCTCACAAAGGCCATAGAGTTCCAATATCGGCCGAAAACTTTGCTTCTAATGCAATGGGTCTGCCTAGCAAAGACCCCTCTCACTGTCGGAGATATACGGTTTGCTATGGCAGCAGGCTTTTGTATCGATGAGCGACAGGAATCCTCTAGCAATTTGAAAGACTTCGTGGAGAGTGACGAGGACGTGGATACATTGATCACCAGCATGTCCGGTGGCTTGGTGGAGACCATACATCGTAAGCACGATAAATATACAGATACAGTATCATTTTCTCCTACATCCGACATCTATAGTTCTAGAGTACAGTTCATTCATCAATCCGTCAATGATTTCCTCTTGTCGGACGGACTAAGACTCCTCGCCCAACTTCCAAGTCCCACATCTTGGAGAGAAAACGAGCTCACATCGTCGGCAGATAGCATCATCGGCGAAAGTCATGATCGCCTATGCAAGTTGTGTATCAATTACATTAAATTTGGAAAGGTTTTCCATGCATACGAGGCTGTCTACTACAAAGGTAAGCCGTTTCCGCCATTCAAAGAGTACGCCCGAACGTACTGGATCTTCCACGCAGAAAGAGCCGATAGCTATGAGGTTTCGCAGCAACACCTTATTCAACGCCTAGGACTTCGTCCATATCCAGTGTTCTTCGATCGTATGATTTCCAATGTAATGACACAGGTATATCCACTCAACTACCCGGCCATGTCTCTATTACATATTGCGTCTCTAGCAAATCTTGCAAGTGTTGTTGCCCAAATCCTTGAAACCGATCCGTGTATGGTAAATGATCTAGATCACTTAGGCAGTAAGCCAGTGCAATACGCCGCCAGCTCCGGCCATTGCAAGTTGGTCGAGGTTCTTCTAAATGCTGAAGATCTCGTTGGGGCTAATTCTAAGGATACCGCCGGGGATATTTTTATGCACGCAGCAATGCAAGGGAACGAACAAGTCGTAAAACTACTATTGGGTCGTGGCGTAGATCTCCATAATGACACGCGAATGGCTGGCGATGCACTTATAGCAGCCGTGTGGCTCACGAGTCAAGAGGTTTTTACAACATTACCTTGGGGTGAATCCAAGAGAGTATCGACCATGGGGGATGTATCTCTTATCAAACTGTTGCTCGGTCATGGGGCTAACGCAAACGCACGGGGTACTGGTAATCACACAGCCATTGAGGAGGCTATCGCATCGACCATTGCGCACACTAGGGCTGTTGAGCTGTTGCTGGAGAGTGGTGCAAATGCGAATAGTAACCTATCTTTTGCGTCACCACGACGAAAACAACTCATGGAATGGCTCTCCAGTCCCCAAGTGTTGTTATCCGACAATAACTCATTAGACAAGCATCCGGAACCAGATGGTACAGTACTACAACATGCTGCAGCGTTAAAAGATAAAAATAACGCAACAATGGTTACAAAATTGCTACTGGAGAAAGGGGCACAAGTCAACGGAGAAGGCAGCTATGGTACGGCTCTACAGATAGCCTCAGCGAGAGGAAATTTATCTGTCGTGAAGTTGCTACTCGAAAAGGGTGCAAAAGTTGATGGCTTGTGGATAGCCTCGACGCAATGCAATGCTGTGGTCGTGGAGCTGCTTATCGAGCGCGGGGCTAATAATACCGAGTTTGGGGAAACTATAGTTGAAGTACTAAGGCGGCTGCAACTATTGAAGTCGTACTTGTACGACTCTGACACTGACTTACATTCGTTGGCGGGTTCTCTCGACACAGCATCCCCCAACGACAACGACAACGGCAATGATGTCAACGATGATGACAACAGCAACGCTAAGGCCAATGAGGACGTCTGATCTGGCAGCTGAATGAGACAGCAGGGTATTTGAAAATCTGATCAAGTCATAATCACATATAGGCCCATCTGTATCCACGTCTCGGCAATCCCGGCAGCCTAGTCATCATCGACCTATTATCCCTCTCTTCTAATTTCAGCTCACCGGTTTCCCTCATCTTCGTGCTGATGACAGTGCATAGTATGATCGTGGGTATCCAGAGAGAAAGACAAAAGGTGAAAATAAAGGGAGTTGGGCAAACTATGGGGGAAAGGAGCTGTGTCGTTTTATAACTTTCATGAAAGCACAGCTCTCCATCAGCAACATGGTCCGTGCACGTGCATTGGCCGAGCGGGCGGGGCGGAGCGGGGCGGCGTTCAAATACTCGGAGTACATATGTTTTGTAGACAACACGCATCACTTTCTGTGTAAACAACGTCCAATCCACTGCCCAACATGTCGGACAAAGCACCAAGTGGCGGCAGCCACCTGACGAGCGACATTGACTTCATTAAGACGCCCAAGGCCGCACCCGGGTCTCACGACACCGGAGAGGATTGTGGCGTGAAAACCACCAATGTATGTTGTGTGGCCTGCTAGCTAACCTAGCTCTTTGGCGATGCCCTCAGCTAATTCAATCGTGTGCAGTCTCCAGCTATCCACAACCCTCCGCTTCCAGCAGACGGCGCCGGAAATGAGCAATTCAACAACATCATCTTCGCCAGTGTGCTCCTTGGAGTGCCCACATACCTGGCATGGAAGGTTGGTGGTGGGCTGAAGACGACCATCTTCTTCGCCCTCATCACCTTTGTTCCCTTGCTTCTGGCATTCTGGACGGTCATGTCCACCTACAGCCCGCGGATTAACGAGAAGGTTAAGCTTCCAGGGCGTCCAGTGGAGCACTACCTCACCTTCAAGAAGGAGGCCGACCGTGCCCGGTACAGCGGCAGCAGCAAGGTACCCATGCAGACTTTCTTTGAGTTATACTTCAGCGGCGACGTTAACTTCAACGGTGACTGCCTCGACGTCATGGAGTACCGCCACGACTGGGCAACGTTCAACTTCACCTGGGACCTGTTCCGCTACATCCTCTTCACCTTCGCGCCGGATGTGATTCTGCACAACCGCTCCCAGGACGACGAGCAGGTGCGCCCCAACTATGACCGCGGTAACGACCACTACGCCTGGTTCCTGGGACCACGCATGATCTACACCTCCGGTGTCATCTCGGACACAACCCGTGAGGAGACCCTCGAGGAGATGCAGGATAACAAGATGGCCATTGTGTGCGAGAAGATCGGCCTCAAGGAGGGCGAGACCATGCTCGACATTGGCTGCGGCTGGGGGACTCTCGCCAGGTTCGCGAGTGTTAACTACGGCGCAAAGGTCACTGGTGTCACTATCGCTCGCAACCAGACTGAGTGGGGTAACGACGCGCTCAAGCAGGCTGGTGTCCCTGAGGAGCAGAGCCGTATCCTTTGCAGCGACTACCGCGACATTGTTAGCCAAAAGTTTGACAAGATCACCCAGCTTGAGATGGCTGAGCACGTTGGTGTTCGTCGTCTCACCACCTTCTTCCGCCAATGCTACGGTATGCTTGAGGATGATGGATCTATGTACGTCCAGCTCTCTGGCCTGAGAAAGTCGTGGCAGTACGAGGACTTTATCTGGGGCTTGTTCCTGAACAAGTACATTTTCCCCGGTGCGGATGCCTCGACTCCACTCAGCTTCTACATTGGCTGCCTTGAGAGCGCTGGTTTCGAAGTCAAGAGGTAAGCAACCCGCCCAAATAACTAGGTGACGACATGCGCTAACTCGGATGCTACAGCGTTGATACCGTTGGTGTCCACTACTCGGGTACCCTCTGGAGGTGGTACAGAAACTGGCTCGGAAACGCCGAGAAGGTCAAGGCTACCTACGGCGAGAAGTGGTTCAGAGTAAGTCACGCATGCATCCGTTCTTTTGTCGACACCGTTCTTTTGTCGACATAGAGACTAACACATCTTAGATCTGGGAGTTATTCCTGGCATACTCGACCATTGCTTCGCGCCAAGGTTCAGCCACTTGCTTCCAGATGGTTGTTGTTAAGAACCTCAACTCAAGCCACCGCATTGACGGCGTCCACTCCCAGGACGGCCTCAGCGGCGCCCTTGCCAGAAGCAAGGCAGCTGGCAAGGCTACCCTGGCGAAGTAGATGTCCAGACAGGCGCAGGGAAGGCAAACCTGGCCAGAAGCAAGGCGGCTGGCCAAGAGGCTCCCCTGGCAAATTAGATGTCCGGACATGCATAGAGAGGGGTAAACTGGCCAGTCTTGTTTGCCCTCGGATGTATAGCTTAAGTGTTTGAACATGTGTATTCGGGCTAGTTATTACGATAGCTGCTATACTTAGCTTTTCTAATATTCTGTTTCTCAGAATAGCAACCAAGAGCTCTGGGCCCCCAACTCTATCTAGATAATAATGTACACACCCATTCTCATCATACAACCTGGCCGACTGGCCAACTATTCGTATCATCCAGTCTTCTGTCCCTGCATACCAAAACAAACCCCCGTATAAATAAATAATACCAAGCAACCCTCTAAAAGATATCAGTATAGTATCCCAGCGCCGGGTGCTTGTTTCCCGTAAACGTCTCCGACAGGCTATCAAGCGCAGCATGGTGCTTCGCATACTCCATCCCCCTCGCATTCTCCGCCTCCACCATCTTCCAATCCCACCCCGTCACCGCCGCCGCCTCCTTCGCCGCCTCCTTCGCAACAGCATTCGCAACACCATTAACAGCATGTCCATTCGCACTCCCATTCCCCCGCACCTCCACCTTCCCATTTGGTATCCCCAAAATCGACAACACGCTCTCCCCCATCTCCATCTCCTCCAACCCCTCCGCCTCCTCCACAACCTCCTCCTTCCTCCCATCCATCGTGTTCCACCCCCCCGGCTTCGGCGGCAACAAATCGCACATATCCAGCACAGCCTCGGGGTGAACCGTCAACCTGCCAACTTTCATGACGTACTTGCTAATCGCGCTCGCGAAGATAGCACCCTCTGGCACATCCGGCGGCGGGGCAGCCACGCGCGCTTTCCTCGCGCGGCGCTTCGTGCGCAGGAAGCGCGGGACGAAATTCCAGTCCTTGGGATCATCGAGCGTCCAGCCCGCCGGGCGCGCGGTGCCCGCCTTCACGAAATGCGTGACGACGTATAGCCACTTCCTGTCCCAGGCCAGCATACGGGACCACATCTCGTATTTCTCATACGGTTTGATCTCGCGCTTAAAGCTGCAATGTACACCCCCCAGCATGATTCCCCATTGTCCCTTCGCGGGCTTGCCGTCTGGGCCGATGATGAGGGAGGGTTTGCGATGGAGTTCGCGGATGGCGACGTGCATGAGGGCGGCGACGAGGTGGGAGCGCGTGACGTCCAGGTCGGAGAAGTAGGTGCTGTTTGATTTGTGGAGGTTGTAGTCGCATTCTGAGGCGGGGGATTGGGAGGGGGTGATGCAGGGTTGGAAGAGGGCGGGGAGGTGGTGGGGGGTTGTGAGGCCGGAGGTGGTGGGGTCGAGGGGGGGGGCTTGCATGTGGCTTAGGATGCCATGCCAGACGCGTATCTAGATGGGGTGGGTTAGTGAGGTGCGTGGGAGAGAGGGGGGGGGTTGACGAACATGCCACACGAAGGGGAAGTTTTTGTAGTTTGCGAGCACGACGACTAGGGCGAGGATGCGGGAGTAGTTTCCTGGCCCGGTGAGGAACTTCGTGACGAATGGCCTACTCTTCCACGCGCCGACGGAGAGCGCGGCTGCCAGGACGGCGGTGATGCTTCTCAATGGGAGGCGGGAGGCTGACATCTTGCGCTGCGGTTGGGGCGACGCGCCGGATGACGAGGGTGATGAGCGCGCTGGCGACGGCAGTGATGAGGACATAGATCCAGAGGGGGAGATGGCGGAGAGCACAGAGGAGGGTTGTGCTGCAGATTGGCATCCGAGGGGGTTGCTGACTGTGGGGGTTGATGTGGGATTATATTGTGCGGTCATATGGATATTTTTGTGTCAGCCCAGTCGGTCGGGTACCTCGGGCTTTACGCGGTCGGAGGTTACAAGGGTGTGGGATATTCACATGCCTGGAGATTTTCCGGGGTCGCGTCGGCGCGATGGTTTCGCCGATGCGAGAACGCGTCGTTTCTGTTGGGACAGTCTGGGATGATAAACTTACAGAAACTAAAATTCAACAGTTTATGGTTAATGGTGTTTATGATGTCTTAATCCTAGATTAGGGGGTGGGATTGGGTGATAAAAGCCAACAAAAGATGTCGGACGAGAGGATGCAGTCCACGTGCCAACCATCGACAGGAAGATATCTCGAACTAGCTCGAGATCTGACATATTCTTTGACCTCCTATGGCAAATAGGATTTGTGTATAGTTTCTAGCTCTCATCTGTTCCCATCTCACCGCCTCCACATCTCCAGTAAAGGACGTACGTATACTCCAAAACACATCCCACGTTCTCCTCTTCAACCGATGCCAATCTCACATGAGCAACCCCCAACAGCTCACGCCGCGCGCCGAGCAGTCGTGCTCATCAACGTAATCTTCTTCCCCTTCTTTTTCTTTCCTCCTCCTCCTCCCCCTCCCCCATTCCCAGCCTTAGGCGCGCCCCCACTCCCCTCACCAACCTCATCCGCCAAGCTCGCCGCCTCAACCTGCCGTATCATCGCCTCATTCTCCTCACGCAGCTCCTTCTCCCAGTCCTGGAGCCATCCATCATTGCCGCTCTCCTCATGTACCACTTCGTTTCCATCCGTAGGTGCTAACACCGTAGTTCCCCAAACCGTACGCTTCTGTGGCGGGCTCGTTCCCGGAGAATGATTCGCCAAACTCTCGAATCCCGGGCGGTGGTGCGTCGCATACGGCGGACTATTCCCAGCAGTTCCGTCCGCATTCGCCTGGTTGACAAGCGGGAGGAAATCCGCGGCGCCGAACCGCTCCTCCGCAACGGGAGTGGAGAATTCCTGGCGCTTCTTTCGGACGTTTGCCCAGCGCTCTTCGTCCTCGAGCTTCTCGGCTCGGACACGCGCTTTCTCCTCCCGGTTCTCCTTTTCGCGGTTCTTCTCGCGGCGACGCGAGATATCCTGGGCGAAGTTGGCGAGGACAGAGTCGGGGACTACGTCGGTCCAGTTGCATTCCAGGAAGGAGACTTCGCAGCCATACGGGAGATGGGCGAGGTATTTTGTGCGTTTGCGTAGTTCGTCGTCGATGATGTGGCCCGTAGAGACGTGCTCCACGCGGGGGAGGAGGGTTGATGGGAAGGATGAGAAATTGCCAAAGGCAGCTTTAAGTATGCGAATATCGAGGGGTGCAAGATAGTAATGCTGGAGTCCCTGGTAGAAGTAATATGGTGCATGAGGCTGTGCTGGCAAATTGTGGGCTGGACCGCTGTGAGCTGGAGCGTTGTGGGCTGGAGCCTCGTGAACCGTATTGTTGTGTGCGACTGTAGACTCGTTCAAAGAAAGGTGATTGAAAGCATCGGCTACGGGGTTCAGGCGATGTTGGCCGGTACTATTTGATGGTTTTGATGGAGCTTCCGTCGGTCCTTCCTCGGAAGGCGTAGCGACGGGAGCAGCTTCGCCATCATGAAGTTGGACCCATGTCGTTGCCGATTTCTCATCATCGGTTTTGGGTTCCTGAGCCTGCTGGATCTCGTGCTCCTTTGCATGCCTCGCTGGCTGCTTCAATATAGCCGGGGCATTCCCCATACCCTTAATGTGCTCTTTTGCCTCGATCACGCTCCGAACAGCCTTCTTAGCCCAAGTTGTTTCATCGCCAAACATCAGCTCATCTTCCTTCTCTTGCCGTTTCAAGTCCTCGATCTCCTTATCAAATTGCTCAGTCATATATTCCTCCGTGCCTTTCATAACACGGGAGTAATCTGTGACTTCAGCTGCAAAGTACCACGGGATATCGTGAAGTCTCCCCATGGATTCTGCCTCGTCCCTTGGCAGGGTCAAGGTGCTACCCGGTTGACGCATAACCAATCGAAGGATGACATCCTCTCCTTCCTTCGGCGCCGGGTTTTCCTGACCAGTAAACCACCTTACTGGTCTAGTATCAGACATATATATTGAGTCCCAACAGAGAGGGCATTTCTTCCATCTTGTCTTTTTCTCAGGAGCTTCATCGTCGGTAGAATGCATATATCGAATCAGACATGGTAAACAGAATATATGGCCACATTTCGCCATCCGAGGCGCTACAGGATGTGATAGACATATCGGACAGGACGAAAGTTGGGACTCTGCAGACACGAGGATCTGCAGGACGCTGTCCCAGTCGAGAGGTGCATCAGCGTCGACAGCTTGTGCGCGGTAGTCACCGGAAGGGTGGACGATAAAGCGGTAGTTGGCATGGATATATCTGCGCCTACAGTCAGCTTTTTGTATGATACCGGCAACAGCAGGTTGCATACCTCGCTTTGTCGGAAGCATGATAGCCAGATCCTAACCCCGACCTTGTGTATCCAGAATCCCTACCACTAGACCTCGGATACACCTGTGCACTTGGTCGAGGTGGTAAGGCAAAGTTCATCAGATGCGTGATGGAGGTCTGGCCTCGTCGGCTGGTTGAGTTCCTCATTGCAGTCTGCGTCCGTTAGCTGGGCCCTTCTGCCCATTCCATTGTGCAACTCACATTTTCAGCATAAGAATCATCCCCAAGCAGTCCCCCAGGTCGTCTATGCTTTTTGTGGTTCTTCTTCGAGGACTGGTTGTTCCGAGCAGTACCGTGGGTCGTATTCGAATGGGCACTGCTGGAGCGTCTGGTGCTGGATTCGAAGCTGGGTGATGACGGGCCCTGCTGTTGCTGCTGGGGGGTGGGTGTCTGTGCGGAGGAATGATTGAGTTTTCCTCCAAGTGACGCTCCAGGTTGCGTGGAATTCATTCTCGTTGCAGGTGCATAGGAGCAGACAGGCACAGTTTCTCTTGGACGTGGGTGTGTTTGTCTTGAACAGAAGTCTCCAGCGGAAGGGCAGTGAGGCACAGCTTGTCTCTAGCAGAAGATCCAGCTTATCTTGAGCGGCAGTTGCTTTATGCAGCCGTGATATTGACTTGGGAAGCAGAGAGTAAATCGTAGTTATCGGAGGAAGAGAGTGGCGGCCTCCAATCTCAACACGACCCTTGGTGATCTGGAACCTGCGCTACCCGGTGGACGCAGGTTTATTTGAGTAAATGAAGCTACAGTGTCCGTCTCTGTCGTGCTCAGCCCTGTCCCTTCCGTGACCCCTCAGTCCCTATTTCCCTCTTTTGTTTGTGTTTTGTTGATATGGACAGGACCCCAGAGGGCGCTGGTTGTTTTGTCGAGTCACCGTCAGCGGGGCAGATGTCGGGACGGCGAGCAATCCGACGCCTGTTTATCGCCAGTGAGCAGCAGGTGATCTGTGTGCAACAAACGGAAAAAAAATAAATCCAGTAAAATTCAGACAAATTTAGTTTAATTGCTACATAAATTCTAATTTATCTACAGCATCAGCACAAACAATCATGCTATATTCAATCTTCATAAATTTATTATGGACTGTAGCCATTCACTTTCTTCCCGTCCCCGTGACTTCCAGCCACTGATTCGTACAATCGATGACGGCGTTGGGTATAAATGATCTTGCTTAGTCATGCTAATTTGCTTAGTCATCTCAGGCTAGAGAAGTGCAGAGAGCAGCCCAGCCCTTCTACGGTGACCGAATCAGCCAATAATGCACAAATCATAGAGTGCCAGTACAGGATACCATTGATTCGGGCTGAACTAAGAAATAATCCCCAGCTTCACGTCGACGACAACTTCATCTCCTAACTATCGCCAACCAACACGCCGACACTGTGGAGACTGTCAACATTCCTTGCTGTCCTCCTTTGTTTAAATATTATCTGCGCTGTCATTCCACAGCAGGATAATTCACGGCTGAATCGCTGCCTGTTCTACAAAGTTCCCACCACCAAAACCCACTTCGATCTTCTAGTCGCGCCTATTGCTTGCGCGCCTGGAAATCTACAAACATCCAGGCCGCCTCGACATTCCGAGACGGTTTGGAAGACTTCCCCCACGCCGGCATGATGAACAGCCGTCATCTGCCGGCAGGGCAGGGGATGCATCATGACAACAGACGCCGACAATACAACCAGCACGGCCAGCACAACCAGCAGCATTACCCACAACATCAACAGCCGCCACAGCAAATGTATAATGCATACTACAATCAACCATACTATCCACAACAGCCTCCGCCTCCCCAGTACTACAACACCGGCATGCCTCCGAACCAGTACAACCCATATGCAGTATATCGAGGGTCGCCGTCCATGCCGTACCAGCAATACCAGGTCCCACCTGTCGTGTCGACCCCCTCATATCCACACCCCCTTCAGCCGCCTGCGGTAGTCACAACACCATACCAACCTCATGTGCCGACAACACCTTCATCTACGCGTTCTTCATATATAGCTCCTGCGACAATCCCAGCTCCAGCCGTGCCTCCGCCAGTGGCTGAAGTTGTCGTCCCTGCTCAACTACCTCCAACTTTTATTCCGCAACTCAGCGCACCTCTGACTCCACCTCCACCTGTTCAAGAAGCTCCTCAGTTCCCCGCAGAAATACCAGACGAGGAAGTATCTGAGACTCGGATCCCATACTGGCCACAAGTAAGTAACCCGTATCTGACTCACAAAGACACGTTCTGACTTTACTAGCTCCCTTGGTACTCTAGACCCGACTTGTCATGGCCAGCGAGGTCAACGAAACAAAAGAAACGGAAGGCAGTGCCCAAGCAATCGACGTTGGTCGAGCAAAAGGATGTCCAACAACCCGGCCAAGGTGACTCGATGGTCTCAAACACCGTTGACGCTACTGAAGCTTCCGTGCCTCGCCCCGAGACTCCATCCACAACACAAGCTCCCTCCGAACACGCTCCATCGACAAATCCCACAACTCCATCTTCTGCCCAGGCAACTCTACAACCTGCGGTCAGCTCTGCAAAATCTGCTCATCGCAGCGTGCCTCCTCCAATTATGCCTGCACTCCCAAGAGTTCTGGCCAAACAATCACCAATTTCTGCGGAGGCTAAGTCGGATTCGCCCAAGGGGCCATCCCAAGATAAGAAGCCCGAGTCTGAGGTAGTTGCCAATGGACCAGATGCTGAAGCGCCGCAAGCGGAGGCTGAGGCTGCCACGGCTGAGCCAACTCCAGCACCTTCAGGGCCGAAATCCTGGGCCAACCTTTTCAAGGGTCCTACCCAAGCTGCACGCCTTGATACTGGCGTGTCAGGTTCTTCTACGACTGCTGCAGGTTTTGCGAAGTCGAACAACGAGTCGTTGGCTGATGCCCTCGTTTCTTTCAATGCCAATATTCACAGCGGCAAAATCTCTTTCCTCGAGCCGAGAGGCCTTGTTAATACCGGCAATATGTGTTATATGAACTCTGTAAGTCTTGACTACTATACACAAATGATCCACCTCTAATGACTCCCAGGTACTTCAAGTTTTAGTCTTCTGTGTACCTTTTTACGAGCTTCTTGATCAAGTTGGCAAAAGGGCGGCGCATAGTTTTAAAAGCGATACCCCATTAATCGACGCTATGTAAGGTTCCATTCCCGCACGCATTGAACAGCTCCTAACATTTCACAGGATTATGTTCATGCGCGAATTCCCTATTATCGATTCGGCTGTGTCTGTGGAGAAGCTTAGAATGAGGTTGAAAGATAATGAGTTGGAAAAGTATGGGGATGCATTTACACCGGATTTTGTTTATGAGGTTATCAGGACCTTGCCGCGATTTGCATCAATGAGGGTATGTCCACTTTTCCATGAATGTGTACTTCCCCGACTAACTCTGTTACAGCGCGGGCATCAGCAGGACGCAGAGGAGTTTTTGGGGTTTTTGCTTGAAGGTCTTCACGATGAGTGCGTACAGGTTATGCAGTCTACCAGTTCCATCGATGGGTCACCAAACGTGCCTTCATCGCCCGCTGTGAGCCAGGCTGGGTCAGTTTCTGGAGAAGGCGCAAACGGATGGCTCGAGGTTGGTCCGAAGCAAAAGGCTGCCATCACCAGATCCTCCGGTACAAGACTTGACTCGCCAATTACAAAGATATTCGGCGGCACCCTTCGCTCGGTGCTCCGTGTTCCTGGTCTTAAGGACTCTGTCACGATGGAGCCATACCAACCCCTCCAGCTCGACATCCACCTCCCATCCGTGCACAACATCATCGACGCCCTGAAAGGTCTAACGAAGCCAGAGACCATAACCGGAGACTTCAAGTCCCCCCGCGGCTCCAACGTCACGGCCACAAAACAACTCTCGATCGAAACGCTCCCGCCAATGCTCATCCTGCACCTCAAGCGCTTCCAGTATGACAACAGCGGCGGCACGCAGAAGATCTGGAAGAAGGTTGGCTACCCCCTCGAGCTCGAGATCCCCAAGGAGGTTTTTGCGCGCCAGAAGCAGGGTGGTATCCTCAACCACGGTGGTCTGCCCCGTTACCGCTTGACGGCCGTTGTGTACCACCATGGCAAGAACGCGAGCGGTGGCCACTATACGGTGGATGTGCGGCGCCAGGACGGGCGCGAGTGGGTTCGTCTCGACGATACGGTGATCCGTCGCGTCAAGTCGGAGGATGTGGCTGAGGGTGGCAGCGAGGAGGACCCCAAGGTCCTGGCTGCGGCTCTGGAGGCGCACAACCGGGACACGATCCCTACCGCTAACATCTTTGCGGGGATGAAGATGGATGATGAGGATGGAGAGGCGAGCGAGTGGAAGCAGGTTAATGGGGAGAAGGTGAACGGGGCGGGGAAGAAGTGGGCGAGTGTTGCGAATGGGGTTGCGGCTGCGCCGGCGGGGAAGAAGGCCGCGGCGGAGAAGTTTGGGATTAAGGATAATAAGGTGGCGTATCTGTTGTTCTACCAGAGGATCGAATGAGGGGGGACGATTTAGGTGAGCGAGCAGGCGCAGTGGTTTGGGAGAGGATTTGGGTGTGAGAGGGGGGGGATGCGACCAGGAGTGGATGCGATCAGGAGAGGATGTGAGGATTTAGCGGATGCGAGGATTTGGATGTACTGTAAGCGGGGGCAGCGAGAGGAGCCTCGTTTGGGCTGGGAGAGGTGGAGTGGTGCAGGTGGGGGAGAGGAGGCGAAGTCGCGCATGTGTGGTGGTTGTTGGGCGGCTTCAATGTATACTACTATACTGGTGTGTTTAGTCGTGTCGAAAGTGTTCGGCATAATCGAAGATCAAGCGCCCGCGCGAATATTACCAGATCTATGCTCATCGAGCAATGTGATAATGTTAAGACGGGTGGGTATATAGGTCTGAACTAATTATGAGGGAATCACGTACATGGGTGCAGAATGAGAAGTTCTTGGCATCATTCTACGTGAATTTCAAAACCACCATATTGCTGGACTCGTATGCAGCATCCCTATCTCAGCTCGAAGGGTTCCTTGACATCTACAATCATCGTGAATACTCATACAACATGGGTCTCCCATTCGTAACCTCCAACTTCAAGAACACTACCGCCCCGCACTCCGCCAAGTAATCACATAGCTCTAGTTCTTCGAGCTAACAGCTGTCGTCCTGCTCGCCATCAGTTTTGCGTTTCTTCTACTCGCGGGTTTTGGGAGGGAAGCGGTCTCGGATGGGGTGGGTGAGTATGTGGATGGCGATGCGGAGGATGAGGGGTGGAGGATGAGGGGGGTGTGGGTGCTGGTGGTGGTTATGCGGGTGTTCTAGTGGCTTGTGGGGGGAGGGGAGAAGGCTGACTTTGGAGTAATGGTTTTGGGATGTGTGGATGCGTGTGTGGAGAAGAGGGGGGAAAGGTTTAAGGGGTAGCGACTGTTCTCGAAGGAGGTGGGGATGGGATGAGGGAGTCTCTGAGTGCCTAATACAATTATGCGGCTACCGCTCATCATGGGCATACGCAACCAGCAAGGCACAGTACAGTTCGAACATTAAAGCCCCTCCATTCCCACGTCCCCTTCTCTATCCTACTATCCCCACTAATTCCCTCATAAACCAACCCCCCTTTAATCACGCAAAAACCACGATAAAACTGGAGATAATCCAAAAATAAAAAATAAAAAACAAAAACAGTATACCCGCATAGACACAGGACACAAAACCCAAGACCCATCAAGGCTTCCCAAGCAGGCCACATCATTCATATACACATTCCACCCCCCAAAACCTGACTCCGAAACGCCCCGCGCCAGCCCGGCCCCCTACGGAATAAAGTAGGTTATGTGTAGTTAGTTGGTTGAGATATAGGTAGATGAACAGGGCAGGGGAGGGCGCGGTACCGCGACACAGCCGCAACGAAGAGAAAAACAGTAGAAAAGCAGCGGAAATTCAAATAGAGGCGCATAAGCAGAACAAGAGTATTTTCATCAATAGACCTTCAAAGAGGACTCCCCGGCGCGAAACAAATAAACAGGCAGACAGGCGGAAAGCAGACAGGTGTCTACTTCCGGATGATAGCCTCGTAGATCGTCGCCAACGCGCCTACGGCGCAGCCGCCGACAATGCCCTCCCATCCTCCAGCTGCCGCAGAGCGAATGCGCGCGACGGACTCGAGATCAACAAGGCCGCAGAAGGTGGCGCCGCGGGAAAATACAGCGTAGGTAATAATCGCCTTGGCAACATTGAAAGTGAGCGGGTCGAACTGGTACTCGAACCTTTGTGCGCCGCGGGAGCGGGGGCGAGCGGTAAGGTTGAAGAAGTACGCGAACGCCAACGGGACAACGAGCGCAGTCGCCAGCCAGAGGGTGAATGGCTGCCAGAAGCTCGAAGTGAGGAGGAGGAACAAATCCGGTAGCGAGACTGGGTAGGGGTTCTTGCTCAGCATCGGCAGGGCGGGGATGGAGAACGCGTAGCGGTCTGGCAGGATCTCGGAGCGGAGGTTCGCGGCTTCGAAGAAGAGGATTATCGTCTCGATGCTGAGGAGGCTCGAGAGCGACTCGCGCGCGGACTCGACGGCTTCGGTGGCGCCGGTGGAGGAGGCGACTTCAACAATTTGGGAGCGGATGGCTGCGGTGCGGCGCTCGAGGACGTCGGCGACGACGGAGGGGGAGGGGGGGAGCGGGACGGATTGCGCGAGGGAGAGGGCGCGCGCGGGCGTGCGGACTAAGGCAGAGCGCGCGCGGGTGGTTGCGGGCTCGACGTCGGAGTCGTCACTGTGAGGGGGGAATGTCAGCCTTGTTTATCGTGGTTGGTGGTTTGGAGGGGTGCGACGCGTCGGGGAGGGGGGTTCTTACACCGAGTTTGAGAGTTCGTCAGCAGCCTTTGTGGCGCGTCGCTTGGTGACTCTGACGATCTTCTCTGCGTCGGCTGCGATTTCTCTCTTGACGGGGGAGAGCTCGTTGGTCGAGCGGCGTTTGTAGAAGGGCGCGACGCGCGCGTCTGTGGACATCTCTGGGTGTTGGCTTAGAAACGAGTCGATCAAGAGCTCGAGATCCGCCTTCTTCTGGCCGCTCGGGCTGGTGGTTCGCGTCAGTACGTTCTATATGATAGTTGTAATATGGATATATTTTGCGCGCGCGCGACGGCGCTGGCGCAGCGGGGGGGAAGCGCACCTCAGGTCAAGGTCTGATGCGAGCTCCTCGAGCTGCGCCTTGCGCATTTTCTGGAGGAAACTGGACGACGACATGGTAGCGACGGGTATGCTTGTGGTCGCGAAGATGAGGCGATTGCGATGCAAGTATTGGCGGCAGTTTTTTATGGAGTTGGTGGTTGAGGGAGGGAGGTACGTGCGGGTTGCAATAGTATGATGATTATGTGTGTTGTTGATAAATGCGGATGGCTGGGGTGCGCCGATTGTTGTCATAACAATGGCGTTTTAGCGCCAGATTGCAACGGCGAGAGAAGAGCCACGTGACTCTGACGTATGATGATGTCTGGAAGGGCTGATCGGGGAGAACTTAGTCTTCAGAAGGTTAAGTTTGTAAATTAATATTTTGCAAAAGCAAATTGATTGTATACTAGTATGGTAATACTGTGATTAGCCGCGTTTGTTTCAATTCCATTGTTTTGCTCCATTGTTAGGAATTTAATTGTTCCACCATTATTTTCTTATTTATCATAACAATAAATTAATTCTACGCACGTTGCAAAATATATTCAAAGTAGTGTTTTAATATTCGTATTTATTTCCATCATTCATCATTTATGTATATAGCAATCTAAACCTATGCTATACTTCCATCGCATAGAAGAAGAACCCCACGTAGTCCACGAGATAGCTTACTCAATATACCGAATAAACCGCTCCTCCCCCTTCTTCACCAGCCTCGCCGGGATATAAGTCTGACCAAAATTCAACTTCAACGTAATCATCGAAGACGCCGTCCTAATGACCTCCCTCGCCTTCTTCGTCGCCTTCGCATAAACCTCCAGCTTCTCCGGCACGCTCATGTTAGCCACCTCCTCATCGCTCGCCCACTCATCAACCGCGAGTTCGATAGAGTACTGTTGGAAGATGACAGCCAACACGGCGATCAACTCGACCTGCGCCAGGCGGCGCCCGAGACACGACCGCGGTCCATCGGAGAAGGGCAGGAAAGAGCCGCGCGTGGGGCGGAAGAGCTGCGCAGACGATGTTTTGCCCGTGAAGCCTCCAAAATCCTCCTCTTCCGAGTCCTCTTCAATATGGGTTGAGGCATCTTCTTTGAGCCATCTCTCCGGGATGAAATCATCCAAGTCATCCGACTTACCACTTACCTTTGACACGCCCTTGCTAGGCCAGCATTTCGGGTGGCGATGGGCGCCGACGACGTTGAAGTTGATGTAGAGTCCCTTGGGCAACGTGTGTTTCTGCCCATCCACCACAATCACTTGGTCCTGATTGGCACTGGCCATCTTCGGGATGTTGGTGACCGGCGGCATCAGGCGCAGCATCTCGTTCATGGTGGCGCCCACCATACCGCCGAGCAAGTTATTAACGCTGTAAGCGTAGTCCCATGTCTTCGGATCCGAGTCGCCGAAGATGGTGCAGACTTCCTTCTGGAGGTTGCGCTGCGAGCTCGGGGCCATGGCGAGTTCCATTAGGGAGAAGTGGATGGTGTTGGCGGTGGTCTCGTGGCCGGCGAGGAGCATGACGAAGGAGTTGCCGATGATGTTCTCGTCGGTGAGGCCTCGCTTGCCCTTGTTAGATTCCAATTGGCCTGGCGACTTCTTTTGGTCGGGTCGGTCTGCGTCGGTCGCGCTCTTGACTAATGCGCCCATGATATCCATGCCCAGCGTCTTCTCGCCTGCGAGCTCAGCTTCCACTTTCTTCTCGAGGAGTTCCTCCATGTACAGCTTCCAGTTCTTGTATGATTCCCAAGCCCGCTTTGCCCTCTTCATTGGCGCGATTTCTACGGCTGTCAGTTACAATCTCTCGGATGGACGAGGGAAACTTACTCAAAAGCCACCTCGGTGTCAACATTAGAACGAATATGTCATCCAGAACAGTAGATAGCGCCTTCTCAAAGCTCATCGTGTGCTCCCCCAAAGGCTTATCACCCATATGAATCAGCCCCGAGTCCTTGTCTCCGGTGCTGAACTCATCTCCCGGCCACAACAACCTAACACCGAACCCCATAGCGCTGATAATGTGCAACGCCACGCGCATACAATCAGCCGGGACATCGTTCAGCGTACGACTACTCTTTTCTTCGCCGTCCATCCACTTCCTGATCATGCCTTGTGCCTGCGCGACGGACTCCGTGAAGACAAGCGAGTTGTTCGTCTCGTTGAATCCGGGCGCTGTGGCCTTGCGGTGCATGCGCCACTCTGGGCCCTCGGTGGTGACGACGTTGCGACCGTAGATGTCAAGGACCTTATAGTCCTTGATGGGCTTGGGGAAGCCGACCTGGCGCGTAGTTATCTGGTGGATGACACTGGGATCGGCGGTCCACATCATGTTGGTGACGGGCGAGACGGTGATGAAGGTGTCCGTGCCCAGCTCACGATGGGCATCATACAGTTCATTCCACGACCAGTCTGGGGAAAGGAATCTACGCCGGGAGTCAGCTACCGAGGGTGTTTATCATAACGTGGGCAGCAGCATACTTGGACCAGCTCTTGTGCCAGCTGTCCGGCCATGTCTTGTTGATCAGTTTTAACCATAATTTACCACTTATTATCCAAAACAGAGTGATAGGGTAGACAGCTGGGCCACACTATTGTCAGCTTGGCTTAGTCGCAGTCGGTGAGAAGGGACTAGACATACGTTGAATGACATATGGCAGACCAGTGCTCTTTGCATCCTTTAGATTACGGCGGAAGCGTGTGAATTTTGAGAAAGCCCAGTAAAGGGGCAGCGCAGCTACCACCATCACCAGGAGGGAGACCATGGCGGCGTTCTTCGGCGACAAAGCCGTTTGTTCAGTTTGGTCTGGTCTGGAGGCACGGGTCCTGGCGGGACCAGGGAGCTTTAGTTGCAGTCGCTCGGGAAGTGGGGCGCGCCGTTCGCTCGGTGATCGTGGATCGAAGTAAATTCTCCGAGGTTCTTGGGATGGGATATGTGCAGGGAGGGAGGCAGATAGAGAGGGAGTAAGACGGAGAGGGAAAGGGGATGATAGAGAGTCAAGATGAAGATGAAACCTCTGCGTCCACTATGGATCGAGGAATTGGAAATGTGAGCTTGGACACCGCATAATGACGGGGGGATATCTCTCCATTGATAAAGAATAACTAGACGCGGGGCCTAGGGCCGGGAGGTAGGTTAGTAGGGAGGGTAGGAGGGGAGTCGGTCGAGGTGCGTTCGCACTAGGAGTTGCGTATCTCACACTACATCGGCAAGAGGTCGTTCCGAAGCAATTTTCGGTGGAAGCGAGGTGGGAGGTCTCACTGTGGGTGGGGGTTTATTGGCCATAAACGAAGAAGGAAAAAACGGAGTAAGTCATGGGTACCATGAAACGTGTCGATCTCGTGGTTTTGGATGTTCTGGATGTACCTAGTACCTGTGTTAGCATGTTTTAACAGAGATCGTTGGCTTCTAAGATTACTGCGAAGAGTAGAAGAGCCACAAGTACTCTAAGATGCTCCTAGCCCGTCTGAAATATTGTATGTCTGCAGCATCTTCTGCTGTAGTCATATGCAGCATCCCTACCTCTGCTCGAACAGGTTCCCCAAGTTCCTCAAAGAGTTCCTTCCATGCCAGTCCTTCCCTACCATGGTGCGGTGGTCCTTTCCTAGTACAGTATCAATTCCTTCCCTACAAGCTTGATATACCGACCTTGGAGTACAGTAGAGTACAGTAAGTAGTGTGGCTGCTCAGACCCCGAGCCTCCACACAATTCTAGTCCTATACGAGATACGACTGCCGATACCGTTCCAGTGTTATGACATCGCTGAGTATGTATCACGGCCGTAGTACCACTCAGCACTTTCTATATAGATATAGAACGGCAATGAGCTTTCGTACCGCACGGAAAATACTGTCCATACTCTTCATGAATCTGTTCTCTTTTTGCTCATGGCTGACAGCGTCGTCCACGTCAGCGTACTCGGAACATTCTTCTTTTGTTGAAATATTCCCAGGTAACATTTTAAGCCACGAGCTAGCATGGTGGCTGAAACCAGTAATGGTATCACGTCAGAACGTGGGAACGCAGAAGAGTCTGGGAACACGGTTAGTCAGCTGCTACAGATTTGTGGCACAAAATGCGTTGGAGCAGTCAAGGAGGGTAACACTTGTGTAATTATATTTGGAGGGTCAATACCGATTTCTCTTATATACATCTCAAAAAGCGTCAACTAATAACTTTGTGGAACAATCAGCATTTTGTAGGTCGACATAGCCTTAAATCCTTCAAATCCTTCATATGCCAGGGCAAAGTGCCAATAATCTTCAGTGGCTGATGCCAAGACATTATATCATGCCTTATATGTAAGGTATAAATGACCAATGCACGTGACTACACCAAATTACAAATCACATGACTCACACTATCGCTTGACCCGATCTCGTTAGACCCGATATTAGCTAATCCCACACAAATCGACAATTCGCGATATTCCTCGTCGAAATTGCTCTCAGCGACGGCACGATACTCAGCAACTTCACGACAACCTTGAAATCGCCAAGATGGTACGTGATAAATTCGCCCTGCTCATACCGGTGTATCTCTTCTCTGGATGCTCTGTCCGACGGCTCTGATGGCTTCGAAACGCATGTTGCGCCGGACGAGAGAAATGGTAGAGGTTCGAGACGAATTGACTCGATGAATCGACACGACGCCCACGGATGGCATTCGGCTTGCGAAACATGACAACGAAACGAGGACACTGCGAATCCCTCACCAGACTCTCGTTTCCTCCATCTCCGAAGCCCTCGAGCCATGACGACTTGCGAGCATCCAGAGCTCGAGATACAGCGAGCGAGAAATCCCGCCGACCACAAACTAACATTCTCTCCTAGGTCAACATCCCAAAGACCAGACGCACCTACTGCAAGGGTAAGGAGTGCAAGAAGCACACCCAGCACAAGGTTACCCAATACAAGGCAGGAAAGGTATATTCACGACCCCTCCATCCATCCCGCACCCGCGGCGAAAAACCTCCCACCCACCACTAACACTCCTTCTCCCAGGCCTCGCTCTTCGCACAGGGAAAGCGTCGTTACGACAGGAAGCAGTCCGGTTACGGAGGACAGACCAAGCCCGTTTTCCACAAGAAGGCCAAGACCACCAAGAAGGTTGTGCTTCGTCTCGAGTGCACAAGCTGCAAGACCAAGGCGCAATTGTCGTTGAAGCGCTGCAAGCACTTCGAGCTGGGGTACGCTCCCCTCCTTCCATTGATGGCGACGAACAATAATACTGACAATTCGACAGTGGTGACAAGAAGACTAAGGGCCAGGCTTTGGTGTTCTAAATGCTTATTGCTTTTGTGGGCATGGAAGCGTGTCGGTGTTCTTGCATGGGCGGGCGATGGGGCAACTGGACGGAAATGTCGCAGCTGGGTCGGACCGCGGCACTTTGAGGCATTGCAAAATCTACTGATTCGCTAATGACTGATGATGCTGATGCCATTGTGTGATGCCTTTGGATGTGTGTGCGTGCATGGCTCTGTGAGGCGTGATGAGGGGTGGAGGGCCCGAGATGGCCGGTTCGAAATATCAGCAACAGTCATGTTTTCGGATCCGAACACCTGTGTCGACAAGTCATATATATACTGGTATCCGAACTTCCGAAAAGGTATTTTACAGATCTCAATATCTCTCTGCCCTTCTCTACTCCATCTCACCTACCCCACCTACCCCTCCCAAGATTTCAGATGATGAACAAATTGGTCCGTGTTACTGAGAGGCCTCAAGAACCTCGTTATGGCGACAACACCAGCACTTCGTGCACCTCTGATTGAAATCAATCCCCTCTCATTTATCTCCTGTCAACCTCATCTCATCTTTCATTTCACTCAGCCTCTCCCCCATCCCCTTGCATACACCCCTCAACCACCTTCCCAGTATCAACCGGTGTGTCCAAGAAGCGCGCATGAACACTCAATTCCTCCTCTCCAAACACAAACCCATCCTCCTCGTACACCGGCTCGGGCGTTCTCTCGCACCTCTCCTCCATAATAAGATTCATCTCTCGAGGTGTAAACATCGGTCCCTGAGCTCTTATTCTCTCGGAATCCTCCACCTCGCCGAGGAATTTACAGAGTTTCGCCGAGTTGATGAGGAGTGAGGCGTCGGGGTCCACCGATTCGAGGAGGCCCCTCGGGGCGAAGTCGCGGAGCATGAGGCGCAGACCGCTGCCTTTGGCGGGGTTGGGGGTTCCTTGCTCGTCGCGGAGGATCTGGAGTAGTGTTAGTAAGAAAATACAGTCATTTGTCATAATTTTGTGGTCTGAAAGCCTCCACAGAGCCCTGTGTGATAATGTCGGTTTGGACAGGGAATTGCAGATGTTCGATTTCTGTAATATGCACTCGTGTAACAACTATTTCCACTCGTGGGGCTCTATATGCCACAAGAGTAAAAGAAAAGAACTTACCTGAGTCTCGGATTGAACGTCAATAGCGGGCAGCCCCTTCTCGGGGTGTATGAAGAACAGTGAAGAGTTACCTTCTTCGTCTCCATGTGGAACTCAAACCCAAACAAAGGCGCGAATATTCCCTCGGGATTCTAGAATGTAATCGCTAGCCAAGCAGCTCAGAGACTTGGGACCCGGCGAGTTGGCGAGCTCAAAGACAACAGGCGGCCAATATTTGCGTGTATATATGAACTGGAGCCGGGATCATGCCTGATAATCACACGTTCTTTGCCTGGGGGGTTGATGAGTAGAGTCGCTGACCCAGCCCTGAATATACCCTTGACAAGCAGCCTTGATTGGGTGTCGCTGTCTGCTGCCATGGCTCTCAATCTTTGCTGTATCCGGAGGACTACTTGGCACTTGAATGATTCATGCATAGCCGTGGGCCTTCGTATGACAAAGGTGCTTGTCCTGGAATCGTAGCTGACCTAGGATAGTAAGCATATGCATCACTGACGGCGGGGTTACTAGAGTTGTATACTAACGTGGACTTACACTCTACCCATTCCCAAAGAGTTTCATTTTTCTCAATACGGACAAGCAGATCGTCGTACTCGTGAAGTTGAAGTGGCAGTACGATCCAAGGATCATCCAAGTTGTGTCGGCCTCGTTGAAGACTTCGGAGGAGGAGTAGGATCCTCGCCACGTTGGCTGTCAGTGGTAGTGTCTTGGTCTCCACGATGGATGATAGTTCTGTGTCGCTCGCCATGATGGATGGATCCGTGGTGTTTGCCATGTATGACGATTGTGTAAGGGAGGATGAAACACTGTGGAATGATCGGGGAAGGTGAAGTGTGTCGATCTGTTCGTGCATGAGATGCAGACGTGGTAGTTTGTGAGATTGGCTTTTGGAGGCATTGAATTCACTTGGGCGTGAGTGTTTCATTCTCCCCAAAAGCCGCGAAGGGAGCGTCTACTTCCGATAAACCAGCACCTGCAAGTGCTGCTGATGGAATTCCTTTTCTTTGTTCGATGTCTAAGTAGCCAATTTGTGAATTGCAATACGATACTTGGAAAGCATACATGCTAACACAACAATTCCTGGGGTATAGTTTTGGAGGCGCTTATTCCTAAGCCATAATTATCTTAAACGAATAATGAGTTAAGGCTATTCTAGAACTCTGATGGTTGATATGTGTGATACCCTCGTCAGATTTTGAGGCCGCATATGAGTATCACTACGTTGGAGCCCACATCTCATGATTCGGTTTCCGCAAGGTATACCCTCAATTATATTTACTTCATAGTGTTCTATTCCTCAAATTTAAAATAGACAAGGCTCTATCTCCAAAACCGGTATTTTCGATGAGGGCAACCATCCTATTAGCCTATGGTATGGTCAATATACATCAACTTGAATTACAACAACTTGCATAAAATAGGAGAGCTTAGTCGACGGCGCAATGCACTTTCGACGCCTCATGGCCTAAGAGCCACTCTGCGAGTCCACCAAAAATCCACGGGTGTGCTGTACAATGCGACAAACTACCTCCATGTTTGAAACATCTCCTCAACGCCTGCAACATACTCCACCTTGTCTGTGTAGAGTAGCAATGTAGCGACCGCCGTATGCCCCCAATCCTTACCTCCCCTCTCTGACGACTGGTCTACAGCCCACCACAGCGGTGACAGGCCCTCCTTATCCTTTTTGTCAGCCTCAACCTCGCCTGTGTCGAGTAGTAACTTAATAATAGCCGCATGTCCGTTCCTAGCAGCATATGACAACGGCGACCGGCCATCATGATCTGCTAAGTCGGCCTCAACTTTGTCGGTTTCAAGCAGTAGCCTAGTGACAGCCACATGGCCCCCTCTAGCAGCCCATGATAACGGCGACCGGCCATCATAATCTACTAAGTCGGCCTCAACTTTGTCGGTTTCAAGCAGTAGCCTAGTAACAGCCACATGCCCCCCTCCAGCAGCCCACGAAAGCGGTGACCGGCCGTTCTCGTCCCTTAAGTTAGCGTCAACCTTGCCCGTGTTAAGCAGTAAACTAGTAACAGCCTCATGCCCGCCCTTAGAAGCTAACGACAGAGGTGATTGGCGAAGTAAATTATCCCTTAAATCAGCTTCAACATCGCCTGTGTTGAGTAGTAGCCTAGTGACATCCTCATGTCCATTATTAGCAGCCCACGATAGCGGAGACCGGCCAGATATATCCCTTAAGTCAGCCTTAGCCTTGCCTATATCAAGTAGCAGCCTAGCAACTGCTTCATGTCCACCTCTAGCAGCCCACGATAGCGGAGGCCGGCCAGCCATATCTCTCAGGTCAACCTCAGCCTTGCCTATACTAAGTAACAGCCTAGCAACTGCCTCATGCCCCTTCTCAGCAGCCCACGACAGTGGTGTCCGGCTGTACTCATCCCTTAAGTCGGCCTCAACCTTGCCTGTGTCAAGCAGCAGCCTGACAGTGGCCTCCTTCCCGCACTCAGCAGCCCATGACAATGGCGACTTGCCATTCATGTCCTGGATATTGAGGTTGGCCTTTTGTTCATGTAATAATTCCACAGCCCCTTCATGTCCCTCGATGGCGGCGCGGAGCAACCAAGCGTCACGTAATATTGGCGCGTCCGCCACCTCGATTGTCAATTGGCGTAACACGTTAGGATAGCTTGCAGCTGGTTCCTTCCCAGAGCTAATCCTGAACATATCAAATAAGGCAGGACTACTCGCTATTGCATGGTCCTCCCACTTTGTCGTTGCGTATTGGAGCAATGGGTACTCTAGGAAGTGTTCGTGCAAATCCTGATGCTTTTTTTCGATAAGACATCTGAACCCATGACGACTTTCATAAGAGGCAAACCAGTTGCGATCATTAAAAGTTTTTGAAGTCAGGTAGTTCCAACACACCTGGAAAAGGACGAGGTTTGCGCGGTCTCGGGAGGTATGATACCATGCGTCCTGTAACCCATCGTGATTGTCCAATAGGAAATCTTTCACGGATTGGTGGCAGAAGTTAATTGTTGCATAGTTATCGTTACCCTTAACACCCAGGTAGATGATGGAACTACATGACAAACATATGTCCGTATATTCGTCCCCATGCCGACGTGACAGCACTCTGCCATCTTTCCATACGGCAAAGGCACTTGCTATTTCGTGCTTTTTGAGTGGGCTCTGGGCAGCAACCATACTAAGTAGAAGAAATTGGACGTCTTCGCGTGCCTCGTTAGAAACATTTTTGATCAAAATTTGGGTATATGTTTCGTTGAGCCCCTTAGGAAGCTGTTTTAGTTTGTCTTTCACGTTATACCTGTGTTCCTTCTCGAGGTCAGCAACCATGAGTGATACCCATAAAAAGGTGCCTTCCGCTTCGTTCTTCAGGGCGTTCTCTACCATTTGTTTTAGCTCTGGTGTGTACCCCTTCCGTTTAGCAAGTCGATCAACTTCAGAATCAATATACATGGACAGATCATAGTTGACGCTAGTAGAGTTCATTAACAGACGGGTGCCCACACCACGCAGCTCCTCCATAATATCATTCTCAGGCCGTGATGTAACGAGGAACTTAAACTTCCCCGTTTGTGTTGTCAGTGACGTCTGCAAGAGCTCTCTTATACAGGAGAGCAATCCCTTGCGCAAGGATCCATCACATTCGTCGAGAGCGTCAATCAGAATGAACACTTCGCCAGCCCGTTCATCCTGAAGCATGCCCTTAAGAATTCTCGCGAGAGTGGAGAAATTCCCGGCGATGGTGTTTCCCTGAGCATTAAAGTCTGGTTTAATAATGTCGAATAGCTCATTTCTCTGGAGCAGGATCTGCCAAATAAGGCTTCGAAGTATAGCTATTGGCGTCTTCCGGTCCTGATCTTTATCATCGCAGAAAAAGTAGGCTAATGCTTTGCTAGGGGCCCTCTCAACCTTTTTCTGCAGCTCATCAACAAGAAAGGTCGACATCATCGTCTTTCCAATTCCAGGAGAGCCAGTGATGCAGAATAGCTGAGGATTTTCAGATGCTCCCCATGCGGAGAATTCCTTTCGTCTGAGAATCCATTCGCAAGTGTTCCCTACCCTTTCACCCTTTTGGTGCTTAATGTCTGACAGGACATCTTGGGCATTCATCACTCCCATTCCCTGCAGGAATTCCCGGAGCTGTTTTGTTGTAGTGATTTGCTCGTCTGTAATAGCCACTGGAATAGCCACTGGAATAGCCCTCGGGGTTCGGCGCCGCCTAAGCATCTCTTCCGCATTTGCTGCCATTCGAACTATCTCTGGGTAGACCTGCCGGAAAGAAGGATCGTCTGGGCCGTAGAATTTGTTGATCTTGAAGTGATCTGTGTTTAGAGATATCTTCTGATGGCCGTCAATACAGGCACTAGTCTCATTTACAACCTAGAAATGTTAGTTGAGGTAGTGGAAATGGTCATCTGAATACGAACCACTTCTTTGAACATAGACTTCACAATGAATCTCAAAGGCCCTGCCCTGGTAGAATAGTCCGTCCGTAGTTTTTCATAGTAACACACCACAGGCACTGACTCTGAAAATAGCCAGCTGGAGAATTCATACAGGCGATCTGTCAAGGTTCCTGACTGTTCTTGTAGATCGTCTAGTATTCTTTCTTCGGTGCTAACAAAAGTCCCTGCTACTGACGCGATTAATGCTCCCCATTTCGCAGCTTTGCTGCCCCGGTGAGGCGTGCCCAGAAATATCACCCCGACGGTAGACCCAACAATATGCTTATACTCTGGATGCAATCTAGCAGAGATGATGGCCTGCCAATAATTTAGCATAACTGAAAGAAGGTCAGGATTCAGAAAGCCACAGACCTGCTCAATTAAGTTACCGCCAAAGCTGTGACCAATAAAGATCAATGGTCGGTCAATAGCCTTTGGTGGATTGTTAATCATTTGTTGCTGATAGTAAAAGAAACAAAAACCTACCTTCTCGCGGTTGTTTCGGAGACTATTCAACAGGTTGTCGGAAATGTTGGAGAGCCGTTGCTGAGGGGCTTTTAAAAACCACTTAGAGTCGTAGTTGAAGGTCATAACTCGACAAGGCAGTCTGGAGGACAGCAGTTTGGAGGGCAACAAATCCCTCAACCAATTCAATGGCGTGTCAGGGTAGCTTGGGTTGCCCCGAGGATTGTTTTTTGGTAGCCAAACCCAGGCATAATCTGGATTCGCACCGAGTCCATGCACGGCTACGATGCTGAGATGGTTAGTTCTACTGTCTAAGGCTTTGTTATGGTAAATACGTACTCAACGGCTGCGTTAACATCTTCGTGCAAAATATCGATCAAAGGTTCAGCTTTAGCTGGTGGTACGCCGCTCCCAGCTGAGGTGCTATTGTCTTCATTTCCAACGGCGTCCCCCACAACGTCGTTACCGCGTTGCATAGCGTCGCCTTCGTGCTTCTTCAGTCACCGTAAATGCTCCCCAAGAACATGCGTTTGGATATTGAAGTCTCTCTTCGTAACGTGATGCGTTGGCATAACGAAGCCTCGACGCGAGGTCTTCGCTCCTGCGGTCTTCACGCGGAAGGAAGGCAGCCAATAATAACGATCGTGGCTGGCAATTGGGGGCCATATTTGGGATGCATGGTATTGTGCTATACTATTCTCCAAGGCTGCGGAGTGTTCTATATACAGCTGCCCACGTGGTTATGTTGTATCATCCCTTGACAAGCTGCATATGAGTATATGAAACTCCGTGGACATTAGCATAAGGATAGGTTCAAGGGTGCCTTTGTGTTTTCCATAATCATTGCCGGTAAAGTCTGACCTGGTAGAATAGCTACCGCACGTGATGTCACGGGTAATTTTGTCCCACACCTGACTTGAACTACAATCTCCCAACTCCATTTCAGCGCTCTCAGCATCTCAACAACCATGGAGGATGATAAAAGGAGCATCGCCAAAAAGACATGGAATTCTGCATTTCGACTCGGGTTTATTCATTATGAAACCCCAATGAAGTAGTGGATAGCGATTGGGAGGATCTTGGGGCTAGAGGATACGATAACCGACTCATAGCACACACCCCCTAAAGTCAGGCTGTATTACTCGTAGAGGTCCCATGGCCACCCCTTCCGGCTGAATATGGCAGTGGAAGGCTGTCAGATAGGGAGTGGGCACACTGGAAGCTCGAGATGTGTCTGCTCAGTTGATGCAACGAAAAGGTTGGGTGAGGTCGGATACTACTGACGGCCAGGGCGCCTCGATATCATCAATCCTGCTGCGGATCATGGTTTGCCCTAACATGGTAAGCAATCCACTCGTCGTTCTCACATTTAACCACTTGATGTCCGTAAAAATGCATCCTGCTGTCTCACGGTAAGCTACCTGCTTCTGCTCGAATCCTGCTTCCCTCAGGTATGGTGGGAGAACGGCACGACGTTTGGACGCGCAAATCACGGAGAGCTGGAGGGTTGACTGTGAATTCCGATCATTGCATATTTTATGGCGTATTTGATTACAGATTCAGTCGTAGGCTTATTGTCTTTGCACACTACCAAAGTAAGAATCCCTCGTCGCCGTCTGAAAGCGACCTCGGGGGACATGGGGCAGTACATCCTATTTTCACAAATGATACCTTGAATTAGGAGAAGCACTTGACATGTCAGCAAGGATGCGGCTCCTCTAGGAGCAAACACGAGACCCCGCCGCCCAGAGACGCAAGTCCCAATGTGGCAACTGACGATGGAGTCCATGGCTCTTGTGATCGCGGGTTACATTCTTACGGTTACATCTTGCCAGATTGAGAAGGTTCTGGGACATATATTCCAAGCAATGGGGACCTCACGTTTTGCAGGTGTGTAGGACAGCTGGATCCTTCATTTTTTGGGGCCAGCGGAGTAGTATATAAGTTATGAGAAAGACCACCGAATTTTATATGTCTTCAGAGTAGATATCAGCTCACTACTCTGCATTCCGGAGCTGCTAGGGCTTCACACCTATCGATGAGACTTCAAACACCGAGTGTGACTAGCATTGTGTCGACTAGTGTCTTCGACAGGGATATCAGTGAAGGCTTTGATATGGGCGAAGTATCCGTCGGAAGTGACTGTACCCACGGCGCTTGTCCTGAATACAATGTTTCCTTCGACTTCATGGAGGAAGTCTGGCAGAACCAGACCTACACGTACACTATCCGCGTCAACGATTGCGGGCAATGCATCTCGGTAAAGGCCAGCGATGGAGGATGCGCCAATTTCGTTTCCTGCGGACAAAAGCAGTTGATCTGTGTCGACTCCACCAGGGGGCGTGGTTTCCGTGATAAGGGTGGCACGAAATGCTTCATTCTTAGTCGTGGGAAGATCGCTAACTGTGGGTTGGCGAAAACGACGCAAATTTTTTGGCCTACGGGAAAGACTGTCTGCCGTTGGTAGACTGAGGCGATCTGGGTGCAATCGATACCATTCACACGAGTGTTGAAATGGCGGAAGTCAGATCACGGAGTTGAGCGGCCTTGTGGCGACGTGGATGATTATAATTTTTGCAGACTATCTTCGTAGACCAAGGATTTTATTCAAAGTCACTGTCTCTCAGTTATAATACAACTATGGGTGATTGCCTTTACTACTATTCAATACCTTAATCATTGAGAATATGAGCTGTCCATATATACGCGTGATTGGTAACAAAAGACGATAAAGTAGTAATAAAGAAGCTAATATTATGTATAGGGGTAGACATAACTCGGCTTTGGCGAATAATCACGATTAATGTTTGGGATAGAAGCTGGGCTTTTAATTATTGCATATCCTCGTAATTAACGCAATTTTTATATTCTCGTTCGCAGAAACTATTTTGACCACACCATTTTATCAACCCTTGAACGAAACCGTATAATAAGCGACGATGGAATATTCTATTGTACAACAGCAAACCGCCCAAGGTTAGTACAGCAACCGCAGTGGTTCTTTCTGTTGCTGTCAGCAAACTTGAGACTGCAAGCTAGACTCTCAAAGGGTTGAGGATGGCCGTAGGATGTAATTGAGGCCCATAAGAGACCGACGCATTCCCACCTTAACGTCTATCCTTAGAAATATAGAGAACAATTATATTAAGAGGGAGCCAAACATGCCCACCAGAACTTCCTGCACATACCACATCATACCTACCCAAACGTAATCTTCGTCCTCGTCAAGTCTTTAAAAACATCATCCAACACCTCCCTCTTTCTCTTTTCTCGCCCGACTTCCTCTCTCCTATCCCTATCGCCCTCCACAACTTCGTCCACCATCTCCTCACCCACGCCCGGCCCCCAAACCCTCACAACCCCGTCACTTCCACCACTCACAAAACCCTCCCCCACCCCCCTCCACGCCAAACTAGTCACTCGCCTCCCCACACTTCTCTCCCCCGTCCCGGTCCGCGCTCTCACAACCGCCACACTCGGCCCAGGCAAGCGCAGCCTATTGACCGCCCTCCCCTCATGCAGCTCAAACATAACCACTTCCCCCTCATTTGGATACACTAGTAGGCCCCCCTTCGGCCTGGTATGTTCCACCGGGCTTAGCAGCAGCGGCTTTGTCTCCAATTTTGAATTTCTTAGCGTCGGCCCAAAATGCGCCAGCGTATTCGCCCCGGAACTTGCGTCCCACACACGAACCGCGGCGTCATGGCCCGCGCTGACGATGTACTGCCCATCATCCGTCCACTCGATGCCATTCACAGCAGCGCCGTGCGCCTTCGCCGCCGCACGACTGGGCCGGTCGAGCCCATCGCCGAGTCCAATCGAGTCTTCGAGGTCTAGGAGCCGGAGCGTACCCGATGCTTTCCGCACGTCCCAGATGCGTAGGGTGCCGTCTGTGCCGCCGGTAGCGAGGATATGCTCATTTGTTGGGGACCAGGAGGCGGCGAGGACGGCGCCGGTGTGTCCTGCGAGGCTGTGTGTTGAGGCGCCGGAGTGGAGGTCGACGAGCCGCACGAGGGGGTGCTGCGTGCAGCATGCTACCAGGAGATGGGAGGCAATTGGGGAGAGGGCGTGGGTGTAGATTATGGAGTCGAGGGTGAAAGAGGCGGAGGGTTGGAGGGTGGCGGTGGAGTAGATCTTGAGGGTGTGATCATAGGAGGAGGAGAGGAAGGCGGTGGGTTCGAATGGGTAGAAGGATACGTGAGTTATGCCGAATTGGTGGGTTGAGGGGCCTCTGGGATGGTGTTAGATTATGATATACAATGCGGAATCAGGACAATTCACCTCTTTACTTCGCCTATGGTTTTCAGTGTCTGATCTTTCTTCTGGGGCGTAATCTGCTCCAAGTCCCATAGCTTGATCGTGGAGTCCGCCCCGCCAGTCAGCATCCTACAGGCATCAGCGCATTGTCACATCAGCATATTCTCTAAACTCACAATTTATGCTCAAACCTATCCACAGCCAGACTATTCACTCCGGCCTGACATGCCCACGCACTCTCCTTTCCAGCCGTCCTTTCGCCTTCTATTGGAGCCGGCGCGGCATCCCCGCCATCAAACTTCACATGTGGCCAGAGCTGCAGCGAATGCAGCGCTCGACTGGCGACAGCTCTCGCAAAAGAGCCTTGACCGATAGAGGCGCTCTCGCGTTCAAAAAAGAGCCGATTCATGCATTCCCCTACCCACGAAACGCGTTGATGTGGGCGTCGTTGACGTCGTTGGAGCCATGACGCTGTTATGGTAGCCTTGCACGGTAGTTAATGCACGGACCCACAAGGCTGAAAATGTCAGTTACACATTTGTCCATCACGTCGCTCAAAACAACATCACTCAACATCACTGTAGACAATTTCTCAAAGTCGCATCTCGAGATGGATTTTTAAGTTCCATTGACCCTCACAGGCGTCACGGTTGCATCTCGGCCTATAATGGCCTCAAAATCACGAACCCAGAGCGCCTTCCTCGCACCCCCCGCCGACTCTCCACAAAGCACTACCCAACCACAAACCCCCGCTATCCCGCGCCGTCAAGCAACCCTCTACGATGCCATTGCCGGTCTGTAACCCTTCCGTCTTCATATATATATGACCCAGCTAATAAGCCACCCAGGCCGCAGCACGCAACACGGCCTCACCCGCACCCCGACTCCGCACGCCATCGCCCCCGAAACAGTCCTCTTCCAACGTGCCGCCGCCCCGGACCGACACGTAGAGACGGATACATATTTTGCATCTGATGATGCCGCGGGGCATCTACCCGACTCGGATCTGTTGAAGGCATTACATGTATATGCTGCGGACTTTTATGCCGCGGAGCGAGAGGCAGGTGCCGATTATAGGAGTCTCGATGAGACGGCGCTTTTGGCCCTGGGGGTACTAATGGAGGAGTTATGCCGGGAGCAGCTTGGGGACGGGGGAGACTTGGTGTTTACTGAGGGAGAGGTGGAGGAGGAAGGGGTTGGGAGGGCAAGAAGTCAGTCGCGGGGTGTTGGCCGGGAAGGGAAGAGGAGGAAAGTCGAGAGAGAGCTCGACGGATGATGAGAGTGGAATTGCTACATTGCCGACAAGCATGGTGCTGATGCGGGGATTTCCATTCAATATATATGGACTGCCGAAGCGCAGACGAGCATGACGCGGCTCCCCACACCGCGACAGGAGAAGTCCAGACTCCACCTCAGCCGCGTGAAACACCAACAGCGAGAGTCACGGGCCTGGACCGGTGAGCTGACTCGTGGGAGGAGGCGGGGACATAAAAATCCTTCACACACGTGCGCCCGAGACCTCGATGGGCAACGTCCTTGTGCTACCACGATCTCCGACCGCGGCAACACGTGCGTTGCAGAGGACATGTCATATCATGGCGATGCCATGTCTACCGATAGGCCAAGTGAGGTGAGATTAGATGAGGTGGCCGAGAGACCTTAGCCAATGCGTTGGTGGTTTCTCGCACACCAAGAGAAAAAAACAGGCTTGTGTGCGCGATGGATCGCCCTGAATGTCTCACCGAGACAACACACTCTCCAATGCAACAATGTCTCTCTACCCCTCCCCCCTCAATCTCTCCAGGCGAGCGGTTCCTTTCCCGTCATGCATCGCCTGCACGCACCTTACTCTACAACGGAGTAACCTCCGACTCCAATCCCAGAAACTTGTATCTGCAAACCCCTCCCAACTGCCGTATCTGCCCCCATTCCAGTGAACGGCCCGCGCCAGATCTCCACTGCTCCCTGGTACTGACTCGCACCGGATTGAGATCCCGCCCCGACGTGGGAGGAGCTCATATAGGTACGGTGTCAATAGTTGGGTGGTTATGCGGGAGGGCGGGGTAGGTAGTGGGGGATCTGATAGGGAGGGGCACAGGGAGCACGGATAGGGAAGGATTGGGAAATGGGAAGGATGGGGCTGTAGCGCTGAAGAATTCGATGGTTTGCATACGGGAGTGAAGTGGATATTGGCGGGACAGTACAGTTTGTAGCGCTGTCGAAAGCGCTGACGTGCGGGAGGGAGTGGAGTGAAAGCTGGGATGAGACAGACATCGATATCATGGTGGGGTGGGAAGCTGGGATGAGACAGCCCTCAAAATATGATAGTGGAGCGTGCGACGCCGGAGGTGGATAAAAGGGGGTGGCGCCCGTGCTGCCGCCGCGGCTGGGGAGCAGCTTCCGGATGCCGGGAGTGGGGGGGATGCGAACGCCAAAAGTTGTTTTTCCTTTGGCCGGGATGGCGTAAGATCAAGATTAGGGCCATCCATGATCTCCTGCGATGCAGGTGCGATGTGAGGTCGATGCCGATGGCCGATGCGATCCCGTACGGTGTTAATGCGAACTATACAAGCGTTGGTGCTGAGAGCTACTGCAACGGAGAGCTTTTAGCAGATGGATGAAGGCATGCATGGGATCTATGAGATTTAGTCACCGAGCATGCATGCATCGTTCATCTTCGGAGATCTAGGGCGCCGGCGGGGCGGGAGTGTCCCGCGAGTCATGGCGTGCATGAGGAGAGTGCCAGTTTTGGGATATGACTGGGGGGTTCGAGGTTGTTTCGTGATGCGCTGTAGGCGCTGAGTGGACAGGACAGGAGGAACACAATATGGGATATTCCCTCATATCTGAAAATGCGCATTACCTACAAAGGAGTAAATGAATTCTACGGCATTCGGGAACTGGCTGTAATTTTTAATATGTAATTGTGTAAATTTATAATATATATAATATCCATATAAAAAATAAAAGAGGCAGAGTAAAAATAAATAAGCCCATGCACTGTAACACAGCATGTGCGCACTGTAAATCATTCGCTAGACAGCCGCTTAGAACATCCCAAACATCACCAAACGGTAAATCCACAATGCATCTCAAAAGTCTCACATTTCCCAGATCTAGCATTTCCCCATGTCTTTCTTCCTGCACGGCACAATAGCCCCGCAGAAAGCTCGCAAGCCTACCCAAACTCACCTTCTCCCGCATATTCTATTCCAAATACCCAAGACACCTATCCACAGTGGCTGGCTGAACCCATTGCTAGCCCTACATGACCTCAAAACAACATCTGGCCAGGAACATCTCAGACATTATACGCAACGAGGCGATATATCACCGAAACTTCCCCGCATTCACTCTTCTTCCACGCCCTGAGCGAGAAGACAATTGTCTCAGGTAGGCAACTTACCCAACCGAGCGATCTACAATACGTATGTACGCGGCAGCCTCCACGCTTTCGCCGCGCCCGACCTCGCCGGAATACGACGTTGAGGTGGCGAAAGAAGTCTACTAAAGGAAGGCGACTATGCAATATGTGGCCTTCTGGAGGGCCCGGGAACCGGGTTCGCACGCGGAAGGTGAGACCTGCGGCTGCATGAGAGGCAAGAAGGGAAGAGATGCAGCCGTCCTGTTCCTGGACGAGCTGAAGCCGGGAGCAATATGGTTTCAAGATGGTAGTAGGGACGTAATGATTGAAACGGACCGATGGACTGAGAAATGGCGGACTGACTGACAGGCTGACAGCGGCGGTGGTAGTGGCGCCGGGCTGTCATCTTATCCACCTCCCCGCAAAGTCTAGTACTCATTACACTCATTACCACCACGGCTCAGCCGCAAACTTATCCGAGCAGTACTGTACTGTGCTGCCTGTGGTGGTGCTCTCTCTCAACGCCAAAACCAGGTCTCTGGCAGTGGTCCAGGGGCCCTCGCTCACACGAAACAAACCCTCGCAACCCTCTTTCGCCACCCCGAATCCCACGCCCGCGTCCCTGGCCCAACCCCCAGTCAGCTATGGCCACAGCGAGCGTCTCCCTGGACCCGCTTGCCCGGTGCTGGGACGGGATGTCCCGGCCGTCCTGCGCTCGGAAGCGAGGTGTGATGCAGGGAGGAGGAAAGGTACAGTAGTCCTGTACGTAGCTTACGAAGCCAAAGCATTCTACTCTAGGCACTTGTAGGGCGCCGTCTCGTTTGGGACGTTGTGGACGCGGCTTCATGCTTCTCGGCCCGTTTTGGCGGTTGCTGCGTTCGCATGGGGATGAGCAAGTTTTCTTCTTGCTTCTGGTGCTCTAGCTGGAATTCTCTTCCTGGACGCTACAGCGAAGACGACCACTGTGCGGGTGGTCCATGCTACAGTAGGATACAGTAGTCCGTCGCTAATTTACCAACCCCCCCTTAGCGCGTGGGGGTCTGCAAGCGCACTGTCTGTTGTGTGTCCTGTTCTTCTCGAACTCGTCGCTACCCACGTTTGGAGGGAATGAACAGGGGCGTGGATTGGGTTATTGCATGAGCGCCCCCCGACGCGCCTCCACGGAGGGAGGGGTCGTGGTGGGAATAGCTTGCGAGGATGGGATGGTGTGGGATGGGTGTGGGATGGGTGTGATGTGCCTTATGCGCTCAGGACGGCCGTGCGAGTTGGCATCGATGACGATGCTCGGTGGGTGATGCGAGTGTTGCTGGTTATGCGGCATGGTGTGGAGTTTGAGGCTGGGCGGGGGGGACGGTGTGGAAATTATACAATACGTTATGAGTACTTACGCCCGGCTTCCCAGTGCTCGATGTGGTACATATACACGATATGTACTGTATAGTACTTTTTATGTACGTACTATACAGTGCAGTGCCGTGCAAGAATGGCCAACCCAACATCACGACCACGTCCTCAAGAGTCGCAGGGGCCTGTCGGAAGGCAAATTCCTTGGTGGATGGTGATGGTGGTGGGTGGGAGGGTGTGGATTGGCATGGAAGCGGGTAGGTGTATGGAGGCACAAATTGATTGGGCCGCAGCGGAGATTTTTCCTTTTCCAAAGCAATGGATTGGGTTGGTTGGGTGTGATATGGTATGTGGCTTAAGGGCGGAGGGGTACAGAGGATATGGGTGTGCTTGGAAAGGGATGCCGGCTTATGTGACATCCTGCCTTGGGGGGGTGAGGAAGGAACGAGGCATCAAACCAGGAAAGGCGAGGAAGGAACGAAGGGCCTGGTGCAACATCGCAATTACCCCACGATCACGAGGCTGGTTCTCGGATCTGTGATCTTGATAACTGAGTATACCTGGGGTTACTACAGTATTGTACCGCGATTTGGTCAAGGAATGGTCCGTGTACTCATTTGAATAACAGATTGGTAATTGGTGAGCACAGTCTTTCCAACACGCCATCATCATCATGCCTTCCTTCTCCCAGGTCTTCGGGCCCAGTGGGGTGGGGCTGCGCTCGGTGACCGGGTCCGAGCAGGGTCTTGGCGATAAAATGGGGAGGGAAAATGCAACTCAACGTATGATCCCGTGTGTGGGATGTGTCGGATGGGGGAAAAAGCGAGGGGGAGATAAGGATGCGCGCGCTGGGACAGAGGCGGTGGTGGGTTACCGTACGAGGGGTTTCCGGCGCCGTAGGTGCTATAAGCCTGGTGCGATGATCGACCGAGCCGGCAAAAGGTGCGCAGGGCGCGCGTGGTATGGGTGTGTGGTGCCGCGCAGTGCAGGATGTGTGCTGTGCAGGTATGTGATCCGGAAGGGAGGGTGCAGCTGTCTCGAGTTTCCGAGTGTGTCTCGAATTCGAGTCAGTTAGGGGAGGGGGGTGACTGAGAGATGAGATGAGATGGATGGATGGGCTTCAACACCCTTCACCGTGGCGATGTGGGTAATCCCGCTATTCAAGTTTTCGGCGAAGACACACTATCGTGCGGTACGGACGGCGGTACGGCCAGAGCCATTTCTTCTCATGGCCAGCGCGATACAAAATAGTGGAAGAGCAGCCCGCCGGCACTCCACAGCGGGGACAGACGCGGCGAGCTAACTTGAAAGCGAGAGCTCCGTTTCCCAGCTGCTACCTGTCAAGTCTAGTGCCACAGTCCATTATTGCCAGTCCACTGAAAACCCCACTGTCAGTCCACCGTCACTTTTTGGGTTGCTGTGGGTGTGATTGGGCAGCCCTCAGCCGATTTAGGGGTATACTTTGGTACGGTGGTGTACTCAAAAGAGTGGTGGTGATTATGATTCCCTGGATCCCGGACGGGGTTTGCTAACCCCTGAACCCCAGGTTGGCGGGTGGGATTGGACGGGTGCTTGGATAGATTTTGGGGCATGTTTTGCGGCGGGTGATTTGCGGTACAGGAAGAGTACAGGATGCACTCTCTACTGTACTGACTGTACTGACTGAGCTGACCGATCCGAAGACAACGCAGTCAACACCCAGCTCAGACTGTATTGATACTGCAGGAATCACAACAGATATTCCCGTACGACGACAACAAGCACCACAAACACGGCAAGAGAAAAGCGGTGGAGAGAAGCCGATTGTACTAGTACCGCCATTCAAGCCACAGATTCAAAGCAGGAGACTGGTAGACAGAAGAAGGGAGAGGCGGTGGGAGAGAGGGAGGAACCGTCCAATAGTCGTGGCTACCTGCTGTATTTTATGCGTCTATCCTTCCGGTATGCATGTCGTACTGCACTCGACGGCGCAGTTTTATAACATGTACTGTACTACTCATGATCGAGGACTCGAATACTCGAACACATACTATAGTAACATACTATAGTACATCCTTTGTACACACTTTTTTGTCCTTCCTCCCTAATCCATGGCTGTTTGCTTGCTTGCTCGCTTCTATTCTGGAGCTCTCCTCCTCTCGGTTGCATGGATCTAATCCCTCCCTGCATTACCCACTACTACCCCATTACAGTACAGTGCGAACTTTCTTAGCTTTCTCCAACCGATTCTCGAGTCCCGCCTCACATCGCACATCGCTCATCGCGCAGCTTAAAACTCCCTTGCGCTGTGTGTACTATTGGACGAAAAGAGGAAACGCCGTCGCTCACCTCTCTTTTGCCTCTTGGTACCAGCACAGTACTCTCCCAACCCGTCGCTGTCGGCAAGCCACTTACTTCCCTCCTCTTAGTTCCGTGCTTCCTGCAACAATACCTTCCAGACTCCCGCCCGAAACATTTCTCCCTCGTCCTCTTGCCCTTCTCTTTGCTTCACTCGTTCGCCCCCTCAGACACTGAGCTTCCCTGAACAGCTGGGCCCGACACTGCAGAACAGACCGGCCCCTTGCGCGTCCCTCCGCACAACCCCTCATTCCGCCTCTGAAAGCCTGCCATCTCCCTGCCGCTGCACCGTTTCGTACACCTGCAACGAACCACCAACCCGGATCCCAAGCTTCGACACAAACAGCCGCACCTCCCCCCTCTCCCCCACCCACCTCACTGTCAACATCTCGTCATTCAGTCCTGCAGATCTCCTACCCGCTCCACGACCCCCGTTTGCGCCAGGGAGGGTCGCACCTGCGCCAGCAGACTCCGAAAACAGAACAACGGGGACGTACTGTACTTCCGAGAGTATCCAAGGGTTGTTCAAGGGTCATATCTAGTCAGTTACCTTAGCTCAGAGTGCGCGCTAGCTCGTCCTGCGGTTTAGGTCCCGATCGATCTTACTCCCACAGTCGGGAGAGCCCAGCCCGGCAAACATCCACCCACCCACCTACCCGCCACACCCACCACAACACCATCACCAGCTATACACTGCACATCGACTCGCTCAAAAGGAGCAAACACTTCCTGCCCGTGTACGACGCTGCTCCATGAACTGCTGCTCGCCACTCCTCGAACTACTACTGGCCACAACCACGGCCATGCTCCTATACATTTGATCCCCTCACCCGCAGAATCTCTCGAGCTGTCGTGTCTCTGTCGAATTCCCTTGGGAAGACAGCCCTCCAAGTTGGACTCTGACGCAGATGGTGCCCTGCCCTCGTCGAAATCCTGTGCTACCGCATCCGCGCTGTGAACTTTGCAACCCGAAAGCCCCATCTCAGACCGTCGATACACAGACACACACACACCGCCTCCTGACCGTCGGTTCTGGTCGCACATACCCGGACGAGTGCATGGGATTAGACGCTCGCTGGTGTCATTTTTTGCCATAGCCCCTCAGAGTGGAATCTCTGCGTCTTAATGCCCAGCGCATCGCCCATACTTATAAGTCGACATGGATACTGGACCCCCCGACGCGAAACGCATACGGGCTGATCCGAGCCCTTGGTCTGCGAACGAGTCCCATATTCATAGACATCCCGGAGGACACCCGTACCCTCAGGCAACGCTTCCGCAACCACAACGTCGACTATCAGGCCCCCGGCAACACTACGAGCCGGACAATACGCGCCGACACTCACAAGCCCATCCCTACGATTCCTACGGAACGCTAGGGCCGCGAGATCCAGCCATCAAGCCAGATCCCAACGAGCCACCCCCGTTACCCAACTCGAGGCCACACTCGGAGGGACGCCGCAACGAGGGCCACGCCAATATCCCCCCGGGCGACTTGCGCGTCCAACATATGAGACCATACGATCAGCCGCCGGCCCCGTCACAGGGCCCCCAGCATTACATCCCGCAATCGCAACCGCAACAGTCACCGATGCATACGCCTCGGCCAGGGCAGATTGCCTACGAAGGAAATGGCATGTACGAGCAGAATGGAGGAGAGGGGGCATCGGGGGTTCCATTCGAGTATACGGGGGTCGCGAGCTCACAGAAGAAGCGAACGCCACGAACTACAATGGTAAGGAAGCATAACCCCATGAGCCCACATCGTGGGTGGAAACTTACCTGTGTATAGGCTTGCGACGCTTGCCGCGCTGCGAAGGCGAAATGTACCGATCCCAAGCCGTGCCAGGGATGTAAAGACAAAGGCATCGACTGCAAATTTCCTGAGCCTGCCCAGAAACCGTAAGTGCAGAAGAGATTTGTGAAGTGATAATGCTGACGCCACCAGGGCTGATAGGGCACAGTCGGATATAATAACTCGTATGGGCGAGCTGATCAAGGAGGTCCAAGATTCGCGCGCGAGTGTCGTACGTGAGGTTAGGCAGCTTAGACGTGAGGTTACGAGACTGCATGATCGGCAAAGGGTCATTGAAAGGGGCCTTTGCCCAGCTAATCCTGGCTTGTCTGTTCTTCTGGACGCTTACGACGAAAAGACGCGCCAGATAAAAAAAGAAGACGACGCCGATGACCTATATGAATTGGAACGACCCACAAAAAGGCACAAGTCGGAAACAAATGGCGTCGGTTTCACCCACCCCGAAGATGATGGGCTTGGGGATGACCAGGCGGATTCGGATGATGGGAGCGAGAACCACGCCGTGGCGAATGTGCCACCTGGCGAACCTGCGATACCCGAGGGCCACACCACTGGTGCTGCCCTCGTCCTCCTGTGGGACGCAGTGGGGGCCATGGTGAAGGAACCGATGAAGAAAGACAAAAACAGAGGCCTTAACCCACTACGGCGCGAGATTAGTCGCGGAGTTTTGAGTCTGTACGGACGTGGTGAGGGTTTTGAACGGTCAGTAGGATACGACAAGGACTCTATGCCAGACTACGGCCTCGAACCTCCGAGGTCGAGCAGCGATACCTATTCTGATCCGGCACATTCACCAACAGTTGAGCAAATTTGGAGCCAAGGCGCACAAAGCCCCGTGGCAGACTCCTACCTGTTCCGCGCCGAGAGCGATGCTAGAGCGGCCGCGGTTGATACAACAGGGCCTCCGATCCTAGATGAAAAAACGGTGCGGCGCCTAGCGGCGAGCTACATGAATTATTTAAATGTCATGCATCCAATCATAACCCAGAAGTCCCTCGACGGGATGATTACCAAATTCCTGCAGAATGTGCAGAGTGTTGGGGCGCCAGAGAAAGATGGAGCAGGGTACAACTTCGCGTCGTTTGCCGGCAATACTGATACCACCGGTTCCAAGCGGAAACGGTCGCCAACGGTGTCAGGCTCCGATCATACTTTTGCACCACAGCTCGGCCACGGGTGGCGCCAGCAGACAATCAGCGAGGCCATCGTGCTCTTGATCCTAGCTTTGGGCAAGGTATGCGAGCACCAGAGCAAGATTCCCGATGTCGTCCCAAACAACGATAGCTCGACAATGAACTCGCCTGCGAATCATGTCTCGCCCCCGATAATGCACCAGTCGCCACAGTTGTCATCGCACTCGTCGACGCTGCCGTCGCCGATTATGCAGGACCGGGCACATCATCGCAGCTCAAGCGACATACCCAGTGCCCGATACCCACCTGGTACGCGTAACCTCGATATTGTACCTGGCTTGCCGTATTTTGCCGCTGCCACGGAAATCCTAGGAAACCACCAAGGCGGCACAGGACTGCCATTCGTTCATGCCTGCTTGCTTGCCGGCTTGTACCATAGCCAACTTAGCCGTGTGCTGCAGAGCCACGCGTGTTTGAAGGAGGCTGGATATGCGCTGACCATTATGTTGAAACCGTGAGTTTCCCTTCCTCTTCTGACACGGGAACTCGTCTTGTCTCGTGCTGTACGGTATACTAACCCGAAATAGACATCTTCCACGTTATAAGCAGATGCTAGAGGATATGGGCGATGCAGTTCGGCGACCTCAGATCAAGTGGCTTCCGGAAGATAACCGTACCCTGTTTACGTTCTGGACTTGCCTCCAGCTAGAGAGGTGTGTATCCCCGTGTCTTAGCTGCGAACCCAACTGACTTTGTGGCAGTGACATCGTCGCCGAGCTAGACGTACCACAATCGGCTATCCTCTCGCTTGAGTCTATAATGCCGTGGCCGAACCTGGCCATGGCGGAACGTAACAACGAGATATCCGCGAAGGCATCATGGTGCTATTCCATGCAGCTCGTATACCGGAAGAAACTTAATATTATACACCGGGATCTGTATGGTCCAGGGAAGGAGAATGGTACGTTCCGGTCTCCCCAGAAGCAATTAGGCGACTAACGTGACCCCTTTTCACAGAGTACCAGCTTGCAGAAGTGAACAAGCTCCCAAAGTTCCCTTACATCAACGCGATGCTCGATGAGCTTAAGAAAGTGATGGACACCAACCCCAACCTCGTGTGGGGCGGGGACGACCCTCCATCCTCGGACATCCTCGAGGCGCGGCTGCGTGCTAAGATGTACGGTGCGGAGGTTATCACGACCCGTCATTTCTTGCGCATGGTACTTAATAGCCGATATGACGGTAATCAAAATATGGTGATCTCAGCGCCGATCATGGAGTTTGCGCAGCAGTGTATTCGCGCCATGTTCCACTCGGCGCAGGCGTTTTGGGGCATCCAGGGTGGAAGGCTTGTGGTTACTAATGTTTGGGGGACGTCACATGCGTAGGTTCCTACTTTTCTTTAGTCCCGTTTCTTCCGTCCTGATTGCCTATTTGCTGCCCAATTATTCTCTACGTGTCTTTGCGGACGTTGGATCTTACAGAGCGCACCTCCCTGGTGCATTACAAAAGCTAATACACCACAATAGCCAATGGGGACATGCCATCGTCCTTCACGCCGCCTACAGGGACCCCCGGTTGCGCCCTTACGTTCCCAAGCGCGATCTAATAGAGCTAACCAAACGGGTACGCCAATTCCTCGTGTCGGTGGCGCACCCAAGTAGTGCTCTTGCGGACGACATTCGAATCCTAGACTATGCGACTGATGCGTCGGGGTTGGGGGAGGAAGTTGCAGCGATGTCGAGGAGAGGATCACGAGTGGGGTCAAGGGGAGGATCGGGTGGAGCGGGAAGCAGTTTTGGATCAAACGGCCCAGATGTGGGGTCGCATAATAGGGCTTAAGGGGCCGCGGCGTGGCTGCTAACCTTGGTTGCGGCAACGAACGGATTGTGTCAGCCCGGCAAATATCGGACATGCTTGGAACCTCCGACACATTCGACACCTTGGCTCATTACGGTGTATATGTACGGATATATCTACATATACCCATCCCGGTACCGCGCACAACAGAACGCGCGCATACGGATCATACATTTTACCTCATCTAATTTCAACACATATAGCACGGTGACAACACAACACATCACCTTCTCTGGCGCGGCTGCAACGGACAGGCAGCGCGCATCGTACATATACACTTACGCATATACTTACTCACGTACATACCCACACCTGAACACATAACCAAACACCAAAACCGAGGATGTGGATAGGTGAACGGGGTGAACGGGTGAGCGGGGCGGACGGATAGGGGCGTGGACAGGGCGGCTACTTGACATAATGTTTTTTTTTGGCGGCATTTGATTTTATTTTCGCGCATGGTGGGGGAGGTGGATGGATTGGGGGGTGGGGGGATACCATGGAAATGGAGGGGGCACAAGGAACAACAAGGGGTTGGGGGGATGGAGGATTGGGTGGGGGGGGCTGGCTTTTTGAAATACCTTACCATTTTATGCGTATTTTTGCGAATTTAGCCTTGTTTGGCTTTTGCTTTTTGCGTTTGGGCGGCATGCGATTTGCGATTTGCGAATTAGCTCTCTTTTGTTTGTTTGACTGTAAGGGGGTAGTATATTGGTGAGGTGAAGGAAACAAACACGCGTGGGAGATGGCACGCCGCGAGGCAGATAACAAGAGGCTGGGGGCTGTTCGTAGCTCAGATAGATGAAATATCAAGGGAGGGATGTTGTTACTCATATATGGTCTGGATGGTATTCATGTGATTGATGTGAGAGTCGTAACGTCGTAACCAAGGTAATCTATCCCATCTCATACTTCCTGTTTCGCTCGGCGTGTGGAGTGTTCCTCCACTCCATCCCGGTCTATCTCCTAGCCCATAACCCCTCTCTGGTCATCCAGCCCATACTAACTTACTTGAAATTGAAGCCACCGACACACCCACCCACAACAACTACAGCATTACACCCACCACCGCAACCCAACCATCCGCATACGCGCACTCGCGCATTAGGTCCTCAAGCGTGGCGTGTAGTGGCACACGGGCGCCGTGCAGGATTGCGGCAGCGAGGATAGGGTCGCGGCGGGAGGGGAAGAGGGTGGGGATGAGGGTATGGAGTGCGTGGCCTAGTGTTTGATGGTCATCTGTGAGGGGTTAGTAATCTGCAGGAAACATTGGGGTGTGGAAGGCGAAAAGGAAGGACAGAACGCACTATTTGGCAGCCGAGGCGGAACGAGTCCTTGGATGACGCGAAAGGAACCGGTGTTGTTGGTGCCGCTGTCAGGGTGAGGGATGTATATTCGTAGTGGGATATGCCGCAGTGGTGAGGCGGGGTTGAGGAGGGGGCGGGTGAGGGCCGCAAAGACGGGGCAGTTGTCTATGGGTGGGGTTGTTAGTTATTGACCATATATATGATGCGGATGAGGTTGAAGACAAGGGGAAGCAAGGGGGTAACGAACTATCTTTCACGGCGTCCCATAGCGCAGTTGAGTTCTCGGCTGACATGGACATAATCCCCTTTGCGCTCCCATATCGGAGGAAATCAGCCTGTCTCTCATTAGCACTCATCTCATCCACCTCCTCGGGAAACAGAATACATCAACTCACCTCCTTAACACTATTCATAAACCCATCCGCAACTCCCCTCTCTCCCACCCCCCACCCATCCCCAACCTCTATCCTCCATGGAAGCTGCGGCGCATATAGATCCGCCAGCAACCCCGCAGGAAGGAGGCGTAACTCGATTCCCTCGTGTGTGAATGAGGAGAGCGGGACCTGGAAGAAGACCGAGAGGCGCGGGAGGAGGAGAGGGAGGTAGGAAAGCCGCGGGATGTTGAGGAGGTAGGGCGGAGGCGGGCCGGAGGAGGGGTGGAGGGAGGGGGCGAGGGTGATGTGGAGGGGGACTGTTGCGGACCAGATTTGGGTTGTTAGAGGGCTGGCCATGGTTGGGGTTGTGGGGTTGGAGGTGGAAGAGGAAGGTGGGATGGGGTGGAAGGTGGGTGTTTGGAGGCGAGGCTGGGGTTTGGGCGAGGCTGAGATGTGGGGGTTTGGGTGTAGCCTTGGGGTTGTGTGGTAGCCTCGTCTTTGGTGGGGGGTTTGAAAGATCATGACAACATGATACTTTTTCAGCGTGTACGCTTATTAAATAATAGGAAGACATAAATTTGTCAGTAAATCCAACATTTTAATTAATTAGACAGTCTTTTATGAAGCCAAAAACCAAAAAAGAACTCCAAATTTCCATCCATCAATCACTTCGGCCCAGCATCGTCCACAAGCCATCAAACTGTCAACAGCGGTATTGCTCAAGCCCACACAATCACATTCTTTTTTTTGGGGGCCATTTGGACTGCTATACCATCAGTGAAGGCCCCATTAGGTGTTTTGAAAGATGAACTAACTCCTCCAAATACTGAGAATGAATAGCCTCGCCTCCGAGCTTGTCAATACCCAGCACATCCGGCATGACAGGGCTGTAAATGCTGCCATTGGCGATAATGAGTTTATCAAATTCTTCCTCTGGAGTTTGAACCTGATCTGTTGATGCTTATTATCCACTCGCCACCCTTTTCTGATCGACTGATCCCCATCACGTTACTACCCAGCCGCAAAGTGGGCCTGAGCTGAAAATTGTCGACATACTCCCCCAAGTATTTTGAACTTGAGCACTGGTCGGATAGTCCGGTACATCTGGCATATTAATATTAGCTTGGAGCAACCGGGACGGAGGTTTCGGGAAAGCGCCCACCGTCAGGAAATAGGAGGTTGGTTAACGACTTCTGAAGTCCAGCTGTTACCATCCACTCTCTTGGCTTCAAGAGTGATTATGTTTTGGACATACCCGCTGTTTCGATTGATTCGAGGTGGTAGCTGTATTTATCAGTGACTGCTAGAAATATAAATCCAAAGAGAACTCACTCGGCAACACTGACGTTTGAGCTTGATCAGTCCTGACTGTCCAAAGGGCCTCAATGTATTCACTTCGGTCATATCCCACTACATCAAAGCCGACTTCAAGCATATTCTTCACCGTAACAATGCCATATACGCCTGGAAAGTAAACAGGGTTTCCAACGATTCTCAGTTAAATGCCCAGCGGTATCGTGAAATGAGGCAAAACTGGAAGATCCAGAGTATTGGGAATAACGACATTTGGACAGTGTCACGGGACAATATTAATGAACGCTCGCCGGATCCGTTCGGGAATATCACGTTTTAAAGACAAAGACGTACCAACACACCTAGAAAACAAGGGAGGTGACTTTCATCGAGAGTTGAGTTGTCGTTTTATCCGTCGCTTTAAACGCGGGAAGGTGTTGATGATAGGGAAGGTGAGACGCTAATAATGGTCTTGGTATTGTTCTCATCTTTGAACCGAGACGAGACGGAACCAACACTGCAGATCAGCGATGCATTACAGCACAGCAAACCCCTCAATCGATGGGGTCTGAGACTCACGACCCTTATTGCTGATGTTGGAAGATTGAAATAGATCATCCCCTTGCGGTAGGATGCGAGTTGCTAAAGGGAGTCTGAAAAGGGAAGGAGTCTTGACAGGGAGTCATCATAATTCATTCCTATGTGTAGCAAGTAGCAAGTAGCGCTTTCCTCCCAACGCCGTGTCATAACCCACCAATCGATCGAATCCCTAGCAGCAAACAAAGCTCCTTCCGTCGAAACCCCCACAAAGCAAAGCTCATATCTCAGATCGCTCCTCTGGAGACAATCTCACCCTCCCTACCATCACAACCAGTTCTCAAACCAGGCAACAGCCTGCTTGAACGCATCTTCCATGGCGTACAAGTTCTTCTTCACGCTCATATCGGTCCTGAGCGCAAAGCCATGGTCGACGCCTCCATAGACGTTGATCTGGAATGGGATCTTCAGGTCAATCAGGATCTTCTCCGCGTCATAGCGGTTCTTCTGGGTGAAGATGCTGTCGATTTCTGTCCAGGGTAGGTGTTGTCAGTTTGGTTGCTCTCTGGAATTTTGTCCGTGTTGGTGGTGGGGAGGGGAGGGGGTCTGAGCTGAGTCCAGGGGGCTGCTAGGGACTTACCAGATGCAGCGATCGACACAGGCTTTGTGATAGCCCAGAACTCGTCGGTCGTAATAAAGGACGGATGAGCTAGGTATCCCGAGTCCAGAAGTCCCTCGCCCTTGAGGTTACGGACCACGTACTATTATTGAGACATTAGCGGGCTACTCTGGGATCCCTGAACAAGAAACCCTTTGTGCATGCAGCGGTACTTACCTTAGCGCCGAAGCAGTACCCAACTCCAGCGATCCTCTCGACCTTCAAAGTCTCGCGCAGGTGAGCAATGACCTTCGCGACGATAGGATCCACGAGATCCGGTGGGTGTCTCTGGACCCAAGCAGGGATATCCACATTCTTGCTATCGAAATCGTCAGTGGACAAGGTATCGCCATCCAGCAGATCCGGGACGATCGTGAGCAATCCGCGCGCGGCGAAGTTGTCGGCAACCAGCTTGGCGTTCTGGTAGATGCCGAAGATGTCGCCAAAGATGATGACCGCTTTTTCGGTTGAGTTGCTGGCGGGACGTGCGAAGTAGACGTCAACTGTTGGTATGTTGGTATTGGTTCACTTTGTGTTGGGGCCTTGGAGTGGGGGAGATGAGATGTGACAGGTGAATCAAAGGTGGCGTATTGAGAGATGCAGGCTAAGACTTACTATCACCAATCTTCTCCATCGTTCCCGTCGTAGTTCCTTCATGTAGAGTTCCTTTGGCGCAGCAGGCTGCTGGTGGAAGGGAGATCATGGAGGGGGCCATTTTGAGGTTTGGATTTGGGGTGTGTTGGTTGTAGAGTGGAATTGTGTCTGGCAGAGAGAGATGGGTGAATTTGAATGCAATTTTGAGGACAAAGGACAGGATGTGGGCTTTATACTCGAATTATGAATTCTGCTTTGAAATCGGCCAAAGAGTTCTTTGGATTGTTGATCTTGGATTTGGAGTTTGAGGAGGTTGAAGTCGGATAAGCCGTCAAAAACATTCGGGTGTGGGCGTTGGAGTTTGAGTCGCAATAAGCGGATTGCTACACCAACAATTTGAGATCGACCGGCGCGCGGAGAAGCACCCACCAGCGATTGGTTCATGTTATCCCATCACTTCTATCACATCGTCGCATTATGCAGCCAGAAAGTATGGAATCACAATCAACAGCTCTAAATATACGGTATACACTCATCAAGCTGTGACTCAACGAGCTGAAAGCAACAATGGTGACTTGACAGATGATCATAAAAGCAATAGTACAAAATGAAGCCAACTGTCTGAGATCTCAGCCGTCCCCGGCGGCAACAGAGCTGAGAAAGTCATTGAACCAAAAGGCGAAAATGTCACCCCATCGGCCTCAAGACAGACAGCCCCGTTTCTCGCGGAAATAGAACCCAGTAGAGTTTCACCCATTGTCCCATTGTCCCATGTGAAATTGAAATGTGACTGTTGCCAGATGTATCTACAAGACGGAAAAATAGCGGTGACTCTCAGTGCAGAATTCCACCACCTACTCGGAGGAGGATGTCGATCACAGGTATGCTGGATTGGATGCACTGATCCCCCTAGATCGTTCCAAGAGACGCAAGGGACGATAATCCGGGAGATCTGCACCAGGGGGTGCTAGATGGGCGTGGATGGTATTGGGCTGGGACACTGAGATGCACCCGTTAAGGCAGAGTTTGCGAGCTGGGACGACGAGGAGAGGTGGATTAATATGTGATCTCGGCGACATATGCGCTGTCCACCTTCGTCTTGGTTGTAGCTCCCGGAGACAGGTTAGCTAGCTGACGGATTAGTTCACTAGCATTTGCGGCGTCCTGGACCAGCTCCAGGCTCTTTTATCTCCAGTTGTCATTTGTTGATGAGCACAGTAGAGAGTTCAGAATAAATTCGTTGGTGTATGGGTTCTCAGACCTATAGCATGTGTAACGCAGAGCAACTCATCACATCCACAGCGTTGCATTGTATGACTCGTTGCTTAAAACTAACTCCTTAGTTGGCGGTTCGGCGGAATAGGTAAACTATAGCAAGATAAAGATCATGAACTGCCCTCCCTCGCATTGATGATAGGATATGTAGATATTGATAGAGCTTGCCTTTATTAGAACTTCCCTTTATTAGACAGCCTCATAAACCTTCAACAATGGCAGAAAGACAAAAGATCGCAGGTTAGTCCCCTCCCTCACCCCACCCCCACCCCTAGCTTTAACTAGGGGATTAAGGGAATGAGATGAGAAGACAATTCTAACGGGTTAGTGGTCGGATCGGGCATGGCTGGATTGGCCGCTGCATGGGCTTTACACAATGATCCATCTGGCAAATTCGATGTCACCGTCTTTGAGAAAGTATCATCCCCCAACATCATTTTTCGGCCTCAAAATTCATCACTAACCCATCCCAGGGTAACGCCTGCGCCCTCGATGGCTACTCCTATACACCCCCCGGTGCCAAGAGCTCCCGCATCGACATCCCCATGCGTGTATTCTCAGGAGAATACTACGCCAACCTCTTCAAGCTTGTGGCCCAGTTCAACGTCCCCGCCAAGCCACGCCGTTTCCTCTTCGTCTTCACGCGCGAGGAACATGAGAGGCCGTATTTTATCCATGCCTCCAACAAGCATAGGATGTTCCCTCCGAATACAACGCCAAACCCTAGCCTCTATCAGAGAATTAGGCATTTGATCTTATCGGTAATCCTGGGGTTGTGCTATGCGGTGTTTGCGTTTGGAGTCAAATTCTTTCCGCCGGGTGTTGGCGGGCCGGGTGATGCGGCGGGAACCGAGACTATTGAGCATTACTGCAATAGGCTTTTCCTGCCGCAGTTCTTCCTCAACGACTATCTTGTTCCCCTATTCTCGTCCGTGGCGACTTGCTCTCACGATGACTTCCGCACTTTCCCAGCCGTGTATATCACCGATTATAAGAAATATACGTCGGGCAATGATCACAACTCTGTGACGACGATGCAGGCTATGCAGGAGAAGCTCGTTTCTAACAATCTCCGCATCAAGCTCAGACATCCAGTCACCAATATCGAGAGCCAGACTGATGGGACCGTTAAATGCACAATCGTGGATCTAGATGATAACAAGAAAGAAAGCATCGAGACTTTTGCAAAAGTGATAACTGCTACCTCTTCTCATGCTCTCGCACACCTCTATAAGCCGGCGAGACCAATGGCATCTCAACTTCCAATTTGCGAAGCTGAGGTCGTCGTTCACAGTTCGTCTCCTTCTTCCCTCCTTTCATTATCCAACCCTACTAACTCCTCCCAGCTGACTACACCATAATGTCCCATGTCATCTCCCGCAAAGGCCCCTTCGCCAAGAAGCCCCTTTCCGACCTCACCGCCGAGGAATTCCTCGCCTCAACTGAGTGGCTCAACCCCGACGCCTCGAGTGCGGACATCCTGGCCCTTCAAACCCGCCGCTCTCCCTCGGGCGAGGAATGGACAGAAGCCACGCACGTTCATAGCTCTGGTATTCTCGTCACCGTGCGTCCAGTGATTTACTCCAAGAGCCCAACCCCTAGCGAGGCCGTCTATGGGAGCATGAATAAAACTCCCCGCCTGCCACCTGCCTATGTCATTGCAGATGACAAGGTTGCCCACAAGGCTGTCTTCTACCGTATGTTGAGCAACCCGCAGAGACGGGAGCTGATCCGTGCGGCGTTCTCGAAGGAGGCTCCTGGGTCCGGAGGAAAGAAGGCCACGGAGAGAGAGGGGTTGTTGAATGGTGCGACTAAGACTCAGGGGTGGAGGAACGGAGATGGTGGAGTATTTGCGACAGGCAGCTGGAACAACGACAGTCTTACATTGCTTGAGAATTGCGTAAGGACGGCGTTGACAGCCGCAAAGGAGTTGGGTGCTGAACTTCCCTTCGAGGTCGTGGAACGAACGTCATTTTAGAGCGGGTTCTCTTTTGCTAGTGATTGTCGTCTTAGTTCTTCGTAACCAATGGCATACACATTTCTTTTCTCGTAGGAAATCAACGCACTGCTCATGTAGTTTATTGTGGACTATTGAATTATCAAATCAGAATCAAACGACTCCAAGGGCTCAAAACTCCACATATTCCACATATGTTGCCATACCGTCCTGCAGTAAACCCTCAAATTATGCTTCTTCACATCCGTTGCATACAGGGGATTCAGCATTATACCCTTAACCTTATCATGCAAGCGCTGCGCGATCGCTGACGGGTCCACAATGCCATCCCCATCCGACAACCCAGTATGCGCACCATTAGCATCTCCCGCCTCCTCAACAAGCGTCGGGCTATCAGTAATCTCATCCGTGCCCGTCTCCCAATAGTCAAAGTCAACAGTGACAGCCGTGCCATAGGAAAAGCTATACAAGTTCCGTAACATCTCCAGCGTCTCAGCCCAGGCGCAGGCTACGCGCCAGCGGCTCTGCCACGAGCGGATGATATCGAGCAGCTTTGCGAAGTTGACTTCTGCGACATCCTTGGGGCATTTATCGCATGTCTGCGTGTATAGGATCCAAAGGTGGACAGCGGCTGATGTCATAAGTGCGTTTGCGGCGAAGGGAGACTGGAGGAGCTGTTGGTCTTGTTCGGTGCCTTGGGTGAGCATGGTGGCCATGTCCGTGAGGGCGTGGACGCTGTCGATGCAGCATTCGATGATGGGGGCGTCGGAGTAGTCGAGGGAGAGGCCGGCGGCGTCGTAGCTGGCTGCTTCGTCGACTTGGAGGGTGGCGAGGCTGTATTGGGAGTCGAGTTGGGGGAGGTACTCTTGGTGCATTACGCAACGGGAGTGGAAGAGTAATAGGTTTAAGTTGACGAAGGCCTGGGCTTGGCCTGTGACTTGGTGTAATTTGTAATTCTGAGGTGACCACCGTAGACTTGGAGGCAGGGCAGCGGCGAAGTTATCGATGGCTTTTGCGGTTTTATAGAACTCGCCTTCTGGATCCGTGGGTGCATATTTTGAGCTTCTGCGTCCCCCGGAGGTATGCAGAGTGGCCATATTCCCCCAAAGCTGGAGCATGGTGATATAGAACGGTGTAATGCCAAGTTGAGACAGCTGGTTCGTGTGCTGCAGGATGTTGTCAAGGGATGGGCCAGAATAATCCTCCTCAAAGGCAAATGAGTTCTCTGGACAGGGAAGCTGTATGAGGGCCGACATCTGGTTGATGGCGAATGGATGATTGCAGGAGTAGGAGATCAAACGGTCCACTACGAAACAGGCCCAGAAAGTTCTTCTTCGAACTTCTTTTTGCCCTGGGGAGTGCTGATTGAATTCCAAACCAAGATGCAGCGCTTGTGACATTCTTATGGCAGTGCCGGCATACATCCAGGCCTTTAAATTCGTCCAAGTTATCAGTTCGCGGATAGCGAGAACTAAGAACGCCTGGATATTATATACTAATGACCGGCCGATGATTAGAGAATAAAACATAATATAAAAGGGGAATAATACGCACCTGAAGGTTCGTCAGAGAGTCTTTGCGCATATCTCCTGGCAGATCGTGCATAATTGTCCGACAGCGCCACAGCCTCGAATCCAAAGTCTCTCAGTGCCTCATCATCGGGGATGTATAATGCTGAGAGACTGATAATAGACATTACTAGGAAAGGCGACCGAACGGCTAACACAGACATATCAAGACTTGGCTTGTGCAAGAAGGAGCACAGCTCTCCATCGTGGTGACGGGCTAGAAAGATACCTAGCAAGAGCTGAAGCAGATGAGCTTCTGGAAGGACACAAGCACTGTTACAGTCACCACGAACAGGGCCATCGAGTATAGGCCCTGCTCCCTTCAAAACCCTCCTATCAGTTCCTGATTCCACTTCGGCGTAGTCTAAGATCTGATAATAACCCCCTGGAGCAGGGGTACTAGGCCAAGTGCATCCCTTCTTGCGCTTCAGGCAGTTCCGACAATTCGGTCTAGTACCGCTGCATTTAACCTTGCTCTTTCGGCTGCCATGAAGTCAGTATCGACCCCTAAGCCATTCTAAACTGCTCGGCTTAGAAGATATACCATCGGTCGCACGCTTGAGGAGTGCGGCTGTGGGTTTCGGTGCCAGCCTTGGCCACCTTCATCTTGATCTGAAATCAACCGTCTCCAAGGCCCGGATGCCGCGGCACAGCGTCTGCTTCCTGACTAATCAGATCTGAGAAATTAACCGCTTGATTTCGGGTTCACAAAAACTAAAGTGCGTGTAACAGTCGATAGCAGTTGATGAGAGAGCTTCTTCTTGTTGTGTCACGGATTCGGAAGTTTGGTTGGTTCGTCATGTCCTACATTAGGCTATCCGAAGGTTCGCGGTTGAGTCTCGGAAGCTAACCTTATCGGACGACATCAAATGAAAGCATCAATCAAGTGCGTCAACATCAACAAAGCAAAGTCTCAACTTTCAAAATCGGATATCCACCTATTAACAGAGTGCTTATAAAGCGGCGAGTGAATGGGATTATAGCGTGGGGTATCTGGTATATAAACGACTTGTGCGACGCAAACAATCTTCTGAAAGGTTCATCCTCAACCTGATCATCACATTCACCTCCAGATATTCAAGCTCAATTTCCTTAACCTCAGCCTCAACCTCAACCTCAGCCTCAACCTCAACTTCAACTTCACCATTTCAACTTCTTACAAATCAATCAAAATGGCAACTCCCACCCATAACGGTGTTGCAACAGTCGCTCTTCGTGCTCCTCTTGGTATCATCCAACTTCCCACCATCCAGCCTCGCGAAGGTGAAGTTTTGGTGCGCGTCGAGTGGACAGCATCTACCCCTCTGGACCTCCACCAAAACGATGGAGGCCTTCTCGTGGAACATCCGCAAGTGCTCGGCGACGGAGTTGGGGGAACGGTCAAGAACGTTGGTCCGGGTGTTCAGAATTTGGCCATCGGTGACAAGGTAGGTAACTGTCAGAGAGGAGTATTTGTGAAGCTGCAGGCTAATCCATGACTGAAGGTGTTTGGTTTCTGCTTTGAAGAGAGCCAACGCAAGGCGCACCAAGAGTTTGTGACTGTTCCACAGACTTCTCTGAGCAAGGTGTGTTACCTCCACAGCAGCGATAACCTCTTGGGGCCCATGTCTCTTCCATAATTGCCTTCAATTGACACACATTACTGTAGCTCCCAGCCGGATTCACTCTCCAAGAAGCAGTAACTCTGCCCAACAACCTTGTCACAGCCTTCCACGCCACAACAGCTGACCTGGGCCTTCCTCTCCCGTGGCCTCGTCCTGCCAACCCATCCCCAGTTGACGCCAATTCTCCAGTTTTGATCTGGGGCGGAAGCTCGTCTTGCGGACAGTACGCTATCCAGGTCCTCACGCACTGGGGTTACAAAAACATCATTGCCACCGCCTCGCCAGTTCACCATGAGTACCTTCGTTCGCTCGGAGCCAAGGCGGTCGTCGATTACCGCGATTCGAACTTCGCGAGCCTGGTTCTCGAGAGTGCTGGAGCGGAAAATGCGGATGGACCCGCTGTACCATTCATTTTGGACTGCATCGCATCCAAGTATGGAAGTCTTGCGAAGATCGCCAAGGTCGCGCAGAAGGGCACCAAAGTCGCAGCGCTTTTGCCAGTGATTGTGAAGGATGCTTCGGATACAGAAGCCCCGGAATACGCCATGGATGTGCAGGCATCGGCGGATTGGGCTGAGGGCGTAGAGGCTAGGGGTGTGAGAACGCATTTCTACCAGGAGGTAAGTCATGGATAGTTTCTTGAGGCATGTATGTGAGGAGATATTCTAACAGTTTGGCAGAATGTGTTTTTCAAGACTCACCTCCAGCCTACGATCATCCCCACGTTGTTGGCGGAAGGTGTGGTCAAGCCAAACAAGCAGAAGATTATTGAGGGCAAGTCACTTCTGGAGAGGGCGCAAAAGGCCCTGGATACGCTCAGGAACAAGGCCGTGAGTGGTGAGAGATTGGTGTGGCGGATTTCGGAGGAAGGAGCGGATGAGTAAATGATAATTGGGGAAAGTACGAATCGATTTGAGGGAAGGAGCGAATGACAACGCAGTAAAGCACCAATTCATCTGAGGGAAGGTGCGAATGATAATGAGGGGAAGTGCTAATGACTATGGAGGAAAGAGCGAATGAGTATGGAGGGGATTCGCGCCTTCCTTGAATGAAAGTATGGCAATCTTCTCCAGTGATTTTGTGGTTGGCATGATCACAGATAGCTTTGAACATACCCTAAAGGCTCAAGCAGGATATGGGAGGATGAAGTAGTGAATCATTAATATTATGGGTTCTTCTTCTTTCCACTTTTCACAACTGTAATCAACAGCACCGTATTTCCCAATACACTTCGCAAGGCATAATGATTCGGAGAGGCACTAACATGAAATATCCAGTGCCACGGTGATAATCGACAATGAGATTCTTGAGAGTGACTGGGAGGATGATGAGCCTTGGAATGTGTCATTCATGCCTAGACCCATGCCCCACTTCCCATTTTGACGGGTGGGGGGGGTTAGACAAGTGCGGGAGCGAACCGATGGTTTGGACCCTGGATTTGCCCCACCTTAGCGTTAGGATCCCACGATGATATTTATCTTCAATTTCAGAGATATATAAGTCCATGTCACGCCGGACCAGGAAGCTCCCCGTACCTAGAGTATGTGAATATGACTATAGACTAGAAATGCGATAATGGCTAAGATGAAGATTCGGATGGCTTGGAATTAGAGAATCTGGATTCTATTTATGAATCGAAATTTTAAAAATTAAGCGGCATTTGCAAGATTTGAACATGCACAGCTTAAGTGCAAGTGGTTTCTAGCCCTCTTTACTCGCCCACGGTCATACAAAGTAAACAAGGCGTGTTGCCAGAGTGGTTAATGGGTATGACTAGAAATCATATGGTTTCGGCCGCGTAGGTTCAAATCCTGCACACGTCGTTTAAAGCTTTATTTTTTATTTTTTATTTTTATTTATTGTGGATACAAATATCTGCCCCAGTAACTTTTTTTCCCCCCAACTATTGTAGACATATTATGAGAGTCCAACGATTCGAGGATATGAGATGTCTAATATGATGGTATTTCTATCGTTACATTCATTCCCATTTTGCTTTCTTACGGCGCTAACCTGAAACTATCGGATGGTGTCGAAGTGACAAAATGCACAGGAGTCGTGAAGCTATAACTTGAATTATAATCATATAACAGGAAAAATACTCTGCTGTATAGGCTTATAATAAAACCCGCAGAGTCTATACTTTATCAAGTTTCTCTAATCGCATTTTGATATCAATCTCATTTGGAGGCCATCATTGATGTTGCAAGGCTGTCAAACCAGGCAGAACTCCACCCCCGGCCATATCATCCTTGCCCGAATACTCCGCCTTAATATAACCCGCCAAGTCAGCGAATCGCAGGCCTTGGCTCTATCTCCAGACCCCTGGAAAGCCTCACATTATGGCATGGGACTGATTCCTCAGCCTCGCTCCAGTGAAGCATCGACTGCGGGGTTGACTCCGAAACGATGGAGGGCGGCTCCACGCGTACCTGTGAATGTCGGCCTCAGCCACGGTTATATTATGAGCCTTATGTCGAACAGATTTCATATCTGAAAATTAGTTTCTTTCGAATGTGAAGTCTAACAGCGACGAGGTGCGGTATCGCCAAATAATAATCCTATCAAAGAAATAATTACCGAGGCAGAGACATACAGACTCTGCCAGCGCCCGCCGGATGGCGGAGGTTATAGCAGGCGTTGCGATCGCAAGCAGCATCATCCAGCTGATAGATGTAGGAGGCAAAGTGGTATCCCGGATCAAAGAGTACAGCGACACAACCAAGGATATCCCACAGGGGCTACGAGAAATTAGCGTCCACATTCCTCTCATCACAGAGATATGCCAGGAGCTACGGGAAGATGAGATCAAGAAAGGCCCTCAGGTGTCGCAGTCTATCTTTGCAGTGATTGATGGATGCCATGTGACGCTCTCCAGCCTGGATAAATTATGTCGCGAAATACTACCAACTCCCCGAGATTCTTCGATGGTACGAGCGAGGAAGGCGATGCAGAGTCTCAGGGCAGACAAGAAATTCACAAACTACCAGCGGATCTTGGAGACGTATAAGACGTCGCTGATGCTGCATATTAGCCAGAGATCTGTGGTTCAGGCAGTTACAAAGGGAGCCTCCAAAGCCCCTGCTTTCGATACTTTCTACCATTTCCCCTCAACGCAAGTCTCACGTTTTATCGCTCGCGAGAAGCTCCTTCGCTCGATCGAAGATGGCTTCTCTGTGGAAACCACAGACTCCCGACCTAATGTTGTTGCCGTTATAGGTATGGGAGGGCAAGGCAAATCCCAACTCGCACTTGAGTTCTGTCGCAAGACCTCAACTGCACGCCGCTTCGAGGTCATCCTATGGGTTGATGCTACAAATCTCACAACGCTGCATCGCAGTTTCGAGACTATCACCGAGCAAATCACAGCCGGCAAAGGGCGCCGCACATTTAAGAATGCCAACTCGCTCTCAGCCTTCATCGACGAGACGCTCGAGGAATGGAAAGCGAGCTGGCTGCTCGTATTCGACAACTTCGACCAACCAGGGGAAATGAAGAATATTTCCGATTTCTTCCCGCGGAGCAAGAATGGCGCTATACTGCTGACGAGCCGGCATGCGGATTCAAAACATGTTTCGCACACAGCAGTACATCTGCATGGGATGGAGGAAGAGGAGGCGAGAGAGCTGCTATTTACGAGAACCGGCAAGGAGAGAACGGAGCAAAATGTTGAATACGCTGATGCTATTGTCAAGATGCTGGGTTGTTTGCCTCTGGCTATCGATCAGGCGGCTGCGTATGTGACGTCGAGGAATCTGCCTTTGGGGTCGTTTCTTGAGCATTACTCGAAGAGGAAGGCGATGATCATGAAGCATACCCCTCAGCTGTGGGAATATAGACGGACACATGGAGAAGAGGGTGACGAAACCTCATTAAATGCGTTCACTACGTGGGAAATGGACTTTCGACAGATCAAGCAGGAGGGTGTTCAGACGGAAAGTATTACCCATATACTGACACTCTTTGCGTTCTTCAATATTTTGAAGGTTTCGGAAGACCTATTTTCGGCATATTATAAGTCTTGTCCATTCCCGCCAACCTGGATGGAGGATTTTGTGACGGATGGAGAATGGGACTCATTTACATATGGAGATGTTATTGCAAGTCTACTCAAACTGTCGCTTCTACAGCAGCCACGAGCTGAGAGCAATGAATCCGAGTTCTCTATCCATCCTTTGATTAGGGATTGGATCCAACTGAGAATAAGTGCAGAAGAGCGCCGAGAATACCTCCATGAAGCGACACAGATACTAATGTCTTATGTCACCCTTAATCTCGAGGGGACCATAACCCTTGCCAAACGCCGAGAAATCCTATCCCATCTCGACGCAGTCATGATGGCTGATTCTCAATATCTATCCAAAGGAAACCAACTAGGCTACGGCGCTTTACGCCCCGTCTCACACACCTTTGCCACATTCTACGATACCTCCGGACGCTTCAAAGAAGCCGAAGAACTGCTCAAGCGCATCCTCGATAACGACACCGCCACAGAATCTCAGAACCTTATTGACCTCGACTCCCGCACAAGTCTCGAAACGCTTCTGAAGCTTTCCCAGGTCTATTTTAGCCAGGGTCGATATGAGGAAGCTACTGAGATGGCCGAGCGCTGTTATAAGGGGTACACCGAGCTCGTTGATGCACAAAACCCTAACGTCGCCGCCGCAGCCATGAACCTCGCTGAGACATACTACAAGCGTGGCCGTAACGCTGATGCGCGCAAACTCTTCTCCTCCGCGCTGGATATCTACCAGGAGCACCTCCCTGCCAAAGACTTGCGCATCTACGCCGCGCAAGAGAAGCTGGCTGGTGTCCTCCGTAGCATGGGCGAGCACGAAGGCGCCTTTGCGCTGTATCGCCAGGCGCTGGCGGGGAAAGTGGCAGCACTGGGAGAGAAGCATGTCTCGACGCTACGCACCGGTGTCGCGCTCGCCAACAACTACCGAGCTCAATGCCAGTATGTGCCAGCGCTTGAGATACTACTCCGTGCTGTGAGTATAACGACGGAATTACTCGGACCCGAGCACCCTGATACGCTGAATGCGATGATCCACCTTGGGATTTTGTGTCGGAATATGGGAAAAGCGGAGGAAGCAGAAAAGTGGCTACTGCGGGTTGTGGAGGCGGGTGGGAAGGCGTTAGGGGCCAGGCACCCGGATATTCTAAGGGCGGAGTTGGCGCTGGGCATGTTGTTTGTGCAACGGGGGAGAGTGGCGGAGGCGGAGCCGAAGCTGCGGATTGTGGTGTTGGGGCGGCAGCGGTATTTAGGGGTAAAGAATGATGCGACTGTGAGGGCGGTGGAGATGCTGGGGTATTGCTTGTGGGAGACTGGTCAGCGGGATGAGGTGGAGGAGTTGTGTATGAGGAGCTGTGATGCGGTTGAAGAGGGGGGCGAAGTGGGATGGAAAGGGAATCAATATGCGGCCTGCGAGAGAGTTTTCAGGAAAGCTGTGACGAGGGGGGATAAAAATCTGGGGCGCGATCATCCAGATACGTTGGACTGTGTGCTTATGCTGGCTCAAATATGCGAAGCTCGGGATAGAGTGGGAGAGGCACGGCGGCTGTTTGAGGGGGTTCTTGATGCACATATAAAGAGGCTAGGTCTGGATGATTTTGAGACGGCGAGTGTAAGGGATAAGTTGGCAAGTTTGAAGGAGGAAGCAGAAAGCGAGAAGAAGGGAACGTGGTAGAGAGAGTAAGAGGCAGGAGCAGTAGCACTAAATTGCAATACTATCACTATAAAGACTATTTAAAGATCAAGCAAGCCCCGAGCCCAAAGCGATAGCTCGCATAGTTATCCGTCAGCCACCGCAGTCGCGCATTACCTAGAGCCTAAATCTCATACTTATAATCCATGTCCAAGCTTGCCTTCCAAATCCGATTGGGATGCGTCTTGTAATTCACATAGTAAGTAGCCGCGAGGGGCTGCATATCCAGGTGCCAAATATCCCGACCTGTATCGAGATTATAAATCTGCGCCTTTTCATTCCACGATATCCGAATCTCCTCATCGACGGGGATACCATCCCCACAACCGAACAAGTCGTGGAACCTAATAGCTCCCCATTCGTGCCACTTGCCGCTGAACCATTGAGCAATGTGTAACTTACCATCGCCTCGTCGAAAAGAGAGGTGAAGATTAATACTCTTGTCGTCGATAGCCCAGAAGTTGAACTCTGTCACATCGCTGTTCGACGTCGGATGCGGGGTATCATCCATCTCTGGGTGCCCACTGTGCTCCATAGCACCCTCCAATTTCAAGGTGATAAAGCCGAGCTGGGCTTCGAAATGACGTGCCAGAGTGATGCCCCAGCAGTTTGCTTTGATGACATATTGTTTAGTCTCTGCATCGCCCCGGCCGAGCTGAAGAGGGCTAGCCAAGCTCTTCATTGAGGAAGATACCGAAGGGCCGCTACTACAGTATTCATATTTAGCTATGAGTTTGTGTTGTGAGTTTAAGGTCATTGATGGACACTCACGTAGTAGGCAATGGGAGCTCGTATCCGTGTAGGTGGTACTCTGACTTTGGAACTGGTTTGAGCTGGACTGTTGATCCATACGAGAGCCCCGGAAGACTATTGTGCGTCGCCATGAGGCTTGAATTAACCTGGTCGGCCATAGTTATGATGGACAATAAAGGATAAAGGATATAGAGGAAGTCCTTTTAACGCAGAGAAGAATTGACAGCGGGTATGAGGTATTTATATACTACACGATTGCCTGATACAGGGCCTAGCCGGTGCGACATTGCACATGGGTAACGTCGAATTGGGAAACCTCATCTGTACTCTAGATGTAATTGAGGCTGGCTGAGTTTACAACTAGCACCATTTCCTTTGCCTATCAGATAGAGAATCTGTGTAAAATCGTGTGTATTGGGCTGAAGAAGACGCGGTGCCCGAACAGGAATATCACAGCTGAGTGCAGGAACCAGGGTTATATTGTAGCCAACCAAACAGCTTACAGGAGACGACCAATTGCCAAGACTGTAATGCATGAACCACGGGTTTAGGCTGCCGATAACGCCGCCCTGTTATACATGGCTCTTCAGCTTTTAAAATATTTAAGCTCTTTACTACTATCGGCGGAGCCGGTTCTCCAGCAGTTAACTCAATAGTCGATGTAGACAACATGCCTGCTTGCATAGATTGCGGGTTTATCGACCTCATTGGTCTATAGACTACAAAATCGTCCCGATTACACAAACCAAGCTTCCTTGAACTTGTATTCTCTGCCGAGAACTGCCTAAGCTGCGAGATCATTCTCGAAAGCCTACCAACCCCGCCTGTTGCAGGGCTTCCGCTGCCTACATTGCTTGCGCCGAGTGCGCCACTACTTGTTGTGACTGTCAACGGGTACAAATATGCAAGGACGGTTGTAGACAGTCCTATAAACATAGACTCCTTAATATTCTACTTCGACGACCTGTGGAATATACAAGGACTAGATAATGTACAGGGAAAAGCAGACCCTAATTACTTCCGTAGATGTCTGGATGTTTTTTCAGGTGAGTAGTGTCATAATTCTATCAGCTATCTTTATTAAATGCTACTTGCAACTTAGATAACCCTGCCACCTTCGATTACATTGTTGGCCGGCCGGTAAAACCAATACTAGACCCTGCCGTGGTATTTGGATGGTTTGACGAATGCAAAAAGCATCCAGAGTGCTCCGAGTATTCAAACTTATCTGCAGTCCACAAGAGCGATTTTCCCTCCCATCTTATCGATGTCAATCCCAAAGAAGGCCCCATTCGATTAGTTCAATCAAAAATTAAAGGCACATGCAAAAAATACTTGACGCTGAGTCACCGGTGGAAAGATAACACAGTGAAGACTACGCAGCAGTCCCTATGTGCACACCAAAAGCGCCTGCCACTCGAAGAACTCGGTCAATGCTTTAGAGATGCTATTAATATCACAAAACGACTAGGATTTCGATATATATGGATTCATGCTCTATGTATTGTTCAGGATGCTCCTCTCGAAATGCAACGAGAGTGCTCGCACATGAAGGACATATATCAGAATTGTACGATCATGTTAGCAGCAGACCGTGCCGGACACTCAAACTCTGGGCTTTATCCGATCAAGCAAGTTTCCAAGGAGGCAGTACTGCCATTCCGAGGTCCAAGCGGGGAGCAGATTTCACAGTTCACAATAAGCAGTCGTCGGCTTAGCACTTTCGACTCTGATGTGATCCATGGCGTGCTCAGCCCCCGAGGTTGGACACTACAAGAGCGAGTTCTGGCTCCTAGAATGCTTTATTTCGGCAAGTCTCAACTGCACTGGGAATGCCGAACTTCTATCTGGAATGAGAGAACAGATTTCAAGCGCATCTCTTATACTTCTCGTATGTTAGACGATGCTCGAGAGATGATTGCGGCCATAGGTAGAAAAAATCAAGGAATCCCTTCCAGCCGTGATATGGTCGGGACGGGCGTTGGGTACACTGAATATACCGTCTGGTATGACCTTGTGTCCGCCTATAGCTGCCGTAAGCTTACTTTTCCGGAGGACAGGCTGAAGGCCATTTTGGGCCTCGCCCAGTTGTTTCTGGGAATTATTAGCGACGTATTTGTATGGGGCTTGTGGAATAAGGACCTAGCTGCTGGGCTGCTTTGGAGCGTTCACGCAGCCGCGCCTATAACGAGACTTCAAGCCCCTTCATGGTCATGGGCATCGATGGACGGGGAACTTACATTTTATATCCCGAGTACAAAATGGGGCCGTCCGCTTCGCGGGAGCTTGGAAACCACATGCGACACGATCTCTCTTACTGATTCGGAAGGCCCTCATGGTACATACCAAAGTGGACGATTTTCCTGCCGCTGCCCCGTTATGTTGGTAGCACTTTTAGCTAGCGCCAAGATCGAAGAGAATGAAGAATACCCTTACGACCATCTAAGACAGGAGCCAAATGCAGAGGTCCGCGATGTTGGGAATAAAGGGTTGGTAATTGGAACCGCAGCAATGGACGACGACTCTCTGGTACAAATGTCAGATCCGCTACATCCATTGAAACTTCATGCGGCGATGTTTTACCGCCAACACCCTCTCCTGGCTGACGGCCAAATAGTAAATGGCAGAGAGCAAGTCTTACTTTCGTACTGTATATTGCTAAAGCCTCTTGTTGAAGATGGCATTTTTCAACGGTGTGGGTACGCGGAAATCCAGTCTAGCGCCTTTTCTAGAGTCGAGACGAGCAGCATTGGAATTGTATAAAGCGCTATTCATTCTAGGACACCTTTTTAATTTTATGTACCCTGATAAAGAGCTCTTGTAGGCCTACAGTAGCAGCATGCCGTAGCCTAAAACATGCGGTGATGCGAACTCACACTTGCACCGCTATATACATTGTGGGGGTTAAATTTCAATAATTAGCCAGGGTGCAAGAAAATAAACGTAATGACAGCTGGGCGGCGTTCTATAGAATATACCCTTTATGCATGGTAATATGTAATCTTAACTTTCGGAGGCCTTCGTCAAGGTTATGCTCTCTTCCGCCCCTGCAACCTTCTCAGCCTCAGCCACTAACGTCATTTAGGTCACATTAACCCCGGCGAGAAAGAGTGATTGGCGGACAATCAACGTCAACCCCTATTTCAGCTTGACAGCCGCCACTATGCACTAGCTTATACTGGGGAAGACGGCGCGGCGATCCGCCAACACCCCAAAATATAACATCGTCGCGATCTGCCTATCTGGGAAATAAGCGGCCTTCGTGAATTTACTCCGCGCTTACCTCGCTCTTTACCTCAACGACGACGACGACGATCAGAGCCAAAGATCTTCGTTATGGTGTCGCAGCAAGAATGATGTTCTCCCGCAACGTCACGCCTATGGGTTTAAGCTTTCTCTTATCCCTAACGGTCTTTGCTTCCAGTACGCACAGCATCCCATGGCTTCTTCCCAATATCCCCATTGCCAGTTCATTTGCTAATACCTTCCCCAGACACCTTGGCTATCCCCTGCTACGTAGATCCCGAATATATATACGAGTCATTCACCGTCTCAAGCCAAGCAGAACTGAACAAAGCGGTTGAGGGCTGCACTTCGATTATTGGTATCCTTATTATTGGGGTCAATTACACAGGACCCTTCTCCCTCCCCTTTATTACGTCCATTAGCGAAGGGATCAGGACAGAATACGATTATACAACCGGCAATATCACGGACTCGCTTACATCTGTCGATGCTGAACATCTCACATCTATAGGCTACGTGTCCCTCACATATTCTCCAAAGCTCGCAAAAATATCGTTTCCAAATCTATCCAATGTTACTTCTGGTATTGAACTCGAGGGGATTGGAGAATCTGCATCTGTAGACTTTCCGTCATTGAAGGTCGCGCCTGCAGATTTGAGACTCTCTGGCTACATTGGGACGTAAGTACTGAGCACGCCTTAATATGTTAAAACGCAAGCCCATTTCTAATTTTGCTTTAGTATCAACTTTCCGATTCTAGCAGAAGTCGGTGGTACCTTGCACGTAGCTAACGACAATGAGCATAGCGTATGGAATGAGGTCAACTACGTGCATGATTATAAAAGAAGCTACCCTCAAAGCAGCTACCCTTTTTTGGATGTCGGCTTTCCTGCACTGCAGAACGCTTCATCACTTGAAATCAAGGGAAATATATCAAGGTATAAATACCATAGTCATTACAATCACGTACTAACACATGTCATAGCATAAATTTGCCACAACTTTCTGTAATAACTATGGACTACGGAAAAGAAGACATGAAACATGGGGTGTCTATATCAGCAAGCACGCATCCATTGAATATTACCCTACCTAATCTTTCAGAGTCATCATTCATTTCTCTTTCTGGAGAAATTGGAAGGTTACTTGCATCCCAGCCCCTCACTTGTTCATCATGCTAAGTTTTGCAGCTTTTCCTTCCCGAAGCTTCTTAGCACCGGCTCCCTCAAGGTCGATGCGTCTGCTCCTTTAAGCGTCAACATTACTCCGTTAGTGACAACGGATACGCTGGCATTGTCTGGGAATATCACTGGGTAATAATAGTCTTGTCCTTTTTATATTTCTTGTTGCTTACTTACCTACACAGACTATCATTGTCATCACTTGAGCATGTTGGCGAAGTAAACATCAATAGTAAAGAGGTTCTTGATTGTTCTCCTGCCATTGCTGCGTGGGAAGGTGCCAATCATTCGATCCCAGATGACAAGTTCAAATGCACTGGGCAGAAAGCCCCGCCGCCGAAGAAAACTTTTCCGAAGGCCGCGATAGTAGCGATTAGCATTGTCATCCCACTCGTGATTATCATCACACTTGTCTTGTTATACATACAAAAAAGAAAGAAGGCTATTTGGAGGCGAGACGCGGCGCCACCCCCAGAGTATGACATCGCATTAGAGGCACTTCCAAAGTACTCCCCGCGAGAAGATGGGGGAAGTGTGAATCAATCCCCGCGAGAAGATGGGGGGAGTGTCAATGGTCCTGGAAGTGTACAGGGCTCTGAAAGCGTGGCTAGTACACAACCGTTAGAAAGGAGAAATGGTGTATAATATGGTGACTTTGTTGGCGTATATAGGTTCGAAGTATCGAAGCTACCATGGATATTTTGCCGAGTCACTGGTGTCGAAGATAGACTAATATAATGTTAATGGCTTGACGGAATTAAAAACGTGGTACTCGACATTGTTCGCTTTCAATACTATCGAAGCTATCTAACGCGATCCCTTTTGCGCTTGCAGATAGAGAGACACAATGCCAATCCCCGCAATGCCAATCCCCGCAATGCCAATCCCCGCAATGCCAAGCTGCCAAAAAAAGCCTGGGACCAAACCCAAGAGATATGCGCCACAACCCCCGCATTGACCTGACAGTCTCACATTGGCAAGTGTCAAGCTTCGCTACAACTTAAGCTTGCCGCTAGACTAATCAAAGACGAAGATCGAAGATCTTCATAAACTAGGGTAAGCAGCGGTTGATATTTCCCCCGTGTCTCAAATTTAATTGCGCCTTTAACCAATTATATTGCATGATATCCCCTACATTGAGATAACCTAGATAATGATTCGTGGGGCTGTGATAATTCAATGGGAAGGATTTAGGTGAGACTAATGTGGAGAAGTTCCTGTAGCTTATATAATATGCGTGGGGGTTTTCACATAGACAAGCTTCGATGCCCTTCATTCATCAGTGTGTTTACATCTCACCAGCAGCTTCAATTTAAAGCAAGATGCGACATCTACTATTATCCCTGGCATTAGCCTTCTCCAACGCAGATATGTCGCTTCAAAGTGTGCTTGCGACGCGGACAACTTCTACCTCTGGGTTGGGCCACAATGCAACCCCTATCCCAACGCCAACGGAGACTCCTTGCAGTAATAATGGTTATAAGTTGGAACGGAGAGCGGGACTCTACTCCACCCCGCGTCGTATTTGTGGATGGTTCTCAGGCACAAGCGCTGGTAAGTGCATCCGCTTGGGACATAAATTTAAGGCTTCCAAATGGCCCCTCTATAGTCACTGACTTTGGATATCGATAGTTGCCTGGCAGTACAATGATGCGTTTGCAACTTGTTTTTTTAATTCCGACGTGAACATAGTTGGAAATGGGGTACCATTCCAGACGACTTGTGTTGATGGTGCACAATTAAGCGCAGGGCCCTGCACTACTTGTTCTGGCAGTGTGCTCGAATGGTATGTTTACTGTTCCCATCTCTCATTGGAAGTGTGCTGATTTAAGGAATGGTTTAGTTCGTCAACAGCCTCATTTTGTGAGACGTATTTTTACGGCTCAGACTATTTCGCATATGGATGCGGGACGGAATCAGGAATAAGTCATATCTTGCAAACGACCCCGGACGGCATGGCCGATCCAATTGCCTTTCCTATATACACCGGAAAAAGGGGGATATCTATAGGAGTTCAATATCCAAGTGACTATCCAAGTGAGTCGAGGACAATAGAGACAAGCTCGTACTCCTTGCCTTCATCCACTGAGTCCACGGATTCGTCCGCCTCAACTCCCACAAGCCCCTTACTAGACCCTTCCACAACTCCCAATAAGGAAGCATCTTCTAAATCCGCTCCAGTGGGTGCTATAGTGGGTGGAGTGATTGGAGGCGTCTTTTTAATTGCTCTCATCGTCGGCATTGTGTTGTTCTTGGTCATCTACTCGAGACGAAAAAACCAAAACCTCGCTCCGCCCCAACATCAGCCACCACAAAACGGGTTCGGCAATCGTCAGGTTAATCAATATCCTCCTATGCAGCAATATCCTCCGCCGCATAATCCCGAGGGAGGATTTGTCCCTCAAACGAATCCAAACCAGGATGGCTTTCCGCCACAGCAACCTGTAAACCCCGAGCTTAACCTGAATATTGTCAACCCACAAGGATTCCACCAGAGGGCAGTTTCCCATATTCAGCTAAATCAGCATACGCCCCCGCCACAGCATCCTGCTAATCCCGAGCTCGATTCGCGTCTCATTAATCCGCAGGGCTTTAACCAGGGGGTTGTTTCTCATATTCAGTCAAATGGACATACGCCTTCACCCCCGCAACCCACTGCATCCGGGATTAATGAAAATCTGCCAAACTATAGCCAAGGCGTATCCCCATCCGAGCTTCCCCAAAGCCAATCAATCATTCCGCTACAGCAACCCGCTACACCTGAGCTGCATGGCAATCAACCAAGCTATGGTCAAGGGACATCCCCATTTGAGCTTTATCAAAACCAATCTACCACTCCGCAACAGCAGCTGGCTCAACCGGAACTTGATTCTCGTCCTGCTAACCAGGCCTATCTCCAACAAGTCTTTGTGTCTAACGGCCAGCCTCCGCAAATGAGAGATGGCTCGAGGATTCATGAGGCGCCGTGAAGTCATTAGGCCTCGGCTTAGCTATCAGTATGTCATGAGACAGCAGCAGGTCTTCGAGATGAACAGCGAGCGGTTACGAAGCCTAGACTACCCGAGCTACTCCTCCGCCAAGTCATTGGGCATCGATCCTGCGAATGTGTTGTGAAAGAAAACGATCCTTCCATTATTCGGTGTGCAGACACACCGCTCATGCTGCATTGGAAATACTATATTCTACCCGATATGATATACGACGCACCAGCGGCACTTCCTTGGATGCAACGTCGCCTACACATCTTGCCGTGCTGGATGTTCTTACGTGCATCTATCAACCAATGGTACCGGTATGCCACGGCAGTGAACTATCTTAGCGACCTGGATTATGATGCCTAGAAATCCTACCTAGATATCTCCGCGGGCATGTGCTGGATTTGTACATCAGAGTTTGGTCAACGCTTGGGGGTAATTTTGTGACCGAACCCCGCCGTGATTAGGATCTATTAAGAGTCATCGGTCCGGATGGCATTCTGCTTGATCCACGGCACGGAGTCTCTAAATGCTATGTGTGAATCAAGCTTTAAATATACTGAAAGTAGTAAGCAAGAGCGATTTCTAGAAAGGTAGAGTACGTCGCTGCTGCAGTACTTCCGTAGCATATTGTAGATTTTAATACAATTTTTAAATATTTCAAAATATACTTCAAGGTCAGACCACATCCAGCATATCATTATTTTAATTCGGCCTAGCGATTGTAATGCCGCAAAACGGTATATACGTAGATTTATTACCTCCTCTCGTATACAGAAACGTACGTACCAAACCCTGCCAAGACTTTACTCGGGCGCTAAGATTGTTTTAGCTGTTACAATCTATTTTCGGAACAGAGGAAATGCACGGAGTCCAGCCTTACGCACAGGGAAAACGTCGGCTTTAGATGTGATTTCTTGTAAATGTCACCAAGAAAGCTCGAGCTCTGGCTTCCCCGCTTCCTTCAAGTCTCGGCGATCAAGCTAGGGAGTTGGATGATGCTACGGGAGGAGCCTAGAACCGTCCATAGATCGGCTGGGATATTTAGGGTTCTGTGGTGGGCGGCTGCTTTTTGTATAAAAATGTATCTGTTATTGTCGAGGCGTTGGGACAGACCGATATGTATCCCACATGATTTGGTCACGCCTGCACGTAGACGTAGATTATATTGTATAATTTGGCCTTTCAATTGACTCTATTCCCCCTGTTCCACGCTGTCTGTGGGGGACGTGCTCTTATGCCCCTATTCCGGGCCGAGGCCTACCCGTTAGATTACTGACAGGTCCACGCTTACTTTGCTTGACTTCTCTCACCCCAACAGAGATTTATCAGTTCCGGAAACTTCAAGGCGTGAATCCTCCAGCACATTTTTTCTACAATAAAAATCCATGTCGTATCTCAACGGCCCACGTCGCTTGCATGGCAGTTATGTTTTCAGCTTGACGATCCTGAAGGATTCTTGTGGAGTTCCATCCGGAATCCTCCCATGGCTGGTCGGTGCGCATCTAGCCAACCACCGGCATCCTTGCACGCCTCAGCCGCAACCTCATTTGTAATTAATTTCACTCCGCGGACACTCCACTCCTTCACGTTCAGGAGGAGGATTTATATTTACGCTCTTTATAAAGACTACACTTCCCCGCAAAGTGCGGTACTCCGTAATATCCATCATTATCTGTGACGTTTAAACCAATCCACAACACTAAAATGAAGCTCCTCACCACCACCCTCGCTGTGCTCTCGGCACTCCCCCTTGCCCTCGTATGTCACCACCAGCGCGTACACACGTGATTGCCATTGCTGACCACGCTCTTCATTGTAGGGCTTCGCCACGTACCCCTCCGTGGAACCCCTACCTGCCCGTGATATCTTTGCGCGCCAGGAGTTCATTGTAAGTCATGCTGCGCTTTCTCGACCAAGCTGTAGCTAGTTATTGACGGCGTGTAGGAAAAGCATTTCTGCTACCCAGTTGAAGCGGTTCCCAGTCTTCGTCCTGGGAAGACTGTGGACGTGAACAAGCTCGTTGCGCTGGTTTCAGTGGAGACGAACGATGTCTTGATGCTGAAGCAGACTTGTACCGTTTTTACGTGCTATAACAATATAGGGATCAACCTTTGCAACTTCGTATGTGCCCTCGACTAATTTTCGAAATGTCATCTTACTAATGTTGGCATCAGGATTCGAAGGATGTTGTGATAACCGCTCTCAAGCTGGCCCTAGAGATCAATGAAATTTCCGTCTATTGCAACCAGGGCGGCCTGACTGCAGGTGTAAAGTCTAGCAAGAATGGATACACCGTCACCGTGGGATCGATTGGCTCAATCAAGCCAGGATGGAGCTGTGCTTAGAATCTGGTTGTCGACTATAATATACAGCAGCATTAATTTTATGCATCCACAAGTGACCAAATAGAACAGGCAAGAATTTATTTGGTATCTTGTGCGCCACTGAAATCGCATCAATGGATTATCCCTGTCTATCTAGGATCCAAACATCCCATGCTGTCTATTTTAACTATCTCATCAAAGCTCACTGTCGTGCGGTTTGGGAGGGGAGGCTGTTGAACGAGGATCAAAATCATGGAATGTAATGAATTCTTGAGCTATGAATAAGCTACCGAATCCCCGTGCTATGGAGGACAGGCGGGACATGAACACAGTCCATCATTCTTCCGAGCATCGGCATGTTACTGTTGACCACTTGTAACGCGACCGCGAAGAGTGGCGAGGCTGGGACGATGGGCCAGACTACCTTTCTTGCCAGCTTTGAAGCGCATGCTCCCGTCAATTTGTTTCGGCGTTGAGTCTGTGAATGTTAGCTGATTGCCAAGTGCATTATTCTGATCATGCGTACCGTAGCCGGTGCTTTTTGGTCTTCTGTCCCTTCATCGCTCTTTGTGTTCGTTGCATCCTCTGCCTCGTTGCTGGCTGAAAGCTCGACCTTGTCCATGGCGTGTTCGCATGAAGCCACATCTGGTGTATTCCCCTCCGTACCATGAAGGCTCCTCTCACTCTTTGTATCCGAAGCAGCATTGGAGAGAGCGGTGGGGGCGGCATCAGAAGCATCAGAAGCAGCAGAAGTAGCTGCAGCATCAACATCCACATCAATCTCCACGTCCTCCTCACGCTCTTGCTCCTTTTCATATTCCTCTTCGTCTCCCTCTTCCTCGTCATCCACGTCGTATTCACCGTCATATTCCCCAAACATCCTCTCAAGTTTCTCAAGTTCCTCGATCTGTAACTCCTTCACGACATCGAGGTCGACTCGTAGCTCAGTAAGCGTCTGGGACGCGTCGGGATCATCAACCCGGGAATAATGGCGATGTGTCTGGTCCCATAGTCTCTCAGCTTCGAGTCGGGAATCCTCTGCGTCGTTCCAGTTTGTAGAAGCTGCGCTGAGGAGGATCAAGGTCATGATGCGGTGATATCTTGGGAGGTCGGGTTTTTGAAGGAGATCTTGCGCTGCAGCGATGCACTCTTCCTCTTTGTCGCCGTCGTTGTATAATGCCAGCGCCTTGTTGTATTCTCGGTCGAAAAACTGCATGACTTGGTCGCCACTATCCATTGTGATTGATGTATAGTTTGATGACTTGTATGGGTAGTGAATCTTGGCGATGTGGAGATGTGGAGAATGTAAATGAGAAGAATGGTGCTGTGATGTATGTTTTGTTTGTTTTTAGTTCTTTTGTGTCGAATAATCCGCCTATGAACCTACAAGCCCCCCTTATACCCAAAATCTAGTCTTCGTAGTTACCAATGTCTATGACGGTTCTCAATTTACCCTCCAACTTTTTTCTTGCTCAAATTATTTCTTGCACTAATCTACATTTCTCTGCCAGCATCTCCTCTGATACCAAACCGCTCTTCTCTCTCTCGCTATAAAACTAGATCGGCAGGGAATAGTAGACGCAAATAGACAAAGGAAGTAGTGGTTAAAATTGTTCTACGGGATCGTTAAATCTGGAGTCGGATTCTAGCCGACTATAAAAAGAAGGCGACACAGCTGTCCAAAAAGAGCCAGTTCGTTACTACGAAGAAACATGGAGAAGAAGCGGAGAATAATCTCAAGGTTCCCTCAACTATCACAGGAGTCATAGCAAAACTATCTCTATCTTCCGCCAATACCACTACCACTTCTGAAGCCAATCCCCCATGCAATCCGTGATACCCTCCCACCAAGATCGAACATAAAGCGCTTCCAGGCATCGCTCGATAAAGATCTCCAGATAGTTCAAGGCGTACCGCATGAGTACCCTCCACAGAAGACACACTCTCAGCACATTCCCAAACATGAGATGCAGGATGGTCGTGACTATAAGGTGGTCAAGGATAGACTGGACCTGTACGAGGTTGTCCAAGAGGCCAAATTAATAGTCATAGTCTAGAGACTTGATATGCAAAACGAAAGTCATTTAACTCGGCGTGCTCTTCAACTGTTCATGGTGCATTTTGAGGCTACACACAAAGAAAAGCGGAATGTGAAGCCTACAATGCGTTGTACCAACCATTTTGAGATCAGGATGTACCCAACACAAGACAAAGCTGCAACGATAGGTCGCATCGATTGGAGCATTCTCAACTGTTTGCTCTCTCCGATTGAAGAAGAGACTTGGGGTCAAGTGCTAAATCAGACAGGTTGAACAACGCAGCGTAGATTGTCAAACGTCAACTGGGCGTTCGTTGTATTAGTTGCTCGATTTACAAAGAAACCATTATTTAAACGGATGGTTTTATAATATTAATTAATTTTGCATAATTATTTTGTTCTCATATTATTCTCCCAACTTCATTCCCATTAGATTATAATACTCACCAAATAAACTCCAAACCTCGTCCCATTAAATTATACGTTCGCTCCGAACCCCCCCCCTTTTACTTGCGGGCAGTCAACTCAGCCCACAAGTCCTCCACGTCACGGCCCATAATATCCATAATCTTATTCTCATCACGCTTGGTGACAAATGTAGCAGCCTTCTCGCGCTCAAGCTCGACTGTCACAAGTATTAGCATGGTCACTACACACACTAGGTAGGTTTCGACTTACCATGGACATAAACCGCGGCTTTCTTGCCAGAGAACATGGCGTGAGGGACGTTTGTGGAGTTGTCAGAATTCATATCACCGACTGCGTAGATTCCAAAGGCATCAGTCCTCATGCTCCCTGGATTGACATTCGCCTTCTCCCCGTAGTACTTAACACCTAGCGGCTTGCCGATGTAAGAGCGTTGCACGGATGGGAAATTTGTGATAAATGCCGAGCGGTTGAGAGAGCCGCCGTCCGCAAAATGGACACGGAACTCATCGTACTCTTTCCGCTCTGTGACATCCTGAACAATAGCACCATCTTGTAGTCTCTCAATGCTAGTGATGGTGCGATTGTCGAGCTTAACACCATATCCCTTGAGCTGTTGCTGCCATCCCGGGCGCCTCTCATTGAGCGTTTTCACGTTTGCGTCCGTATATGTTCCATTGAGTAGAGCCACAATATCGGAGTTTAATGTCGCAACTTCCAAGACACTTCCAACCACATCCAGGAGAGATCCAAGAATACCAAAAGGTTGGTCTCGATGTTCATAGCCTATTAAGTGGAAACAGTAAATTAGACATGATACGCCACAAGGGTAATGGGAATAACTTACCATCACACCAGGGGCACCAAAAAATGCCGCGTGACCAAGCCTCCTTAATGCCCGGGGTTTCGGGGAGAATGTCCCGGAGACCAGTTGCCAGGATGATCTTCCGGCTAGTGTAAGTCTGCCCGGAGTTGTCGGTTGTGAGAAAGGACGAGCCATTGTTCTGAGAGACGATTGAGATAGCAGTCCTGAACTTAATCTGGGCAGTATCATATCTCGATATTTGCTCACGGGCTAACCCCCTGAATTGTTCCGGAACAGTGCCTGTGCATTAAATTAGACTTGATATGATAATAGAGTAATGAGGGACACATACCATCGTTACCGATAACATCGTGCATATGACGAGTCTCGCCGTTTCTATATTCTTGACTATCCAGCAACAATGCAGTCCTCCGAACGCGAGAGACACCACTGAGAGCACTCAGACCGGCGGGCCCTCCTCCGACAATGAGAACATCGAAGTCAGTTTTGACAATGCCTGGTGCACGAGGCAAAACCGAAGCCTGGCTAACAGCCGAGCACAGAGCAAGAGCAACAGCAGCGACTTTGAAAAACCCCATTGTGAGACGGCGTGGTGATAATATTAGGCGGTAGTATGCAATAGGCACGGAAATCTTCACTGCCTAAGAAGAGCTCCGCTACAAATGTCCCAGGGGCGGGACTTTATATGTGTAGTTCCTCTGCCCATCTCTTGCCTCGTTGTCCAATGTGAGACATCAGCTTGTCTCTTGTGGTGGTTTACCTCGATCTTCATCTCCGCTTGTGAGACTTGAGCCAATCTCTCCTTTTGAAAGGAGTCTCATTGCGGCCCAGTGCTAATGTTAAAGTGCTCAGCTTCATCATGCACAGTCGATCTGCGGTGTTCCCTGTCATTAATTGCCCCATAGTAGAGGGCGCGAGCTTTAGGAGCTTGGACTGCTTGTGCTTCCCCACTAAGATGAGGGGGGGATAAAGTAGCGGCTTGAGAAACTGTCCCCTATATCTGAGTAAAGGTATACCAGAAGTTCTTAAGATTTTAGGAGCTTAGTACCCCTTGCATTAAGGCACTACTTTCATGCAGTAACACGTTGTTCAGTCTGATTGCGTCCTCTGTGTTCCCGGCGCTTTTCACTTTGAGTAACAATGACCGCAATCTAATCCGCGTCGTCCTGTTCCAGCATACTGCTCCAGTTCCAGTCAGGCTGAGATGCAGTGACAATAGAGAGCAGGTGCATAAATATTAGATTTTGGCCCACCAAGAGGCAGCTGAGATTCAGACAAATATTAAGTTATTGTTTCTCCTTAACCAATGGCGATGATCGGTGTTCGTTGGGATGGAGCGATCGGCGGCGCCTCCCGACCCGTTCCTGCACTGATCGACATTTAATTCCAAGGTGCCGAAGGGTCCTTTAGGTGAACAATTTAAGCACTATAACGGTAATTCTGTAATAATAACCATATAAATCAAATTAAAACTATGGTGAATTCCTGGGAGATAATAATTTCAACACTATGGGCAGACTGAACTGTCACTAACTAACGGCGCGTCGTCGCAAACCGCGGTCTCAACGACCCCTGTATAAACAACCAGAAAGTAAATATCGTCTTGGCTGCATATAAGACATTCACCTCCCCATCGGGAAGTGGCCGAGGGTCCACATTAGCTTGTTCACCCACCAGAGCTTTAGAGTGGGGTTGAGCCAATGCCCAGTTCCTCAAGATGCTGCGCGGATTTGGTTTTTTTAGTAAGGACCCGCCGTTGACTTCCTGGCCCCGATGAGACGCGGGCCGGCCCTCGTGTGCTCGTTCTGGAATTGGGATCGCGACGTGTTTGTTTGGATTGTAGGGGATGTAGATCCTGTGCGTATAACGGCGGCATGGACGCGTTCTGGCCGTAGTGGTGATGCTAATGCTGGTATGGTTGTAGTTCTGTTACAAGATAACTTCACCGTTATGGGAATATACATCTTAATTGCCGACCAATTCATTTGGAGAATAGTAGGTGGGACACTAACTTTAATACAATCATCTCTAGTTGTTCAACCCCATCTATCGCCTTCTCAAATGCTTTCCACCTCCTTCTCATAAACCCCCTTCCACTCCACCCCCTCCCCCGCAACCGTCTCCCCCCCTCCATACCACAACCTCCCCTCCCTCAGCACCAACTCCTGATCAACCACCCACTCCAGCCCACCCTCCCCCCAATACGTCTCCTCAAGCCACTGATTTATCTTCTCAATCCCCTCCACCCACCTCTCCATCTTCTCCGTACTATCATGATCCTCCGCATAAATAAACCTCCCCAGCGTCGCATGCGCACTGGGAACCACATACCTACTCCCCACCTCCACGCCCGTGCCGGCCGTCAAGGCGAATAGATCGCGGCGCAGGTGGTGGTAGGAGTATTTCTCATCCGCGACGGGGACGAAACTCAGCGCTACGGCTGCGGCGTCGAAGGAGACGAGCGGCTTGATGAGGCGGCTGGGGGATTTGGTGGGGGCGGAGATGATGGTTGGGATGACGGGGCTGAGGGCCTTGATGAGCGGGGGGATAGCGGAGGGGGGACGCGAGTGCGTGATCTCTAGGAGGGTGATGTGCATATTTTCCGGGGGCATGAGCCAGATACCTGGGAGGTGTTAGTGAGTGGTACTGAGGGAGGGAGCGGGGTACGCACGAGGTGAGATTTCCTTGAGTTTGGCTTGGATGGTGGCGGCGAGGGTGCGGACGTGGGGGGGTGGACGGCCCCAGAAGACGAGGCTGTTGCGGGGGTCGATGTAGCCGGGAGAGATGGTGGGGTCGACGCGGCGGAGGAGGATGCCGTCGAGGATTAGGCCGGGGAAGGTTGGGGAGAGGAGGTTTGCTTTTTGTTGGGCGTTGCGGGTTTGGCGGTGGTTGGAGTATTTTTGTTGGAGGAGGGCCTGGGGGGTGTTAGTAAGGGGATACGGATAGATTATGGGATAGAAGTTGAGTATAGAATAGGTGAGGCCTAGGAAACCTTGAATATTACACGGAAAAGAATATAATAATATAAATTCGATTGGAAGTCAAATCCGAAGACAGATGAGGGGCATCCTATGCGGGGTAACTTGGGGAAATATCAACGAACCGGGTCATCATTGCAAGCCTCAATCAGTGCATCATAAGGATTCGAAAAGGCCGAGCTGTCCACTCCGGATAGGTCGACAAAGCTATTCTTTGCATCTGCGGATTCTAAGAGGACTGAAGCCATGTTGGAGTTGTGATATAGAAAAGGCGGGGTTGCCCGGCTTTGGGGTAATTTTCCAGAGGATGAGGTTTGAATGGGGAAAGAAACTTTATATAACTGGGCATGAAGGGACTATTAAATAGAAAGAGCGGTCCCCAGATCCTCAATTCTAATTCCAAAATCGAAATGCTGCCTCTAATATCGTAAATTAATACGGATTGCCATGAGCACTGCCACCATAATCTCTTCGGTTAAGTGGGGACCGTCCCAATCACCACAGAAGATGCTCGGTTCTAACCCGACGACAAAACATTACTATCCTGCAAACGGATTTGGGGAACATGGAATGCTATTTTTGCGTAGAAAGGTGGAGACTTCATCGGCCAAAAAAACAGCAAAAAGAGCAAAAAGAAACAAAAAATATACGGTTGTATAATGAGGTATTGAACCACACCCGATTTGAACGGATAACCTTTCGCTCTGGAGGCGAACGCGCTACCGTTGCGCCAGCAGTCCCGGTAAGTTGAAAGTGTGAGCTAACATAGCCTGATATAGCGTTGAAAGTTCGGTGTGATTTACCCCGCTATGTGACTCGGCGGGGAACGGATTCCCGAACTTCATCAGGCGAAGTTGGTAAGAAAGATCGAGGCAGAGTGTTCAAGATAGAAGACGTGTACAGAAGATCATACTTCTGATTATATCAGAATCTTCATATTGCCCTCTCGCTCTCAATGTTCTCCTTCATCCCCATGTCTTTGCCAGTCGAGAGTCGAGAGGGGAAAATGTGTCGCCTAATTAACAAGGCGACAATAACCACTTTGTGCACGGACCAGGTCGCGTCGCGTCTCCAACCGATCAATTGGAAATTGCACCCCTGGCCGTGTCCGGATACCTGGATCAGCGTCATCCATGGAACAAGGAGTGTGGCCCTTTGACTTTTTATTTTGCTTTGTTTCTTGTTAGTGAAGCACGTTTGTTCAAGGTTTTATATTCCCTTTCGGCAGTTCGCATTCCTCCCCGCTCTTTCCTCATAACAAAGGTGAGATATCTTTCTTTATCCCCGCCGCTGGCTGGAGCTTGGCAACCCTTCGGGGTCCCGCGGGAGAACATGCCAATTGTCAGGGTCTTTTTATACTGACAGATGTGGATAGTTCAAGATACCCTTTTGCTTCTTCCTCCGCGATTATCTGTGTAGCTTGTAGCTTTCTGTATCATAACAGTTGGACCTCTTGCTCCACTGATTGTTGTTTGCTTTGTACTGGCTCTTCTTCGGACTCGGTGAGTCCCCTTCTCCTCGATGCGCCCAATACACACAAATGAAGTCCCCTGAGGCCCGGCCGCATTTCAATATCACTAGAACACCTTGGGGCGTATACTGACTTATTTAGAAGACCCCCGCATATGAAACCGTCGACATAACTGGCTCGACACGCCGGCCTCCAGGCCCGTAGTCAGCTACACAACTGCTCGAATAATGTCTCGACTACAAGCCCGATCCCGCAATGCCGTCAACTCAGACTCAGAAGACGATTTGGCGTTGAAACCCCCGCCACGAAGACAAACTCGGTCCATCACAAACAGCCCGAAGAAGCCTTCAAGCTTGTCTCGGGAGAACCCGACCCCTGCTCAGGATGACGAGGCAGATGATGAAGACGAGGAGATAGACGTCTTGACAACCCAGTCACCAAGCGTCCGCAACGCAAGGGCAAATGCGAGGACACCAAAATCGAGGGGTGTTTCTGCTCGGAAAACGCCCGTGGGAAGCGCCTCACAGCGCAAGAATGGCGGTAAAAGGCAGACCCCGAGCAAGAGTCAGGCCGCGGCGAGCAGCTCTCAAGCAGCCATACAGGTTGACTCGGACGTTTCAGACTCCGAGCTGATTGTGCCTGGGTTCCCAGAGGGGAGAAGGTGGCTTCACAGCGTGAGAAGTATGTACAGTGTGGTTGCTTAGTTTGTTCTGTTGTCGTTGGTCAGCGTGTATTCTTATCTGGTTCATGTTACTACACCTGATGGTGGGCAATTTTGGACTTGCATGGATCACAAGTGTGTCTCCATTGGTCCATGGTTGTTCTGGCAGGTGAACCATGTGGCAGTGAGTGAGGAGATGCATGGGTAGTCCCCAAGTTTCGGTCACTGCTGGTTTATAGGTTGTGCTTTGAAGGGCTGAAGATTGTGGCTGTTGTGAGAAATGTCCCCCTTGTCAAGATGCCCCTGGCTCTTAACTTCATGGAATGGAACGAAGTTGGCACCACAAATCACAGGCATAGACTTGCACATGTTACATGCGAAAGCTGTCGTGCAAGGGGATATTTTGTCATAGCCGCGCCTGCGTGATCCCATGGGTGTTTCCTGTCCAAGCTGAGTTGAGGGCAACTTGACAAAAGCCTTATTGGCGGACGTCGCTAATTTCATATTCACTCCCTTTGTGGCTATTTCCGCAACCGACTTACTCCTTCACCCTTCAAAATTTCTTGCTTCCTCCACCCTTCCTTCACACTCTTTTCAACCCGACACCTTGTTCCATTACTCTCTTTTCAACCTTTCATCTTGCTTCATTGCACTCTTTTCAATCCAAGACCTTGGTCCATCACACTCTTTTCATTCCAGCATCTTGCTCCATCACAATCTTTCCATCCAACACCTTGCCCCATCCACTCTTTTGAATCCATCATCTTGCTCCACCACTGTCTTTTCAACCCAACATCTCGGTCATACTGGCCAAATACTTTCCTTTCACACGATAACTTTCATTGCTGTATTAACAAGGCTCGTGTGGAACCTGAAGCTTCGTGGAATTACTACTGACATGCCGCACAGTGCCTATAAGGACACCGAATAAGCAACGCGCCATATCTGATTTCTTCAAACCACACACGCTTTTGCAAAAGAAACCCGCTGCACCCACCCTTGCTCCCACAGTCCCTACTACCATAGCCTCTGACAGCTCTCCTTCCAATCCACCAAGTGACGACGATCCCGACGATGCCCAATTGAGCTCCCCTGTTGCTATATCTCCTTTGGCTTCTCGCTCACCCAGCCCAAGTGGGTCATCTGCCATGGCAAACAAGAGGCCTGGTAGAGCTGCAGCTAAGAAAGGTAGGCTATTGTCACGCGTCCTCACCTCCCGCAAGGATGTAGACACAGACGAGCCAAGTGATGTATCCGACTTTGCTGTCAGCAACGAGTCATCCCAAGGAGAGTCATCGGACGTGGAGAGTGGTGAATCCTCGGCGTCACCCACTGGAGAGTCTTCTGGGGCTGAAAGCGGATTCGGCTCCCACCCACCACCAAAGAGGAGGAAGCGACTCACTGATGCGTCGTCACCACTGGCAAAATCTGCCCGTAAGTACTCTTTCCTGTCCGCATCTTTGTTCCTCAACTTACATTTACTAGCCAAACAACTCGTCAGAAAGAGACGCGTCGAGAACAGGGACACTACCTTCAAAGGGGCCGATAGAGTGCTTTTCCCTGAGCTCAACAACATCAAGAACGATGACGACAATGAGAATGAGGATGCCATGGAGGGCGTTCAGACAGAGGCCTCATCTGACACATCAAGGCGCGCCAAAGCGCCAAAGAAGAAACCCACTGGAACACAGGTGATCAAGCCGGAGACATATGTCTACAAGAATGGTCTCGCCCTGCACGAAAAGCCGATCTCTAAAATTGAGGATATTTTTGCCGACATGACTGATCGGGCTTTGGCAAAGATGAGCAAGAGCAAAGATGATAAGACCTTCCTTGACTTCCTTGAGCACATGAATGGCAGAAAGCTTCGTGTTGCGACTATGTGTTCCGGCACGGAGAGCCCAATTCTGGCCCTGAACCTTGTCTCTGAAGCTCTCAAATCTCGTGGCCACAACTTCGAGATCGACCATAAGTTCAGTGCGGAAATTGTGCCCTTCAAACAGGCTTATATCGAGCGAAACTTTTCTCCCCCAATCATCTTCCGTGATATTAAGGAATTGTCTATCCCCGGAGCTGTCGATGCCACAACCGCATATGGTAGTAAGGCGAAGATTCCCAATAATATCGATATCCTCATCACAGGATTCTCCTGCGTCGATTTCTCTGGCCTCAACTCTACAAAGAGAGTCATTGAGGAGTGTGGTGAATCCGGCGACACATTCTTCGCTATGCGCGATTATGCCAGAATCTTCCGTCCAAAGATCATTATCTTGGAGAATGTGATGGGCGCACCTTGGCTGAGAATCAGTGACTACATGGCCGCGATTGGGTATGCCTGCAAGCATCATTTCGTGGACACCAAGAACTACTACGTCCCTCACACCCGCCAGCGTGGATACATGATGTGTATTGATATGTACGATAAAGTGAAGAACGATAAGCGTAACAACACGGAGAAGAAACTTGTCAAAGATTTGGAATTTGGAGAGTACATGAAAAAGTTTGGTCAGAACGCCATCGAGACATACAGCCGCAGGATGGACTTCTTCAAACGCCCAGCCAGCTCCTCGGTTGAGGCCTTCCTCCTCGATGAGGATGACCCACGTGTCATCGCCGGCCGTGCAGAGATGACGAAAGGAAACGCCGTCGAAGGCAGAAAGAGAGTCGTCGACTGGACTCGTTGCCAGGGCCGCCACGAAGACTACCGCTTCCGCATGGGACTTGGAGCGAGACGCTATTTGACGAACTGGGAAGATGGAGGATCCTGCACCCCAAGAGACAACTGGTGGAACGACTGGTGGAAGGCACAAGTCGAGCGTATCTGGGATCACATGGAGATGTCGTATTTGCGAGCCATGGTTAGGGGATATGATCTGGAATACAAGTTCCGCATCATCGACTTCTCGCAGAATATCGATCGTTCTTTGGATACGGGAGGTTCTGGCCTCACGGGATGTGTCACTCCAACTGGTATCCCATACAGTTCTATGCGTGGAGGCCCGCTGATCGGTGTCGAGGCACTCGCGTTGCAAGGTTTGCCTGTCGATTCATTGATTCTCACACGCGAGTCTCAGGCGAAGCTTCAAGATCTGGCTGGGAATGCTATGAGCTCCACCGTCGTCGGAGCAGCTATTCTCTCTGCTCTGATCGCTAGATTCGACGTGTTCGAGCGCGGAGACGGCATCCAAGAAGCAAACGCAGCCCCGGAAATTACCCAGACTATCGACGATCCCAAGGCCAACTTTTTCACAACGAGATTCGATGCTCATGTCCCACTTTCCGCTGCCGCTGCCATCAAAGCTGCCAACCAAAGCTACCGCGCGTGCTACTGTGAAGGCCGCGCTGGCGTCACTGTTGCCGCCCTTCAGAAATGCAAGGCTTGTGGCCACACTACTTGCATCAAGTGTGGCGTTTCTCCAAAGCATGACTATGCCAAGTTCTCGCCAACTAGAATTGCACCTTCGGAATTTGAGCAACAGTTAAAGAATGCTCTGCCCATGAAGGTTCTACTTGCGGGCATTTCAATTGATGATATCATCGAGGCTCGCGAGGACAGCGGTATCTCATTCA